GCGAAGGCAATCTTTGTAAGGCCGTACACGATCTCGTCATAGAGTCCTCCAGCCATCTGCTGACATAGCTCCTCTGGCCATTGTTGAGATCGCTTCGAGCGTCCTCCTCCGATGATGGGTTCATGTTGATGATCTCGTGGGCACGTCTTCCTGAGTCGAAGCTTCATGAACTCAGAAGACAGCAAAAGTCCAGTGCCCTTTTGTTGAGGTAGTCCAGTGATGTGGTCCTTCAGGCCGTACTGACATTGATCCAACCGCTGAAGCTCCAAGTTCTCTCCAGTGTAGTTGTTGCTTGGGGCCTCATCCAAGAGCTCCTGCATACACTTCAGCGTCCAGATCCTTGATGGCAAGGGTTCTCGAGCATGACCTCTCGCCCCTTGTTGAGCCTCTTCCTGATCAGCTCCGTCAGCCACTTCACCACCGGATACCATTGTTGTCGTATGGCATAGAGGTTGTCCGCATAGCCTTCCCTCATCTCATTCAAGTTCTGCAGGGGGCTCCATGGTCCACATACCGGAGCCATGCTCAAGAGCAGCGGATCCTCAACCTCGATGCGGCTCTCCACCATGCGGCGTACTTCAGGTCGAAGTAGGTCGTAGTCGGCATTGTTGAGGATGTCAATGGGCTCGGCCACAGGCAGTCCAAGTGTTGCAACCATCAGTGAGAGAGTTGCTGCCCCACTGAACAGTTCCATCAGGGCAACACCACATCCTCGGGGTAGAAGTCGTCCGGGATTCTTCGTAGGCTTGGACTTTTCTCTCAAAGTAGTCCACATCGCCTGATCTTCCTTCTCCAGCTCCTCAATGGTGTCTCCCAGCATCTTCTTCTGCCCTTTGGTCATCTGCTTCAGTGAGCCGTCGTCCAGCTTGATGTGGCCCATGGTGTCCTCCTCTTCGATCTTGGTCTTGTCGGTGACCACACTGATCTCTTCCTCTGCTTCCTCCTCAGATGCGTCGCACTCCTCAGCTCGCAGTGCGATGGCGTCTCCTCCATGATCTCCAGGGAGTAGACGAATTCCAGGGAGTCCATCTCTGTCGACAATCTCCAAGTGCTGCTTCATCGTCTTGCTGTAGACCTTGCGCTCACTCATGTCGATCATCAAACCAAGGGATTTCTGAGCCTTGGTTGAAAGCAGCAATGGAGCGTGACTTCCTTCCAGCTCTGTCGAAGTGATGACTCCTTGTGCCTCCGATCCATCTTCAAGGCTGAAAGTCACCGGGATCGTCCTCAGGCCTTTCACCTTGATCTTGCCACCAACGCCATTGAACTTTCCATCGCATGGCTTCAAGGGGATGTCCATGCCTGTCGCTCTCAGGTACTCTTCCATCCACTGCGATCCGTGGCATGTCAGGTTGCAGCCGGTGTCAATGACTGCAACCATACAGTCCTCCTCTATCTCATCCTTCTTGATTGCCATGAAAGCTTTGGCAGAAGTTGGCGGCCTGTTGTGTGCATACTGTGCCAACTCCTTGAGTGAGTTGCACCGCAAGTCTCCTGCATTGTACTTGCCGTAAATGAACTTGCAGTACTGGTTGTCGTTGATGCAGACCCATTCGAAGGTCTTTCCGGCATGCTTGCCAGACTGCACAATCTCGTGCTCGTACTCCTCGATGTTCTCCACGGTGATCTCTCGAGCTTCCATTCCGCTTGATGCCACAGAACGGTAAGAGGCTTCTGAGCGAACCTCAGACCTTGCCGGTGTCGTTGGAGTAGGTGCAGGTCTCGCCGATCTGGATCTGGAAGTCGGTGTCGACGGTGCTGCAACAGGTCGGGCAATTGCAGCATGGATATGGGGATATCGACCTGGCTCGTAGACCAAAGACTTGCACTTGTCGTAGGCGATGTCCAGGTGACGTTCAGAGACAGGGTTCCCAGCCTCACGCTGGATGGCCAGGTAGTTCTTCATGAGTGCAACCACCTCCTCAGCCTGTCCTTCATCTGCAACTCCTCGGGCAGTGCTCGGCGGAGGCGGTGTAGAGCTCGACAAAGGTCTTGATGCAGATGAAGTCGTTGAAGCCCTCTCTGCTGCCTGTCGTCCTGTCTCTCCTGGATTCTTGTTGCCGGTCTCAGAATGACCGCAATCATCACAGGTCCACTTCCATGTCGTCCCAGTCGTGCCACGAAAGTGGCGGTTCTCATGCTTGCATGTTTTGCGCTCCTGCGTCTCCATCTTCTTCACCTGCTCCTTCTTGGTGATGCTCAGAACCTTGTGGCAGTCCAAGCAGGTGATCTTCTCTTGTCGTCCATTGGTTCCCTGCCTTGTCGTCCTTCTGTGCTCACAAGCTTCAGGGGTCACTTCTCCTGAAAACAAAGGGCTCGGCGTTGCCTCTGGTCCTCTCTCCTCTCTCGTCCTCGGTTGTGGTCCTCCAAAGGCATTGAACCTCTCTGGCAACGCTGGCACCATCGGCAGGTTCTCCTCGTCAGTGTTGACGAGGTACTCCATCATGTCGAAGTCATCGTCCTCCGGCACTGGCACCATGGTGTGCATTGCGTTGGAATGCACAGGTCCGGCAGAAGATCCTGCCGTCAACTGCAGTGGTGTGGCGCGTTGCTGCTCCTGCAGCTGTTGGGCTCGTCGTCGTTGTGCTTGGGCTATCGCGGCATCCAACAACTCGTCAGCTGATGAGCCCTCTGTCGGACTCTCGACAAGGACTCCTTCTGTCGGCGTCCTCACAACCTCTCCTTCTCGAACGTTGTCAGGTGGAGGAACTTGATGATATCCCCTCACCACGTAGGCCTTCGGCTCCTCAATCTCCTCAACCGTCTCGTGCTCCGCAGTCTTGTACTCATTCACCACGAAGTAGAACGTGCGAGGTTTTGCAGGTTTTCCTGAACCTCGGCCTCCTCTCTGCGAAGTCGCCGTAGAAGCCGTCGACGTTGTAGTGCCGCCTGATCCCTTGGGTCCACCTTTTCCTCTGTTCTTTGGGCATGCATAGTCGGTCGACCAATGCCCCATCTGACCACACTTCCTGCAAGTGGTCTTGCGCTTGATCGCATCAATCCTCGCCTTCCTGTCTTCGCTGCTCATCTTGGATTTCCCTTTTCCATAGCCCTTGTCGCGGCCAAAACCTGTATGACCAGCTTGTTGTGCCTTCTGATGGATGTAGTACGCCTCCGCATCGATCTGAAGGATCTCCGCCGCATACTCGACAGCCTCCTGGTTCTGCTCGTCCAGTCCCTCAGATAGTAGCGCGGCCAGCGTCTCTGTGTAGGGCTCCTCTTCCGTCTGCTCCTCCATGTAGTCAGGCTCATAGTGCTCGGCAGCGTTGTAGGCGCTTGCAGGTGACTCCTCAGCTTCATAGCCACCCAAGGATTGCGAGTGCGTCTCGTACTCCTCCGTGTTGTACCCATAGGAGTCCACGTAGTACCCATACTTGCCATAGCTCTTGCCTTTGCTCGAGCCCTTGTTGGAACCTTTGGCATTCCATCCACGTCGTTCTTGCTCATGGATCCTGGAATGTTGGGCGATCAGCTCATTGCAAACTGATGCCACATCCATCTTCCCTTGCAAAGCAGTACGAACCATCAGCTGATGGTCTCTGGTGATTCCAGCTGATACCAGAGTCTGCTCGGCCAGGATGGCCTCGGGAAGCTTCAGCTCAGAGTCCAGGTCCACAAGCATCCTATACCACGTTTTCCTTCTGAGCAGATAGCTTGTCATCGGCTCTGCTGACTGCCTGCTGAGTACTCCATGGACTTGAGCACCAGCAGCATATAGATCACGTGCTTCTTGAGCTCGTCGTGGACGAAAAGCCTGGTAGAGGTACTCGATCAGCTCCGTCGGGCCCTTCTCGGTGGCGAGCTTGTCCAGGGAGAGTTCTCGGACAACTTGAAGTGCTCCTCCGCTCAATCCTTCAACCAGCTTGAGCCCCAGTGGGCCTTGCTTCTTCCTCTCGGTCTCATCCATGTTTGCGAACCGTGCTTCCAGCAGCCTAACACGGAACGCATATTCAGCCAGTGTTGTCGGATCTCCGTCGTAGCGTGGCACTCCTGCTCGTCCACCATCGATCATCGGCGAAGCATCTGTAGTCGAAGATGCGAAAGCCTGATACGTCAGGCACTCCAGCGCTGACATGGCGCAGGGCGGTGGGCACTAACCCAGGTGCAAAAGTGGTTCCCCCTTAGATCAGTTAAGCCTAAGCTGTTGCGGGGTCCCAGGAGTCGCAGCTCCGCTGCCAGTGTGATGGCAACCAGTTTTGGGGGTTGACAAGAAGTCAAGTGCAACGCACGTTTTACCGCACATCGCTTGAGCCAGTCGGCACCAGTCGCAGCCGCTGACATGTGAATGACATCTCAATGAGTCTGAGTCCCAAGTGCTATGATCCCATGTCCATCGTGGTTTCTTCCTTGTTTTCACATAAGCAATCACTGAGTGCTTCAGGATAGGAGAAACAGCGCTTGCAATAAGTTCTCAGCAGAGCCGTGTCTATTTATTTGTGTCCAGAATGTGTCTTCGCGAACCTTGCGCCAACTAAACCAGAGAGGCTTCTTGCAAGCTATAAAAGTTCGGGACAAAATGATAAGACATTTTCCCTGGAACCTCCACACACAACATATCCTACTTTGTTGCAGCTTATCGTACTTTTGTTGCTCTTCCATGGGTTGGGATCCGCTGGTGGGCACAAGCCGGATTGAGTACAAGCCGGATGGGATCCCATGAACACAAACTTGGGGGCACAGCAGCTGTTGCCTTTTTCCTGCCAAAAAAATGTCTTTGCGACATTCCATCCACAGTTTAGCAGGTCAACCACAAATTGAACAAGTACTGCAGTCTCTTTCCAAATGTCTTGTGTTGTGATATTCTTTGATCTTGCATGATCTGCGATGATCTTCTATGATGTTCTATTCAAGAGACAATTCTGCGAGTGTGCATCAGCTGTACGTTGAACCCAACGATGCCAAGAGCAAACCTCCGTGAAAAAGGCCGAAAGACCGCGCATGGGCTACATGACAAACATTCAAATGATTCTACACAAACACATCTGGCAACATACCACGTCCTCTTTGGTGCCTTTGTTGGGCCAGGCGCAGGAGTGATGTCTTTGCTCCTGCTACTCTTCGTTTCAGAGAAGAATAAACTCTGTTCTGGTATCTTCCGGTCTCCTATTGTCCCGAACAACCCGAAGATGTATGGTGCCACAAAGCGCACACAAATGCTACTCCCATTGGAACCTTTGTAGGATCTTGCTACACAGGCGCACGCAGGCAAACCAGCTTGTCAGAAGTCATTGCTGAGTTCCTTTTCTTATCAGGGAGGTGCCTAGTTGGTTCCTGCTGTAACGAACAAGTAACGCCACATCTTGGTATGTTGCCGCAATTTGGTAGTTTCTACTCCTCTTTGGCGCCGCACTTGGGCTGGGCACAGCAGCTGTTGCCTTTTTCCTGCCAAAAAAAATGTCTTTGCGACATTCCATTCACAGTTTAGCAGGTCAACCACGAATTGAACAAGTACTGCAGTCTCTCTCCAAATGTCCAGTGTCTCTATAATATTCTTTGATCTTGCATGATCTGCGATGATCTTCTATGACGTTCTATTCAAGAGACAGTTCTGCAAGTGTGCATCAGCTGTACGTTGAACCCAATAATGCCAAGAGCAAACCTCCGTGAAAAAGGCCGAAAGACCGCGCATGGGCTACATGACAAACATTCAAATGATTCTACACAAACACATCTGGCAACATACCACGTCCTCTTTGGTGCCTTCGTTGGGCCAGGCGCAGGAGTGATGTCTTTGCTCCTGCTACTCTTCGTTTCAGAGAAGAATAAACTCTGTTCTGGTATCTTCCGGTCTCCTATTGTCCCGAACAACCCGAAGATGTATGGTGCCACAAAGCACACACAAATGCTACTCCCATTGGAACCTTTGTAGGATCTTGCTACACAGGCGCACGCAGGCAAACCAGCTTGTCAGAAGTCATTGCTGAGTTCCTTTTCTTATCAGGGAGGTGCCTAGTTGGTTCCTGCTGTAACGAACAAGTAACGCCACATCTTGGTATGTTGCCGCAATTCGGTAGTTTCTACTCCTCTTTGGCGCCGCACTTGGGCTGGGCACAGCAGCTGTTGCCTTTTTCCTGCCAAAAAAAATGTCTTTGCAACATTCCATTCACAGTTTAGCAGGTCAACCACGAATTGAACAAGTACTGCAGTCTCTCTCCAAATGTCCAGTGTCTCTATAATATTCTTTGATCTTGCATGATCTGCGATGATCTTCTATGACGTTCTATTCAAGAGACAGTTCTGCAAGTGTGCATCAGCTGTACGTTGAACCCAATAATGCCAAGAGCAAACCTCCGTGAAAAAGGCCGAAAGACCGCGCATGGGCTACATGACAAACATTCAAATGATTCTACACAAACACATCTGGCAACATACCACGTCCTCTTTGGTGCCTTCGTTGGGCCAGGCGCAGGAGTGATGTCTTTGCTCCTGCTACTCTTCGTTTCAGAGAAGAATAAACTCTGTTCTGGTATCTTCCGGTCTCCTATTGTCCCGAACAACCCGAAGATGTATGGTGCCACAAAGCGCACACAAATGCTACTCCCATTGGAACCTTTGTAGGATCTTGCTACACAGGCGCACGCAGGCAAACCAGCTTGTCAGAAGTCATTGCTGAGTTCCTTTTCTTATCAGGGAGGTGCCTAGTTGGTTCCTGCTGTAACGAACAAGTAACGCCACATCTTGGTATGTTGCCGCAATTCGGTAGTTTCTACTCCTCTTTGGCGCCGCACTTGGGCTGGGCACAGCAGCTGTTGCCTTTTTCCTGCCAAAAAAAATATGTCTTTGCGACATTCCATTCACAGTTTAGCAGGTCAACCACGAATTGAACAAGTACTGCAGTCTCTTTCCAAATGTCTTGTGTTATGATATTCTTTGATCTTACATGATCTGCGATGATCTTCTATGATGTGCTATTCAAGAGCCAATTCCGCGAATCTGCATCAGCTGTACGTTGAACCCAATGATGCTAAGAGCAAACCTCCGTGAAAAAGGCCGAAAGACCGCGCATGGGCTACATGACAAACATTCAAATGATTCTACACAAACACATCTGGCAACATACCACGTCCTCTTTGGTGCCTTCGTTGGGCCAGGCGCAGGAGTGATGTCTTTGCTCCTGCTACTCTTCGTTTCAGGAGCGAGATGCAATGCAACATGAGAAGAATAAACTCTGTTCTGGTATCTTCCGGTCTCCTATTGTCCCGAACAACCCGAAGATGTATGGTGCCACAAAGCACACACAAATGCTACTCCCATTGGAACCTTTGTAGGATCTTGCTACACAGGCGCACGCAGGCAAACCAGCTTGTCAGAAGTCATTGCTGAGTTCCTTTTCTTATCAGGGAGGTGCCTAGTTGGTTCCTGCTGTAACGAACGCCACATCTTGGTATGCTGCCGCAATTCGGTAGTTTCTACTCCTCTTTGGCGCCGCACTTGGGCTGGGCACAGCAGCTGTTGCCTTTTTCCTGCCAAAAAAAATGTCTTTGCGACATTCCATTCACAGTTTAGCAGGTCAACCACGAATTGAACAAGTACTGCAGTCTCTTTCCAAATGTCCAGTGTCTCCATAATATTCTTTGATCTTGCATGATCTGCGATGATCTTCTATGACGTTCTATTCAAGAGACAGTTCTGCAAGTGTGCATCAGCTGTAAGTTGAACCCAATAATGCCAAGAGCAAACCTCCGTGAAAAAGGCCGAAAGACCGCGCATGGGCTACATGACAAACATTCAAATGATTCTACACAAACACATCTGGCAACATACCACGTCCTCTTTGGTGCCTTCGTTGGGCCAGGCGCAGGAGTGATGTCTTTGCTCCTGCTACTCTTCGTTTCAGGAGCGAGATGCAACGAAACATGAGAAGAATAAACTCTGTTCTGGTTTTCTGGGGTTGTCAAGAGCAAACAACATGCAGGGCTATTGATTGCCCAAAGCCAGCCTCTCACCCTTCGTCACATGGTTTGATTGGCCATCTTCACTTTTTGGCGCGAGTTCTGCAGGTTTGGCCGTTCAAATGTTGGTATGTGGGTGTGGGTCAAAAGTTATTGCCCCAAAATTGAATCAATTGTAGTGAAACATGACCATCTTGTGCTTCCATTCGGTCCATTGGTACTTCGTTCTTGGCCCAGACCCAAGTCGCAAAGAGGTCTTTGCATTTTGACTCTTCTGAACCAGCAATGCCAACGCCTTGCACTTCTCCTTGTTGTTGCGTTTTCTTTCGCCTGGGAGGATTGTCGTTCTGTGAAGGGGAGGCACCTTCAACGGGAAGATTGGATGCTCCAAATGTTGATGCTTGAGAATTTTGTTCTGGTCGCTGCCTTTGCTTTGCCTTCTTCTTCTTCTTCCCCTGGCAGCCGAATAAAGTGGTGGTCCAAATGTTGCGCAAGTCCTGCTGCGCAAGGCATTGTGCCCCGCCTCCTTTTCCTTATCGGTTTGGCTCAGAGTTTCAAGGCCTTTGAGGAACGCGTTCTCATCAAAGGGTGGACCTTGGGATCGACGAATATGCGACGGTGCCATCCGTGATCCCGTGTTCCACCATTCCATCCCCCAACATCTCCATCTTCATCCATCATATCCATCGGTTCATCATTTTGTTTGCTGATTGCCTATAATTTGGATCACATCAAACACAAATCGTACGACCGTCTCCAGGCGTGCCGTACAGGAGTCATCCACAAACTTCAACTCTTTTCCAGCCAAAAATTCCTGAAACTGTTCCTGGCATCAGGAAAGGATGGCGAAAAAATTACTGGCCCCCCAAATGAGTCGGATATGATTATCGAAGGAAGTTTAGAAGTCAACCTCCCGACAATATGGACAGATGAAAAAGCAGAGGTGGGAAGACTCAGAGAAGAGAAGAGAAGCAGAACGAAGATCAGAGAAGAGAAAGAGTCAGAAGAAACAGAAGAAAGAAGATGCAGGCGCGCGAAAAGGTAGCAAAGTCGCGAAACACTGTGTTTTTCCGTGATTTGTGGCTCGGGAGGGGCGAAAAGTAGGCTCGCTAAAGCAGCAGGTGCAGAGCCATCTGGGGAGATGGGAGAGGAAAAACTTCACGCCCCTGTGGCGCGAAGAAGTCAAAAATGTAAAAAACTGACGGTCTCAGACCACGTTTGGAAGTTGAGATGGTGCACGCCGTTGTGGCGAGAAGCACATGTCGAAGTCAACATATACAAAACACTGCACGTTGGGAGCATTTTTCGAAGTTGAGATGTTGAAAAATTTGCACGCCGTTGTGGCGCGAAGCACATGTCGAAGTCAAAATGTACAAAGCACACTGGGTTCGGAGCACTTTTGGAAGTTGTGGTGTTGAAAAAGTGCACGCCATTGTGGCACGAAGCACATTTCCAAGTCAAAATGTCAAAAACACATAAAAACACCACATGCTCGGACAGCTTTTGGAGTTTCAAATGTGGTTTTGCGTGGCAGGCCCTTGGGATTGGGCACCTTGTCAAAAGTGAGCAAAACGTGAGGGTTTTGTAGCTTTCCAAAAACAATGGCAGGCGTGGGACATTTGAAGAGGATCTGGCAAGATGCATTTTCCGTGGAATGCGCAGTACAAGAGACGTGTTCATCAGAGATGTTAGGAGGTGAGGACGCTGATTTCCTGAGAGGGGTTGCATTTTGGAGCATCAGATCTTCAGTTTTGGGAAGATGATTTTGCGTGACAGGTGCAGCACTTCGTACGACCTGGCATCACTTTTTCGTGGCAGGCGCAATACTTTAGACAGGTGGAATGGAAAAATCGCAAAACGCATTGGTACGAGGCTGTCAGCGCTGCACTTAACTTTCTATTTTTGAAGGAAGTCTCGCAGAATTGCTTTGTTTTTGATGTTGTCATGTTCAAAAATTGAAGACGTCTCGCAGAATTGCTTCGTTTTGGATGTTGTCAAGTCCAAAAGTTGAGGAAGCCTCGCAGAATTGCTGCGTTTTTGATTTTTTTGATGTTGTCAAGTTCAAAAATTGCGGATGTCTCGCAGACTAGCTTCGTTTTCAAACTTGCAGATAGATAGATCGATAGATAGATAGACAGACAGGTAGATAGATAGATAGATAGACTATCAGATAGGCAGGTAGTTAGATAGACAACTGCAACTGCACTACACCACACTACAACTATACACCACACTACACCTACAACTGCAACTACAACCACAACTACACTACAACTACAACTTCAACTTCAACTGTCAACTGCACTTCAACTACACCTCAACTACCACAACTACAGCTACAACCACAACTGCAATTACAAGCGCCACTACAACTACAACTACAACTACAGCTACAGCTACAACTACAACTACAACTACAACTGCAACTGCAACTGCAACTGCAACTGCAACAACTACTACAACTACAACTACAACTGCAACTACAACTACAACTACAACTACAACTACAACTTTACTACAGCTACAACTACAGATACAACTACAACTACACTACAGCTACAACTACAGATACAACTACAACTACAAGTATTGCATCCAGGAGTTGTGAGTGAGGTGACCACTGCAACCATTGCAACCACTCCAAAAAGCACAACTCCAACCACCTTTCCGTCCATCAGTGGATTCGCTCTGCCATCCATGCACCACAACAACTCACCTCTCCAATAGTGTCCTATCCTTGAAACTTCCGCCACCGCCTTGTGCGGTATTACTGGTATAATGAAGATGCGGGACTTGACATTTTCCGTGAAGCCACACGTGTTTTGGGGACTTTACCAAAAGGGGGATCTGACTTGATCAAGATGCGCCAGCCTTGAGGGTCGGCAGTCCGTGTGCCATGGGGGTACCGCAATAGCTGGATGGTGCAATACACCCTAATGGAAAATTCAATTAAAATGGATGATTTGAGGGTAGCCCCATTTTAGGAAACCTCCATAGGGTAACCTGTGTTCAAGACTTTGCATGACATCACTTTTGAATACGATTGAAAAACATGTCTTGGCTTTGGCCACAGGCCCCTCTCCACAATTTCTGCAGTTGGCTGCAGCGGCTGCGAGAGGGATATCGTTTCTGGCCCTGCCACTGTGGTTTCAATGTTCACAAATTTCACATAACTGATTCTGGGCTACCACATGGTAGAACCATGGGGGTTCTACCCCAAATCAGTGGACAATTGGTATGATATGGTATGATCCAGGGATAGATGAGAACATCAATTTTCAACCGATGGGCGACAGCGCGTGACACTTGACTTTGAAGATCTGCACGCTGAAGCTCTCAATGGTCGGCGGTCCTGTGACACAGGACACTGCAGGACACCCAAAAAAACCATAGTTAAATCGGTTGGTCACAAGTTTCCTTGTTAAAATATGTTTAAAATGACCATAGATTGAGGCTATCCCAGGCTAATAATCCCAGGTCTCCTAAATTGGAAAACCACAGACAAAAAGACATATAATGAAATGTAGATGTCTATGTGTCTTATGAGAAACACTTGAGAAAACAGGTCACTGCCTTGATGACCTCTACTTGGATTTGTCTGAAAACAGGGTACCCCAAAAGCTTATGCTTAATCATCGTTCTCCCCTTTCAAACTACCATTTGGCATTTTCAGAATCCTCCGCCCGGGCAGTCCTTTCTGGCGGTAGAAAGGGCAGCACCTGGCATCAAAATCGGGAGCTCACCCCACTCTAGTCTCTGGTTTAAAGAGGGCTCCCATAGTGGGTTGTAGCAATCTCTAAATCTATCCTAATCTAACATAATCCAACTTAGACTGCTAACTATATAAGTAAGTGCTGTAACACCGTCTGATCCCCTTTTTCGTAGTCAAGGCCCATTGTCATTTTGGTCACTGCTATCTTGGACCTGTCGGCCCTTGTTCCGAGGCGCCTTGGCGACAGCTTCAAGGAATACCTGTTGGAACTTCGGCCTGATCGATGGGTCAAGCACGCCGAAAACTGATGAAAACTGTACCCCTGGTGAACATCAAAATATTCCCCTACAGTAAAAGTCTGGTTTTTATCGCTGAAAAAAAAACTAAAAATGATACCATACACATTGACCCATCCATATATGACCAACATTTTGACAAGACCCAAGAGATAATGAGCCCTCCCTTGGTAAAATATAGAAACAACCCGGGGGGCTAGGCTTCTGGCATGTTCAAGCGCACATTTTGACCATGCCAGAATCCTCCAAACCTCGGATTGTCACACTGGCTGTTCCCACTCCCATTGCTCCAGCTGCTGCTGCGGACGACGAGGCTGGAGCTTTTCCTTGACCTCCCTGTCTGCGAGGTACAACGCTTCTTGCTGGCTTGTGGGATTCTCAGACCTTGTCGGCAAGAACAGTTCTTTCAATTGGCTTTCTTGGAAAATAGGGCCAAGTTTGATGTCATCAGTTTAACCTATTAAAATTGCCATAGCCGGGGGTACAGCCCATTATCAGACACTGCCAAATGTTGCTGATTGCAGTCCGATTAGGTAGTGCGGCAACACATCAGTGTAGCGGGTATGGTGATCCATTCCATAATCGGAGCATCATTATACCTCCATAATTTCACCTTCACATGGATTGATCCCCTGTCCCTTTCGTTTCTGAGTTGCAAGCCCGTGCAAAGCAGCCGGGTGCTCCATGCAGGTATACTGCATTCCACTGAGCCGGGCCAAGCCTCCGTAATGGCCTTGGGATCTTTTTCCGGGCTTCGCAGCAACGTGGCCATTGCAGGAATCATGTTGACATGGGTATGGGCCATATGGATGTCCATCTTTCATGAAATCATGAATCAAATGGCTATGGATCAATACCTATACATACCATTTTTAGGAGGATGAACATCCATTTACCAGCTATTTTGATGTTCACCAGGGGGATAGGGTTTTGACCCATCCCCAAATGTCATCAAACCATATCAAACCTACAAACTTCCTGTCCTTCCCTTCATCCAATGTTGGGACGGTCTTCCAAGCCAAGGGCTGACGGTGTTGCTTCCCCAGCCTTGGTCTGTCCATTGGCAGAAGCTGCCCGTCCTCCACTCGATTCCATACCAAATAGGTCTATTGGGGATACTGTACAGGAATGTATAGCCATTGTATAGCCATTCTAATGGAACATGATGATATTTACAATTGGATTTTGGTGTGTCCTACTTTCAGGTTCGAACCTGATTTCCCGCCAGACTACTTCATGAAATAATGGAGTAGCTGTGATTATTTAGGGCATCCCCAGTTTCAAGCCACTCCCAGCAAAATGTCTCCATCTTCAGCATCGCCTTCATTGCAGAACTTGGAGCCCGGTGGAAAGAGGTCCAATCTCAGGGCAAGAGAGGCAGCGCTGGTGCTTCTCGGCCCAAAATATGAATCATTGCGGGTTTATCATCACATAGATGAGCCCAGGGACTATTTAGCTTTGTCAAATGGGCTACCCCATTCCGTCCAGTACCATTTTCCCTACTCAAGTGGCCATGAGGTATCACCATTTTTCAACCAACATCAACCAACCAACTCATCTAAGCTTCCCCACATGACCGCATTTTGGTGCATGAAGGCACCCCAGGCCATAGCCGCCCCCGTGACGCCCACCAAAATGTCCGCGTGTCTCGCTAGGTGCCACTGAATTGCAGGATGTAAACGCTCGAAATGGGCCACCAGCACTCTGACGCGAAGGTCACTGAAGCGCGGGTGTTCAAATCCTGATTTGCCGATTCCAATGATTCCAGTTGGCTTTTACCAAAAAATATCAAAATTTGCACGGGAATTAAACCATCCAAATTGTTTGTGTTTCTGAAATGAGTCATAGAAACCAGCCCCAATCGGTGGTTTATGAAATGTTGATATGTTGTTCTTGGCTTCACCACATCAGAAAAGCGGTTTTCCACATCTTTTGAAGCTGAAGTTCATCCCAGTCCTTGAAGCCAATTGAGAATCTCCTCCATGTTTGCAATCCATCGGCTCGCACCTCAAACTCAAAAGGAAACCATCAAAATCATCAGATCAAAACCTCCCGGAGCTGGGCTCCAGGACGTTTTGGTCTCTGCACCCAAAGGACATTGACATTTCGGAGAGCCTGACCACATGTTTGGCTGTGGGCCAGGAAAATTTTGAAGAGTTGTTTGTTGTTGTTTGTTTTCGGTGTGTCCCTATATCAATAGAATCAAACAGATACAGTACATGATGATACATGTGATGATACATGTGGCATGTTCCAAGCAGTTGGTGGATGGGCCGCCTTCTTGGTCGTGGATTGTGCCCATTTCACCTCTGCCTCATCGTCAACTTGAACCACCTCCTGGCAACGACATTCAAATTCATTGTGGCACGATTTGGATCATTCCTGCACATCTTCAATCACTGGATTGGTTTAAGGGAAAATCTACAGGAAACCATAGATTTTCCCATTAAGTATGGGGCTTTCCTGTAAATTTTCCCTTAAACCAATCCAGTGATTCAAAGCATGAATAAACCATGATTCTTTGTGTCGCTACTCAGCACCTCTTTGTCCAAAGGGAGCAGAGCTGGTGGCTGGGTCAGGTATTTGGAGCCATCCGCAGTGAAGTAGTCCAAGTCCATCGGACCTCCAGGAGCTATCCTGAGCTGTGCTCACGTGCCTTTGAAGACTGGACATGAATGGTTTGGCTTTGGTTTCTAAACTGTAAGGATTTGTCAGGAATCTAAATCCTTGTCAATTTGGTGAAACGCTATTGAAATAATAGGTTTCAGTGAAATCTTCACCGGAAACCATAGATGTCCCCCTCCAAAAAGCTGGGGCTGTCTCCGGTTTCCGATGGTTTCCGGTTTCAATTTTCATCCATTTCTTGGATCACTTTTCATCACCCGCCAGGTGGTAAGCTTTCAGTTAAGAATCTGCGACAGGGACGCAGCGTCTTGTCTCTGCCTCTGGGAATCTCAACCGGGATGTTGAAGGATGTGGAATTGGAGGTGTTCAGTCGGATTGACTTTTCTATCTTTTGAGGGATTATAGAGAATGAAATCTAATGAGATCATATGAGATCTACAACCAAGAAGGCGGACACCTATTTTGAAAGTTTTCATGGAGGTTCCCACGTATATGGAAAGGGTCGTATAACATGGTATGACTGCATTGCAAGTAGCATCATATATTCACAGTTGAGCCACTCTCCAAATCATAATCTTCTCAGGTGGCTTCTGGAACCTTGACTGTGAAAAAAAACTCCACCAGATTGAACAAATTATATCATATCAATTCAATTCCTAAACTGGACAAGAACCATTCTTGGGATGGTTCCCCGTTTCTAAGCGTTTTTCCACAAATTATGGGATACCCCAATTTATGGTCCATTCAAATTGGATCAAATTGGGATGATCAAAAAATATCAAGAATTAAATAATGTGGATGTCCCCAGAATTCTTAGGTACCAAAGACAATTTATGGTGAGCTGAGCTGCGGGGGATTGACTCCCATGGCTCCATACATCTTCAGCTCTGCGTCAAAAGCTCGTCCAGTCGCAGGTCCTCGCGGAAGGCTCCACTTTCATAGGGGGGAATGTTATGCTTAGTAAACCCAGAAATTAAGTAGGTTTTTTTTTGGCATTTTTTTTTCATAAACCAGCCCAGTAGGAGCCCTTGCTGTGTCCTTCACGTTCCCGGCTCTGGGCAAAAACGGCGTTGAGATAGCGATGATAGAAGGTCACCACTCGGGGGGTCACGACCCCGCCAAGCCTCAACCGAGGAATGGTGAAGACCAAAAAAAAGAAGATGCAAATAGATGCAACCAGCAACATTGGGAGTGTTTGATTCCCCCCAGTTTTATTCGCTCGTATTCCTGTTGAAAGGACGTGATGGCGTTTGTTCCTGTTTTTCTATGTCTTTTTGCGATGTTGCCGAAGGATCTCATCCTAGACTCACAGACACAAAAAAGCGTTGCCTGTCTGCGTTCATCCCTGCAACAAATCACAAATCAGCACCGACTTGGGATGACTTGGGGGTGCATCCCAGTAAGATAGTAAGTGATTTTCATATATACATGGAATATCCCCAGTTATATGTATATATTATATACATATTAGTGGTTTCTGAACCACCGTTCGGCTGGGTGGCCCTGTTCGAAGCAGCTCGCGACCGAAAATCACTCGCGGGTAGCACTTGGCAGTTGCATCGGCTCCTGGCCGGAGCGGTGTTAGATCCCAACTGGAACCTGCTCTCCTATCACTGTTGGGTGGCCAGTGCCATTTATATCCATTTATGATATGCATATACAGTCATATACATATCATAATCATATGTTAATTCATATATGTATATATCCATATATATATAATTATATATCCATATATATATCCATATATATATATGGATATATATATATACATATGGATATATATATATATTTACATATGGATATATGTATATACATATGGATATATAGATATATATACATATGGATATATAGATATATATACATATGGATATATAGATATATATACATATGGATATATAGATATATATACATATGGATATATAGATATATATACATATGGATATATAGATATATATACATATGGATATATAGATATATATACATATGGATATATATATATATATACATATGGATATATATATATACATATGGATATATATATATATATACATATGGATATATATATATATTTACATATGGATATATAGATATATATATATACATATGGATATATAGATATATATATATATATATACATATGGATATATAGATATATATACATATGGATATATAGATATATATACATATGGATATATAGATATATATACATATGGATATATAGATATATATACATATGGATATATATATATATACATATGGATATATAGATATATATACATATGGATATATAGATATATATACATATGGATATATAGATATATATACATATGGATATATAGATATATATACATATGGATATATAGATATATATACATATGGATATATAGATATATATACATATGGATATATAGATATATATACATATGGATATATAGATATATATACATATGGATATATAGATATGGATATATATATATACATATGGATATATAGATATATATACATATGGATATATAGATATATATACATATGGATATATAGATATATACATATGGATATATAGATATATATACATATGGATATATATATATATACATATGGATATATAGATATATATACATATGGATATATAGATATATATACATATGGATATATATATATATACATATGGATATATAGATATATATACATATGGATATATAGATATATATACATATGGATATATAGATATATATACATATGGATATATAGATATATATACATATGGATATATAGATATATATACATATGGATATATAGATATATATATATACATATGGATATATATATATACATATGGATATATAGATATATATACATATGGATATATATATATATATATATTTACATATGGATATATAGATATATATATACATATGGATATATAGATATATATATATACATATGGATATATAGATATATATACATATGGATATATATATATACATATGGATATATAGATATATATACATATGGATATATAGATATATATACATATGGATATATAGATATATATACATATGGATATATAGATATATATACATATGGATATATAGATATGCATATACAGTCATATACATATCATAATCATATATTAATTAATATATATATGGGGTGGCAAATCAAAGGACTCAGGATGACTCAGGATCCATATGATATGGTGCCACCCCGAAACCCCGAAACGCACGTCGCTGGGCGGAAGCTCAGGCCTAGAGGAAGCGGCGGCATCTCCTGAGCCATGGATCATCATTGGTGATTAAAACAATCTTCAAAAATACCAGAATGGATACATACATACCAGTATCTATTTATATGCACATTCATATATATATATATACAATTATATATATACATATGTATATGTTCAACCTCTTTTCGACCAGCCAATTTTGTCATGAGGAGTCAGAACCAACATTCGCGGCATTCACGTCTGTCCAAGAGTCCGCAAGGGGGCCCCACCAGAATCTCCACTGCGCTGGGATAACGAGCCTGTCTGCGTTTCAGCTTAAGCAGCTCATCACTTCTGAATTGTTGAAGATCAACGCAGCATGGCCTCTGTGGCTTCTCAGCATCTGAGATCCTTGGCGACACTGAACCCAGCAAACACGCAGTGAATGGATTGGTTTACAGTAAGGGAAACCGGAAAACACATGTAATATATATATATATATATGTGTGTATACTAGTAATCGTCTATATAATTAAACATACGTATACTTACTAGTATATATATATAAGTGAATAGACAAAAAATATACTTAGATAAATATGATTATGTAAATATAATGATAATATACATATATATATATATAGTGTATGGAAACCATGGTTTCTACCGCCATTTGAGCGGCGTCGTAAACCGGGTAGCGATCTGGTTCTACTATAGAAAAGCTTTCACGACGGCTTTCGCGGTGCTTTCGCGCGCACAGTTTTGGCTTTCGCGGCGGGATTTTTTTCGCAATATCTTTCGCGGCGGCTTTCGCGGAAAATATTCGTCGTAAATGATGTTACACTAGTCATCTGCTTTCGCGGCCGCTTTCGCGGCGTGACCTTGGCGCACTCCTTTCGCGGAGCTTTCGCACGGCTTTCGCGCGTGGAGGTTTTGCTTTCGCGGAAGGTTCCCTACATGAACCCGAATACTAAATCCCTTTATGGATGTTTTTGATGCTGCTCATTTGGATTTGGAGGGGGTTCCTGCAAATGTCCCGCTACATCTACAATTCTGGGACACAGTGCTTCATCTGGTCTCACAGCTTGAGCTGCATTGTGCTGTCAAGGATCTGTGCCATGTCGTTGGAGTGCCTGCTAAAGGCCTTTGATGATCCGCAAATCCCATGACGCTGGCAATATCTACCCATACCTATCCAGTCATTCGAAAGCTCGAATGAATAGCACCAATTTCCAAGTCTAAGTCGAGCTGCTTTCCAGAAATGAACTTGCCGGCGAGCATGGAAAGCCTAAGCATCCCACGTCAGTTTTCCTCAAGGTACACTCTGCGCAAGGCTGTGCAATGCATGCGAAGTTGCACAAAGCTACGCAATCTGCAGAAAATTGCGCTGCAAATGCAAGATTTGAAGCAGTCTGAAGTCTGATTCTGAAGCTCGGAATTTGGATTCAGACCAAAATTTCTGGCCCAAAATGTTCCATTTTTGTTATGTCTCCCATTCAACTATGTGGCTGTCCCATTTTAGAAAACTCCATGGAAGGGGTACAAAAACTCTGCTTTGAGGTCCCTGCGCTGTGGAAAGCCAGGCGGATATCTAACTCTGACCTTCTCCGTGTCTCAGATCGAAGGTGCAGACAATGTGACTATTGTCCCATCCAGTTTCAAATTCTGGGGTAAATGGATGTAAAATGATGTAAATAGTAGTCTGTACAGGGACAAAATTGTTTTTTTCATGGCTTTGACTGCAACTCAACTTACCAGCCTGGGGATACAAAGACCATAGTCTGGATGATGAAGCTGCCAAACCAAAGGTATGGTTGAATGCATCCTTGGCTGGACTGCTGGGAGTTTGTGGTCGGCTTACACCAGCCTCATAGCTTTTGCTCCACAACCACCTATTTTGAAGAGACCTGGTCGTTATGTTCAGTGGCCTTCCAGCCTCAGAATAAACCTGGTTCGAGAGTCTTGGAGCTAAATGCTTTTGCTATCTTCTGCTCGCTTGGATCCGAAGTAAAAAAAGTAAGGCCAGCACAGGTGAAAAGGATTGTGCAACCTCTGGCCACAATCTGTCGGAATCATTTTTTCATCCACATATGGAGGTTTCTTAAAACCCCATCCAAATTAGACCCTTTTAGTACTACAGTACTACAGTACGGTAGGGAATCCCTATGACTTAAGAGACCTCCATATGGGATCTCTGACAGCAGCAGGGACAGCTGTTTCTTCTCTGACAGTGCGTGCGAGCTGCGACGTGCCACTTGCCAAAGCGCCTGCAATGACAAGGGTATCAACCTGTCAGCCAAAGGCAGTAAAATTCAGTAGTTGATCATCATCTTTTCCCGTTGAAATTCTTGGGTATCAATCTCTGGCTCTGGCAGTGGTCCGCCTCCGAAGAATTTCTCGGATACAAGTGCCTGGCACACCACTGCTAGCGCCCGAGGACGATCACCGCTACGTTAACCGCAGGCCTAGCTGCCGGATGTCTCAGTTCAACCGCATTGAACCTGAGCTGGCAGGGGATGGATCATGTGCATGCAACTATCTTCAGATCTATGAAAGTCCTTGTGCGGTCTTCGGCCAATCAGTTTTCGAGAATGTCGGACAAAAACCATGAGCACTAATAGCTTGGCAGGGCAATTGATGTTGCAGAAATACAAAAAGGGCAGTGCGATGACAAAAAAGGTAAACTCTGCAGGCTTGGCTTCGCACTCAAAGCTGCCGAATTCCCCACCTCGTCGGCGAACATAATGATCACTACCCAATATATCCCAATATAATATCAAGGGTAGGCTAATAGCCCCCGAACTAATCTAATCAACCAACAGTAAGGAGTATTCATTCATATTAAGGAGATTTGCATTTCATGATTAGGAAATACACTCCAACAGGAGCAGCCACGGCTTGAGTGACATCAAATACTTGAAGATTTTCACCGCAGACAAGTCACAGGCAAGCAGCTTCCTTGGAAGGGACTCTGCCTGTGAAGGAATGAAAGCTTCCAATGGGTCAGTGATGAATGTCGGAACAGGAATGAAATAATTTTGTCTGAAAATTGGATACAATCCCCCAATTCGCATGGATGATCATCATTGTCCCCACTAAAATTGCCATTTTGAAGGGTACACACAAGCCATTTTCCTAACAAAGCCATGTGCTACATCAATGGGGATCCAGGCCTCCGATTCTCGGCCAAAAAGGATAATCTTGCGATCCTGGAGACCAAAGATCTTCCAACCTTGTGATCACTTGCGATCACTTACGATCAGTTCTATGATCAATTATGATAACCTGAGAAGAGGGGACGAAAGCCAGGAACTAGTTGGAGCGGGGAGACGAGAGTGGAGAGGATGGGAGGGATTTCGGCGGGGGTTGGTGGAGGAGGCGGCAGTGCGAGGCTATATTGAGTGCCGTTTTGGAATCCGTGGGGAGAGGGAAGGAATGTGCAGGAGACTTGACATACTATACTTGACACTCCATATGTGGCATTTTACATTCCACACTGGACTGGTTCGACGTTAGACTTTACAGTCTATACTATAGAATCGACACCCCTACATTTCATACTGTACAAGCTTTATTTTACATTCCTGGCTCTTCACTGCACACCTGACACTCCACAGGAACAGGAAACAATGGGATTTTCTAATCTTTCCATCAAGTATGACAATGATGGGTTTCCATAGATTTTGCTGAAGGTAAGCTAAGAGGGAGCCATGCAAAAGTAAGAAACATTACCAGTACGAGTAGATTCTGCAGATGGTGGATTCATCCAAGTGTGCATCAAGTTCCTCATCTGCTAGCTTCTATTAGTCAGAATCCATGACGAGACGATGTCTCAGAGTTTCAAAGTTGAGCTATGTCGAGCAACTTCCGGCAAACTACTTTGGAGTCTTCATGTCTGTATGTTTGTATGTATGTATGTCACCGGAAATGCCTGAATAGAGACCAACGAACGCGCATGCTGGGCTCTACAAGACCGCAAATCAATTCTCAACACTTTTTATAAAGTGTTTAGAATTCTTAGCATCGTTCAAGACCGACAAAAGGCGTAATGAGTTGCCCGAAAAGAGGAGGTGGAGGTCACTTTTGGGTATGTATAACCTCCGAGAAATTAAACATGATCCACTACAGGATGACAACAAAATTATTTATGAGAATCACAATAACAACTTCATTTCGGTATGTTTGTCGGGATCAAAATCTAGCGCCCCCCAAAATATATTGACATCTTGTAGACATATATACATAGATGCATACATTTATATATATATAATCGATATGATATGATACTATGTTGTAAACTGGTGGAATACATCGAATCCCGTCCGGTGGATATGAAATGCTGTCTGGTTGCAAGCCGCAATACTGCAAAACTGTGCGCTACACATGGCTATACACATGTGATTGCAAAGCTTTCGGATCAGACACCCGTTTTGGCGACCTCAAAATCGGGGCCGGCATTGAAGCCATGCATGCAGTTGGGTTACAAAATACTTATGAACAAAAAAGGAGCGATGGTTCGAGACAGTAGTTTGCAAAGCAGCTGCAAAGCCGATGCAGCACTAGTGGACCATGTGAGACTCCGTTCTTGCTTCATTTCCCCCTCCATTCCCGTCGCCCCCAATGCACGTTTTTCCGTGCCCCCAATGCACGTCACTGGACGGACCAGGGGGGAATCGAACCCCACCGTCACCCAATTGCCACCTGGTACATCAGCCTCAAAATCGACCACGGAGGCCACCCTATTCAGTTGGGGAAGTGCCTCAAAATGGTCCGTTTTGAAGCGACCGCCCCCCGGACCCCCTATTCTCACTTCGTTCGCAAGAGCAACTTAAGCCAAGCTTGACAGCTGGCTTTCGTAATTATGTATGTTTTATCGGTTTTATATTGTTTTATATTGTTTTATCATCACTTAACATTACTTCTGATCCAAACGAATCATCTATGATAATCGACAATCCATGACCATCTGCCACTATAAACATAGTGTAAAATATTATAAACATATCTAAACCATCCCAGCATCTCCCATATTTTCCCCATATTTTCCCCATTTAGATCTCCTCAATACAGGCGTTTTCAAGAAGCCACACACAGCCGCTGGCTGACAGCTGCCGCGCTCTGGACGGCCCCGAGAAGGCCGTAGCTCGACGCGGCGCCTCGTAGGTGGCTAACATACCATAGATGTGGAAACCCACCATTTGTAGATCATTTTTTGAGGGAAACCATATAGTTTTTCCACACCGTTGGTTTACCCTAGGTTACATTCATAGATTTGAATCCCCACACATTCACGAACATCATTTGTCAACACGCCTTCGATTGCAGGCCACAAACTTCGTCTTCAGTGGCCTCAGCACGCGGCGACCTGATGACGTGGCTTTGTCAATGGGATACCATGGGATACCCAGAAACCTGGGCAGAAACCTGGGCAGAAAGCTGGGATGACTTCATCAGCTATGCCAGCTATACCATGGTAATCCATGGATATCCATGGTCCCTTGCGCTGTCTCTGGGCTCTTTCGGCGCTCCAGCACCCCTCAAAGGCCTCGGGATGCTGCATGGCGGGTGTCAATGGTGTCATGGCGTGTCCACAATCAAGGAACCGAGGCATACCGAGGCTAGAACGGAACTCCAAAAAACACGTTGGACTCTGGATGTGTTCTGGATCGCCACCTAGTGATGCAATGCAGTTCAAACTTGGCACTGCAGGCACGGCCAGCAAACGTCCCTTCTTCGATGGATTGGTTGAAGGGAAAAGTTGAAGGAAACCATGCTGTCTTTTTCCCAATCAAATTTCAATAACATGGTCCCTTTTTCTGTAAATGTTCCCTTCAACCATCTTCAAACATCTTCAATCAATAAACTGAGGATCTCTTGAAATCGATTCTTTTTGGATGCAAAAGGCGTCAAACTCAACGCGACGCAACGTTCGTTAAGTCGTGCCCCTGATGACAAACCTCAGACCTCTGAGGAATGTGTTGCTACCAGAGTGACGTGACACGAGTGACTTCAAGTTTAGCCCTCGTCAAAATATCAAGAAAAAACATGCCAACTTGGAACTCCGCTGGAATTTTTAACTGAGACTCAAATTGATGTCAGTTTTGTTGAATGAAATTTGAGGCATGGCATGTCTTTTCTGGTCTAGAGACTGCAAACTCCCTCATGGTCCGCTGCGGCCGTGGCGTCAGAAGGCCAAGCACACAAGTGGTGACCGTGGAAGGGCTACAAAAATGTGCAAAACACCGAGGGCCGGCAATTCGGACCCCCTTTGCCAAAAGCAAAACCTTTAGTGGCAGTGGAATACCATGTGTATATTATATATATATACATAACTATAATTATATATATATATTATCTTTGTAGATCCGTTTTCTTTTTCTTCAGTGGGTTACATCAGTGGGCATCAATGATGCTGACATCTGAATGGAACTGCTCTTGCAGGACCATCTGCAACAGGATCAAGCTCTGCTCAAGCGAAGAGTTTCCGTTCGAAGCTATGAAGGCCATGTACCCCTCCTTCGCCTCAGAGACAATGGTGAAAACGGTTGGTTTCATGATCAGAGCCATGAAAAATACCACTATCACATCCCATTATACTGGTTGGTAAATTATGGTTGTCCCTATTGTATCCTATTATGTGGCTTATCCAATAAACATCAATAAACCAGTTTGTATAAGCCTCTATCCCCCTACAATCGTCCATCAATAGGGCTGAAATTTTCCCGCCATTTTGTCCCTCCGGTTACCCCCCCACTGACGGGAGGCGTTGGGCTGCTGAACTTCTGAGTTCAAATCGCAATTGCTCAGACACCATTTTATCCTTGGTGGCCATGGGACCAATCATGGAATCGGCGTCTTAAGCTTGGTGGCAACCAAAAAAGCGTAGCCCTCTGTCCCTACTGGAAACCTGCGTCCTTCAATAAAAGCAGATCAATTTGCCTGCCTACAAGAACTGAAATGAAGTCGTGTGCAACCAATTACTTACGTTTTGGATATGAAGGAAACAGAAACGAAGTTTGAGCTTGCTACGCCCCACCCTCCAGCCATTCTGAGGCCGTGTCTATCAAGTCCGGTACTGACTTTGCACCAATATCCTGCATACCATGCCTGACGCCCTGGTTCAGGTAGGGCATGTACTTGTGCAACGAACCTCAGATCTGGGTTTTGGTATGAAAGACGCTTTAATGGAGAGAAACGCAAACTGGCATCATGTGATGAACCTCTAAAAAAAAATGGTTGCCATTTAATCATGTCCTGAGCCGAAAATGAAAATACTTTTGCGAGTTCAGAAACAAGAATACTTTGGCAAGGGATGATTTTGAAACAACGATGGCCATCCTTGTGTAAAATACAAGGACCTTTAGATCAACTCCCATGTCTCTAACCCATGATTCTTTATCTCGCAGAAACTGCTTTTCACATCCAAGAAACCTTTGTCTTGGACAGCACCCCGAACACCAGAGGACGCAATCCCACTGTAAGCCTCTCAAATGCTCAAGCACATTTTGGTTGAACCCCAGGGTGCAAAGTATGTGTGTCATGGTAAAAACAGTGTATATATGTAGATTATAATGTATACATGTATATATATATATATATGTGTGTGTATATTATACACATGTATACGTATATATATATGTATATACATACATTATAATATATATATATATACATACATGATAATATATATATACATATACGTATACATGTATATATATATATGTATATATATATACATATATATATATGTATATATATATACATATTTATGTATTTATATATATATGTGTGTGTTTATATATATATATATGTATTTATATATATATGTATATATGTGTATATATATGTGTGTGTATTTATATATACATATATATATGTATATATATATATGTATATATATAATATATATATAATATATATAATATATATATAATATATATATATACGTACATATATATTATATATATATATTTGTCTATATATATATGTATTTGTATATATATATATGTATATATATATATATGTATGTGTGTATACATATATATATATATACATATGTATATATATATATGTATTTGTATATATGCTTCAAGAGGAACACACTTTTGTCCTACCAGTGTATGTGTGTATCTATATATATATGTGGGGTCTGGTCATCCATCCTATGATGATAATCCTGGCAATGGCTATGAATGGAATGACCAGCCCCCAATATTGGAAATTGACCCAAGATTTGAGCGTGGCACATGTAAGACACCCCCCCACCGTTCTTTTTTTGCTTGCACCCATATAGTGTTGGTGAATCCTACTTCAATAGTTTTAATCACATGTTCCAATGCTTCATTGAAACTCCTGCCCAACCCGAAATATGGCTTTCTCTGAAAATATGCTACTAAATCTAATGGTTCACCTTCTTGTTGGCGTTTTTGCTCACCGTTACTATCTAACCGTTACCATTTCCAAAGGGATCGGGCCTTCAAACGAGTGCCGGAATCAGCATAGAAGTACTCCCCAGGAGACTCTTCGGTGCCAGCCAGCAAGCTGCCACACATCACCGCTTCGGCTCCTTGTGGCAAGGGCAAGGGGCCTTGGGCCAACCCCTGGGCCTATTATGAGATTCACATGATCAAACTGTGGGAAATCATGAAAAGTGAATGAAAGTGATGTGAAGTGCTGATTTATCTTATTTTTCCAGGCTGAATTGTGAAGATGATTTCTTATATTAACAGGTATGGCTACATCACTACATTCCAAGAGCACCTTTCTGTCACTGCCGAGCGTCCTAAGCACAGTGCCTTCACAATGTGGCCTGGGCTGCTGATACCGCCATCAGCAATCACCGGCACATTGTAGCAACGTGCAATTTTTGCCTGAGCTGACAGCAGCTGCACCATAGCTGGCTACCATGCAATACCCCACCTCTCGGGGCTTCACCCGTCGATCGAAAAAAACAGTGGCTCATCCTCAATTTTGGTCGGAAAAAACTTGCCAGACATTGAGCCCACTCTTTGGATAAGAGATGATAAGAGGATAAGACCTACAGAATGAGAGAGCCAAGAAACGACATTGTACACTGCGCTGGCCTGTGCCCGACCACAGCCACGATCTTTGTGAGCCGTGGACACTGAGCTGATGCCCATGCCAACACGCAAGGCGTCTACACCAGCATCCTGGAAGCGCTTTACAAGACATGAGATGTCCATAGTTTCCCATTGACTGCGTTCAAAACAAATCGTTGTGGATTGCTTCGCACTTTCATCGTGGCTTCAAGTTGGCTACAGTTGAATTGTTTAAGAACCATCAACAAAAATGTGTTTGTCACTGCTGAGTTGATGCAAGGATCTTGGAGGGTGGCAACATCTGTTTGAAAGTCTGAAATCCAGTCCCTCTCGAAAAAGCCATCTTTGTCATCAACAAAGTTCGACACCCAATTGCTGGGACGGTGCTCTACAGATCTCTACAGCTGCTTCATCAACCTGATGCGAATTGAGGCAAGAGGCGAGAAGGTTCTTTGCCTGCCGACGCGTAACCTGAAGCACGGGGTGGCATGTCTGAAAAATAGGTCTACTGTATACCCCCCAAGTAGCAAGTTTAATCGGAACAGGATGATAAACCATCAAGCTTGCTCCAATTTGGGGTAGCCATTTTTTCAGACAAAGCCACTTGTTGCATGCAAAAGTTGACACGCTCTACATCAAGTGCTGTTTCTGAAAAGAACTGCGACACCGCTTTGCCTATGGTTGTTCACCAAGCGACCACGTTTCCTCCAATAACCTGCATCTTGGGAAACTCCTTCTTCGTCCAGCGGATGATTTCCAGCTGGTCTTCATTGTCACCCTGCCTAAGGTCAAAAACTCAGTACTCCTCTGGTTGCATCAGGCGCGGCTGGAAAATCCCGCAGTTATAGATGAATGTCCCATTTCTTGATGCCCATTGATAGAGGATTTCCCAGCCATGTTTGATTACCGAAGGGTAATAAGCATTCAAACAGCGAACATGCCACGGATTCCAACTGCTTTGACAAAGAGTCCCGCCTATTGTCAAAGACAATGGCATCCACTCCCGCATTTGCCAATGCTTTGACCCGTTCTTTGCGATCATCTGCCAGAACGTTGACTGCCGCAGCCACGCGAAGACTCTTATTGAGATCCTCTCACAGAATCTTGAGACTTCCCTCAAATCACCGAAAATTGCAACTGCTCTTCCATTTGTCACCACGGGTCCTTCGAGGCAGCCGGGAAATCCTGATTTTTGATGAGATCCTTTCGCGCCAACAGGCCAACAATCTCACCTGCGCGCGAAGTCCGTCGGTCTGCCCGACAGCTTTCCGAGTGAATCCTTTGTGTTTCGGGGGTCCAATTGTTTATGTATATGATCAGGATACTCTATGTATGTATATATATATACATAATTATGTATGTATATGCACATATATGTATATATATATTGTCATATTTTTCAACATATGAAACATGTCCAGCTAAAAATATTTTGTTTACATGTCATAATAATGCATATTATATACGTGACATATACATATGTATATATATGTATATGATCATGTATATTATGTGTATGTATATATATACACATATATATATATATTATATCGGTATAAAATGGTATAAATACAGGTCATATCATGTCATATTATCTATGACACGGTGAGCATCGAAACTTTCAGCTTTGAGCTTTGGAAAGCATGGCTTGTAGTTGCTGCCTGCAGCGTTGACGATTGGGAGCTTGCCTTTCTTGGAGTCGCTCAGGATCTGATTGGCTTCCCTGGGCCCACGCGTATCCACTGGTCATCTGCTCGAACAATGCTTGTTTAAACGTCCCAAAATGAACGCTTGAGTATTTATATGTGCCGAAGCAAGTTTTATTGAGTTAGATACGGTGTAGGTATCTATATAATCTAAAGATACAGTAGGCTGGTGTTCATGTGTTTCACAAGTTTTTACCCACACACATGTCACTTTGAACTTCAACAAGAAGTGGTTGGGAAGAAGTTTGCAGTATCTTGCCTCAATCCAATCCCCTCTTTGGCAGTCACCAAATCCTCCACTTTCGTCATGATGTCCTTGGTACAAGGGCATGGTTGAAAACCAATACCTTGGGACATTCACTTATCCATTTTTTGATCCCAGAGTATGACAAACAAATCAAACAAGATTAGATCAGCTGGAAAATGGGTAAATAGGCACATACGCCCAGCAATGCCTAGCATCCTTCATCAAGGTGGATTCGCTGAAGAAGTCGGCATCTCGTTTTGCCACCAGACCCAGTAATTTGGAGTGCAGTTTGCCACTCTCTGTGACTGGAAAGCCAGAGAAACCACATTTTTCTCGCAGCTTCACCAGTTCGCCGCATGTCATGTTTGGAGTTATGCACAGGGGACTACTAATGAAGCCCTGCTCGTATCGTTTGACATTTTCAACCTGTGCAGTTTGTTTTTCAATTGGCATCTTGGAATGGATAATCCCGATGCCACCCTCCAAAGCCATCGCTATGGCCATAGTGGCTTCCGTGACAGTGTCCATGGGGCTGGATGCAATTGGAGTCTTCAAAGAGATCGATTTCGTGAAGCGGGAGAGTAGCTCCACATCATGAACCCCGAAGTCAATATGCCCTGGCATGCAAATCAAGTCATCGAAAGCATAACCCACTTGAGATTTCGAGCATTCCATCAAATCTTTGGCAGAATATCCACAGTTTGCCTCCAGGGCAAATTGGAAGGTCACCGGTGAAAACAGGGTTTTTTATTCGATCGTGGATTCCTCTAAACATGGGTTGTTTCCCAGTTTGTGTTGGCCATATCATTCTGGGATATTGTGGGTTGACATGTAATTTCACAAAAGTGTCACCTCATAGCCTCAGCCAGGTTTGTCATTAAAACGAATAGGATGTTGGTATGTCTCTCAAACATCCCCCCCAAAATTAAAGTTTGTCTGAAAATGGTGGACCCATGTGGGCCCTATTCCATCCGATGTTTGAATCATTTGTAAAACACATCCAAACATTGAGTTATCCCTCATCTTGTGACAAACCCATATCGAATCTCTTGGTCACGCATCCCATTACATGCTATTGTACTGCAATTGTTAATTATTTGATTTTCTTTGATGCCCCCTGTATTTGGGGTAAATCCCTCATGTTTGATTCGAGACCCTTTGTGGTGTCAAGCCTGGATAAACAATTGGTGGGGTTACCCCCAAAATGGTGATAACTTACCATCAAAATTGCTACCCCTTCTTTTTGATGGACTGGCGGTGTTTTCCTCCTAAACACTGGCTGGGTATATCCCCAGTCTGGGGCAAACCCATATCACATCGTTGTTGTACATATATATATAATATACACTATAATATGTATATATAACATATATATATACATACATATATACATATATATACATATATATATATATACATATACATATACACATACACAATACACATACACATACACATACACATACACATACACATACATATACATATACATATACATATACATATACATATACATATACACATACATACATATATATATATATTATACTATATGCATTGGCATCTTATATGCGCAATTGAATATACTATAATATACTATAATATAGCATTCTATTGCCATAAAGTGGATGGCTGTATCTCCTGTTTACATCCCACACCTCATGACTCTTGCAGGGCGACCGACTGCGGGGTCGCGAGCCATTCATGCTGAGGCTGCTGAGGCCCTTGTCGCGAACCAACAGCTACGGTTTGAACCAACAGCTGTGGGAACGAAAAGTTGGAGACTGCGAAGTTGCTGGAAGAATGGGATTTTCATGGAATTTTAACCGGAATTTTAAATGGGATAATGGGATATCCCCACTAGCCGGATGGTTTATTTCAGAGAAAAACCCATCTATAAGTGGTTGATAGGGGTATCCCCCTGGAAAAGCTCCAGATGAGCTCCACCTTTCCAGCTGCGGCTGTCGTTCAGTGCCTCAACTTTTCCACCTTCTCCTCGTCCATTCTCTCTGCCACCCGCCTGAGCGCCGAAGCCGTGGCCCCTGTGACAGCTACGATCAGTGGCCACGCACCATGGATCGAAGTCATGGCCCAACTGAGTTCAGCACTGCAGCCATTCCTCTTGAGGAATCGGCTGTTGGAAGAAGTCCTTCTGCTCTCCCTCTTCTTCCTCATCCTGTGGCTAGTAGGAACCCCAAAATGGACCCAAGATTACGCCAGCATAGACCCCAGATAGCAAAAGCTTTTTTTGGTGGTAACCAAGCGCTCGCCTCTTTTTCCTACGGCATATAGCACCAGCATGCCTGCGCCAAAGCGCACACACCACTCTGACAGCAGCATCCTCAAGCAGCACCCTCAAGCAGCACCCTCAAGCAGCACCCTGCAGCGGCACCAGCATGCCCGCTCCAAAACGCAGACGTGCAACTCCTCCTACACTTGAAGTAGGAACCCCAATAGCTTCGCTGGGGAAAAATCCGTCAAATGAGTCGTCCGCACGGATCCACCCATGGCACATGGAACCACTAGAGGAACCTTAACCGATCAGAAAGTAGCAGAAAGTACTGTAATGATGATTTCCCATTTGGGTGTGTTTGAAATTTTGGGGAAAACCCTTTAATCCTATGGTTTACAATCATGTGTTCCCCTTTAATTGCCATGTATGGCTGTACCCCATTTTCAGACATGCCGAAACCACCTAATTAAGTATCAACCAACCAGCATTCACATTTACATCACCATATTTTGAGAGTTCAAACATAGTGAAACTCCCTATAATCCCTACAACTGGTGGTGAACTCTCTTATTTCATAACCAAAATGCTCATGTATTTCTAGTTTCCAATTGGGGGGTTGACACAAAAAAAAAAACGATGCGGCTGCTACTCTCGGCTCCCGCATCGTGAGGGGCCCAAGCACGCGCACGGCATTGCGGAAGTTGTCGTACAGCTCCTCTGGCGTTGGGGTACCATTCGGCTCGGAGCTTTCTGGGGATGGGCGAAAATCTCTGAAATCCAATCTTTTTGGGTGGACGTCCATAAATCCCATCAATTTGGAGGTGAACAGAAAAGGAACATCATCCCACATCCATTTCTCCCTAGCTGGGCTGCGATTTCAAGCCTGAAAGTTGCCCACATGCCCAACCGAGGCAAAATGTCCTCTTGTGAAAGCCCTGAGGCCAACTCAGCCTTGTTCTCTTTCACTAGGCGTTCCTCACAACATGGCCAAAGATTCAACATGCCGAATCCTTTGCTGATGATGTCTTCAGTGAGTCTTCAGGAAAGTTTATCTTACTCATTCTTACTCTCCAACTTGTATTATATAGTTGCCCCTCCAAATTGTTGCTCCTCCAAAAAAAAAACATCGCTCTTCCATGGCTTTTCCCATCACTTTTCACAAGTCATGACTACCAAGGGTCCATGCACGTGGATGCCAAGGGGGCTAAAGCATTGGCCGTTTCCAGGTTTCGCAGCACCCCCACCTCAGAGTCAGGACAGGAGGTTTACCCGCCAAGCCAGACCACAAGACCATAGTGTGGTGTATACATTATATATGTATACATATATATATATATATATTGTGTATATATATATAATTATATAAAGAAATTCCATTACGGGGCGGCATCAATTATCTATATAGCTATAATTACACAAGTTAATCTAACACTGTATGTAAACAATAAACAATATATGCGGTTAAGCTTTTCAAAGGGCAAAACCTTCCACTAGTTCCGAGACACATAATCCCGATGGCGAAGTCGCTGCTGCGAGCAAAGCACAAGTTCAGCGATCCGCCCAAGGGCACAAGCTGGGGAACCACTTGCATTCGACAGGGCCTAGAATCAGACGCTGACTTGGCCTTCGATTGGCTGACTGTTGCTTTGAGTTCCTTTTTTTCTGTGAAATGTCTACGTGACATAGTAACGCACTTATGATTTCAACTGATTTTGCAAATGCACTTCGATGCCAAGTGTTGAAATTGTTGAAGTCATCCGAAGTCCAATTCCCTGCGCTCCTCTTTGTTGGTCTGTGCGCATGTTTGTGTTCATATACTAGGTAGCTACCGTACTCAGGCCACACAGGCCACAATACACCGGCCTGCCGCAACCGAAAAAGTGATCCGTCGTTCCATCCGATCTCGCAGTTTCGCGCAAGAGTGTGACCGCGGGGGCCGGAATGCCTTTGCGCTGAGAACACAATCATACGATTAAGAAGACTCTACCATCTGACTTTCTTAAAATAGCTTTGGAAATTTGCGCATTTATAGATGATTGATTGTGATTTGCCTATGACAAATGATCATTTTCCATAGCTACCTTAAATAGCCAGAGGGTACTTTTTGTAGTCCTACTACCAGCCGCTACAGGGAGAGAACCATGAGCAAACCAAGACATTGAGCCCCCAACTCGCTGCTCAGCAAGCGGAGCTCTTTTCGAAACCTGCGAAACTGGCAGACCCAAACACTCGCTTCCAGGATTGACGGTGGGCTCTTAACAGCAAACATGTGATCATAATCCCCAAGAAATATCAGGTAGTACAACTCCACTATATTGACCCATCAACCAGGTATAACTTCTGCATGGATAAAAGATCTGCCTGTCGAGCCGCAGTCCCGGCTCGGAACAAACGCAGGTCTGCAGCGCCATGGAAAGAGCTCATGGTGGATGTCCAGACGTGGAAAAAATGGATGTCTGTCCCACTGGAAGCTTGGACTCACTCCAAAATGTGGTACCTCCGTAACTATAAATTGTTGATTATATAATATTGTATATATAATCCAACTATAAGAGGTTCGGCAAAGCACCATTAAAATTAAAATCATAATCATGTATAAATTGTATAATCTATACATGGAGGGGCCAGTGGAATTACCATCTTTACCAAAGATGATTGCCATCTTTGGAAGCCTGTAGGTTCGGTAAGTCTCATCTTTTAGGAAAAATAGAGGGGCCCAGTTTGGTAGATTGATACTATAATCTACCTGTTGGTTGTTGAATGGAGGAAACCTGCTTCTTATTGATCAGCCAACCAACTGGAAAAGGACATCTATGGTTGGAATCTCTTGAGTGATATGATATTGCGTCTTGAAAGTGCAGGGGAACACCACCGCATTTGATGGTTGATGATCATAATCCCCATTAAAATGTCCGTTTTAGAGATACCTTATATTTTCAGACAAACCCATATGGAACTCTTGCCTTCTTTGAATGTCATTCTATTGATGTCACATCCATTGAAGGCCGTGATCAGACTGCAAAGTCCGCCACCGGCAAAGTCCGCCACCGATGTCTGCATGAACTTGGTACAATGAAGGAAATCAACTGAGTTCCACTCAGTTCCACCTCAAACTCATCTGATGTTGGAAACCGCAGCACAACGACATCGAATATTTTTTCAGATCTCAACATGAAAAAAACCGCCATCTTTTCACCGCCAGCTCAGCTGGATGTGAGGTTCGCTGCCCAATCTTTGAGCCAGATTACTACTGTCAGGTGACAAAAAACGTTGAAAATTCCAAGGGATCAAAGGAGCTAAAGGTTCTAAGTTTACCTGCGGAGTCATCCCACTGGAAAGACAAGCAACAGAAAATACTGACTTTGCAAATTTCAATGAGAACATCTCCTGTCCGTGGGAGTCGATTCAGCAAAGGATGCCTTGAGGCTCAGGACATCTTGGATGGAAGTCCTATCGAGTCCAGCTCCAAATCTGAAATCTTTGTTCCAACATGGTCCAACTGAGCGACTCAAGATATCCCAATCCCATCAATCCCATCTGGTTAATAGCTTTCCCTACTATGGTTATCATATGTTATCATTATGTTATCATATAATCCCCAAGAAATTCGCCAACTGCCCCTCCCATCAACCAGTGCATTCGGGAAAAAGTGCTGGCTCAACAAAAACATGTCCTGCGCAGGCGCGGTCGTAGATGTCCATCAGTCTCTGATATCGCACAGCTCGGCGATCACGTTCCTCTGGTACCGAGCATCTGGCACGGAAAGCGAAGCAGTTGGGGATACCCTGCGATGGAGAGGCCAATGGCATCCAAAGGCCATGCTTTCTTCCAAGAGTATTCAGCGATATTTGTAGAGTCAAATAGTAGACTCGATTTCCACAAAGTCAAACCTGGACAGTTGCCATCCCAGTGCCCTTGCCTTTGAGTGGCTTGTTCCTCGTCTTTGGAGGTGACTACAGCAGAAGAGCCTGCTCGATGCTGACTTTGTCAAGAAGTTACATCATGACCCAAATTGCCAGCAGCCATGGGAAGTATATAATCATTATATACATGGCTTGCCCTCTGGTAATCTAAAGTAGCTATGGAAAATGGCCCATGAATGAATGTTTTACATGTTTTACCTAAAAAACATGTTGTTCTTTCCATAGGTAAATGATGACCATTTACCTCAGATCCAATGCTCTCAGTCTGACCTCACCTGGTCGACTGCGTGGCGAGCTGCAGCTTGTAGATACGAAAGGTGTCAACTGCCTCCATTACTCCATGCTGTCAGGTACGACTGCCAGGGTCATCCAGGGTCACAGGGGACGAACTCAGGCCTGGGCTCTTCGCGAACGCTGCCTGGCTTGGACCCAACCTCTGGCAGCAACAGCGGCCAATTGCACCTCAGCCATCCGACTGAAGTAACCAGTCACTACCAGCAGCCAAGAAAGCAGGCAGAGTAGTCCATGGATTCTGCCAAAAATACATAAAAATACCATGACATACTGACATAAGCTGACATGATGCCAATGAACGAGAATAAAGGAGACAGCTGGGCTGATTCGAACCTGCTTGCCAGCACTGGGACATTGACGCTCTCAGGACAAACTTCAAGGCAGGATCTTGACTGGGGGGCTCCTGGAGAACAGCATAGATACCATGTTTTATGATGGTTAAAACGGTTAAATGGTGGTTGAGTGGCATATTATGGGGATACAATAGGATAAACATATAAACAATAGGATAAACATATAATGGTGGTTGAATATGGTTGAGTAGCATATGATAATATGATATATTATCATAATATCCCCATAATGAATTAATCTAACTATCATATCATCATATGCTTGGGAAACTCTATGTGTAGCTCCCTCCGAGGCCTTGCGAGGCAAGGCACCCAGAGGTCCAAAGTGGTTACCTGGCACCAAACAACTCAAAGTGGATGTCTAAGCTTCACGAATCGCTCGTGAGTGACATCCTGAATCAATCTGAAGCATAGAAACAAGTGAAGAAAAACAATAGAAGTCAAACCTTCAGAGAAGGTTCACCGATTCACCAAAAAATCCACTAGATATTTTGCTTCGTGGCCCACAGCAACATGCCCAGCTCACGATCCTTTGCCTCAGATCAAGACATCTGTTCGTGTAAGGGGTGCCTGAAATTGCTACCCATAAAAACGCATATGCCGTATAAAGGCGCATATATATATATACACATACATACATACATACATACATACATACATACATACATACATACATACATACATACATACATACATACATACATACATACATACATACATACATACATACATACATACATTACATACATTACATACATTACATACATTACATACATACATACATTACATACATTACATACATTACATTACATACATACATACATTACACATACATACATACATACATTACATACATTACATACATTACATACATTACATACATTACATACATTACATACATACATACATACATACATACATACCTACATACCTACATACCTACATACCTACATACCTACATACCTACATACCTAAATACCTACATACCTACATACCTACATACCTACATACCTACATACCTACATACCTACATACCTACATACCTACATACCTACATACCTACATACCTACATACCTACATACCTACAAACCTACATACCTACATACCTACATACCTACATACCTACATACCTACATACCTACATACCTACATACCTACATACCTACATACCTACATACCTACATACCTTAACATACCTTAACATACTTAACATACCTTACCATACCATACCATACCATACCATCCATCCATCCATACATACATACATACACTGCACTTGCAAATTATACCGTACCCTTTTTCAACCTCTCTCTTCTCGAACTTCCGAGGGTCCAAGTCCATGTTTTTGATGCGTCCGAACAGCTCACGCATCCCGAAAAACGACTTGAGGCCAGGAACCAGCTTTGAAAGGTCAAACTGCCGCGATTTCCAGGCCAACTCAGCCTGGAAAAGTGGCTGAGCGGCGGCCAACACGTTTCATACCATCAGTCTCCAGTCTCACCTCTTTCTCGATGAGATCGGCAGCGTCCATGATGTGGCTCAACTTTGGCACAGATCGACGCGTCACGAGGCGAAAAAACTGTGTCCGCTTGATCCACGGCCATCCACGGCGGCCACGGTCTCATTCCATGGGAGTGCCCCAGAATGGTTGTCTTGTTGTCTTAACATGGTGATAAACCAGTGGATTTGGGTGCCGTGCAGCGAACAAACATGAACAAACAACATCAAACGGCTTCGTCCAAAAATTGATGTTTATTTGGGAAAGCGATGAACAATCATCACACGGGGTACAATATTTCCAGCCAACGGTGACAGTTGTTGCGTTCGGCATTTTTCATGTCATTCAAAGGTGTCGGACAGCAGCGTCACTGGCGTTACCTGCAGACTTCTCAACTGGTTGGTGGTTTCAGCCCTCATAAATAGGACAGTCAGTTGGGATCATTATCCTGTTCTTATTGTAAGGATTGAAATGCATTGAAAACAAAAATATAAAACCACCAATATTTTTCAATGGCAGATGCAAACCTCTCTCAGTCTTCAACCCATCTCCCTGGAGGCTTCAGGTAGACCTTGCTGATGGTGAACAGGTCATCACAGGTCTCCATTTCGTGTCGCGTGTCTCGCGTGTCTCGCGTGTCTCGCGTGTCTCGCGTGTCGCGTGTCCGAGGTTCACACGAGCGAAAGGTGACCAAAAAACCATAAAGGCCAAAAACGAGGCCAGCCAAGGCCTGGCCGCCGAACATATCAGCGATCTTTGTCGGTGAGGGAAACCATGGAAACCATGGCGGAGACACAGACAGCACGCACAAAGTGCTGATGGATCTTTTTCGAGATTGCCTCCGCACAGGCAACATGTACGAAGATTAACTAAAAACATCTAAAAACTAAAATGGAAATAAATGGAACATGAATAAAATCAAACATCTTAAGATAACTTAAGACTGATGTTTCTATCATGGCGACTGTAGATTTGGGTGGATCTTTTCGGATGCCTGGGTAAGCAAAGGTACATGATGGGCGGGGCCACAAAACACACTGGAGTTGCAAAGACCTGTCACATCAGGGCCAAAGTTTCAGCCTCAGAAAAGCTACAGATTTCATCAGATATGGAGGTTTCCTAGAATGGAGGGATGTACCCCTAAATCATCTATGTTAATAGGATTTCCATTATTTTCCCTTACAAGCCATCCATTTGGGGGTACCCCCATTGTAGGAAACGCCCAGTGGTGTGTTTTTTGTAGTTCAGAATTCTGAACCGTCCCATTCTTTAGGATGACTTGACCCCCAAATGGAGTTTTCAGCACATGCCAAGTACTGCTCGCCTGAGTTATGGAGTTTCACATATCACTAAACATGACTGGACCGCGGAACCATTGTAGGCCAGAACTATGTCGATTTCTTTGGCAACGGCAGCCACACCTGCCAGTTTCTGAGAAAGCATGTGAAAATTGGCCTTCCACAACCCACTACAACCCAAATTTCTAATGTCACCACTCCACATCGCTTGCTTTTTCTTCGGAGAACTGGTCTCTCTGGCTGCATTCTTGCAGCTCAAAGGCTAAAACACAAATTTACTCCTACCCTTGCAATGATCTTACCATATCCTTCGACTGTCAGGAGCGCACCCAAGCAAAGGGCTGTGAGGAAAGTAGCCACAATCGCTCGCGACACTGATGTTATAGCCTCGTAGCTGCAAGAAACGAGCGCGGCCAAACCCCCAGAATTCCCAGGCTCGTCTGCGTGGAAGCTGAGCATGCAGCAAAGCCAAGCGGTTCCAAAAACAAGTTGCAAGCTGCCGCCCTGGCGCAAAGGTAGTGCTGGCAGCTGCAGAATGCTACAGCATCTACCTCCCGCCCGCCTAGCGGACATCATCATCAAAGCAAAAGTGCTACAAATCCTCAAAACAGGAAGCAGAGGATACAACTGGATACAAGAGAACCAAAGCATTCGCGGATTTTTTTTTGGAACACTTCATAGACCGAGGCTGGAGGGCTTATCCGGCAGGCGTGTTTTTTTGTTGGGCATGACGCCTTTTGGCTCAGGACATGACATGACTGCTGTTACTAAACCATGAAAAAAATCCACTATTCCTACCATAAAAATCCATAAAATCATTGAATCACAGCCTTTGATTTCACTGGATTTCAACCATCAATAGCTGGTGACATTACTTTACCAACATGACATGATGTTTCCATTCTAAGCCGGAGACGCACAGGTCATGGTTGCTCTAAGCGCGACCTCGCAGGAAGCAGCCAGAACTTCGTTCGTTGCGACGCGAAACGACGCGAAACGCGGCGCGAAACGCGAGGAGGCGGCCAGAAGCTGATCGTCTGGACGGAAATTCTCCGAGAAGTCCCCTTTGGTCTTCGATCCTGCAAGATGCGACAAATGAAAAAACAAAACAAAGAATGATTAGAAAACAATGGAGAAAAGATCCATATCGCATGATCATGCATGATCAAGAGTGATTAGCGATTCATCATGATTCACGAATATCTTCATCCAACAGCTGTCTTTTTGTTAACATGTCCAAACAGCTGAGCAGCCAAAGGTGGCATACACGACGATGCCAACCCAGCCGTACACCAAACAGGCAATGGTCAAGGAGACGGTGATCACCTGGTCATGTTGAAGCCCCAGATCTGATAACGTCGAGCCATTTTGTCGAAGGTGAAATATGGTGAAATAAAATGGACATGAAGAAATGTTACAGCCATTTCATGGGTTGAAATCACATGTCATATTTGGAAAAAACCGTAGCCGTGTAGCCCAAACTCAATAACGCCCATCGGAGTTTCAGCTACGCCATAGATCCGACCTTGATCATCTTCCAGAAGTCGGCCTTCCCTGCCTGCACCAACCCTGCGACCATCCATGTTGATCTTGGATCGAATTGTCGATCAGCCGGGTTTGTTGATGGTTGATGTTTCATTCTCGTTGTTTAAGATGTTTTTCTGGTTGGATTTTGCGGTTGTTTACTCCTTCTGAGGTCTTCAATCACATGTTTTGCGTGGTGAAAAATGGTTCCTGTTTCGCAACATTGACGAACCCCCCCCAAAAAAAGAACAAAACAAAACCCAATGGACCGCCGAAAGGTATCAAACGGTGGGATACTACTTCATGATGATTCATTGGGACCCCGAAGTGTCATAAACCCCGTGGGTCAACATCGGCTGGCCTGGCCTCAGTTCGGCCCCAATTTGGAGTCACAGCACCGGGAGCAACTTCTTTGTAGAGAAGGGGAATGTTTGTATGAGCACCAAAAGCCCCTCAGAGTTCCAGCGCTTCCATTCGGACTCATGACATGGATACTGGCAATCGCATTCTAGATTCAGAGAACACATTCTTTCTCTGAGCTTCAGATGTTGGATCATGTTGGATCTATATCCCCTTCAAGTGTCGTTCATCCAAAAGGAACAGCAAGCCGTCCTACGACGCATCAGAAACCGTGCATATGCGTAGATCCGCAGCTGAAAAGCCCAATCAATGCAGAGGAGCCAACAAGGATGGGGAAGCAGTGCCCAAAGCTGCCCAGCTTAAAGCCGGCAAGGCTCGGAGGCCCTCGCAACGCTGCGAACTTCGTTTTTAGGCTTGATATTGGTCTGGGGTTGTCTCAAAATGTCCAACCAAAATCCAATGGTTGAAACCCTTTTTCTCGCAACAATCGCCATATATTTGGGTTAGATCCATGTAATTCCCAGGTTTTGAAACATGACAAACCCAAAAAAGCATCCCCCAAAACACGCGGGACTCAAGGCCTGAAGCATCAAAGTACGAGCCGTCCCAGTATCGCACCCCAGCCACCAGCGTGCAGAAGAGAACGCTGGCCAAGCCCAACATGCTCATCCACCTGCACGGGGGATCCCCAGTAGCTGGATGGATTATTTCATGGAAAATCCGAAAATATTTTGAAGATGAGAACTGGGGGCTACCCCCATTTCAGGAAACCTCCATTTGGATGTAGACCATATGTTCATCCATCCTTGGAATTTCATGTCATTCATTTTGAAGAAAGTTGCACGGATTGATGTTTTCAGCGCTTTTTTGGTCCTGGCAAGTAGACCTGTAGATCAATAGGTAGATCCATGGATACATCGATAAATCATTTCATTCATGAGTGTTGAATTATGTGGCTTTGTCTGAAAATGGGGTACCCCCAATTCTTCGGTTTCTCATCATTTTCCCCAGTAATATATATATATATATACATAATATATATATAATATATATATATACATATGTCAAAATTGCCAATTTGGGGGGACAGTATAATGTTGGAACCCCAATAATAAATCTCGATTTTCAGAGGGTCTATACCACTCATTTATAGTGAGTTTGGGGATGACTGATTATTGAGTTCCTCAGAAAACTCTCTCCCATGTTGAACCAAGGATTTCTGTGCCTCAGGAAACCCAGGCTGGGTGCACATGACAACGGCCAGCAGATCAAGCCCACCAGTGCCGCCATACACTCCTCTTTGGAGATGTGCACGCCGTACTTCTGCGCCAAGGCGAAGGAAAAGTCACCCAAAACGATGACGTAGCCTGGAAAGTTGTCCGCATGATTTAAGTAAAACGTTGGCCATCCTCAAAATGTTACCAAAAATGGCTTGAAGTCACCAAATGAACTTCAAAAATGAGTAAACTGGAAAATACTGCTCAGATGGCAATTCAAAGAGGGAAAATTATGATTTTGATGATGATGATGATGATGATGATGATGATGAAAAACCATTGAAATGGTGAACCATTGGAATGATGAACCATTGGAATGATGAACCATAGCCTCCGAATTTGGGAGTTGGGAAGATCCAGCGGAAACCATGGGTTTCGCGTGAAAAGCCCAGGTATTGAATTGAAGATCTTTGGGAGACTTCAACCCTGATTTCAATAGGAAAACCTGTGTGGGTTCGCACAAAATTGAAAATCATGGGGTTGGTTTTGAGGGGAAATGCCGGGAAACCAATGTCTTTCCACATCATTGCACAGGAGCTTTCCTGTACATGTCCCCACGTCCCCTTCATGTCATTTGTGGAGAAGATATTCTGGGGGTACCCTTGTGAACTGGATTCTGGAGCAAAATGTTGCTGTGTGATTCTATATAAGCATATGGATATATATATATATATAATTATAATTATATATACACACATTGATATGCATTGGTATGTGAAATGTGAACAAATGATCAACAAAATATAATGAAATATAGAGTTTTGATTGAAGCCAAGATGCTGATGCACAAACCAACATTGGTGCATAACACCCAAATCCTAAGTAGACTGATCAGCATGAGCAGCATGGATGGAAACTCCGGTTTCATCAACGCTGGAAGATCCACCAGTTATAGGATGATGTTCCCAGCTACTGATCACGGATTTCTCACTGAGATGCCACGTTTTCCCAGTCGTGTCAAGCTTCTCAGCCCACATCGCTGTTCGACGTCCAGCTGTTAGGCGTGCTGCTCCATAGTAACCTCAGGACGGTGGTAGTTCTTTGCTGCTGCTGAACTTTCTGATGGGCCGAGTGTCTGGCTGAAGGTTCCTAAGGTGTTGCTCAGCGCAACCAGAATGGACATGGTAAAGACGGAGAGAAGATAGACGAAGATCAGCAAAGCAAGGCCTGCAACTTGGCTCCATTGCTCAAGTTGGTTGATAGCGTTCCCTAATAATTATGGATTATCATAATCCCCAATAAATTAGGTAGTATAACTCCCTATATGAACCAATCAACCAGGGTAGATTGATATATGTTTATATATTTTGATCATGGCTCAGTTCTTCAAAAACTTCGGAACCAGCGAGCGAACCTCCAAAGATGCCCGCTGAACACATTGCAAAAGGTAGCGCGAGGACGCCAGACCCGAGCACATTCTGCGTCAGGGTTGTGACTGCAGCCTGAGGGAAACCCACACGGATCCGTTCGATCAGGCGAAACCCACGAGAAGAAGGATTACTTGAGCAAAAGTTACGCAGAAGTTACGCACTTGCGAGGAAGACAAAGCCCAACGCATCTCAAGTCATCTCACAATGCATGGTTTGGCCAAGGAACTCTCACTGGCAGTCCTGAAACTGCTGAAGGACAAGGTGGGCTTTCAGTGGAGAGGCACTGAGCAAGGCCTTCAGGATTTTCTGTTTCGTAGTTTTCTAGCCTCCCAGTTGAATTCTGGGAGTGTTGCGACAAGGCCATGGCTGCGAACAGTGCACCTGTCGGCCCAGTGAAGCCTTGAAACCTCTGGATGCTGGTACCTCAAGATGGTAAAGAAGCCTCTTCACAGGAGAGTGTCAGCTCTTGAGTATTGCAGATGTAATGATATTTCCACAGCTGGATCTAATATGATCTAATGAAGCGGGCATCTGCGGAGTGTTACAAGGCTCGGAAAAGAGTGAAGTCCTCATGACTCAGATGCTCTCAAAAGCAGCGGATCATGTACTTCCAAGCTTCAAGCTGGTAAATGTCAGATATTCAACAAAAAAAAAGTTGTGCCCCTTGATCCCCCCGTCACTGCTGTCACGCTGCCACCTCTCCCCTTGTTCCCATGCTATTTTTCATGCACGAATGCGCGGCGAACGCAGCAGATCATTAGCTGCAGCTGAAAGGCGCCCATGCTCTGCCGAGTTCTGCATGATTTTTACAGGCACAGCAGATGTTGCATGGGACATTGGACCCAGAGCTTCGGGTTTTCGGGTTGCCCTCATTGACCTCTTGTATCTTACTGGAAACATTGCACTTTTCCCTTGCCAGTCATGTGATGCGGTCGCACATTGGCACATTGCTCTGTGACGTCCAATCTGCTGAGCAGATTCACACTTCTACTCTTCACGCTTCGCGGTGCCCAGGCTTTGTTCAACCACCGCTCAGTTGACTTCACAAGGGCTGATTTTCTTGCAAGATATGTGCCATCGTAGCTCGTGTTTTCAATTGTGTCAAAAAAACAAAACATAATAACTAGATATATATATATATATACATATATTGGTACATATATTATATATAATGTTTGGAATCCTAATTTTGCTGCATACAAAAAACAAAATCATTTACCACTAACAGTGTCATCTCTTGCCTCCAGGTGTTCACCTTTGACGCTCCCGGAGCCACCACTTCCTTGGTTTAGGCTGGGATTATTTGTGGTGTACGGCTAATTTTAGGGCTGGTTAAGGGTTTATCCAAGGGTTAAGCTTTGATTTAGGCTTGGATTTCTTTAAAGTTGGTTCAAGTTTTGTTTAAGATTGGTTTTGGGCTTCTTCAGGGTTGGTTTGGGGCTTATTAAAGGTTGGTTTAGGGATTATTCAGGATTGGTTTCAGGTTTCTTCAGTGCTGGTTTACCGTTTCTTTAGAGTTGGTTTATATGATAGGGTTTATTTACGATTGTTTTTTTTACGATTGGTTTAGGGTTGTTTGGAGCTTATTTCAGGTTATCTCAAGGTTTATTTAGGGTTGGTTTGGGGTTGGTTTATGGTTTGTTTAGGGTTTCTTTAGGGTTGGTTTATGGTTTGTGTAGGGTTTCTTTAGGGTTGGTTTATGGTTTGTGTAGGGTTTCTTTAGGGTTTCTTTAGGGTTAGTTTAAGGTTTATTTGGCGTGCTTTAAAATCTATTTTAGGGCTGGTTCAGTGTTTTCAGGTGTGGCTTCAAGTTTATTTAAGGTTTGCTCAGGGGTATTAGCGGTTTCTTTAGGGTTTATAGTTTATTTAGTGCTGGTTCAGGTCTGATGTTGCTTTAGGGCTTTACAGTCCGTGAGGAAAGCGGAGAAGCGGAGAAGCGGAACTTCGAAGAAGTAGAAAGGCAGAAAAGCCAAGCAGCTAAGAAGTAGGAAGAGAAGCAAAAGCAAGCAGAGACATAAAATCACCAGCTATTGCCCAAATTTAATGCCCCTCCATTTTCAAGACATCATCTGCGACCGAGGATCAGAACTAGGAGTCATCATTCAACATCATGGCCACGCCCTGCAGGACCCAAATGCTTGGGTGCTCCTGGCCACCATCTCAAGATGACCCATCCGATCCTGAATCACTGGAGTTTAAGGGACAACTTACAGGAAACCCCTACACGTCTGATGGGAAAAACCCATGGGTTTTCGGTGTAGATGTTCCCTTCAACCAATCCAGTGGCTGAATCAATCAAGAAACTTCAAGAGACTTCAAGAAACTTTGTAACCCTTTCAATCATGTCTCCTTGGTGTGAAGATTTGCCTCAAATACCAGACCAACACCCATTGCGTTACGTCGCAGCTGGGTGATATAGACCTCAGGCCGGCCGACACTGATATGGGAGGATGAACATACGTTTGCCCAAACATTGGGATATTACCCAATGAACAATAATGGTATAGTGGTATATAACTTTATATCACCAACCAATGGGATTCTATTATCAATATCATCTATATGTAATATATATATATACATATATATATATATATTATATATAATTACAGTATATATATATACATATCAATATCCATGGGAGTTGTCCAAAAATGCGCAATTTTCCACCCAATTCATGGCCATCCTATGGGGCAAAAAACTACCAGTATGATGGTTCACCATGGGTCATTGGTTCATGAGGTCACCTGGCTCACCTTTTTCAATCGAGGCATGGAGGTGAAACCGATGAAACGCTGGATGGTTGCAGCGTTTCCCTTTATCGCTGGATGGTTTATGTCATGGAAAATCAGCCAACAAAAATGGGATGATGACTGGGGCTACCCCCATGACAACCAAAAAAAAATGTGTGTGTGTATGGTGTATCATCAGCCTTCTAGGCTGCTTCTGATTTGCAGCTCGTCGCTGCTCAATGCTGCGGGTGTGCATGTCCTTGGTTCCCACTTGTGGAGTCAAGGGAATGTTCTGAAATGCAATGGGTGATACCCTCTGGTAATTTAACATAGCTATGGAAAATCACCATTTTTAATGGGAAAATCCACTATCAAATGGCCATTTTCAATAGCTATGTTAGTTTACCAGAGGGTAAGCAGATTGTCCTCTGGTAACCAAACACGGCAATGGAAAATCCCCCATTTACGGCTGTGGCTTTCGCCCTGAGGTGCCAGCGTCTCAACTGGAGAATTTCATCGCTGTTGGGATGTGCAACAAACAAGATCACCTGCACCAGGCAAGGTCCGAGGCAGCTGTCACCAAAAACCGCATCGAAAGAAGCTGAAAACCAATGGAAAACGACAGCGCATTGCAGTTTTTGAACATGTCGAAGATCAGCCAAGCAAAGTTTCAAGTTAGATTATGAATGACATACCCCCAAACCAAACTCCTGATGATTTTTTTTGGATCTACTATGATCTATTGATTTTGCTCGCCCATATATCATATCGTGGGTAGTTGATACTGATACTGGCAGGGATAGAATTACAACCCCAGATGCCGAGTCTATGACTCCCGTCCTTCACCCTGCAGCCTTCATCAGAATCCCTAGCACTGCAAAGTTGAACTCGATATCACCAGCTGCCCCAATGGTCTTGAACTGCTTGAAGGCTGTAGAGAATGATTCTTCATGTTCACCTCAAGAGAATGCCCATGCCATTGCCATAGTTTAAACTCAGTGGTAGAAGAATTCAAGGCACATCAAACCTCACCCTCCGAACCCTGAATTTTCAGAATCTGAATCCAGGTTGCTGGTCTCTTGGATTTTCAGATCCTCGGATGGCCAGGAACACATGGAACGAATGGAACGAATGGACCGTGGCACTGTGGCACCGTGGTAACCTTTGTGAAGCGCTGAGAATCATCCGGAAAATCTGACCAGTGCTGGCGCATCTCATCGCACGTAGGACTCGGAAGCTGCTCGCCCTCGGCCCAGGCAGTGGAACAGGAGATTCAATGATTTGATGAATGGTTTCGAATCAACATCTTTAGAATCTTGGAGGGAAAGAAGATCTTTGTTCACTCATCTGCATTCATCAATATTCATCCAATGGCTAGAATCAATGGCCATCGGACCGTCGCTCTCTGCCACTGCGGAACCCATCGCAGGTGGAACTCAGAATGGACATCGACTTGTGGATGGCCGCTGTGGCCATCCTCGCCATGGCCATAGCCATGGCCATGTTCGTGGAAGTCCAGTGGCAGCTTGCAGAAATAGCTGCTGTTGTCCTTAGCAAACCCAAAATGGGTTTCTACAAAAAGGGGGGATGAATCCCAAGTTGTAGCATCTTGGGGATAATTTGATCATTGATCGTGGGTTTCGGTGCTTTTCCCAATTTTAAGACAACCTCGGTTGGTCACATCAGCGCCAAGCGTCTGAACGGGAGGCGGGATTTTGCTTCCTACAACGATGGTCCAATGCGCACATCTCCCAGAGTCTGTGTCCTAGTGCTGTCAGCATGTGCGATTCTTTAAAAGCAAACTTGTGTAACCTCATGTGCACAACCCCCCAACAGGTGAGATTCCAGAAATCTCCCCTGGACATTTTGTTTCATGAATTTCTTGCAGTCTAGCAGAAAGCAAACCTTTGAACCCTCAAGTCCTCCCTCAGCATTCACATCATGCATAGAAGGAAAGGCGCAGCAGCCTGGAAATTCCAGGGGGCCATCTGAATCCGTCAATCTCCTTTGGATTTCCCGACCATTTCTTCTCAACCGTTCTAGAGCACGGAAAGAATCCGTTCAGGATGGATTTTCTCGCCTGGTGTGGCGGATGCAAACTCACAGTCCTCCAGCAGCTGGTTGTGAATGAAGGTTTCAAACACGGAAGCTAAAGCCAACCTAAGGGCCGGAAGATGGGAGATCGGATGACCGCCCAAAACGAAAACAAAAAACATCTTGGTCGTGTCACCGCGTACATTAAAATAAGTAGATGTTTCAGCCATATTAAGGTTATTACACCATCCATGTTGGTTCTTGTCCATTTCTCAGGTCCATTGAATCCCGCCGTTGTGAGGCTGGTTCCACTGTGAAACCTTGCATCCAGAAGGCCACAAGCAGCGGCGACTCATTCCGTGGAGAGGTGGTTGCTTCCATGCTGCAAAGGTGAAAACCGCAACGCCCAAGGGGTACATGCTGGAAAGGATTTGCAAGGCCCATAAAGTGTACATCTTCTCAGCCTTGGAAAGTTGGATTTTGTGTCATCCATCGGCCCAAGATTGCCAAAAAAAAATCCTTGACCCCCAAAAAAGTCTGTGAAAGTTGAACCCAAGTCACGTACAAGTCGTAAATTTCCACCAGAAGATGCGGCGAGGACGCAACAAATGTGACACAAATGAGGAAGCTGTCAAAGTCAAAGAGTTTCCTCAAAATGGCGACGAGGCGACTTCAAACATCCACAAAATTGTGGTCAGCGGATCACCTCGAAGAATAGAACGATAGGAACTGGGTGTCTGAAAAAGGGAATACAACCCCCGCTGTTGCGAAAAATGGTTGAATCACGGTCAGAAAAATCATGATGTTCATCCTTGAAATTACAATAAATTGGGGTATACCTAAGGTAAGGTGGAAGGCGCATCAACAGTCCAAGGTGCTGTATCTGTTTGCGGCCCGGATATCAATACCCAAAATGGCACCGAAAAGAATGGTTTTGCTTACATGAATACTGTTCGCATGCTGCCTCTGCCTAAGTACAAAAACCAACGATGGAAAAAAAAAAATATAACAATGGCATGATATGGTTGTAACTGTATCACTGAGAGAATCCACAAATGAACCCAAATGGAATAAAGAGACTGGATCTTGACACACGTGTCCGCATGTCCGCAAGGCCAATTTGCAACCAACCCTGATCGATTTCACAAAGTCTCCTGATAGATTTCAGCAATCTCGAGTTCTCATGAGTGCCCAGTTGAACCACTTCCTCAGCTGTGGGTTTGTCCATAAAACATTACAAAACCAGACAAGACCGCATGGTCAGCTGCATCAAGCCGGGTATCAGTACTGCTGGTGTGAGGTCAATACGGTAGCCGTATCGATCTCTAACTGATGAGATTGCGCAACAAAAACGCTCCTTGAGGTCTTTGGATGTGACGTCAATACGCCAGAACCTATATAATGGAGTACACCACATGCCAGTAACCTACCATTTGGGGATGGTTTATAATCCTTTCCCCCTATTACTAAACGTCCCCCAAATACTAAAAACTAGGGTCCATCTCCCAGTATGGAAAATTTCAGGTTGGCCAATTTGACTTTTAATTGATCCCCTTTAAGCTACCATTTGTGGGTTTTGCCCCCTAATAATAAAAACTAATCAACCCTGGGGTGTTTATTATTAGGGTCCGTCCGGAAATTTTTAGTTTTTTATATTTGTGTTTTTAATTTATTATTAGGGCCCGCTTCGAAAACCAATCTTTGGTAATATTTTCATTGCGTTATATAAGGAAATTTAATTGATTTTGAAATCGAACAAACTAGTTTTTACTATTACGGTTTTAAAATTTATATTTATTAAAAAGGGCGCTTCGAGATCCAATTTTTGGCAATATTTTAACTGCGTTATATAAGGAAATTTAATTGATTTTGAAATCGAACAAACTAGTTTTTATTATTAAGGCTTTAAATTTATTAATAAGGTCCGCTTCTAAATCCAATTTTTGGTTATATGTTAATTGCGTTATATAAAGAAATTTACGTGATTTTGAAATCGAACAAACTAGTTCTTATTATTAAGGTTTTTAATTTATTAATAGGGTTCCCTAATAATAAATACCCCCGTAAAAATAAAAACTACCCGAGGTGTTTATTATTAGGGGGGACGTTTAGTATTAGGGGGAAGGGATTACTGTAGCCCATCAAAATGGTGATGGTTTGGGATGGTTTTTGTTTCTGGCTTTACCATATTACTTCAAAAATGTTTCGCAGAAATCAAGAAATCGCCGCTGAACTCCTGCCCGGAGTCTTTGGAATGATGCAGTCCCACGGCCAGCAAGACGAAGCCAATGACGATGTGAAGTCCAAATATAGTACCCTCCCAAAGTGCCCCGATCATGAACCTTGCGAATCAACAGTTGCAGCTGTGGGGATTTTGCAAGTTCACTCCAAAATATAGGATGCATGCCCTCCCCTTTCTGCTACGCAAGACAAGCTGGTAGAAAACAAAACAAAACGGGAGCTTCCCCAAGTCAGCCTCTTTAACGTCAAACAATTCGTGGGTAAAACATCAGCTTTGGCATTGACTGAAACGAGAGAAGAGGTGAAGAGAGGCTGTGAAGAGATATAAAAATCATCTCATTCCACGACCCCTCCCTTTTCGCGGCAGCGGAGGCTCAACACGACTCACAGAAAGATAGTAGTTTTGCCACTGGCGTTGAGAAGGAGATGGGCGGAAGTGAAAAAACGTAAGCATAGCAATGCTGTCTTGAACATAAATACGAAGGGTCTTTTCACTAGTCCACCATCCTGCATGGGCCACCAGACTATAATTTTGCGATGAGATCCACAAGTCGGTGGCCCCATGCCTCCTCAAACTATACGGCTTGTATTGATAGGAGGAAAGTTGACAATCAGCACAGCATTGGTGAAATATACTCCTGAATGTTGCAGCAGACCATGGGATGAGAGGAGTACTGTGTTTTAAGGAAGCTTTCCAGCGAGCCAAACGCTATCCGTTAAAGTAATGGACCCAGCTAATGGGTTCTGGACGCCTGTTTTGTTAGGCCCAAGTGCAATACTGCATTAAAGGCTTTTGGCCCACTGACTTTCAAGGGACAGGAGTTCACCCGTGCGCAGCAATGCTCGAAAGCCTAGATAAACTCCTAGCGCGGCAACGGGAGAAATTGCATACAACTTTCCTAAGGATACGAGGAAGGTTTGCCAAGTGAACGGTGGAGCTCGCAAAGGGGGCTCATGCACCTGCCAGGCCCGCAGCATCTTCCAGGCGCCTGGCAGGTTCCTCTTGCATGAAGGCTGGTAATACTGCAAGGATGAGATTGTATCACCTGCCAGGCTCAAGGATTCTCCATCTTGCCAAAGGTTTATCCAAGTAACATTGGACTTGGTCATCTAAAAGGGTCAAGCTTTGGGCAAGATAGAGCTTTTGGGATAGGAGGAAGGCAAGGAACAGCAAAAGCCTTTTCGTATCGTATAATGGTGGAAGGCTTCAGCAACAGGGATTGCAATGATCCAAGAACCTTTTTCCTTTGTATGCGATGGTTCTGCGTGCCACCATCAACTATGCGTCGCCCCATTTCTTCAATGACAAAAGGAGGCGACGGGACTCACCCTTTTAGGTGAAGCCTCCTGATACCTGATGAAATTGAGCCCCAATTTTACGGACACAGAATTTAACGGAGAACGGGGCTTAACAGAGGACTGAACTCGTAAAAAGACGGAGAAACACATTGGAAGTGAAGCCATTCAAAGGCAACAAAGAATCCACCAAAGGCAGGTTCTTGGACACCTTTCTCGGTATCTTGGGGGCGGATAAGAATTTATCCATAGAACATTCCACCTACCACAGAGGCCCAGCCTTGGTGTGGAGAGCGGATGCTTTTTCACATCTGCGGATGCGGGGTAAGTGCCACGGAACCTGGAGCCCCTTCACCGCAAGTACCGAGCAAATCAGCCTCCTGACAAGAAGACCAGTAGGCTGGTCAAGGAGGCGGACAAAAATCAGGGATTCCAGAGGTTACTTCCAGGTAAAACGAAAATCTCAAAGATGACAAATCCCAACCGCGCCTGTGCGGGAAGACGAGGCGTCGAGATTTGTCAGTCCTACAGAAAGAGAAAGGAGAAGGGCTGAGACACAATCATATACCTTCTCCTGCAAATTTGGACCCGGATTCCGGATTACTCCCAACATTGGTGACAATAAACTTGCCGGCGAGACTTGGAGGAATAGCAGTTCAATACGCCTCAAGTGTCACGAGCCCTTTGGTGGGGTCAAGGGGCTCACCCACTCCCTCCTGCGAAGGAGGGTTCGGGATATACGCCCTGCTTTTTGGGGCCATAATTATGGGCCAAACATACTTACAAAGAGGTTTGCACCTACCAACTCTGAATAAGCACAGGAAATCTGACCAGGAATATTGGAGAGTGTTTAACACTCAACATGTCCTGATAAGGTTTTAACGTAACAAAATTAAGTAAGGGAGACACACAAAGCGACCCGCCTCTCCTAGAAATAAACTGTACCTGGTGAAACACATCGAAAATCTTCATCTTTAGATGAAGCCAATACTGGCGAGTATTGTTGGAATCAATCCCCTTTCCAAACCTACCCTCCGGAAACACCCCTTGTTGGAACCCATCCACCAGTGCCCCAGAAGGTAAATTCGGGGGTTATCAACCAACAGAACATGCGGGATAACATGCCCGCCTATACACGGGTTGCCCTTGCCCTCGTTTCTTTCACAACCCACACCCGTCCAACGGACCCGGGGTGAGTGGAGAGCCACACCCGTATCCCAACGGACCCGGGGTGAGTGGAGAGGGGGTCGCCAACCTACAGCCCTACTGCCGGTCCAACAACCACCATAAGACCGGTAGGTCGCCAACCTACAGCCCTATAGCTGGCCCAACAGCCACCATAAGATCCGTAGGTCGCCAACCTACAGCCCTATAGCCGGCACAACAACCACCATAAGACTCGTAGGTCGCCAACCTACAGCCCTAAAGGCGGCCCAGCAACCACCATAAGACCCGTAGGTCGCCAACCTACAGCCCTACTGCTGGCCCAACAACCACCATAACAGCCTTACTGCCGGCCCAGCAACCACTATAACAGCCCTATAGCCGACCCAACAACCACCAAAAGACCCGTAGGTCGCCAACCTACAGCCCTATAGCCGACCCAACAACCACCATAAGACCCGTAGGTCGCCAACCTACAGCCCTATAGCCGGCCCAACAACCACCATAAGACCCGTAGGTCGCCAAGCTACAGCCCTACCGCCAGCCCAACAACCACCATAAGACCCGTAGGTCGCCAACCTACAGCCTTACTGCCGGCCCAACAACCCCCATACGAGCCATAGGTCGTCAACCTAAAGCCCTACTGCCGGCCCAACAACCACTATAACAGCCCTATAGCCGACTCAACAACCACCATAAGACCCGTAGGTCGCCAACCTACAGCCCTATAGCCGGCCCAACAACCACCATAAGACCCGTACGTCGCCAACCTACAGCCCCATAGCCGGCCCAACAACCACCAAAACAGTTCTAAAGGCGGTCCAGCAACCACCATAAGACACGTAGGTCGCCAACCTACAGCCCTAAAGGCGGCCCAGCAAGCACCATAAGACCCGTAGGTCGCCAACCTACAGCCCTAAAGGCGGGTCAGCAACCACCATAAGACCCGTAGGTCGCCAACCTACAGCCCTACAGCCGTGGCCTAACAGCCACCATAACAACCCTAAAGGCGGCCCAGCAAGCACCATAAGACCCGTAGGTCGCCAACCTACAGCCCTAAAAGCGGCCCAGCAACCACCATAAGACCCGTAGGTTGTCAACCTACAGCCCAACAACCACCACAGCAAACCTAACCTACAGCCCTAAAGGCGGCCCAGCAACCACCATAAGACCCATAGGTCGCCAACCTACATCCCTAAAAGCGGCCCAGCAACCACCATAAGACCCGCAGGTTGCCAACCTACAGCCCAACAAGCACCACAGCAAACCTAAAGGCGGCCCAGCAATCACCACAAGACCCGTAGGTCGCCAACCTACAGCCCCAAAGGCGGCACAGCAACCACCATAAGACCCGTAGGTCGCCAACCTACAGCCCTACAGACGGCCCAGCAACCACCATAACAGCCCTAAAGGCGGCCCAGCAGCCACCATAAGACCCGTAGGTCGCCAACCTACAGCCCTATAGCCGGCCTAGCAACCACCATAACAGCCCTAAAGGCGGCCCAGCAACTATCATAAGACCCGTAGGTCGCCAACCTACAGCCCCAAAGGCAGCCCACCAACCACCCTATGACCCGTAAGTCGCCAACCTGCAGCCCTAAGGGCGGCACAGCAAGCACCATAACAGCCCTAAAGGCGGCCCAGCAACCATCATAAGACCCGTAGGTCACCAACCTAAAGCCCTACAGCCGGCCCAATAATCACCATAAGACCCGTAGGTCGCCAACTTACAGCCCTACTGCCGGCCCAACAACCACCATAAGACCCGTAGGTCGCCAACCTACAGCCTTACTGCTGGCCCAACAATCACCATAACAGCCCTACTGCCGGCCCAACAACCACCATAAGACCCGTAGGTTGCCAAGCTACAGCCCTACCGCCGGCCCAGCAACCACCATAAGACCTGTAGGTCGCCAACCTACAGCCATACTGCTGGCCCAACAACCACCATACGACCCGTAGGTCGTCAACCTAAAGCCCTACTGCTGGCCCAACAACCACCATAACAGCCCTACTGCCGGCCCAACAACCACTATAACAGCCCTATAGCCGACCCAACAAGCACCATAAGACCCGTAGGTCGCCAACCTACAGCCCTATAGCCGGCCCAACAACCACCATAAGACCCGTAGGTCACCAACCAACAGCCCTATAGCCGGCCCAACAACCACCAAAACAGCTCTAAAGGCGGCCCAGCAACCACCATAAGACCCGTAGGTCGCCAACCTACAGCCCTAAAGGCGGCCCAGCAAGCACCATAAGAGCTGTAGGTCGCCAACCTACAGCCCTAAAGGCGGGTCAGCAACCACCATAACTGGCCGCGGCGTTACCGTTAGGTGCTCATTGCTTCTGTGCAATAAATACCTTTTTACTAACTATTACAAGGCTATTTTGTTTGCATCGCATGTTCTGGATCAGGCAAGATGCTGTGCAGCCCCCCCCCCCGCTTTTTTCCTCCGAAACAAATCAAGGCACGCTCTTTTTTTATCGACCTTGACAAGAAGGTAAAGTACAACTTGACCATCGTGATTACATCGTGCGAACAGCCTGTCAACTCGGGCCCCGGCGGAATGCTGAGGTCACACCTCACAGGCTGTCCAGTCGAAGTGTCTTTTCATTCAATGGTAGAAAAGTGTACATGACACGCAATCTCTTCCGTAATCAAGCCACTGCTCCACTTTTTTATCACAGAGTGCTCTATCACAGAGTCTTATGCTCCACAAGGGGCAAGCTTTTCAGACAGCCTGTCAGTCGGACGAGGCCGCCAAAGTGCTGGAAACTACTGTTTCCAACTCAAACCAGTCACGAGGCACGCGCACCAGATCTTGGTAAGGGAAATTCGATGTTGCAATTCGTTCAGCGTCACGAAATACAAACCAACTCGAAACTATTATGTCGTAATGCTGCGAAGACACAACAAATGAGGTTGAGGCTGTAGAGGAATTGATCAAGTTGTTCAATGGCATCCATGTCCTCGTCTTTCGTGGAAGAGTTGCCGAGCACGATGGCCTCACAGGCAAAAAGTATTAGCGTGTCGTTGCACTCGTGCCCTCTCCAACCCACTAATTTATTTTATTTGCAGACAAGACGCCGCTTCCAGGGCGGCACCAACCACGGCCTTATTGGACGCCCTCCGTAAAGTGCTTGGCGACAGCCAGCGAACAATCAGCAAGCAATTCCACTGACCTGCCCCGGGAAAGCTCGAGGTGTGGTAGGCATTGTGGAGCTCTTCTCGCCTAACAATCTAAAAGCTCGCACCGACTTATCACAGAGTCTGACAATAAAGCAAGAAGCTCCCTGGCGCTGAGATTCTGACTGTTTCTTGGGCATGTCCAAAACGGTATCGAGCCACTGTGTGATGCACTGGACCTGTAAAAGGTGACAACGTGCTGCGCACATGACAAAGTCCTCCAGAGAAATTGCAAGGCCACCCTCTTCTGCGCGGCATCAAGCGAACGACTCCAGGCAACTAGAGTCTTCATGGAGCTTCGCACGGGTGGCAACATAGTCGGCGAAAAAAAACAAAAAGGGAGTTGATTTGAACAATCTGTGGACAGTTGCGGATGCAGTGAAGTGGCAAAGATGCTCAATCATCAGTGCTGAAAACACATTTCATGGCGCAAGTCTGAGGTCGGTGCACTTGAAACGATGCACTTGAAACGATGAAGACGTGGAGGCCCCGCTCATCACCTGTGTGAACATGGGCATTGATAAAAAAACTAATGTGTCGATGAGAGTTACAAAGGCACTGTCTATTACCACACAACTCCTTTTTTCCTCCGTCGCATCGTGATATCTCAATGTTCTGCCGATCAAATGGCCATGGATTTCAAAGTTCCTGCCGGCTGTTGATCAATGCACCGGAAGCACCAAAGGCCCAGCAATGGCTCGTCACTGTGACGAGGAATCGGGTAACCGCAGCGACGCCCAGACGGATCTTCGTGATTGCACCGATGCCCGCACAGGCACATCAAGAAAAAGAAGGCACCATGGGCAAAAAACCAGGTGCCGATGTACGGCCACATTCAACCCCACACAGGGGGCCCTCATCCAGAGGGATCATATTTAGAGATTCACTTCTCGGGCTCCACGACCTGTGACTCGGGAGCTCTTCTTCCTCCCTTGGACTGCTGATTGAAACGGTCCCTCCTTTCTTCCCCCTTCTGAGGGAAGGAGGGTCCTTACTACTCCCTTTCCAACCTCCTTTGCCCCAAGGAGGACTACCTGTCAGTTGCCTTACCAACCTATTTTCGCCCATGTACTCCTGGTAAGCATACCGAACCTCACTATCCCCTGTCAATCCCAAAATTTCCCTGGGGGTAATTTCAACTTGGAGCGCCAACGCCGCATCGAGCCTTGTTGCAGGGAGCTCCAAGGATTTCATCCGTTGTGAAATGACATCCATGGAGCCCAAAATGTTCCCATCGAGGAAGCAATCCATGAGAACTGCCAAAGTTAAAAGCTCCCACTGAATCCCCTTGGGGCCACCTCGGGAAGGATCACTTGCCTGTAATACCTGTGGAAGACACGAAATTAAGTGGGGTCTTCACCGACCGCGTCCGCCAGAACCTTTTAGCTTCCTTGGCCGCAGTCCCAGCCAAGTACCCAGGCAGAGTAGCCGCCAGCTTTACAGCGACGAGGCTCCTCCTCACTCCTCGAAGCAGGAAAAGCCTCAGGACCCCCAGATCCAGAGGGAAGTTCAATTAATATGCGGGAGGTAAGAGTTCCAATCACTTGAGACAGTTGGTCAACAGCCCAAGTAAAATCCCCCCTACCAAAATCCCAATTGCGACTGACCTGTCGGATGGATAGGCTCAGCCGGCAGAGTTGACAAACTCCGTCCCGCTCTGATTGCCAATGGTTGCACTGAGGACAGAGAGTGGACATAGAGCAAAGTCGTACTGTTTGAGCAAAAGAGGCCGCGCCAACATCCTACACATGGAGGACCAAGCACAGGTGGTTCCAAAAAAAGTGGGGATCCACATTTTTCTATGGGTTTCAATACTAAAATGGTCTAATGACTTGGATGATTTGGGATTCCTGCAGCCGAGCGTCGAGCGTGGCAAGCACAAAGGCCAGAGATGGCCGACACGTTCATAGTAGCCCAACCATGCAACCGCCACTAGGAAGGTGGCGACCGCCAGTGCCTACGGGTGACTGGCCGTTTATGTCAAGCAACCAAAACGCTCTTTTGAATTATACATACATGTTTAGCCAGTCTGATTCCTCGGATATCCTTTTCAGGGCTAGTCTGTTCACAATTGCTCATCAAGTTTCATCAAGTTTCAATCAAAAAGAACAAGACAATTATCAATGAATGTGGGTTTGACTACCCCATGGCCCATTTTCATAGTTCCAAACCCCCAACCAACCCTTCAGCCTCCTTACAGGCCACCCTCCATGCTAAGTCAGGACATTTCTCGAAGTGCTGAGCATGGCCCAGTAGAATAGCACACAGCATACATAGCGAGTGGGTTGCGAAGAGCCTCGGCAGAAGCTCCAGTTCTTGGGGATGCAACACACAATTTCATGGTCAATTTTCTGGCCATCGTCCAGCGGTTCTACTGTGGAAAATTTCATCAAATGAGGTCGTCAACCAGTTCAACAGTGGTATGTTTTTGGTGACATGTATTTCTACAACCGTGTAGGCGTTGCGATTTTCGTGCTCACCGCACATGGAAAGTATATGATTGGGGGGGTGGGGGGGGCGGGGTGGGGGGATAATAACGTCCATGCACGCTTGCGGAACTATGTGATGCTACGTTGATGGAAGTTCTGCACGCTGGCAGCTCTACGTTGTCACCGCACACGGAAGTATATGATTGGGGGGGGGGGGGGGTCGGGGGGTGGGATAATAACGTCCATGCACGCTTGCGCAACTATGTGATGCTACGTTGATGGAATGTTCTGCACGCTGGCAGCTCTACGTGTCACCGCACATGGAAAGTATAATGATTGGGGGGGTGGGGGGTGGGGTGGGGTGGGATAATAACGTCCATGCACGCTTGCGGAACTATGTGATGCTGCGTTGATGGAATGTGCTTGCACGCTGGCGCTCTACGTGGTCACCGCACATGGAAAGTATATGATTGGGGGGGTGGGGGGGTGGGGTGGGGTGGGATAATAACGTCCACGCACGCTTGCGGAACTATGTGATGCTACAAATTGATCGTTGTTGGAACCATCTCAAAAAAATTGCCCCAGTCAAATGAAGAACCTCACTGGCCCAACAATCAATGCTAGGTTCTGGGATAGAATCTATCAATGGATCTATCGCCACAACATGTCCGAGTGAGACATAGCGAGCAGCTGTGAGATGAAAAAAAATGGCTTTGCAAACTTTTCGTCGTCTCTTGACGAAATTGCTAACTTAAAAAAATGACAAAACGTGAGGCGTTTTGACACGTTGATGTCAAAAACGCACGGTTGTGCAAATACGTGCTACCATGTTTTTGGTGTTTTTGGAGAGACTGTTTTCTGGGTATGGCCTTTGAAACAATTTTAAGAGATCCTTGGATTGTAGCCAATTACAGTACTAGCTACCCTTATCAAACCATCCAGTGTTGGGCGGACCCCATTCTGACCCATGTCAATTGAAATGCATGACATTAGAAAATCCAGAGATGCTATACCCTCTGGTAACTTCACACAGCTGTGGAAAATGGCCCGTTGATAATCTACTCACCTAAGTGATTCTCCATATCTATGCTATCACCCGAACCCGATCTGCAGACCGAGTGGCTGGGAGGCGCTCATGCAAACACGGATCACTCGATAATACCAAAATCTCGCCACCAGCTCCTAGGCTCAACAAGCACAGCCTGGCCATAGCTGGATTGCTGCGACAGGGCTGCAGTCCTTGAGGTGGAATTGCGAATAGCGTTGCCGGGCCTGCTGCTGTACCAAGAACTCCAGGATCATCAAAGTGGCGAGGGCCAAGGTACAAATATGAAAGACATAGGAATATCCTCAGACGAACCCTGGTGAGAAATATGAGAAATGAAAGCTGTACCATTCTATATGTTGAATTGTACCCCGTTCTTCATCCCATGTTGAATTGTCAATATTCCAAGGTTCCACGGCGAGCTTTCACGCCATTTCCCAGCGTGGCACAAAGGAAGCCAACCATCAATAAACCTGGAGATAAACAGAGACAAATATATGTAAAAATGCTATGGATGTCCACCCAAAAAATGGGGTTACTAGTTACTAGCTAGGCATTTCAGTAAGATGTTCTTATCCTAGACTTACCATGACTTACCTAGTCTCTTAGCTCGCGAGTCGATTTATTTCTTGTTTGCGGTGGGAAAAAAGGCTGACGTATTCATATGCCAACCAAAGGTTTATCTGTTTTTTCCTCTTCGTGGCTTCGATCAACCAATACTGGTGCAATCAATATTGGTGTCTGAAACTTGGGCACCCAAAATCTGGCGGGATATATATATATATATATATAAGTTTTGCCTGCCCTGCCAGGCCTGAATAGCAACCCAGTGCACCAGACATGACCAGCCACGCATCTCCTTGCAGCGCTCCTTGCAATTCCTCAGCTTCCGGGTCACTCCCCAGAACCATCCAAGTCCACCAGTGGCGATTTGAAGGGATCAACCGTCCAGCCATTTTGAACCTCAGAAAACCCTGGTCATGGCTGGTCCATTTTGGACTTTTAGACTACGAGGAGATAAGCCAAGCATCTACTCCCTTGTCTCGGAGTTCTATATGTAGGACGGCCAACATGGGCTGCACAATCGAGTAAGGTAGGCCCACCAACATCAGTAGCAAATGATCTATGAACTGGGCAGATAGCCACATTTCCTGAAGAAAAGGAGACCCAAAACTGGCCAAGAGGGATTTCCCGGATTGTGATTATCATCCCCAATAGATAAAGGATTAACATGGATTAACTATAACCCCAAAAAATCATCAACAAAAGGGCTTTTGATTTCTGATTTGGACTCACCTTCGACATTTTGTTGATCCTCAGGTCTCATCTTGGCAAATCACACCACTTCAACTGGTGCAGTCCTTGTAGGTGTAGCAAAAGAGGCGGGCCAACATTCTTCCTCAAGACACTTCGGCAACGGCGAAGTAGAATGTCGCACTAACTGCCCCAGCTGGAGTCAAAATGCAGACAAGCATCTCATGAAATGGACGAGGCCAGGTTTATTCAAGCCATTGGGGTCTTCTAAGCGCATCTTCGCAATGAACCGATCCTGTTCCTCGAAAAAATCCCCACCCAAAGGTTTCAAGATGTGTTGAAGTAAAAATCTAGGAAGCCTGACCGAATTCACCACAATAACTGAAAGGTCTAGACAAGTCTTTGCGTCTGCGGTGCGAGAACTTGCCAGCAAAGGTAATGAATCAGTGCAGTCTGCAGCAGATATTTGCCTTGGATGCGGAGGTCCTTGCGATTTTTTGGGCAACAGTTTCTCACCTCAAACCCTGCAAGAATTGTATGACAACCCGACCTGTCAACTGCTCACCGTAGGTGAGAGCTCCAGTGCCAAAAAGAATCAGAGAAAAAGCGAAGGCAAAAGCCATCAATCAACAAAAAACAAAAAATGATAACCAAATATTCAGAGTGTCCCAGCGTTCACAACGGCGGAGATTCTTGGAAATATCATGTGCTTTCATAACACATAGCATCACATAAGGTGCATGGTTTTGGTTTGGCTTCCTAGGGTCTATGTGAAAGGCAAGAAGATACCATCAAGGTGATCGACAAAGAAAGTCTCCCTCCCCCGTGCCTGACCCACTCTCCCTGCTGGCATCTGATTGCATCTGACTCTGCTTTTTCAAGTCACCCTTTTGTTCACCTTTCTTCCACCTTTTTCAGGTGTAACAAAAGTGATGAAAAGGTGACTGGGAAGGCCAACAAAAGGAGAGGAAAACACGAAACAAAGGTGAGCCCAGACCTGAGTTTCCTCCCCTCCAAGCCTGTCCTGCTCCCTCCCGATATCTCTCCTGTACCTTTCTTCCTTGTGCGATTTCAGCCGAATCACCTTTTTGTTCATCTTTTTGTTCACCTTTCAATAATTTCCTCATTTTTCCTCAAGCTGCCAACTTTTTGAAATCGCTTCCCGAAAATGGGAAGCACAAGAAACACTGGCCGGTTCAAGATGCTTTGTCGAAGAGGTCTCCGACCTCTTCGAAGAAAAGTCGTCTACTGTCAGCCTAAGAACACAAAGAAAAAGACGAGCAACCTATTGTTGCCAACGTCCAATGATTGCCAACCCTCGGCTTCAAAGTTGCATTCCGAAGTTTCTGGTCCTGAAAGGAAAAGGTCTGTAAAAATGCTCGTACCCCGGCCATGCAAACAAAAACATCCCAGTTTCATCAGGGGCCATGCTTGGAGAATTTGATGAACAATGACGAACAATGATGAACAATGTACGTCCAAGATGAGCAGTGTTCAAAACCCTCTGTCGTCCTTTCTACTGCTTGGTGAATAAGATTTCCCACTTCATGGATTGTGAGTGTATATATATATATTGGGTATAACTCCCTTTAAAAACAAAGAAACATCAACCAACCACAATCTACTCTTTCACAAAAATATCCCCATGGATTATGATTTATTCTATCATTTATCAGTTGTATCATTTATCAGTTGAAGTTTTTCCCCTTAGTCATGGGGGTAGCCATGACTCACCATCCAAGTCATGGCAGCAGGATGAAAAACACGATGGCCCGTCCTCGCCCATCTCCATTTCGGGAGTCATGGACGAGATCGACAATATGATGTAAACCTCGGAAAATCATCGAACGAATCATGGTGATTGATCCAGAACAATATCCAACAATTTGTTAATGGAATTTGTTTTCTGAAGAATTCATGGAAGATCTGATGGGTACCCTCAGAAATTCAAACATGGCTGGGAAATCCCCCACCCAAACTGAGGTTTCTACCTGGAAAAATCATCGAACTAAATGGGGTTTGAGTACCGGAGGGTCTATGAAAAAACATCCATGAAACCAACCAAGGATTTCCCATGAGCCAAGCCACAACACCAGCATTGACAAACAACGTGACCAGCAGAAGGGACAGAAAACATTGGCTCAACTTTGGAGCCTTCGGCAGCCTGAGCAGATTTCGATCATGTGGTAAACTCAAAGTCTCAATTCGTAGCTCCTTGGTTCCCCTTTTTGTAGTGGGAAGCCATGGATATTCTGGTTTTTCAAAGCTCCCTCCATTCATCCTTTCAATCTTCGGCATCCTGGGGCGTCCAGCTTTAGGAGAACTGCCTTTCACCAAGTCGCACTGGCCGCACTCGACGCCAGCGTTCAACGACACGTATGAAGGAGAGAGGCTTGTCGACATTTTGTCTCCTGGCAATCTGACTTTAATGCTGGTCACAATGGCTCCTTGATACACCCAGTTGGTGCGCCTGAAACCGGTGTCCATCAGAATCAGGAATGGGAAGACTACCTGACAAGAAAGATCGGTGAACATGTGCATACTGCATCTGCAATTAGCCCAAGAAGGGCAGTTAAAGAGTCAGGTGCATTTTCCAGGCTTCCCTTGCTTCGCACCGAGGTGCATTCAAGACAAGCAAACAGTTGTTTGGTCGATTGTCTGGAGAATCTTCCACTACCTGGCAGAAAGAATTGTGCCATGCAGGTCGCAGAGGTTCTGACTCCAATCCTTCACACAGTTTTACGGAAAATGCACATGTCCACCATTGATCGGGCAGCACGGTCTCCCTGAACACAACCTGCGTAATCTCATGCCAGGTGCACATCAAAGGGGACCAAGGTCGGTTCTGCTTCAGCATGTGTCTCTCTTGTGGGGCTCTCGTCCCCGTCACCACTCGCTTCCATGTCTGCATAGCCAGCTTTGGGCAGCTCTATGGAGGCGAACGGAAAAGTTAAGCAGTCCACGTTGTATATTGATGTTTTGCATGGTTTTCGCATGTTTTGTCATTTCCTTCTGCCTTCATCTTCACATTCTGCCGTAGAATCCCGACTATAAGGCGTCTTCCTAGTGATAGTGTATCTTAGTATACCATTCAAACCAAGCTTCACAGTGTCATATAGATTTTGATTTTAGCTTTTCATACATGCAGCATGTTTGGAAGCCAATTTGACATCCCTTGATCCTGTAGCAGCAGAAAGCTCCGGACAAAAAAATTAGATCTGTCCGCTGGTACCCTGGTTTTCACATCGAAAAGAACTGAAATGGCTGTCAATTATGGAATGTTTATCTCCCAAATTCATCTGGAAAATAATCCCAGTCTAGACTCAGAGTTGCATGCGACCTGACAATCAGCACAGTTGCACCACACAGATCGAGTCTCAGTGTTCGGGCTGGCGTTGGTAGCTCATCCCGAAGCTTCAAGCGGTTGGCCTCCCATCCGGTCAGTCCCTCTGCTCAGAAAAGTGGGAAACATGAGTTTCCCAGTCTGCCAATCTTCCCATATCTTCCCATATCTTTGGGTATAGCGAGAACAAACAACAAAACTGTGTCAAGCCATGCATCAAAAATCATCCAAAATCAGCCAGGAGCCTCCACAGGGATTACCTCGATGAAGGGCATCAGCTGAATGAGCCTCGAAGATTTTTTTTACGAGCAGCGAGTCTCAGATTAAGGTCAGATGGGTCAGATGGATTGGAGTCGTCACCCCTTTTCTATGCAAACAACGCGTAGAAACAGGTGGAACACTGTCCTGAACTATATCGGAATCCTTTGGATCTTCACACTCACCCTATTGAAATAAATAGTAGAACCCTGTTGTTAATCATAACCATTTAGTGGTCTAGGACTACTATTAACTCATATCCGCCGACTCCTGCTGTAGCGGGGAAGCGCGTGAGAGAAGCAACTTTTGTCAAGCAATTGTAAAAGACATGTTGGGTTTGAAGCTAGCTTCTAGGCAGTTGTGGGCCCGATCCGTCCTTCACTGCGATGGTGTTTTGGTGCTGCGGCAGCGTCCTTGGACCCGAGGTGGCCGAGGTGTGCCAGACGAAAGCCACCTGCTTTTGGGCGCCGAAACGCTAGTACTTACGCAGTTTTTTGCCCGTGACAGTACCAAACCCCTGCAAATTACACCATTTTTGCACTTTGTGAACCGATTTTTTGCCTTGATGAATGCAAAAAACGCTGGTACTTACGCGTTTTTCAAAAAATCGAAGATCGTGACGTGAGCAAAACCCTGTAAATAATAGTGTGTTATCCACTTTCGGGGACTAAAACTGTGGTATTTACGCGGGTTCTTGCCATCTGACAGCGCAAAATGCTGTAAATTACAGCACTTTGTGCGCTGTTTATGTTCAATTTTTGAACGCGCGATGCTTTCACATGTTCTTGGCATTCTTCAACAAGAAACGACGTTCCACATTGAAACTAGAAGACAGTGTGGCCCGAAAGAAAGCTGGAGGGAGGAGACGAGAAGATAGCACACAAGAAAGTATGATGATGAATGCTGCTGGTGAGGAGCTTTTACACAGACGCGTTTACACACAGAAGCTTTTACACAGAGAAGTCGTTCTACAGACTGGCTTGTACACGCAGAAGCTTTTACACAGAGAGAAATCTTTACACAGAGGAGCTTGTACGCACGGAAGCTTTTACACAGAGAAGTCTTTACACTAAGGAGATTTTGCACACAAACGCGTTTACACAGACGAGCTTTTACACACAGAAGCTTTGACACAGAGAAGTGATTATACACACAGACGCGTTTGCACACAGAAGCGTTTACACAGAGAAGCCTTTACACAGGAGCTTTTACACACAAGGGCATTTGCACACAGAAGCTGTTACATACAGACGCTGTTACACAAAGAAGTCTTTACACAGAGAGCTTTAACCCACAGGCGCGTTTACAGACAGAAACTTTTACGCAAAGAAGTCTTTACACAGAGAGCTTTTACACACGGAAGCTTTCACACACAGAAGTTTTTACACAGAGAAGTCTTTACAGAGAGAAGCTTTTACACGCAGAAGCTTTTTCACACATATGTTTTTACACATCCATGAATATGTTCAAAAAAGCGTAAGGAATATATTTCTGAAGCAGCAGGTCCTCATTCAATAGCTTTCAAGCCCACCCCGCGATGACAGCGAGAGTCAAGTAATCCGGGGCTCCGCCGACGAGCGTCAGCTCTATGGCCATCTTTAATGGACCGAGGCCCTGACTGCTTTGGCAGTTGACGGGCAAGGCAGCCTGCCTCCATGTCCCATCTTGCACCCTCCAAGTACCTGTGAGGTGGCCCTTTTTTTGTGGCCCCTGGTGATGTTTGTTTATAAAGCACATTCACTAGTTCGTTATCTCTACCATAAACCATAGTTAATTCAGTCACTTAAAAGGCAACTGAAGTAGCTATCGAACGGGGGCCTTCACACAGCCATAAGAAGACCCAGGCGCACAGACCCTCAACATAGGTCCCATCCATGAGCTTCTCAGGCACTTGGCTTCGCTCAGTGTAAGATGTGACCTGTAAGCAAGACAGATCTGACTGGCGAAATCTGTTCCAGAACCAATTCGTTTTCAGAAAAATCGATTGTAATGATCATAAATCATCATAACTTAACAATAATGAGTTAAGCTAAGGCCAACAACAGCCATAACAATGATAGTAACATATATATAAGATGTAATAATATGTAATAATATGTAATAGTATTAGTATAATATGTGATAATACATACATATACACATACTATATTACTATATTATATAACACTAAACAGTTCTTCAAAGCAACGACGTCGGCTCGGCGAAAAAAGGACGCGCTCGCCTTCGTATAGAGGGTGGACTTGTCAAGCGCCCAGCCACGACGGCGGCAAGAAGCCTGGCAGAATCGCCAGAGTTCATGGTTTATGAATGGTTAATGCATGGTTTCATGGTTAATTGCTCGAAAATCTGGGAATCTCCAACCTTCATCTGAGAATTGGATGGTTAATCAATAATTCTTTGAGAAATTGGGTAAATAGTGAATGAATCTCCATGATTACATCTGAGAATCTGGGAATACGGGGAAATGATGCTGATGAATGGTCAATTGAGGGTAACTATCCCCAAACATGGTGAATTCGTTGTGAAATTATTCGAAGAATGGGACTTGGTAACCGGGCAACTTCAGCTATCCGATTTGGATAGCACTCCCAGCCTGCACCAGGGCACTCAACAGACTTTCTGGGATATGGAAGCCACTCAACCAGAAGACTGCAGGATCACCTTTTTCTGCCCAGTCCTGCGAGGATGGAGCTCAGGCGCTAAGGTGGAAACATTGTCGTTCATGTACCTTCCAAAATTGGATCCTTTCGGCACTATCAAAAGAAAATGAATCAACGATTTGAGGCACGAGGAGCATGGCCAAGGCCCCATGTTCCCCCCGTCCGAGTACTGCTTGTAGCGGCGTACAAAGTGATCCATCTGAGCCAGCAATCATGTTCTCCATTTTCCCATCCAAAATGCAACATAACTTGCGGCCCCAACCTATAACTTGGGACCCTGGGACCCTGCGACCCTGCTACCTGAGGCGCTTGCCCAACTGCCCAGAGGCTTTTCCGTTTGCGGTGCGATCTTCGTCCACCCCGGCGGCACTTGCCTAACCACGTGCAGTCTACGCGCACGGCGCTGAGTGTGTCTGAACATGGGCTACACCGCGGCTACACCGTTTAGGTATACCCCCCAAATGATTGTCTTATTAAGGAGAAAAGGGTGATGAACCATCACATTTGGGGGGTCCTTCAATTTTTAGACAAACCCACTTCAGTAACGTTCAACGGCTCACATGACAGCTGAGCTTTACGTCTCTGAGGTATGGGCCCATTGAACATCGAGCCACCGAGCACGTCAAGCTCCTGACCAGTTTCAAACCCAGCCATGGCCAAAAATGATATGGTTTATGGTCATTCTTCCCATGCCATGGGAATCCAAACATCATAGATATAATTGTTATATGTATATATATATAATATATATATATATATATTATCCCTATGAAGGGATTCATAGCCATCCCCCAAGAACTGTTTTTTGACATCGGTGCCTTTGACCTAAGCCTAAGCACTTAAATGACACTCTGCAAATGTCCTGGCTCATGCCAATCTCACCTTTGATCGCACGTTTCAGGTCCTGCCATCAAACCCGTCGCTCTGCAAGTTGTCTTGTGCGCCACACGAACCATGTCATGACTTACAGCAACCCACAAAACGATGGAAAAAGTGAAATCCTTCCAAAATCTATGGCCTAAAATACTGTTCTATCTCTTGGAGGATGCCATCAAGCCAAGAATGCAACATCCAAGTGGACAGCAAAAAAAAAACTGCCCGGTGCACCGCAAGGTTTGCCACCATGCGCTTCACCAGGGCTTCATACCTCTCGATCTCCTGAGACAGGCGATGGATCACTAAAGGGCCCATTGGGGGCCGCGCCGGGGAAATCTGTCCTGCATCAGCACCACCTCCAGAGGCGAAGGAACTGTGTCTTTTAAGAACTTCAGCTCATCTTTAGGGATCTTGTCTTGAATGTCCGTGGCAGTCTTGTTGATCAACCTCGCGTCAAGCGCGCTTGGAAAATTTGTGTCTGTCTTTCTGCTCAGCTTGCTCAGCAAGTACACTGAACAGACTGTGCGATGTCTGGGAGAAACACTCATCGCGGCTCATGCCACCAGAATCTCCTCCTCCACCGGTCTGCATGGACATGAGTCCCGAGTAGATTTCCTGATCGAAACATCGGATGCCAACAGCCCAGCTGTCTCAGATTGTCTCAGCCCCGTCCCAGCCTTTGCTGAGTTCATGAAGTAGTTGATTTCGGCGTTGGGGTGGAGCCCGAACACCGACGGCGACCTCACATGGCTATGCTATGCTACCCGCCAGTAGAGCACAGGATCTGCAGCTGGATACGGTCATGGGAAGCTGGCTGATTGATGGGAAGCGTTAGAATCACCTGCTGGTAGGAGGAAACGCCGCCCTGGCCCAAGGCGTCAGTGGTGCATGGCCCCCAAGGCGTGGAATGTCAAGCAGCGCTCTGCAGCTCTGCCGTCCTGAAGAGGGCAATCGTAGTCAAAGCCCGAACGGCTGAAGTAGAATTTCACATTTTCATCCTTGGAGCGGGGAGAAGTGTGGACGGAAGACTCCAAAGCCCTCTCAATCAACAAAACGATAAAAGCAAGAAAGAATAAAGTGGAATTCACATGAGGACACTCTCAAAGAAGAGTACTGCTGAGTGCCCCACAAAAAGAAAGTCACCCATGTACTCTTCCAAATAAGTTGTAAGCACACGCCTGTCACGTCCAGGTTGACTGCTTGAAGAGGTCAAGTATGGTCAGACTATGTCTTCGGTTTGTTCCGAACATTGCAACAACATCCCGAACCTGTCGTAGTTGTCTGTCACTCGGCCACCATACCTGGAATTCACAGGATGTCAAAGCAAGGCCTTTCAGACAGAGATGTGTGCGTCAAGAGGAAATGTGAGGTACTAGACATGCACTGTACCCAAAAATCAGCAAGGAATAGACATCTCAACATCCACATACATAAAGCGCATAATATGTGTATGTATCTATGTATATATATATTGTGAATATTCCAACAACTTTCATCATTCCTGTGACATCCTGGCAGGCACATTCCACGGCGACCTGGATCTTTCATGGATCACTCGATCCGTCCGTATTGCCAATTCTGTATGGCCCAAGGAGGAGGGCGGGAGAGGCATCTTGAGACCAAAAAGGAACAGCAGTTGGCACGGCATTTAGGGACAGGGATTCCCAAAAGGGTATTGGGGTAGGATACATAGTCCCCATAGGTTTCGCATTGGTAGCGGAGCTAAGGCTGCCGCAGGGAATAACCATTTTGGAAAAGACTTTAATTCAGGGTGGGGCATCCTGTACAATTTTGTTTGCAAGTTCTGTTGGTTTGAAAAAGAAAAATCACTCAAAATCAAAAACAAAACAATTTTGGAAAACTTTCTCTCACAGTAGTGCGATTGAGCCATGCCTACCATGGATGGCGCGGACGTGCCACCTGCGGAAGCAGCCGGTTCGACTTTGCCGGCGAGCCAACTGCCTTGGCAACAAATTCCCCTTTTTGATCCTCAGACGACAGACATCCAGGTCTATGCCAGAAAGCTCCAGTTTCTCAAGGACATTTGGCCAGTGGAACATTTGTCGCAGTTAGCACCACGGGCAGCACTTCAGGTTCAGGGAGTGGCTTTCCAGAAGATCGCCCGTCTGGACCCAGAGAAGCTGAGGAGTGAATCTGGAGTGAAGTACCTGGTGGAATCGCTGGGGGGGAGTTGGGGAAAGATCCCAAGTGAGGAAAAACTCTCATTGTTTGAGAAGGCCTTCTACCAGACAATTCAAAAGACAGATGAGTCAAATGACTCATACTTGGCTCGACACGATGCATCCTTCGAGGACATGATGGCCAAAGGTGTCTCGATGGAGGAGGTGCGGGCCTATGTGATGATTCGACAATCTCAACTTAACAGTGAAGACCGAAAAAGGATTGTGGTGGAGACGGAAGGGAACCTCACCTATGCAGGGGCTCGCAAGTCGTTACGACTGCTCGGATCAAGGTTTTTCCAAGACCTACAGGGCACTAGCAAAGCAGGAAAATATCGCACCTACGACGTGAACACCGTCGACAACCTCGATGAGGCAGCACTCTGGACAACCGAGGCCGAAGCCTTTGATGAAGAGGCAATGGTCCAAGCTCTACATGATGCTGGGGATGAAGATGCCGCTTTCATCATGGACTCCGAGGACACCGTGATTGAGGCAGTTCAGGAGAGCCCTGAACTGGCTTCCTGTTACCACACATACATGGAAGCCAGAACCCGCCTTCGTGAGAGGGCCAAGTACCGTGGTTTCTGGAGCCCAAGTGCACTGGGCAAAGGAAAAGGGAAAAAGGGCAAAGGGGCTATGAACAAAGGATTTGGGGTTTCCAGACCCAAATCTTTGGCAGAAAGAATTGCCACATCAGCATGCCGCAAGTGTGGGCAGGTTGGACACTGGAAGAAAGAGTGTCCATTGACGAATGCCAAGGGGGACAACAAGGGCAAGACATCGTCACCGGACACCATCACTCTGGCAGAGGCATTGGTGACCTACCCGACGGGCATGGAAACTTTGAGCACGCACATCGAGGAGTTGCCGACCCAGCTCCCGGAAAACGCAGTGGACATAGGCCAGCAGGACACTGTCCGAAAAGGAGTGGAGCATGTTTTCCTGGGTGAAAGTTTTGAATCAATGAGTGCTAGCAAGAGTTTTACAGTTCCCAAATGTTTCAGGAAAGACCCCCCAAAAGAGTCCCAAATGTTTCAAAATTCAGTGGAAACCATGATGCATGGACGACTCAAACTTTCTAAGAAGATGAACAAAGGTTTTCATCAAAATTTTGAAAAGGGTTTGAGAGTTCGATTGCAATCTTGCTGTAGGAAACATGGACGCATGATCCTGCCAGAGACCTCCGCAGTGACTTCTCCTCGTGATCCATTTTTCCCGCCAGACCATTTTGGGTCTGTGAATGATCCTGCCGCGGTCTTTTACAGTCATGAAGAGAGGGCCCACGAAGCAGTCATAGATACTGGGGCTAGCCGCTCTGTGATTGGAGCTGAGCGTGTGGAGGGTCTTGTTGATAGTATCGTGAGAAAGACTAGTTGTCAAATCAAAAGGGTTCCTTCCACAGTTCAGTTTCGTTTTGGAAACAGTGGCACTCTTCAGAGCGAATATGCAATTTGCATTCCGCGACAGCAAAAGGGATGGATCAGAGTAGAAGTCGTGCCTGGCCGGACACCGTTCCTCGTTTCAAATACGGTGTTGAAAGAGATTGGTGCACTGATTGACCCCCGAAATCAACAAATGAGATTCCTTGAAAATGACATGGTTATACCCTTGGGTACCTGTAGGAAAAATCTGCTGTGCGTGGACGTTGTCGCACTACTCAATGTAGAAGGGTCCAGGGATGGGAGAGAAGAAATCTATCATACCAAAGAAACACCACAAACGCCATCTCAAAGAGGGTTTGATGAGAAATATGATGAAGATTCCAGAGACAAGACAAACGGTATAGATCCTCCCCTGCCATTTTCTCCTCCTTTTTGCATGAAAGAGATGCCTGAAAACCATGTACAGAAGAAACCTCCGTTTGAGGGAAATGCAGAATTGACATACACCAATTCCAGAGCACCATTGGTAGCTCAAGTCACCAACTCCGATCATCAGCCAAGGGATTCCGTTGTAAGCCATGAGCACCCGAGCAGACCTGAAGTATCTTCAGGACGAGCTCTCGGGGGAGGAGGATGCCAGCCTCACCATCGAAGAGACCTACTCCCAGAGACAAGGGAAATGCAAGGTTCCACCCGGAATTCGAACATTGTCCGAGTGGGGGCAACAAGTGATTCCCAGTGGGAAACAAGCCGGAAAGACTTTCGAGAAGGTATTCATGGAGGACGATGGATATCTGATGCAGATCAAGAATCGAAAGGCGTCATCGGCATGGATGCTCAATTTCCAGAACTACCTGAAGGCCATGTGGGATCATCGTCATCGCCATCAACTTCCAGAACCAGTGACCCGGAGCAGTCAACCGAAGGACAAGACACAGCCCATAGCCGTCGCTATGGCAAGTGCCTCAAAGATTCGATCGACATCAACAGTGGAAGAGGGCTGGGAGAAGGTGGGAGTCAACAAAACAGGTCAGAAGAACAAGAGAGAGAACTGCGAGGTGAAGGAAGGCACATCGACAAGAATGACAATGGAGCCCAACCAGGAGAGAGTCGAGAAGATTCAGATGCAGATTGCGATCTTGCAGCGAGAACTGGCTCGGGAAACACAAGTACCCGAAGATCAGTGAAGGCGAGTAAAAAGGGGCCCAAAAAGCCGGAGGATCCCGAAAGCCAACACCTGGAGTTGTTAACTGAGAGTCAAGTGATGTTTTTGCATAATGAAATCTCGAAAAGAATGTGTGAGATACAGGGCGGATTGTCTAATCTCAAACAAAAACATCCAGCTGTGGCTTCAATTCACCCAAAGCCTGTCCCATACAGTCGGCCTGTTGATCTCCTTGAGGTCTATTGTGGGAAAGAATCCCAGATAACCCAACAAATCAATAGATGTGGGGGAAATGCGATCCGGTTTACAAGGGAAGATGGAGATCTTAGCACTGACGAAGGGATCAACAAACTGTGGACTTGGGTGGAAATGTATGAACCCAAACATATTTGGGTAGCCCCGGAATGTCGGCTTTGGGGGTCGTTCTCCAGATTCAATATGGGGAGAAGCATGGACCTACAAAACTCAATTTTGAATCAACGAAAACGTGATCTGTGCCATTTGACATTGTGTAATAATCTTTATCTTCACCAGGTTGCCCATGGACGTCACTTCCATTTGGAACAGCCAGTTGGATCGGAGATGACCAAACAACCACAATTACATGATGTCGTCACGGGAACACTTCCAGCTTTCTTTGACATGTGCCAGGCAGGTGGTCTGAAAACTCCCAATTCAGAGGCTTTCCTTCAGAAAAGAACACAAGTGTGGACCACGAGTAGGGAGTTGCACAAAATGTTGCATGGGCGAAATTGCCCGGGAAATCACCTGCACCATCCCATAAAGGGAAATGTAAAGGGGAAAGACCACAAATGGGTACGTTTGTCTGCATATGCAGCTGCCTATACGGCAGTCTTTGCACGGAGGGTCGCCCAGGCAGTTTTATATATAAACCAAGGGTCTGAAAAACCACTTCTGTTTGAAGAACTCCTGGTAGGGGAAGACATCGAAATTCGAGGGGGTGCACCAAAGAGGCCACTGGCACAAAGCATTTTAGAGCTGCGGAAGTGTCGAAGACGGCACGATGGCAAAGGACCCCCAACAGAGGCAGACAAAGCTGCACATGTGGGATGTGATGAAAGAGAATGTGATGAGAATGCCTGGAAGGGGGTTGTTGCGCTGTTTGAGAAAGGGGCCCCCAGGGTAGGAAACTCACTGTGTTGGGTGGGTGATCCCAAAATTGAAAGATTGCAGCAACTTGTCCCTCATGTTGATGTCCAACTAGTTATCATATGTCGGGGTACCGAACGCCATCGAGTTCCAGGAATTCAGATCAGCAGAGAGAATATTCCTCTGCGAAAAACGATATATGTGCATCGAACCACTGGTCAGATTGTAGACATGGGAGAGTTTGAAGAGTGGGAAAAATTGTCCAAGGCAAAACAAACCCGAAAGGCTGGGCCAGCTCGAATTTCTTTGAGTATTTTTGGGAGACCCATCGTTTTTGAAGCTGAGAGGGGTGTTGGTCGTGGGGTTGTTTCTTTTGATTTACGAAATGGGGAGGAAAAAGCTGTGCAAGAAAACCCTGGACAAGAAAACCCATTACCTCCTGTGAATACATTGAATCTGGCATCTAAGGATGGTGCGGTACAGTTGCCACTGGTTGAGATGGAAAAGGGATGGCCCCCGAAGATAGTTCCCGTGCATGGGCCGGCATTTCTTCGCTTGGATTCTGAGAGGAGGTCTGACCTCATGAGATTGCATCATAATCTGGGACATCCTGATCCATCTCGTCTGCAGCGACTGTTAGAGGCACAAGGTGCCGATCCGCAAGTCATAGCTGGGGCACTTGACATGCACTGTGATGTGTGCTTAGAGACTCAACCAAAGCCCAAACTTCCTCATCCAGCAACTATCCATGAAAATTTGGATTTCAATGATGTTGTAGGTGCGGATGGGGCACATTGGACTTCATCGCTGGGACAATCCTATCACTTCATGCATTTCATTGATGAGGGTACTTTATACCACACGGGTATGTTGAGTGGACGAAGCACCGAAGAGCAAATCACAACTTTTGAACAAGCCTGGCTTCAATGGGCAGGACCATGTAAAACCCTCTACCTAGATCCAGCTGGGGAGTATGTCAGTTCAAAGTGGAATCAGTACCTCCAAGGGGAAAACATCAGGGTTGTCATGGCTGCTGGAGATAGCCATTGGCAAATAGGGCGAGCGGAGATTCATGGAAAAATAGTCAAAGATATGCTCACCCGAATGGACCGAGAAGACCCTATCAAGGATGTCAAAGACTTCCAAAAATGTCTTCGCCAGGTCTTTGCAGCGAAGAATTCACTCTCTCGTGCAAGAGGTTTCACACCAGAGCAAGCCCTTTTAGGGAAGGCACGAAGTTTACCTGCATCACTCACATCGGACAACGATGGGGGAGCTCATGCTTTGGCAGAGAGTGAAACACCAGAAGGCCTTCATTTTCGAGAAAGTCTCATGCGCCGAGAACAAGCACTGCGCGCTTTCATACAGGCCGACAATGACAGTGCATGTCGTCGAGCTCTTCTGAGAAGGAGCCGCCCTGGTAGTGTTGAGTTTGAGAAAGGAGATTGGGTACTATATTGGAAGAAACTCCAAGGAAATCCTAGGGGAGCAAAAGGTAGATGGCATGGTCCCGCTCAGGTTATTACGGTGGAACAGAAGAGAGTGGTATGGTTAAGTCATGGGGGATATTTGATCAGAGCTAGTCCTCAGCATTTGAGACCAGCATCACTCAGGGAGTATCATGCACTTCCAAAGGATTCAAGTGGACGGGTTTTAGATGAGACAGTGTCCCCTCAAGCTCGCAACTTCCATGCCCTCACGGATGTTCCACCAATTGATGAGGCGTCGATGTATGAGCCATCAATAGCACCCACCGAAGATCTCCGAACGAATGACCAACCCGAACAAGAGATCTCTCCACCAATCAGTGTTGAGGGTGAGACTCCAAAACATGAGGATGAAATTCCCTCAAATGAGTTGGCACCAGGGGACCTAGGGGGTTTGGGGATACCGATTCCTGATGATGAGAATGAGGAGTCGTTGTGTGCTTTTGGTGATGATGTTGTTTTGGAACCCCAAAAACCTGGTGTTTGGGAAGTTAACCTTGGAGAAGAAGTTGATATCCCTCATCATGAAGAAGTGGCGGAGAAAGATTTTGCAGAATTTATTTTACTGGCTACGTCAGCAAAGAAACAGCGTATTGAAGTACAGTGGAGAAATTTAAATGATCATGATCGTCAGTTGTTCACACAAGCCAAGGCCAAGGAGGTCGGTGCTTGGCTGGAACACGGAACGGTCAAAAGACTCGCAAAAGGGTCACTTCCTCCGAATCGAATCATGCGCTGTAGATGGATCCTGACGTGGAAGCCACCTTTGCCTAGATCGAAAGAGTACCGACCAAAAGCAAGGCTCGTGGTTCTGGGCTTTGAAGACCCTGATATATCTACGGTCCCAAACGATGCTCCCACTTTGAGTAAGGATGGAAAACAACTGATTTTACAGAAAGTGGCTAGCAACAAATGGTCATTACTCAATTTCGACATCTCCACGGCATTTTTGAAAGGAGAAGGTGACGGCCGTCCCTTGGGCATTCACCCACCGCCAGAGATATCAGAAGCCCTCAAACTTCAACCAGAAGAACAATGTGGGCTCACTGGGGGAGCATATGGTCGCATAGATGGTCCTTATTTGTGGTATCAGGCTTTTAAGAAATCTTTGGAGGAACTTGGTTTTGTTTCTTGTCCCCTGGACAATTGCGTTTTCTCCCTGGTTACCAAAGACCATCAAGGCAAACCAGTCGTTCGAGGTGTACTTGGGATACATGTCGATGATGGCATAGGGGGTGGGGACGATTATTATATGGAAGTCATTGGGAGACTCCGAGATAGGTATTCTTTTGGTGCCTTCAATATTGGGGAGTTTGATTTCTGTGGAATCCGTTACCGTCAAATGGAGGACGGCAGTATTGAGCTGTGCCAGAGGAAGCATGTAGAACAAATCGAACCCATCCAAATTTTGAAACATCGACGCAAGGAACCTCAAGCTCCAGTCACGGAGCAAGAGCGACAGTGTTTGCGGCAGATTTGCGGTTCACTGCAATATGCGGCTGTGCAGACCCGACCGGATATCTGTGCCAAGGTTGGATTGCTCCAATCGGCCATTCCGAGAGCATGTATCGAGGATTTATTGGAAGCCAACCGAGTTCTATTGGAGGCCAAAACTCATCCAGTAACACTTTTGATTGTCCCAATTCCCCAGTTTTGTGTTGCCTTTTGTGGTTTCTCTGATGCATCTTTTGAAACTAAGAAAGGGGGTTCGTCTAGACAGGGAACAATTGTTTTCACCACGGATGGGAACATGGCCAACAATCAATTAGCAGTGATTTGTCCAATAGCTTGGTCAAGTAGGAAGATACCTAGGGTGGTTCGAAGCACTTTGAGTGCTGAGGCTTCAGCTCTGAGCAGTACCCTGGATAGAGTCAGCTGGTTGAGAATCATGTGGGCTTGGTTGTGTGATCCAAGCATAGATTGGACGAATCCATCCGAGATACTACAAGGAGCTCCGTTGGCTACCATTGCAACTGATTGCAAATCAGTATACGACATAGCTACGAAGACTTCTCCACCAGTATGTGAGGAATTTCGCACTACTCTGGAGTGCCTTTTGGTAAGGGAGAGGCTGGCTGAACATTGTAGACTAAGGTGGGTAAGTAGTCAGGCTATGCTAGCTGATTGTTTGACAAAAGCAATGGATGGAGGAATGCTTCGCAAAGCTATAGCTCTTGGAAAATATGCCCTGTTCGATGAACTCTCAATTTTGAAACAAAGGGCAGACCGAAGAGAGCGTCTGAAATGGCTTTCCGAACAGGAGGCCAAAATTCAAAATACCAGGATGATTACAGAGAAAACTTAATGTTTGATTGTTGTTATGAAGTTTTTGTTTTTGTTTTGTTTGTTGTTTTTGACGAGTGTGAATATTCCAACAACTTTCATCATTCCTGTGACATCCTGGCAGGCACATTCCACGGCGACCTGGATCTTTCATGGATCACTCGATCCGTCCGTATTGCCAATTCTGTATGGCCCAAGGAGGAGGGCGGGAAAGGCATCTTGAGACCAAAAAGGAACAGCAGTTGGCACGGCATTTAGGGACAGGGATTCCCAAAAGGGTATTGGGGTAGGATACATAGTCCCCATAGGTTTCGCAATATATATATATATATATGCATATGTATATAGTTTATATGTATCTGTATATATAATAATATACGTATAATAATCATATAATATATTATAGTACAGAAAATTACTGTAATATGAATAATCGATTCATATCCGGTCTCTTCATCGCTCCGATCACCAGGTCGTCAACGGCACATGGCTTCGCCAATGAGGTAGCGGAGCGTCTCCCACGGCAGGACCTCACGGTTTTTGAAGGAACCATCGTGGGAGGGGCTATTGCAAATCATCCTAAGTACCCTCTGGTAAACTAACATAGCTATTGAAAATGGCCATTTATAGTGGATTTACCCATTAAAAATTGTGATTTTCCATAGTTGTGTTAGTTTACCAGAGGGTATACCCTTTAAAAATGATAAATGGTAAAATGATCCCCTAAAATATCCCATTTTCTGATGGTAAATGGTAAAATCTTTAAAAAGGTAAAACGACAAATGGGGATATTGTGTTTTTGCGGATCGCGTCAGTACATGGGAAGAGCCCAGTAGTGAAACAGGTACTTCCGGCAACGGAATCAACACAACACTTCGGCCTCTCCCTTGTCATGGCTCTTCTGCAAATACAGGTTCAGCAGTTGCGCCGAAACCTTGTGCTGGCGACTTGACATTCTACACTTTACATGGGTCTGTCTGAGAATAGAGTACTGTACCCAAAAAATCAATCGTCTGATGGCTTATAAGTTTATCGCCATTCCCTCTTAAATTGCAATTGAATGAATTTGGGGGTAGACCAATGGTAGACCCCATTTTCAGTTTCAGACTCACCCACATGATACAGTGATGACGAATGGCTGCCAAATGATATCGCGAAAGCCCTCTAGGAGAATCCAGCACATTCATGGACATTCCACCCAGCCTTGAAGTCTGACTCGTTGAAGTCATATGCAACATTCCATCCAATCCTTCCGAACTTTCGGCGGTCCTTGTTGTCGCTACTCAACTTGAGGGTTCAGACTTGTTTTCTCCGGATACGGAATGTCCCCAAAAAGAAAGGAGCCCGTAAACAAGTTTGGAATGTTGAATCTGCAGCTCTACTTTTTGTCGGCATTTCCCTCCTGGACCACTGCATGGAAGAAGGCAAGGACATACATCAGAGGCCGGAAGCTTTCATGGGAGCCTCAGCTGAGTCGATTCGGTTCCCAAAGGGGATCCCAAAGGGGATCCCTTGGGATGAAGCGCTGATGAGCTCCCAACAAGCATCAAGATCCGCATCAGAGATCTTCGCATAGGACCTAGGCTGCGCCCATGGCTGCTTCGTAACATGGAAACGGCATTGAAGGCATTGGCACCTAAGAACTTGGAAAGGAAAGTCCTTTCCAAATCCGATGACTTGTTTTTTTAGGTGGAGACTTCGTATTTGATGACTCCTGGTTCAACTATGTATTCTTACGATTTCTCACGCCTGTGATCAAAACGCCAGCCACAACTGATCCTGGGCCCTCTGCTGTTTGATATTCAGTTTCAGCCCCTCAGGTGGCTCAGTCACCACCTGGGAAACTGCCAGCAATCTGCCAGCAATGTTCGTCACATCATGAAACCACCTTGGAAGTACCCTCTGGTAAACTAACATAACTATGGAAAATCACCATTTTTAATGGGTAAATCCACTATAAATGGCCATTTTCAATAGCTATGTTAGTTTACCAGAGGGTAACATTTGAACTGACGTCCATTCTTGATTGATGCCTACTATAATCCTACTATCATAGTGAATAACCTGGTGCTCTCATGACAAACCGGAGCCTTCAAGGACCTCTGCAGAATGCCCATTGGGAAGGCACTTGTCCTCAGCCCCAGTCGCTAGACACACGGACAAATGTTTGAACTTGGAACCTCAACTTTCCCGCTCTTCGATCTCTTCGCCAAGCTGCGGCATGGTGGTGAGCCAAAGCCTAAAATCCTTATGCGGCTTGTGCATTTGCTCCAGGATCTTTTCCAAGGTACCTGTCGTAACGTCGTACGTTGCAACGTACGTCGACAAAAACAACAGCAGTGCATCTCAGCCCGTGACGGAGCCAGGATGCCAACAAATGGCAATTCTGCAACATGACCTGAGCAGCGGAGCAGCGCTTCTCCAGTGGATCTTCATGGTTGGTATATGTTGGTATACTCCTGGAGAATCCTCAGTCATTTCTAGGGTCCATTTCGAACGTCATCTCCGTCATCTCCTGAGAAATTGCTGGGCCAGTCACCCAATGACCGCGCTGGTAGCCAGTCTCAATGGTTTGCTGCGCAACGCCTCCCATGCCTTGTCCAAGGGACACGAACCTGAGCCGTTCCGATCAGATTTAGGGCTTGTCCAATTTAGGGCATTTTACAACTGGAAATTGTAATGTGTTATATAGTTATACATGTTATATGTCTTATAGTATGTTATAAGTCATCATGTTTTATCATGGTTTCACAATTATTTTATCTATATATATATCAATGATGAGCATTTATCAGTTAAGTTTTATATGTGTCAAATGTTTTACAATTCTGATTGATTTTTGTTTCGAGGTCATTCAGCAGCTACGGATTCGAAAAATGCATTGGTTCCCACCTGAACTTGGCTCCGCTGAATCCAAGCTGATCTCCCAACTTGGCGACGTCCTTGGGCGAATCCGTGAAGCTGTGAAATCGCCATGGGGAGATTGCCATGGGTGGGAATCCCCATTTGTTGCGAAAACCATCAAATTGGGTCATTGGGTCATTTCAATGGGAATTTCAGGATCCTAAAATGGAGGTACTGTACCATATAAGACCATATTTTATGGGGATGTTCCCTTACATAGGCCTTATATAGGCCTTATATATGGTAGGTTGGTTCAATTTTTGGGGACCCCCCGGGTTTTTCATGGGGAAAACCCCCATGGGGTTCGTTGGACCTTGATGACCTTGGCAGCGAAACCATGACGACTCCTGAGCACCAGTCACTCTGTGGATCTGCGCCAGGTGAGAGGATGAAGACGATGGGCATCCACTCACTGGATTTCCTCGGGGTTGTCAGACTGGGCTTTACCCTGGTAAACCATGGTAAACCATGGTTGTCCCATCTGACGCTTGATGTTGACAAAGCCTAAATGGTAGGTTTATTGGGTTTAGCATGAGTAAAGTGTTCACATTTTTTTCTGAGCAAATCTAAAAGTCCACTGCGAAGGAGCAATGACATGCAAAAACAGCCTGAGAAGAAACAGGAACATCAGGAAAGGAAAGCAACAAGAACTGCAAAGTACGAGCCAACCCAGCTGCATGTCCGAGAAATACGAGTTGTGAAAGGCCGGCAGTGATCGTTGAGCCAAGTATCTCGAAGATCTTGTCGTAGACCAGGGAAGGTGGCTGTACATAGTAGTCGCTGAGCTTGTATGCAATGAAGCCTTTGGTGGCTGTGATCATTCGATCAGGCCTGGCAGAGGATCGAAACTGGCTATCCCCAAACTCGGACCGTTGATACAAAAAGTGAGCTGTGACGCAATGGTCCCATCAACCTCAAGCTGTCATCCAGACATCCCAGACCTGTCTCCCGCCTGATGCTGCGAATGATCAGAACCTGCTTGAAAAGATCCACCTTCTCCTGTTCAAGCTACAATTACAACTTCACTTCACAGGGCTAACGCTGATTTGTTTGGGGAAGGGCCACATCCACATGCACCACTGTTGAAGAAGCAAGAGCTTCTTGACTCTGCGATTTCAAGCTGCAGTTCTGTCCTTGTAGCCACATGGCATGTCAATGGACTCTGGTGTCTCAGACTCGTACCAGGAATACCTCCGATACTGTCAAGTAGAAGCCGCAAGCTGAAACAGACTGACTTGGGGGTTTCTTAAAATGGGGGATCCCCAAAAGTCATGGGTTTCAATACCAAAATGGTCGAATGACTTGGATGATTTGGGGGTACCCCCGTGTTAGGAAACCTCCACTTGTTGCTTTTTGACAAAATCATCAAGCACGTGGCACCACTCATCGCCATATCTCTTCACATCCTCCGGCGGACATGGTTCACATCTTCAGCTGAACTTCAGCTCACAGTTCAACACATCTGAACCATTAAAAACACCTCTATCTCATCTCACTAGTTGGTTGATAGCTTTCCCAATCTGAGTTATAAGTTATTATACTCCCCTTAAATTAGGCCGTGTAAGTCCCTTTTTGTTGACCCATCAACCAGGCCATAACTTCGCATCTCCTCGCAGATGTCTTTGATGCTGTCATCAAAGGTCTTCAACAGCTGAAGGTCCTGCCACCGATTGGGCACCACACATGACATATCTGAGTCATATAGGGGTTTCCATAAATGGGGGGGTACCTCCATAGCTGGATGGTTTATTTCATGGAAAATCATGAATCCTATTAAAATGGATGATTTGGGGGTAGCCCTATTTTAGGAAACCTCCATATCGATGTCAATGTGTCTACTAGACATCCCCGTGAATGTGTCAAAACACGCGATTTTTGGTGACCATATGCTCATCCACAATAGGGAATCCTAAGAGCTATCTGAATCCCTCTTGGTGATTGATGATCCCCCCAAAAATAGGTATACAATCCAACTATCGCGAAAATCCGAGACCGTCTTGGATCGTCCTTCCACCCTGTTTCGGAGAGCCAGGCATGCGGACTGGGCTCTTTGGGTCGATCCAGTGATGGATTTCCCTTCATGTAGAAGTCGAACTCTTTTTTATCCAGATCATTATCTCCATCCAAAATCATCGAAGTCATCTGGAAGCTGAAGAGGAGCTTGTGCTTTTCGAAGACTCCCATGCACGTGTAATCGTACATGGTCTGCGTCATCTTCTCCCGCAAGTTCCTGACGAACTCTGAAGCCGCTAAGCTGTTTGAACACAAACAATGATCAGTCCATATGTCGTTCCGAGGCCTTCAATAATGACCTCTGTATATAGTTGTACATATATGATGTGTATAATAAATATTATCTATATATATATATATACATATATATATATATATGTGAGTTTTCCCATGTCAACGCTGGACTTGACACCTTCGATTGTCCGGGGTAGAGCCTGCCTGCATTAGCCAAGTTCCCGTCGCTGTGCCGGACTGATTGGCTCAAGGGCCAGATCATCAGGAGCAGAGAAATAGGTGCGCTTGGCGGCGCCATACTGGTTTGTGGGTGAGGACACCAACTAGGTCTACATCTTGGTCAACCTTTTCATTTCCATCTTTCTGGATTTCCGGGTTTACACCATCACTTTACCTTGAGGCCAAGGTACCCAGGTTGCTGCCAGTGGAGGTTCAGCCGAACCTACACTGGTAGCGGAGCCGAAGTGCTCGAGCTACCAGCTCGCAAAGCAGGTTGAGGATTCAAGCTCAGGTCTTTGAGCATGGAGACCTCTGAAAGTTCAACGCCGAATGAGGAGAAAGCCACCGGACTTTGGGGGCAACTCCCAAGTTTTGACCCAAGCACCGATGACATCAGAGAGTTCAGTCAGAAAGCCAGATTTCTCCATGGAGTTTTTCCAGCCAAGGACAAGAGCAACTTGGCGCCGCGCTTGGCCATGCAATGCAAAGGGACTGCATGGAACCAAGTCAGAATGTTAGACCCCAGCAAACTTATCCAAGCCGACACTGGAGTGGAGTATTTGTTGGAGGCCTTATCGGCATGGGAAGAGACGTCTGAGCTGAAGACATTTGAGCTCTTCGAGAAAGCGCTCTACAAAGTGGTGCAACGACCAGATGAGGCATCGCATAGCTACGCTTTGAGACTGAGGACTGCTTTTGCAGACTTGAGTGAGAAAGTGACCATCAAAGAGATGCAAGCATTTGTGCTTTTGCGACAGTCAGCCCTGAACAACGAGGACAAAAAGAGAGTACTGACTATGGCAGGTGGCTCTTTCGATCTCAAAACAGTTGAACAAGCAATGCGGACGCTCTCAACCAAGGTTCTCTTTAGCACTGGAGAGACAAAGAAGAAGATCTACACGACCAACTTCGCCGAACAGGAGGAAGGGTCATCAATTCATGCAGAAGAGGATGGAGGTTTCCATTCAACTTACCATGTGAATGTAGAGGAAGAAGACATCCTCACAACGGAGCACATCGAGCACCTTGCTCACATGGGAGATGAAGACGCTCTCACAGTGATGCAGTTTGAAGAGATGATGCAAGAGATTCCAGACCTACAGGAAGCTCTAGTGACCTACCAAGAAGCCAGAGCCAAAATCAACGACCGAAAGCGATCAAGGGGCTTTTGGCCCAACAAAGGGAAGGGCAAGTCGTTCTTCCGTGGTGGACGCAAGGGAGGCACGAAGAGTGGCAAAGAAGAGCTGTTGGCAAAGATCTCTCGTACGCACTGCAAGGTGTGTGATGAAAGAGGGCATTGGAAAGCAGAATGCCCAAAACGTGAAGGTGCTCGTGAACAAGCGAACGTTGTGCAGTCAGAGATGGACTTTGACGAGCCCCTGGACCTGCCCCAGGTGATCTTCGAGCAGATCAACGAGGACTGTTGTTCCAGTGTTGAATCATGTTTCAGTGTACATAGCCTGTCCGCACCACCACAGGTTTGCATCCGATCCCAAGTCAAGCAGAAAGCACTGAAGTTTTGGTCTAATCGGGTTCATAAGTATCTCAATAAAGGGGTAAAAGGAAATAAGGATAATGGGGAACAAGCCAAGTCTAAACACAGGATGTCCAAGATGCAGCCAGTTCGTCGACCGAGCGACGTGTCTGAGACTGGCCATGACCGTTTTGCAGCTGAATGTTTCCACAGTCAAGTCCATAGGAATTCCAAACAGGCAGCCGGCCTGGCAATTTTAGATACTGGTGCAAGTCGCAGTGTGATCGGCAATGACCATGTGCCGTCTGTGCTTGGAAAATTGCCAGCAAGCATCCGTGCCCAGGTCCGAGAATGTCCAAGCAAGGTTGGTTTCAGGTTTGGAAACAATCAGATTGCATATAGTTTTAAGCAACTCCAGATTCCACTGATGCACCAAAAGCAACGCATTTGGCTGTTGATCGAAGTCGTGCCGAAAGCCACACCGTTTCTGCTGTCCATAAAGACCATGAAGAGTCTAGGAGCACACATAGATCTAAGCCAAAACACATGCTATCTCCAGACTCTGAACCGATCACTCCCGCTGAAAGAAAATCAGAATGGTTTGATAGTTATCGACATGGCAGATTTGTGTCAACCTCCAGAGAAAGAATCCGAAGCAGCCTTTTTGGTTTCAAGTGCCCATATCAGCAAGCCTCCCGGTCTTCCTGAACCAACTGAGTTTCAAGATGCCCACCCGTCAAGAGGTACTGGAGGGACTTCGAGTGCTGTCGGAGGAGATCCTGGAGTGTCTCAGGTTCCTCTTTGTGATGCTGTTCAGCATGACCAAAGCTGTGCAACCAGAAGAACAATTGCAGGAGAACGAGATTGCTCCAATCTCTCAGCTGATCAACGAGGTGAGAGCACAGAAGAACAAGATCACGGAGCTGGGGAACATCATTCAGAGGCAGTTTCTGAATCCTCAAGTTCGATCGCAGGTACCTTCACCAACGAGCCCAAGTCAGTCGGAGACCATTGGCACGGACCTGTGGGAGCTCGCAGAAATGGAAGAAGAAGCCCAAAGCCTTGGAATCAATCCTGGAGGAGTACCATTAACTGGTCAAAGCCTCGCTACTTCCCAACCTATGGGATATGTGAACATGATGCAAACTCCGGGGAAGCCGCCAGCAGCTCGGGCTCCCAAGAACAGTCCGTCCAAGATAGCTGGAATCCCATTGGCCAACCCATTGCCACCGGCTTCTGGAGTGCCAGCCATGGGAAGCAACGATGGACACCAAGTGGCCCTCACACAGGCCGCACTGGACCAGTGGGGAATGAAGCGCATCACATGGGGAAAGAAGCACAATGGAAAGTCTTTCAAAGAGGCCTACGAGTCAGACCCAGGGTACACACGTTGGGTGCAAGCAAGAGCTGGAAACCTTCACGAAGATTTGGAGGACTTTCTGAACTACACGATCACTCGACAAAGGCTTCAAGCAATGGCTCAACAAAGTCTGGCAGCGTGAGTGAGTGGCATTCGATTCCCAAGAACCGATTTCAATCAGTGTACCAGCCACTGGAAGATGTTTCAGTGACAAATACTGAAGAAGCCAAGTGGTTGAAAGAGGTTTTTTGGATGGTTCAAAAGGGTCACAACAAGTGCTCCAAGCTTGATTTGTTGGAAGTCTATGCTTATCCACAAAGTAATTTGACCGAAGTAGCCCAACAGTGTGGTCTCAAAGCTGAACGATTTACCATCGAAGATGGTGACTTATCGACATCAGACGAATCCAGACCACTTCACAGTCAATGTTCCATGAACTTGATCAACGTGTTTGTAACCGACAACATCAACATTCACAAATTGCCGGAACCTGCACCTGGCAGGGCAAATCCATCAAGGTATCCAAATTTGCCGCCATGTATCCAAGAATGTTTGCAAAAGCAATTGTCAAAGGGATTCTCAAAGAAAAAGCAGAGCCAATTGAAATACCAGCGTATCATGTTTCCGAGATAGAAGAACGCCCTCTGAAGAGAGCCAAGGTTCATCATCCAGAAGAAGATCAACAGGAAACTCCAGAAAGAACAGAGATCCCTCATGCAGAGGAAAACAGAACTTCTTGGAAAACAATTTTGGATAACCTCAAAAATGAATTACCAAAATCCGGAGTCAAAACATGGACCAATCCACTTAACCAACTGTTTAAAGATGTGCAGACGCTCCTTCCGCAATTCAGAATTGGTGCCATCAAAGCAGGAAAAGGGTTGGATCGGTTCATACTAGGAGATCAAGGCTGGGTAGATGACTTACCTCGTCGGTATACAGTCACCATGCAACGGCTCAACCGAGAAATACTTGATCTTGGAGAGGATGACTGCAGTAAGATGTCCAAACTGCAACAGCATCGTCAGGCCAAACCGAGTCATGTGATGATATGTGTTTTTGCCGAGCGGTCCCTCCGAGATCAAAACGCAATCGAGCCCGTAAGTTCCATCCCTGCCGAAATCTCGACAGGTTTCCCCGTTCGAGAAGGTCACTTCTCAGGAACCTGTAATCCCAACATCGCGACCTGGACACCACTGTCAGCCAGTACATCCGGTCCCAAGTTTCTAGCACTCAATGAAGAAGAACAAGGAATCATCCGGAAGTTGCACACGAACTTAGGACATCCCACTGCAGAAAAGCTGGCCAGACATATGTCCGAAGCACGTGCACAACGACACTTGGTTGATGCTGCAAAAGATTATCTCTGTGGAACATGTGCCGAAAAACAGAAACCCAAGTTGACGACCCCGGGTAATCTAAAGGACCCCAAAGAATTTAATGAACGGATTTCAATGGCTGGTTTTGAATGGAAAAATAAGAATGGTCAAACCTTTTATGTCATCCATGTCTTAGATGAGGCCACCCGATTTCATTTAGGTTTACGTACTTCAAGAGACATTCAGACCACCATTCGAGCCCTTCATCAAGTATGGTTCAACTGGGCCGGTTATCCACAGCAGATTGCACATGACCAGGGTGGCGAATTCATGACGGATCACTGGAAAGACCTTTTGCTTGAGAATGGCATCCAGCCAATCTTATCTGCGGCACCCTGGCAAAGGGGGCGAATAGAACGTCATGGAGCCACCGTGAAAGACATGTTGGATAGAATAGACAATGAGCATCCCATAGATAACACTCAGCAATTCGACGATGCGTTGACTCAGTGTTTTCGAGCCAAGAACACCATGTCTATCATAGATGGTTTTAGTCCAGAACAAGCCGTTTTGGGACGAGCGTCGAAACTACCAGCGTCCATTACTTCCGATGAAGACACAACAGCCCATTTGTCATGTCAGGGAGCCGAACTGTCCAGTGAAAGTTTCAGAAGCACTTGGAGCTACGCACGCTAGCTCGTGCGGCTTTTGCTCGGGCAGACAATAGCCAGGCTCTTCGTCGAGCACTCTTGCGACAGTCTCGAGGTATCCAACATACATGGGCTTGTGGACAACTTTGCATGTATTGGGATAAAAGGCGTTCCCCCAATATGTTAGAAAAAGGGAGATGGAATGGACCTGCACAGATAGTTTGTCAAGAATCCCGAACGATAATTTGGATAACACATTTAAATAGACTTCTAAGATGTGCTCATGAAAATCTACGTCCAGTATCCATGCGCGAGTTCCAGCAGCATTCCACTTTTGCACAAACGTCATCACCAGAGCAACTTGCCCAGATGTCCAAACAACTTCAGAATCAACTCAGGGAACGTAGTGGCCTGTTTCAATACTTAGACCTAAGTGAAATAGGACCCTGCAGCCACGAAGCCGAAGAAAGCAATAATCCCTCTAATAATCCACCTTCCAATAATTCCCATTTACAGCCCGAAGAAGAACCTCACCGTAGACCATCACTTAACTTAGATCAAGATGCCATGCGGCTTGCCCAAGCTCAAGCCACACCAGTGCCGGACTCTCCTGCTCCGTCAATACCCGAAGAAGTTACTGACGAAAGAGCTCAGGCAGGGGACCCAGAAATAGCACTGACACCATGGACACAGACCAAGAAAGTATCCAAACTGATCCCAACATGGAACCAGTATATCACGCCCAGCTTTTGGAAGCCAGCGGATCTCAAGATGTCTTTGTTGAAGACAACGGCACACTATGGGTATCCAAAGATCCATTTGAAGAAGCATGCACCACCTTTGCCTTTGATGTTCCACGACAGCAACTTTCCAAATATCTCGCCCGGCCAACGGAAAACCTTCCGTGCCTGACCGCAGCAGCCAAAAAGTCCAGGGGTGAGGTGAAGTATAGTGCACTGTCATCCGAAGAGAAGCAGCTGTTCCAACAAGCAAAACAGAAAGAGCTAAAGTGTTGGCTCGATACCCAAACAGTTCAAGCTATCATGAGAGACAAAATTCATCCCTCAAGAATCCTTTCATCCCGATGGATCCTAACTTGGAAAGAAGATGCAAATATGCCCAATGGACGAAAAGCGAAAGCACGACTTGTAGTAAAAGGGTTTCAGGATCCCGATATTGGTTCACTGAATTCGGATAGTCCTACACTAACCCGGGACTCAAGGATGTTGCTTTTGCAGACCATAGCAAGTAAGCAGTGGATGGTGCAGTCTTTCGACATCACCACAGCGTTTCTGAGAGGACGTTCTGACGAACGCAAGCTTGCGATGGAAGCTCCCCCGGAACTTCAGTCATTGCTTGGCATGAATGACAATCAGGTTTGTCTTCTACAAGGAAATGCGTACGGAAGGGTTGATGCACCTTTGTTGTTCTACAAAGAATTTCGCCAAAGACTAGAACAGGTGGGGTTTCAAGCTCATCCTTTGGATAACTGTCTCTTCATGTTAAGGAATCGAGATAATCCACAAGAACTTGATGGTATCCTTGGGACACACGTGGATGATGGAATAGGAGGGGGGAATCACAACTTTGAGAAAGCTCTAGAGAAATTACAAAAGTCTTTACCTTTTGGTTCAAGAGAATATGGAAAATTTAAGTTTACCGGACTAGATATTGAACAACTTCCAGACTTTTCCATCAAAGTGAATCAAGGTAGATACATCCATAAAATTTCTCCAATAGACATTTCCAAGCTGAGAAGAAATGAACTCGATAGCCCAGTAAGTAATCAAGAGCTTCAGCAGCTGCGTGGCCTCTGCGGAAGCCTACAGTACGCGGCAGTGCATTCGCGCCCAGACGTAGCAACCCGTGTTGCCTATTTGCAAAGAAGCATTCCCAGTGCTACAGTTGAAACATTGCTGGAAGGCAATCGCACCTTAAGGGAGGCTCAAAAATATAGTGACACTTCAGTGGTTGTAAGATCCATACCCCTAAAAGAGGTTTGCTTTGCGAGTTTTGGAGATGCGAGTTTTGCATCAGCAAAACAACTGACGGCCCAACAAGGACTCTTCATCATGGCATGTTCAAAAAAGTTATCCCAAAATGACACAACAGAGTTTTCTCCTATAGTTTGGCATTCAAAGCAGATAGGAAGGGTTGTAAGATCCACTTTAAGCGCCGAAGCCTATTCGATGTCAAGCTCTCTGGACAAATTGACTTGGATAAGGAGCATGTGGGGTTACATCAAAAATCCTTCTTTTGACTGGTCCCACCCTGAAACTTCTTTGAAAAATGAGCCACTTGGTTTGATGATTACAGACTGTAAGTCTTTATACGATTTGATAACCAAAACCGCCGTTCCAAACTGTCAAGAATGGAGAACGACCATAGAGGTCATGTTGCTGAAAGAGCAATCCAGAGAACACACTCAGTGTCGTTGGGTGTCAACAGCCATAATGCTTGCCGACTGCCTAACCAAGGTCATGGATAGCACATTCCTGAGGACAGTGCTTCAGTTGGGGAAGTTCCGAATATACGATGAGGATTTAACGTTGCGAACCAACGCAACACGAAAGTTTGGGGTAAGTTGGGTAAACAATCGAATATAAAATATAGACCAGTGTGAGTTTTCCCATGTCAACGCTGGACTTGACACCTTCGATTGTCCGGGGTAGAGCCTGCCTGCATTAGCCAAGTTCCCGTCGCTGTGCCGGACTGATTGGCTCAAGGGCCAGATCATCAGGAGCAGAGAAATAGGTGCGCTTGGCGGCGCCATACTGGTTTGTGGGTGAGGACACCAACTAGGTCTACATCTTGGTCAACCTTTTCATTTCCATCTTTCTGGATTTCCGGGTTTACACCATCACTTTACCTTGAGGCCAAGGTAACCAGGTTGCTGCCAGTGGAGGTTCAGCCGAACCTACATATATGTATATATATATATACTATGGTACTGTATTCCATATATATATATATTATTTATATATTGTACTGTGTTACATATATATATATATATTATTTACTTATTTATGCATACTTATGCATACTTATGCAGCACATTCTGCAACCATGGTTCTTCAGTCTGTTGTCCACAATCTTATCAGGCTTTGCATCGCGAAGTGCTGTGTCGAAAACGCCCAGGTAGCTGCTCAAGGAGTACTCATACATTTCCTAAGACTTTGCCAGAACTGGGTGCAGGTCGAGTTGCCTGTGAGTTTACACCAAACTTACATTTACAAGTGTAAACTTACACTTTTGCGTGTAAGCTTGATGTAAAACTGGCCTTGAATCCCCAAATAAACTCCCGTGGTCCAATCCACTCCCGAGGTCCGGGCGCTGATGGCCACCATGCCAGACATCGCGAAGTACAGAATGGACCCGCGTTTGGCAACCTGCAGCGCGGTCTGCGCAGTGTGCATGGTGGCGTCCATGCGTGCTTCGTGGTTGGGCAAGCCACAAATTAGCACAAAATGTTACAAATATATATATATATTATATATATATTATATATATTATATATATATGATATGTTTATCACATGTTTATCACATGCCACAATGGGTAAGTTTACGGGAATATCCCCAGGAAACATGGGGGTAAAAAAAAACTAGGAGTTTCTTCAATTTTTCCCTTTCACCACCCCCACTGCGTGTCTGTTGGTATCGTCCCTGTAGTGTTCTTGTCAAGCCGCGCTGACGTAGAGCGCACGCGTCTTCTCGATTTCCTGCAGCGGGCTGTTTGTCAAAATGCACTCTTGTGCAGGACTATGAAAAGCACAACGAATTAGTACAAATGGTCATGTTTCGATTCATCTCTGTTCCAATTGGGGTATGGGTCAAACTTGTTAGACCTAAAGAATGGACACCAACCTACCTCTTCATTTAATGTTCCATGTATATGTCCAAATGGGTAAGCCTTCAGAATGAAGAAAAAAACAATGGTTCATGGCCTCAGCAGTTTTGGCAGCCGTCTCCAAGGACACTCCAATCTGGATCGAGGTTGCCTCGATGCTCAAAATTGGATCCAAAATGGGTATATCAGACAGGTTATCACTTCATTATCACTGAACAAAAAGGTAGAGTGAGGACACCAGGAAGCACCTTAGTGGTCAAAATTATGTGTCATATCCAATTCATCAAAACTCAGCGCATGTTTTTGGTGGCATCTTTTGGTCAGTCTGGAACCAGTCTGGAACCTCTCCCCGCCTTCGCAGTGTTCAGCGTGTGTATCAGGTCATCGTTGTCCAAGATAGAGCCCTTTTTGCAGCTGCTGATCAATCCATGATCGAACCATAGGGCCATAGTCTATCCCAGAAAATGTCCAAAGATGTCATAAACTACCCTAAACTAAAATCACTACGGAAAATCACCATGTTTAAAAGGTAAATCATCTAGAAATGGGATAAAATTGGCAATTTTCCATAGCTATGTTGGTTTATCAGATGGTAGTGGTACCAGTCCCATTTTGGAGTAGCCCATCCCATCATATCCCATCGGCCGACCTTGGATGCAGCCAGATCATGCAGCAGCGTGTCTTCCAGATTCTTGATTTCCTGCAATGATCAGATAGCTGTGAGTCAATAGCCTTCGTGGACCATTCTTGCGGATAGCGGATAGCTATAAATATAGCTATAAAATCTATAAACATCCAGGGTGTGGTGGGTTGATTTTTTTCTGAAATTCACATAAGGACCATCCCAGTAGGTTAGACTCCCCAGATGGAGAAAGCTCCACTTTGGGCCTGACGATCGGCAGACATCTGCTGTACAAGACCACGACGCCTGGGGCGATCTGTTGGGAAGCTATGGGAATGGTACCACCATTTTGGAATATGTTGGACTATGTTGGGCATGGTTTAATAACTCATACTTATAGCTCAATACAGAAAGCCATGAACTATTTTTTCACGTCGGTCAAAAAAATTGCACAATCAATCCTATGACGCGATTTTCATTTCATCATTAGTCCAGTGTAATGGGCCTCTCTTCCAAATCGGGTCGTTCGAAGCCAACCACCACATTGAGAAGTTGCCTCAAGGAAATTCAGCTGGATGGGGCAGTAAAACCAGTCAAATGTGCTTGTCCAAAAATGGTGGATCCCCCAAAATGTCGGTTTTAGTGGGGAAAATAATGCAAAATCATAATAACCTATAGGAATTCGGGGATAGTCTGTCTTCAGTCAAGCCCCCAATTGAAACGTCAGGCGATACTTCAAAGGCAAGAAGCGCGGCCAATCCCTCAAGGGTAATGACGCAGTTGACGATTGAAGCTTTGCCCATGACCTGCAAATCTATGACTGACACCGTTTTCCGCGAACGTGCAAGTCTTTCAGTACACAATTGAGCAGTGACAAGAACCATGGGGAAAATCCCTCACATTGATGTGTCAATAGAGATTCCCATGAACCGCCTCCGGGGTGTACTTTGGGTTGCTGAGCTTGGTGGTCATGTAGAGCATGAAGGTGTCGTTCCATTCCAGCTGGTTGTCCCCTCGAAGCTGTTGAATGCAGAAAATCCATGAAAATCAAGTGATTCGATACAACAAGACATGAGAAAGTGTACGCCAACCCTTCATACCGTTCACACGGAATCAATCCCGACACATTGAAAGTGGATGAAAGTGGTTAAGTCAGAATGGCTTGGGGCATTCTTTCAGATAATACCTAGGCCAGACACCGAGGGTGATCATCTTCTGTCCATTCAAAAGGACCACTTTCTTCTCCAGAACAGGGTCCTTAGCCCATGCCACGTCTGCAACTGGTTGAGGCTAGTTGACATATTATACCTGTCCCTTAGCAGCAAGCTCTGGCTGCCTGATGCCAAGCTGGCCAAGCTTCCACCATGGGATCAAGCTCTTCGTCCAGATTCTCGAAGAGGAAGGGTTTTCCATATTGGATGGCCTTGGTCATCGTAGTCAGGAGATCTTAGTCCAAGCTGCCCATGCACGCCCATAACGCTTCCGAAACACGGCAAGTGTGTTCGTGGTTGTGTCCCGAAACCCCACATCGCATTTTGCCGATGCTAAGCCTGCTAAGCATCAAGCCAGTTCCAGGAACTTCACATATTCATCGTTAAAGGTCTTCACCGTCAAACCGGCCTCCGGAAGATCCAGCCCAAGAGCGGGTTGAGGTTCGAACCCAGGATTTTGAGGGTGTCTCCCACTTCGGTATCCCACCAGTTAGTCCCGCAGCCACGGCCTTCTCTTCCTTCTTCTTCAACCATGTGACGATTTGCATCTGTGGATCAACACAAAGTGGCCAGCGGGCAGATCTGGTCACCAGAATGCCATTCCTAGAGGCGTCCGTCAAAAACTGGCGCCAAAAAAAAGGCTGGATGGCTCAAACATTCAGAAGCGGAACCCTGCTGTAAAACCAAACAATCTGGAGGTTTACAAAAAAACAAAAGTGTAGGTAGATAGGTAGATGGATAGGTAGATAGGTAGATAGATAGGTAGGTAGATAGATAGATAGATAGATAGATTATCACATATATGCCTGTAGGTCCAAGGATCTGAACACACAGTTCATCTGTTGGCAAGCCGTGGCCAGACCAGGAAGCCACCTGTCAATGTGGAGTGCTGCTATTGATGCACATACTCCATGGCCTCAAAAAACTGTGCTGCTGCCTAGCGTGAGGTTTGTGACCGGTGCCTCCACATCAGAGGTCAGCAATGTTTCGATCTTGAAGTCTTCGGTCTTGTCAATGCCCTCACAAGAAAAAGGGCAATAAGTGACAATGGTACCCCCACAAAATGTCAGCTCAAGTGCAGACAGCTAAGCATCGGAGCCTTGGTCTTCAACCTTTCTTGCCAGTCCACGTAAACCATTTCCTGACAAAGTGTTGCTCAGCCTTTGCACCAATTTGACTGGTTCAGTTTGGTGCCGCCCTGTCTCCTGTGTCATGACTGTGTCCTTGAGTGAGTCCTTCATCAGATTCATTGCTAATGGAAAAGGCTGCCGAGCATCTTTGCGGAACTCGTGGTTGAAAGGTCCGGCGTAGCTCACGAACGCAGCATTCAGCAAGCAGTCACCCACCAGTCTGGCACCGAAAGATTTCTGCACTGGAAGCCAAAGGTGACCCCGCCATAGATGGTTAATAAACCCCTGTAATATCTTCCGGTAACCCATCGTGGTTCTTGATCTTCAGACTCGGCCAAAAATATCAAAAATAGTCACTCAATTCTTGCGGGGTCAACCTGGTCAACCTGGAGTCTGGAGGAGTGGCTGAATCCACATGGCTGGATTCTGGCCTCTTCTTGACCTCACCCATCTTCTGCAAGTCTTCTGTCCATCGCTTGCGCTCCGAGGCCAGTCCTTGCGCTCCGATGATTGAACCAGTAGAAACATGGGCATCTGACCAAGAAAAATATGAATCTGCCCCAAAAAAACTGACAGATCGCGCACAATGATGTCGCTAGTTCTGCTGGAACATCACTATTTATGGTTGATTATAGATGTTCTTTTTTGGCAATCTTAATCCAACTAATCATGTGGAGATGTCCAATCCATGGGGCTAACCATCCATTTATCATGGATTTTCCATGAGATAAACATAGATAAACCATCCAGCTGAGGGTAGCCCCATGGATTTCCTAACCTCCCAACCCTGGTGGCATCCGATGGTGCCCACGGCCTTCGATCAGCTGCGATGCTGCATTCAACCGACGCGTCATGGTATCGGCATCCTGGACATCGGGGGGCTGGGCGGATTGGGAGCCCTCGATACCATGGGAATGTCCCTTCTGAATATCCTTTAGTGATGGGAATAATAGTTATAAGATGTTATAAGAGTATGAAAAAAGTAGCTACTTCACCCAATCCCAAATGGCAAATCATTCTCCAAACATGGCTATATCATTCTCCATACACTCTATTGATGATGATCTGCCCACTGTTTCAGCATTTCAAAAAACGGTCCTCCTTCAACTGTTTCAGCTTGTCACTTTGGATCTGCCGTTCAGCCGTGACGATTTCCAGATTTTCAGCGAGTTCCTTAAGCTCTTTGTTGATTTGCTTCAAGTTCCTGGGAACTCAGAACACGCGACCGAACCACATCGTAATGCGAGGAAGGAACCAATAGAAGCACCAACAAAATAACTAAATCTAAACTGCACATCCAAGATGCTCTTCAGCCTCCTCCTTCTTTTGCTGCAGTTTGTTCACCAGTTCCCTCTTGGGAGCAACACCTTTCGCCACCTCGTAGTACTTCACCATGGCCAGCACCCACTGCAGGAGGCCATATCCGGCCTGACAAAGGTATGCTGCTGGATCAGTTGGATCAGTAAAAGTCGCCCAGATCTTCCAGGATCTTCCCAGTGAAGCCCAACACCTTGGACACTGACTTCATCTTTTCTCCTTCAAACCTTGGCGGATACCAATGGAAAGGCAAAGGGGCCACGCTTTCTCAAGGCAGAAAAGCGAGATTAGAATGATTAGAAAAGGCATGGTCCATTGAAAGTTTCAATTCACGTTTATTCTTGCAACATCTGATGCCGGGACAAATCAGGCAGTCGCCTTACTCTGCCCTGGCTTCGGAGGGTGAAGCACGAAGAAAAAAGGAATTGACAAGATGAAGAACGAAGAGCAAACTAAATATGCATATTATATATATATATACATAATATTATATATAATTATATATATATATTATTATTACTTATTATTACTTATTATTACTTATTATTACTTATTATTACTTGTTATTACTTATTATTATTTATTATTATTATTATATATTATAATATAGATATATTATAATATATATATATATATATATTATAATATAGATCTTGTATGCATTGATATGTACTAGACCTGAACCTGATTCAAGGAGGAACCCAATCCAATTCCTCAAAACAAAGGTTGGTCTTGAGACCGAGCAACACGTCTTTCTCCTTGTTCAGCAGCTCTTTGATTCGCTTGATCTGAAAGCATGATAGAGAATGATGCAAATTAACATAATTAACTTCAGGAAAACCAACAAGTTGTTCACAATCAGCTTTTGGGTACAAGAATTGCTCTTGGACAGCCTGCCTGTGCTCCTTTCATGTCATCCTGAATAGCTTCAATCAAATCTCCAGACAGGAGACTTACCATCAACTGCAGTAAACACGTAAACCCAGTTGATTGGTTCCTGTCATCCTGTCTGCCACAACTTGGTCCTTCTTGTACTCCTGCAATGCCCTCATGAAGCCCACATCGGACATCATGGCTTTGGCTCCAGTCCATCCCTGGCTTTCGTCCTTCGGTTGGGGAAGTTCCAACAGTGGATGTTCCACGATGTTCCACGGTGCCATGGCATCAGTCCTCCTTGCCAAGGGGTCGGAGGATCACGACACACATGCAGACCTCGGTGTGAAGAGATTTCCAAGATGCCCTGCTCACTTAAGGCACCCCTTTTTGATATCGGTCTCTAGTCATCTTTTGGTTCACACAAGAAACCTCTGTCTCTATCTTTTGGTTTTGACAAGTGTTGATAGTATTTGAATATCCTCATCCAAACTCATCGGAAATGCTCTAAATAGGTTTTTTTCCAGTCAAACAACCCGCATTTTGAGGCCATTTCAATGGGGAAAAAAACAAGTCGGTGCTGAAAAAACCATTGGGACCACAAGTGCAAGACGGGCAGCAATGGTCACGGGAGGTGGAGGACTAGCCATGCCCTTGACCTCAGTGATGTCCTTCTTGTCCAACTCCTGGCAGGTGAAAACCATCAATGGAGCTACCCCTTTATCGCTGGATAGTTTATGTCATAGAAAATCCTAAAATAAAATGGATGAGAACTAGGGCTACCCATATTTTAAGGGAAACCTCCACAAAAAATAGTTTAGAACCTCATTGATTTTTGTCCCTAATATGTTCCCTAAGATTTTTCCCATGAAAATTCCCCATGAACATGGCCATTTTTCATGCTGGCTACAGCTCCTCCAGCGCACGGGCGGCGGACTCCAAAGCTGGCAGCGCTGCTTGCAGTGCTTCGTCGGCATCTGCCTGGCTCGGAACTCCCAGGGTGGATCCGACTCCTTCAACAACTCCGTGATGGAGATGAGGATTGTATTATGATGATATCAAAAAAGGATTAGGGATTCATAAGGATTCCCATTCTGGGGTATAATAATCGGTATATAATTGTATTTTGTAATTTCCAGAAGTGTCACTGGAGATTGAGGTTGTATTTCCAGGATTTCCAGTGCATTCTGAATGATTCTCTTGAAGAATTGGAAATCCTACTCTGGTTTTTTTTGTCCAGGTTTCCTTCTGCAAGTAATTCACGTAAACTTCCAGCTTCATTCCAGCGACTTCAAACAGAAGTGTCTACTGCACATTACATGGAACTTGCAGAGTTCTCTGGCCGCGGCCTTCTCTTTCTCAATGATCACAGAGTCCTTCTCGATCTGTTCTGCAGCTGCACTCGCCTGTCGTGTCTCTTTCTCAACATGTCTCAAGGATTCGGCTATGTCGACGTCAAGCAACCCTCATTCGAAAAACAAAAAAGTGACTGTCGAAGGTTTGGAGGCTGGAAAACGTCACTCCCAGAAGGTGAGTCTGCTCTCTCAGATCTCGTAAAGTTTCCAGACGTTTCTAGACTTGCAGTGTTACCAGCTAGCAGCAGATGCAGATATCAGCTGCGACCACACCTCCTCCTTTCTCTTTGTGACGGCTTCTGTCTTCTCATTGATGTCGTCGATCAAGACTCGGACCTTCCACACCACATCAGCGTCTCCAGCTCTGGAGCATTCGGTGTTCCCCACGCACCTTGATGGCATTTTCATCGACAATGGCTTTCTTTTCTTCAAGCTCCTTGGACATCTCCGTCACCTCGCGAAGACTCACAAGATGGATATCAGGGGATCATTGGATTTTCAGATTTTCAAACACCTGCACCGCCGCTTGCACCAGCTTGTCCAAGCCACCGCCCAAGCGGCCTGGCGAATTGAGGACGACCCAAACGAGATTGGCGCATGTTCCATCAGTTTTCATCCATTGCGCCTGACATTTGGTCCAAGCTGTTGCGATTGTTCTCCAAGAATTTCATGTAGTTCGACAAGAAGTCCAGATAATTCTTGGGCGTCGCAAAGTTGCGGCGCTTGTACTTGACTTCAAACTGCGGTGAGTATTGAAGCGTGACCGACAGGTGCGCGTAGCTCATGGTGTCGGTGATGTGGGTCCTGGCCCATTTTGCAGAATCAATCCTATCAGCCAGGTCTTGTAAAATCAGATATATCATATATCAAACTATACTCATGGTATGCTAATCTAGTTTTCTTTCCACTTGTAGGAAATCTCAACCTGAGATTAGCTCTCAACCAACCTAGACCTAGCCATAGCTGCAATAGCTGCCATAGCTGCCATAGCTTGTCAGACCTGCCTGAAGTCATCAATGCCCGTGACGTTGGCCAAGAAATGTTCCGCCACTGCCAGCAAGGCTTGCTGGGGCCAACTGAAGAACCAGTCCTTGGTCAGCAAATGGGGAGAATCCCCAATGGATCCCATCTATAGATGAGTTAGGGGCACCCCCAATGACTCAGGAAACCTCCAAATACGATTCCTTGTGATGATCACAGAGCAATCACAGTCATCAATATTCAGAACCGAAGGTTGGTCCCGGCGGTTATTGGTCAACAACCTACGATACTGTCGGATGCTCAGATGCTCTGCAAATCTCTGCAAGCTCTTGGGTGCCAAGACAAAGCTACCAACACACAGAAGTCATCCAAAAACAAAACAAGCGAGACACCCCTATTCCACGACTCCCTGCTCATGCGGCCGGCACTTCTTAGTAAGAAGGGCTGCCCAAAAACCTTCTGTTTGGATGTGATCCAATCATTCCAATCAACCTCTTCCAACCTTTCAGTGAACATGGCCCCAAATGTGTGTTCCAAGTGTCAATGGTACATCCTGCGACCATGCCGGGGAAGTTTCGGCATCTCGTTCCTCAGTGCAGTCAGATTTGTCCCAACAAGCTTAGGGGCGTCCGCACCCTCCGCAGCCCCGCAGCTGGGGTGTCCACGGAGTTGTGAGCCGGCAGGTGACATAGCAAGAACCAGGTGCAAGTTGTCTCGAATCACCTCAGGAAGTGTTTGTCATTGGGGATTACTCCAAAATTCCATCAAGTTTGTCTATGTCCCATGAAAAATTATTGTTTTACCCGCAGCTGTTTGCCATCTTCTCGCCTTAATCTTAGAAGACGATCTGTTTTGGTGTCTGATTAGTAACCATAATTAATCATATACTGTAAGATACTGTAAGTACAAATGGGATAATCCCATTGATGGAGGATTTTGTAGCTCTGTCCAAGCAAGTGTCAGTACTGTTGTTATTGATTCTATCCGTTCTATCCCAAAATGAAGCTATCTAAATCTTCATGTTCTCCCCATTTCTCCCCCTTTTTTGCTGGTCAACTCCCATTTTTCCGATCACAAAACCGGTAGATGTTCCTCTGAACCAATGGGAGATTCAGAGACCTTCACGGCACCGAGCGACGCCGCAGGCATAGGCCCACATCCCCGTCTCGGACACACCTTCTCCCCGGGCCCTGAGCACAAAAATCACGGGATTTTCTTTCCAGGAAAAATCATCAAGTGGAAATTCCAATTCATCAAAAGGTAAAATCAAATCTTGAAACCGCAAAAGATCGTCAATTCCCAATTCCAATGGGAAAATCAAAGTGGAAAGACTTGATGGATGGATGGCGGCTGGCGGCTTCGCCTGGCACGAATAGCTCCCACCAATGGCTCCTTCTCATCGTCTGGGAACAATGCAGGTACCATGCCAACTGTCAGGATGTTGTTGATGTACCTGAGATGCTCCCAGAGATGGCTAGCTGGGAGGCCTTGATGGTAAAAGTCATCTACAAATTGCTGATTTTCCAGCTGGCCTATGAGGCTTCAATTTTGGGGGGTAGGCTTCAATTTTGCAGATTTACAGCACCACCGCTCCAGAAATCCTCTCCGAGATGCTCCAGGAATCCTTCCTCCACGACATGAGCCTCAGAAGCATTGAGAGGCTGCTCCACTTCGCCCAGGGTCCCAGGTGGGTGTATTTGTTATGGGTATAACCATGGCGATGACCTCCAAAAGATAGGACCTAACCGCTACGACTATGGTTATATATATATAATTATATATATATATATATATAATTATATATATACATTATATATATATATACATTATATATATATATACATTATATATATATATACATTATATATAAAAACCCAACTGCAACCCCAGGGTTTGTGGATCACCAATTCACAGGAACCTGAACCTATCAGCGTAAGCATAGGCCGCAGGCATCTGTAAAGAGGAAGCTCATGGGTTGCTTGATCGTAGCAGTGTACAAGGCCTGCACGATTTCCAACTTCCCACTGATCCTTGAGGATCTAAAAAATGGTTCGCTTAAGGCATGAGTGGTTCAGTCATCTATAGCGGTGGAAACCCCGGAACTGGTTCTAACAAGCAGGGAATGTTAACATCCTCAAAAACCTCAAACCTGTCTCAAGAGTGACAGAGTAGCCCATGAAAAACCGAAGCCTGTAAGAAGCCATCATCATTGTTGCAGTGCCCAAAACCTTGTATCATCTCCTTCGAGTGGTTGCCCTTCAATTAGATTGCTCATGCTTAGTCCATATAATCCCAGTGACACGAGTTAGAAGAGTATTTATACTAGTATAAGATAGTATAAAATAGAGTAGTATAAATGTATCACTCCAAGAATTGACATCACTTAAGTGTATAAACTTTACAAACCCAACTAGTTGATCATCAACAGGAGGATTTCAACCAGGATCTCAATCAGCTGGCACCAAGCCTTGAGATCTTCTCTGAGCTGGTCGTCTCCATAGCCGCGGGAAAGTGTGATCTCGAAGAGCTTGTAGCCAGCCTGAGATGACCATCCAAAGCCCAAACAATGGCTATGGATGGCTATGGCCATGGCCTAATGGCTGTGAACCAGTTAAAAACCCCAAAATCGCTGGGATTTATGAATGTGAAGAAGTCACACCTCGAATATGGATAAATATGGTATTTCAATGCATTTCACAACGTATTCATAGGTTTTAACATGTTTTAACTCAAATGAGTCGAACAGCCAGGCATTGAACAGGGATGTGACTCGCCAGGCCGGTAGCCCAGGTTAAAGCGTGCATAGTATAGCCCGCAAGAAGGCAGAAAGTAGGACTATCATGAACATCTCATAAATCCTGTGTAAGAATAAGGTGATTCCAGCGTGATCATCATGGCTGTAAGACGGTGTAAAAGTAGTTGGATGCGGTCCGCATTGAAAATAACTGAAACATCTTCCCGCGATCTTGTCCCAATTGACAAGCCAGTGTTTCGCTTTCCCAAACAAGCCAAACAAGTTCCGGAGTTGCCAAAGATGAAAGATCCGAAAGAATTCATTAGATGCCAGATGCCTATTTTTGGACCCTTTTTGACTGTTATTGTATGTTACATACTGTATGTTTGTTGGGATCTGAAAAACCATGGCGAAACCCAAGAAATATGACCGTCAACAGCCCCTGGCGTCCCCGGCCGCAAAGGTGGCCAGTCTGGTGAGCGATTGCTTGCCTTTTTGGGCCCCCAGTTGGGCCATTTTTTGTAGTGCAAGAAGTAGTGAAAATGATGATTGACCATGTCAATGGATTGGATTAAGGGAATTTTTACAGGAAAACATAGGAAAACCCCCATATTTAATGGGAAAATCTATGGTTTCGTGTAAATTTTCCCTTAAACCAATCCATTGACCATTGGATTTGGAGCTACCCTATCGACAAACCCATGTACTGCAACCATCTGCAAATCTGATGAGGGAGAACTTGGCTCCAGCTGTTCCGCTCCGCGGCCAGAGCACCACTGCCACCAACTCCAATGAGCAAGGCCATGCCGCGAGTCAGGCGAATGATGCGATGCAAACGAAGCAAGTGGGCCTCCGCCAAGGAGCCAAGCTGCAGCGCAATGACTTTTAGAATCTTTAGAATCTTTTAGATGGGTGTTGGGATAGAAAAATGCTGATTTAATGGTAATGTTTTTGAAGATATAACCACTGGGATACATCATTGACAATATGACATGTGGGTGTTCCTCAAATTGAGGTATTAGCCAAACCAAATGAGGATGTTGAGACAAGTGCATTTCAATTGACCCAAAGTCAGGGTCCCAGCTCTTTGTTCCCACTGAGGGCAGGGCCAGTGCATCATTGAACAGGACCAAATTCATGGGGCTGTTGTCACCTTGGCAATCACAAGCAGCCAGATTCGCTTCTGACTCACCCTGATTCTCACCCTGATTCACACCGCTTCACTCACGGCTGCCAAGCTTCCATTGTAAAGCTCAAGAACCCCATCGAAAATCGGGCGAATGGATTCCCAATTGCCCAGGTCCTTTCGAAATGAAGGAACGGGAAGCACTTTGAATCTGTGATTCTCTCGTTCAACACATCAAGTCTCCTCGTAAACCCTGGGAGCAGAGTATGGTGTGTCGCTCTTGACCTGACAGAATTGACTCTCTGCCAACGGGTAGTCAAGAAGTAGGCAATCAAGAAACAGCATCAGGCAAGACTTACCCGGGTGTGTCTCAAAATTTATGGAAAAACCCAACATATCCAATATCCAGAATATCCATATGAAAAAAGCTTGCCATGAAGCAGTCTATTTCCCATCTTCACCATGAAGCTTGCCACAAATTTACCGCGGGCTTCATCCCAATGGTTTTCGTTCAGCTCCCGGAGATCGGACCAGGATGTCCAGGGCGTCTCGGAAGTCTCCCCAGACCAAGGGATCTTGCAGGGCCACATCAGCACCTCCGAATCTAGAGCTGACAGCTGCCAGATGTTTTTTTCGCCCCCCAAAAAAGCATAGAGAAGTCAACTGCGAATCTAAAATAGTGGTCAAGCAATGTAAAGTACCTTTCTATCTTGCTGGGGTTACTACACTGCGCCGTGGTACTACAATCTGCGCCGTGGTCAAGTTAGATGGAATTAATAGGTTGTGGTCATTCCCATAAGGGGAATCCTTGCAATGAGCGTATGACCACCCCTGTTGATGGGTGGTGGATGACCATCCCTCAATATGAGTACATTATAAAAAACTAACTTGACCGTGGCACATATACTCTGAGGCATAAATTGTGCAGAGGATAAAAGAAAGTGATTGTTTGCATTCCAGGCACTCTTCTGGAACTGAGTCTTGATGATGTTGTGCAGCTGCTTCTCACTGAGGAAAGCCTGTCACAGTCTTGCTGTGGATGTTCGAAACCTATTAAATGTGCGTCAGTCACACGTCTGATGTCAACTTCATCATTGAAGCGAATGAATAATAGGTCATCATTAACATTATTCACTGTTTGTATTAATGTTATAATAGGTAATTACTAATAATTATTACAGTAACTATCATGATCAATGGTAGTAATGTAACAGCTAATTATAAATAAATGATGCCAACCATCGTAACTATCATTATTCAATAAAAAAAATGACCTATCATTGACGATCATTACGTAAGTAACGTCGCCCGGCCTTGTCTGCATCCTCATTGAAGCGATCTTCGTACACACGGGTACACTCATTGCGCCATAGCCTGCTTACCGGGCTTACCGGATGGTGGACTCATGGAACCGCCAAAACCGTGTGGGGTACCTGCTGGGTACCCCAAACTGGAGCTTTCCGAAACTGGGGTGACACCCCATTTTATCATCCAAAATGACTTATTGACAATGGGAAAAGCGATGGAAAACCAGTGGTTTGGGGTACTCATGTTCTAGGAAACCTCAATTTGGGAATGCCGTTAAAAATGGTGTCTTTTTATGGTGTTTCAATGGGGGAGACGATGCTAAACCCTGAAATTTAAGGGGAATGTTTCGCAACAAAAAGATGCCAAATTTAGTGACCCACAGCTGGAAAATTCAACCTGTGGAAAACATCGACTCGTTCACTGCCAGGCCTCACTAGGATCGCCGCATTGTTGACCACCTGCAGGATTGGGCTCCACAAATCCCACGGGCGAAAAACTTAAAAAGCCATCTGGTTATGACTAACAGTTTGCCATGGAAATTTTCTTCATGCTATTAATGGGTAAACCATCTATTTCGATTAGGGCCATCTATACCATGGCTATGTCAAAAATAACCAGAGGGTATACTTTTTTACTCCTGACTGTAGATCATGGTTTTTCCCCATAAAGTAGATCTAAGTTTCGCCATCAAATGTGCAACATTTGGGCTAAGCAATACTTAGACAAACTCACAAGTGAATCGCAGCCATGCTGGCCTGTGGATCTGCTTGGCAAATTCCCTGAAAGACGCGGCTCAAATCTCGAAGAGAAAAGATGTAGTGGAACCTGTCATACTGAGGGATCCCTCACCCTTCGCGAAACGTTTGCAGCCAACGTGATAATTGCAACTCTCCTGCACTTTTCAAACCGACAGACCTCAAACTGTCAACAAGTCACTGTAGAAATTTCCAAACTACACAGCTGACGCAAGGTCCCATTTTCCCGCAGGGCTCGGTCCGGGCTCGGTACAGCAGAACCTCGATCGGCAAATGGAAAGGAGCTATACTTGGACTAAGCAATCTTCTCGGCATAGCACCGCTGCACCAAGGAGGCACATCCGCCAGGGACCAGCTCAGTGATGGATTCCCCACGTTTCAGGCGCTCTCGAATCAAGGTCGAGGACACCATGGAAAACCTGGTCGCAGTCTACGGGCTCAAAAATGGGCCACCGGGCCACCGCAAGGGCCGTTGCAAGGGCCCATCAAATCGGTGGGTTTTTACTCATCTATTTTGGGGTCAACAATTCTGAGCCACCTTGGATCTGCTTGGATGTATGCAGTGGGAATCGGACGGACACGGCCAAGCAGAAGTTGACCGCTGATATTCCTGGGTTGGTTTTCCAAACCTGACCATTGACCATGGCCAGCCTATGGGTCAGTCTTTTCGGGTGGCTAAGCCAAATCTTGACCCAAAATTCAAACATCATCAAACATCCATTTCCCATCTATCCAGAATCAGATTCACTTCATTTCATTTCCTGCACCATGGGGTCTTTCATCACTTCCCACTTCGAAGTGACCCAAGCGTTTCGCCCAGTTTCTGCAGCTCCAAACACTTCTCAGAGGCTCCGTCTTTTCGGAAGCTGCGCAAGCCACGGTACATGACTTTGGCACCGTGCTGCTGGGCATGCTTCCAAATGTAGGACCACCTTTGATCAGGAACCCCCTCCCAGACCGATGTGCCAGCAAGGAAAGGGAAACTCAATCCCAGGCTGTGTCAAAATCCAAAATCAAGAAAAACTGTATCAAAGAGCTGAAAATATCGCTGGAGCACACAATGATCACGTCCACATTTGTGAGGCCAATTTCCTTCAGCATGGCCCGAAAGAGCTCTTGTCGCTCATACGGACTGACGTCATACTTCTTGTTGGGATTGACTCCAATGATCGCATGGACTCGCTGGTACCTGGCAGAGAGGTAGCGCACCATTTCCTGAGCAGGGCTGCGAAAACCTGGTGGATCTGGTCTTGGCAAACTGGAGGATTCCCATGGTACCCCCAGTTATCATCCAGTTTAAATAATGTTCACAGGATTTTCCATGATTCACCATCCGGCTATTGGGGTACTCAGGTACTCCCATTTTAGGAAACCCCCAGTTTGGAGACATGGCAGTGCCAAGCTCCGCAGCTAGCCGAGCGTCCAGGTGTCCTTGATGTGGTGGGTTGAAAGATCCAGCAATGAGAGCCAAACCACTCTCTGGCTCAGGAGCTGTTGGTAACGGTTGCCGAATGTAGGTGCTGGTTCCAAGTTGCACAGCAAGATATCCTTCGCAAATGCTGTCAGAGATCGTTGCAAAAGTCACAAGTGTCGCTGATTGAAACAGCCTGTGCTTGATGCATAGGATGATACCTAAGCCTGAGAGAATATGACTTGAGGCCCAGGGGTAAGGGACGAAAGCTTGGCAGGGAGCAAACACAATGAGAGGATGCGGATGCTGCCGATGTACCGGTGGCGACATGCCGATGTGCCGGGGGGGTTGAGCCGCGGCCAAACTGCTCGTGAAACAGCCTGGGGGGTAGTTAACTGTGAAGTTTCACGCGATTGGAGACTCAAGCTTGCTAAAGCAAGAGGGACTTCAGCTAGCAGAAGCTAGCTTTCGTGATTAGATATGATTAGCCACCACATCAAGAATTCAGGACTCAACGATGGAGCAGTTGATTCTGTTGGATCTCGTTCCAACTTCAAAACAATCTGAGCACTGAATTCACTGGGCCCTTCAGTCCTGCTGCTGCAGAAACTGGTAGGCCCACACCGAGCATGACATGCACCGGCGCAGCCACAATTGCAGAACCGGCCAGCAGCCCTACAGCACTCACTCCTCACCAAAACTGACCTTTTCCCAGAACTGACTGATGGGAAAAGTATGGAAAAGTTGCAGGAAAACCCATCCATTGAATGGTAAAACCCATAGTTTCCTGTAGAGTTGCCCTTAAATCCATCCATTGACACAGCTTGACCAAACACCCGAGATCCTGTGAGCTTGGACCAGCTGGACCAATTCGCGCTTGCAAGTGCCTTCAAGCGAAGTGCAATGCTCGCACCTATTCGGGCAATAAGCCTCAGCTTGCCAGCAGACTTCAGAACCATCTGGGGTCTGCAAATAGTTGTCACAAATGGCCAATGTCATAGTGAAAATGATGATTATCAGTGGATGTCGGGGGGTTCCCCTGAATTTTCGGACAATCCATGACGCAAGGACACTGAATGTGGACAAGCGACGAGCAGCCTAGGGGCGGAAAATCCACGAGCTGCAAAACATTCAAATTCATGGTCTCACCAAAGAAGAAGATCAATTAAAGATATGTCTTAGTTATGATTGTGAATCATATATCATGACATATCATGACATATCATTACATATCATTGATAATCATCATAACATCATTATGATCTGAAAATATATTTTTAAAAAAACTATGATCAAAGCCCAGTGGGGGCCCATTTTTGGGCCCAGTGGGCGATTGACGTGTCATTTCGTCAAGATACGGTCAAGCTTGGCCCGAAGCACCTCAGCCTCCTGCGCAGCATTCTCCATGGCCTGCCTCTCACCTGGTGGCCAGTCACCAACATCCGGGGTTCAAAGAAAAAACACTGAGCCGTACCAAGATCCCCCACGTCTCATGGCTTTGTTTACGAAAATCTACTGTAGTTGATCGTCATTGCCCCGCTGAAGTTGCCATTTGGATCCATTTGGTGGTATTTTGAGATGATGGGACACGTCCTGCCCATGATATTGAATCAAATTTGAGTTACGCTCATTGCGGAAGATGTCGGTGGCAAAAATCTTGGACCGAGAGTCCTCGGATGGGAAAGCAAGACCCCCGACCACGGCCCTACTAGACCCACCAGACCCGAAGGGTCACATGTTTCCCGAAATGACAGTACCCCTAATTATCATCCATTTTAATAGGATGTTCCCTAAAAAAAAACATCCAGCTGTTGGGGGACCCCCATATCAACCTCCACATTGACCAATCCGTACATTGTATGGCAAGATTCCGTTGCAGTGGAGGTGAGGAAGGCTCCGCGCGCTGCACAATACAGGGCCTCTGAGACGTGAGAATACTCTTGACCTGAAGCTACAAGCATTGGGTGGGTTTTGGTTGGGAAAATTACAAAAATTACAAGAACCTGTTTTTTTAACCCCGGAAAATTCTGGCGTTTCCTGTCACTTCCCCAGTTCATCCAATTCTGAGATACAAACTGCAAGTATGATTGAAGGCAACTGATAAGGTTAGCCAATCTGGCAATACTGATTGACAAGACACTCAAACGACTTCGCATTCAGCTCAAAGAACCCAATGCTCAAACATACACCTTCTCAAATAAATTCAATGAAGTAGTAAGAATCTCAAGGAAACCATTGGTTTTTTTGCCATGGCATCGTGGAACATTGATAAACATCCGGCACTGAGCCCCCCACGAATCTGTTGACCTGATCCAAAGTCAGTTGGGTGCTGGACGCCAGCGGACGACTTTAATCCCTCATGGATGATCCCCTGAAAAACCATGGAACAACCAACAAAAATGCAAATAAGCATAACAATAATTGAAAACCCAAACGTAGCACTAACAACCTTTTCTACCACCGTTGCACTAGTAAGCCAAAAGGGCTGGGGTGAAACCACTACAAACCAACTAGCCTAGCTCAAGCCCTTACCTGTACATGTTGAATGGGACCTCAGATCTAGACACGCCTCCCGAGTGTGGAAGCAGAGCTTGCATACGAGTACAGACTGAGGTGTATCCCATCAGACACGGCTCAAGCCCTTTCAGAGCGTGGAGCGAAACGAATCTACACACGCAAAGCCAAAGGATGACTTCCAGACTTGAACTCGAAAGACATGAGATCGAGGAGTTGCTTGATTCTTGGCCCTTCAGATGCTTTAGTCATGAGGTCAGCCCACATTTCCTGAGTGCTCCTCTTGCGCAAACTGATCTTGCCTTCCTGCACGCAGTCTTGGATCCAAAGGAAGGATGTGTCAATGTGCTTGACCCGCCCAAGACCACGACGACTACCTATGGCAATGCCGCTGGTAGCATCCATGTTGATCACGAGCGGGCAGCAGATGCCCCAGTCCTTCAGCATGGACTGTTCTCCTAGACCGTGAGAGGCAGAGCTGATAAGACCATAGAACTCCGCTTCGGCGCTGGACAGTGCTATCAGAGCTTGCCCCTTGCAACGGGCATCAATGCATGAGCTGCCCAAAGCGATCACAGTGCCGCTGGTCGATTTCCGACTACGGATGCACCCGGCATGGTCGCTGTCGGACCAGACTGTGAGTTCGGTGATCTTGTCCTGGTTGTTGAACTTCTGCACTAGTCGTCCATGACCACTCAAGTACCTCCCTATTCTTTTGAGGAGAGACCAGTGATGACAAGTAGGATGTTGCAAGCCTTTAGCCAGCTCTCGTGTGGATCGCAAAAGATCTGGCCTGTCTGAAGCCAAATACCCAATGCGCATCGCAATGGATCTGTAGCGGCTAGCGTCCTGATCAGACAGCGGAGTCTCATCAACTTCTTCAGAAGCTTTGGCTTTCAGCAAAGGTGTAGTGACAGGGACACTGCCTTTGAGACCCAAGTCTGTCACGATCAGTTCTACGTGCCGTGGGTCGGCCTCAAGTACAATGCCGGTATCCGACCACGTGATCAAGCGGTTCAAGACTGACAGTTGTTGAACACAATCGGGCAAATTGCTGTCAGGAGGAGCAAGGATGCCTCGGGTTTCAACGGTCCATGCTTCCGCAAGATGATCACGCAGCCAAATGGCATCTTTGTGCCCAGTTAGGACCATGAAGTCGTCTCCATGGACAGAGCACAGAACGCGCCGCTGTGGATGGTAGTACAAACCAGGCGACGACCGGCCTTGCTGGAAACCCAGTTGCACCATCACATCGCGAATTGCCATTTCCCAGTTAAGGGGAGCATCCCTTGTTCCGTACAAGGAACGGTGAAGGAGTCCCACATAGTCTTTGGACAGTCCAAGTTCGTCGGGCAATTCAACCAGTATCCTTCGACGGGCTGGGGCCCAGAAATGAGCCTTCTTGATGTCGAGAAACATCAAGACCCTGTCCTTTGGCATAGGTTGCAGTTTTCCTGCCATGTCCGGTACCCGCGCAGTGGTGGCCAAAGCAAGGAGGGCCTTCATGGCGGATAATGGGGGCATGGCTGCGAAGAAGTCTGCCCAATGGCTTTCGGGCATTCCAGTGTGGGATGGCTTGCGACGCAGCTCTTGCGCCACAATGCGGCTTCTGAGTTTTGGTCTCAGATTGTCGCCCTTGTTGATGTCGATCCATCTTGTGCCTATGGTCCTTTCATTCCTAGGTCTTTTGATGACCTCCCAGACACCCATCTGCTTGATCACCTGCAGTTCCTCATACCTTGCTTCCATAACGCCCTTAGAGGGGAGTGGCTTGCCAGTGTTGTCATCGTAGAAGGACTGCTCCAGGAACCATGGCTCGAACTCGTCTTTTATATCAGCAAGTGGGCGGTGCGGTTGCTCTGCAATCAGGTTTGCAAGGACAGCAGAGCGGTGCGCAGCAAGAGCACCATCTACCAGATCTTCGCCCTGCGCCAGCAGCTGGTCCAGGTCGCCTCCTGGCTCCAAAGGTCTTTTCTGAGCTTCTGCGCGCGTGTCTGACTCAAGAACCCTGATCCTGTCCTCATCCCCTTGGTCTTGAGCAACACGCTTTCGTGAGGAGGGAGCAGGAATTCCAGAGGTTGTTGGCGAAGCACGCGCGACTTTCTGTCGCATTGTTGACGCCGGCTCATACAGAGGCCTCTTCTTATCTTCTGGGTCGACGGGCTGCTCAACTTCCATGGTTGGAGTCATCGGCATGGGGCTGTGAGAAACAGGCGCGCTAGGCAAAGGCGTGCCCTGCTCAAGGGTAGAAGGCAAAGCGCGCGACGACGCCGATGCTTTTGACACAGTATCCTCCCGCTCAATGTACCTGGCAAGGTACTTGTTTTCGCGTTCCAGGTTCGCTTCAAGGCGATCTTTCCCTGCCGGAGTGTCCTTGAGACGACTGGTGATCCGATCACGGCAATGATCCGAATGGAGTATGCCAGCACGAGAGCGACCTTCACGCAATGCGTCGCAGGCGCTGCAACCTGCGGTAAAACCGAATTGGTCGAAATCGGCTTTCCTCAAGTACATCCTGCGCCCCGCTTCTTCCTTTGGCGCGGGCCGAACCGGTCCCTGCACCACAGCGTCCGGAAGTTCCGGAGCAATGTCAGCAGGAGCAGGAATGGACGTGGGACCTTCAGGCTTCAGGCTCCAAGGAAGAGATTTGAACTCTTTCAAGAAGTCCATGTCCCATTGCGAAGAAGGCGGCTTTCGCTTGAGGGATTGGACCACAAACGTCCCTTGGGCAGTTCCTATGATTTTCTCGCTGGAGGTGATGCGAGTTCCAAGGTAGATGCCAGATTCCCACCGAGGCTCAGATTTGGTTTCCGTGCGCTTGCGGAACTCCACAATTTCACCGAAGCATGGCAGCGGTATGTGCCAAGCTCTCCCCTTGATTCGCTGGAACGGCGTCAAGCCATCCTTCAGCTCTGTGTCCTTTGAGAAGAGCAGATGCAAAGTTGCAGCGTGCTCAACCGCCCAAGCAATGACAGGGGAAGTATTGCCGAGTGGTTGCCCAGTCTTTTCTTCAATGTGCGAGACAAGCGTTCTGACCATTCCCTGGATGGTTTGGACCGCACGTTCAGCCTCGCCATTGCTCTGCCCGTGCGCGTCACCTTTGGGGGCATCTTCGCACGTGACTTCTGCGGGGTAGCCATTGGCAACCGCTTCACGGAGAGCTTTCAAAGAACTTTCCTGATCACTTTTGAGAACAAGCCGCTTGTAACCCAGAAATGCAAGATTGCGGAGGATTGCACGCTCGGGAAAACTGCTGTACGCAACGCCTTTGTGAGGGAGAAGGTGAGCGAAGATTGCCTTGCTTTTTCTGTCGCGAAGAACGACAAAGGGAAGGCCATCGCCAAGGAACCCGTAATCCATGGACAGAGTTGGGATTAAGTTGTCCGAGTGGTCTACCCGGCGATGCTGCATTGTTCGCCCTCGCCCACGCACGCAAGCAGTGCACCAGGCGCGGTACGGTATATGGGAGACTTCATGTTCGCGGATCATCCGCTCTGTGGGCTGGTCGGGAGTGGACAACGGCTGCGCAAGTTGAGCTTCGTCAGCTTCGAGCAAGCCTTCGGAAGCCTCCTGCCGGTTGGCAGCCTCAGTCCCTTCGACTGCAGCTTGAGGCACTTGGACCGGTTGAATTTCAGGAACGGCTTGAACCAAACCTGTTCCTGTCCTACCCCGAACTAGCGCTTGGCAAAATGCCAAGCCGAGCCCCTTTTGAAACTGTACAGTAAAGGGTGGACTACAAGGAAAATTGCTAGGTGAAACACTTGAGCCATTTGGAAAAGAAAGGATGGGATCGAACTCTCTAGTCTTAGACTTTTCAAGAGTAAACACTGAGTAAACCCTGCTCGAACCCTGTTCGTCCAAAAGCGCGCACTTTTCCTGCGCGCTGGCTGCCAGTCTGGGCCTTACGCCTGAGTCATCTTTGGCTGCCCGGGAAAAGGCATCAGCACCCATGTGCTGAAGGTGGGCACACCAGTACTGAGGTCAAGATTGATGCGCTGGCCACTCTTCATTTGGATGTAGGAGCACTTTGCATCCATCACTACTTTATGCCCATTTTGCAAAACTTTCGTCATGGACAGCAGAGGACGCTTCACGTCAGCCACGCTCCAGTTGGAAGAGAACTTGCGCCAGTCTGGCAGGTACATGTCCATTGTGACGCTGCCAAGGTTAGGGATTTTGAACCCTGTCGCCGTGGCAAACTCTTTAACGCCTTTGACAGGACCCATGCACTGTTGCTTGGCAAGGTGCACTGGCATCACGTTGTCTGATGCTCCAGAGTCCAAAGTCACAACCAATTTCTGCCACTTAGTTTGCGCAGACTTCGCCTCCTCCACCGGTGACTCCAGGGCTAGGACCCGTCCACTGGCGGCGTCCTTGCCATTCCACCATGGCGGTGGTCCAGGTGGCGGACTTGGCTTGAGTTGTTTTGGCTCGGGTCGAACCGACCCTGAGCCAGCTTTATTTTCAGAGGGAGGTGGCCCAGGCGGAGACTTGTGACAGGAAAGCGCAGCCTCCGCTGCCTGCTTCCTTTTCAGCCTTCCTTCCTCGCGCCTCGCCTTGGCTTGTTTCTGCTGCCAAGTTTTCTGCTTCTTTCCTGACTTGCTCCATTGCCTTTTTCGCACAGTAGGGCAAGCTTCCTCCCACTCTTGCCTGCAGTCCAGACGCTCACTCTTGGTCAACGGAGCAGAAACCTCATCCTCCAGATGAGGCATCAGTGGGTATGCTTTCTCCTTGCGCGAAGCAGCGCCAGGAGCACGGTGTTTGACCGTCCACTCCTCTTCCAACGCCATGCGTTCGGCAGCTCGCTCTGGCCTTGATTGTTGGCGGTGTTTGCCAGCTCGAAGACGAGATTTCTCCTTTCGCCATGCCTCTCGGGCATTCTTGCCAGCCTCAATGTCTGCCTGGAAACGTCTGCTGCGAGAACGGCGGACATCTTGGCCTTGTGCTTTTGCCTTCTCGGATTGAGCCTGTAGTTCTTGCCGTGACTTGCGCAAAGACTCAAGCTCCTCCAGGTCGCCATCTTCCTCTGCCTTTGCCATGGCCACGCGAAGGTCCTGCATGCAGCTTGCCATTTGACTGGACAGAGCCCTGGTGGCCATTCGCAGTCCAGTGGGCGCGCTGCTTGCAGAGTTGTCGCCGTAGACCTTGTTAGAGGCTGGGCAGGTACTCACGTATTGGCTGGCGAGCGGGGTGGAACTGGAGGATGGCTCGGACTGAAGCAGTCCTAAGCCACAAAGCTTTTCCAAAGCCGAGCCAGTGGGAAGACTTTCTTTCCACAGGCAGTCTTCGTAGTATTCGGCCTCATCCGGATCTTCAGCTAATTCCACGGCCTTGTTCAGCATGGACTTCTCCTCAGCTGTCAGGACGGAAAGGAAGCCGATGTCTGCAAATTCTTCTGCGTCCTCTTGCTCTCCTTCTGGCTCCTCATTCTCTTCTTCCCCGCCATCCAGCTCTGCAGCGGATCCTTTCTTGCCGCCACCCTTGCCGCGACCTTTCCCACGGCCCTTGGGCGGTGGTTTCTTCCTCCCTTCAGCCTTGAGTTGCCTGCAGTCACGCTTGAAGTGACCAGGCTTGCCACAGTGGTGGCACAAGTCCTCTTTGGTGGCAGCACGTTTCCCTTTTCCAGAACCTTTTGTCAGCGCATCCACGTCCATGGGTTGGGCTCCAGAAGAGTCGTCAGCTTCTCGCTGTCGCTTCTGCTCTGCGTAGGCCAGCACCTCATTGCGTAGGAGACCATAGCTGTTCAAACGGCCCAGGTTCAAGTCCAGGTACTCCCGCAGAGCATCAGGAACCATAGCCAACAGCACCACACGTGCTTGCTCATCAGTCAAGTCGCTGCACCCTGGCCTCTTTGCGTAGTCTGACCGCAAGCGGGTGGAGCTCAGAGATGTCCGTGACCTGGGATGGAGACATGATCTTCCGCAGTAGCCGCAGATTGGACAGAGGGTTGTTTGGGTTCAGCCTTGCAGACAGTCTGCGCCATGCATCGCACCCAGATCCACGGTGTGAGTTGAAGACAATATCGCCAGGCACATCCTTTGTCAAGGAAGCTAGTGTCACTTCAAGTTGCCGGTTCAGCTGGGGAAGTGTCTCAAAACCTGGTTCTGCAGCCTTTGCTGTGAGCACTGCTTGGTCGATGGTGGCCGTTTCAGCTTCGCACCATCTCAGCACTTGAGCTCCATTTTCCCACTGGGAGGCCAGCCACAGTTCGTACTTGTAGCTCCACTGCCGCCAAGTTGACGTAGCTTGGTCAAGGTTCCCACCAAGAGACTCTGGGCGACCAACTGCCTTCAAGTCCACTAAGCCCCGGGGATGCGCAGGAGCCTGCCGCTCTACTAGTCTGGCCAGGTTATCCAGCTGCGCCTGTTGCCCCATCATGAGCTGCTGCTGTTGTTGCAACATCTGCATCAGCATCTGCTCAGCTTGGCCTGATCTGCTGCCTCCTCCAGTGGGTGACCCCTGGCCTGATGGCGACGCCATCGTTGGCACGGATCGAAACGATCCTGTGCCGGCTCAGGAGAGCGGAGTGTCGAAGATCCTGTGGATCACTCAGCAACCAGGAGCTCGGCTACCATGAAAACCCAAACGTAGCACTAACAACCTTTTCTACCACCGTTGCACTAGTAAGCCAAAAGGGCTGGGGTGAAACCACTACAAACCAACTAGCCTAGCTCAAGCCCTTACCTGTACATGTTGAATGGGACCTCAGATCTAGACAATAATAATAACAATAATAATAGTAGTAAAGATGATAATGATAATTGATGATTTTTGTTGGAATTCTTTTAAAATTATACCTAGTAATACTGATGAGTTACAACTATGGTTATAACCAGTTACCAAGTGGGATGATCCTCCAACAACTATCCTTCCACATGAGGGTTATATCAATGATGTTGAATGTTCTGTCCATTGATATCTCAGGGGAACATGTCCCACCCCTTCTCCAGTCACATTCACATCTGAGCGGCTGTATGCTTCATACTGCGGCCACGGCCGGCCTAAGACTGCCATGTCGAAGTCCATGAAGAGTTTGCAATCCATCTCATCATCCTCTGTACATTTGTGATGAGCTGTTTGCACCTCGGCATAGCAGTTCTGGATGTTCTGGGGAAATCCCAGCTTTCAGGTTTGTGTGAAAAACTCTGCAGAAATGCATGACACCGACAGGCTGAGGAAGCAACTATCCATCTCCTCACCTGGCGAATGAGAAAGGCGCAAACCTTGCAATTTTACACATGTAGAAACAAGGCCAGAAACAAAGAAATGACGATAAATCCACTGGTAATCATCATACAAGTCACAGGACCAACCAATACCAAAAATCAAGCAAAGCGTTGCCAACTTCACCAACTTGATACCAAACTTGTAGGCAGTCCGGCCTTCATAGCTCTAAATCCTCGTTCACTGCCACCAGGTAAGGCTTCCTGGACAAAGTGGTCGAAAACATCGGCACTGTCGATCTCATTCCTCAGAATCCCACGGTAACCTCGTGTCCCCGTGATTTTTTGACACCATATTTCTGCTGATTTTTCGACAGAATCCCCTGGTATCACACAAAATCACACGGGTGTATGGATCAAGATGGTCAGACCCAAGGACCGTTTCGAAGAGCTTGTATAATATGGATGATCTGAATGAAACGTCAAAAAGAGTTTGTCATGGGGGCAGTAAGAGTAGTCCATGGGCCGCTATAGTTCAAACGATCAAGGAATAAATAGGAATAGGACTTTGTGAGTGGCAACTTGTCCATTCTGAAAATCACTGGACCGGCAACAACTCCAGCTTCAAATGTACCACTTCAAATCGCTCATCATGGGTGCTCACAGACAGACGGCAACCGCGAGATTTGGTTCTGATGTCATCTGCTGAATGTTCCAAGATGCTGCGGACTCCCAGCTTTCGGATCATAGATCACATCGTGGAAAAAGATTGCCAGGCTCACAGATGCAGCATCGGAGATCAGTTTCAAATGTTCCTGCCACTGCATTTCGTTTTTCGCTTCTTTAAACATTTTGGGGACAATTGCTAGGAAATCAGAACTGATTCATAGCTATTGAAAGTGTGTAACTACGCGTTTACCGATTCAGTCCTCAAAGAAGCCAAACATTTCATCCAAGTGAGACAGTGTGTGGTAAGCTCTCTGCGACTCTGTGTAACCTGGCAGTGCACAGGTTATGGTGGGTGGTAATCCAGTAGTGGATTCACCCAATGGGGATAGGGTTTTACCATCTATTTATGGTGATATTGGGGACGATTCAACTTCGATTTACCATAAATGGTTGGTAAATCCAATGTCATTAGAAATGGTCGGTAAATCCACTTGCCACCCATTTTACCAAACAGTGCCAACCGTTTACTAAGCGTTTACCAACCCTTTACATTATTTACCGACCATTACTTCAGCAAGGCTAAGCAACGATTCTTCAGCACGTTCCACCACTTCTGCTCCATGTCTTTGGACACACCAAGACCCTGGCAGAGCTCCTGGTCACAGACAGCCGTTGCTGGTGGAAGATTGGCGGGCGCAAGCTTGGGTGTTCTGTGAAGGAAGTGCTTGGCATCAGGGCAATACGTATGTATGTATGTATATATACATATATATTTATTTACGTATGTGTGTATGTATGCATGTGTTTATCTATGTATCTATGTATCTATGTATGTATATATATATACATATGTACGTATGTGTGTATGTATGTATGTGTTTATCTATGTATCTATGTATCTATGTATCTATGTATCTATGTATCTATGTATCTAGGTATGTGTGTATGTGTGTGTGTATGTGTGTATGTGTGTATGTGCGTATGTGTGTGTATGTATGTATGTATGTATGTATGTATCTATCTATCTATCTATCTATGTATCTATCTATGTATGTATCTATGTATGTATCTATGTATGTATCTATGTATGTATCTATGTATGTATCTATGTATGTATCTATGTATGTATCTATGTATCTATGTATGTATCTATGTATCTATGTATCTATGTATCTATGTATCAATGTATCAATGTATCTATGTATGTATCTATGTATCTATGTATCTATGTATCTATGTATCAATGTATCTATGTATCTATGTATGTTTGTTATGTATGTTTGTTATGTATGTTTGTTATGGATGTATGCATGCATGCATGCATGCATGCATGCATGTATGTCTGTATGTGTGTGTGTATGTGTGTATATGTATATATATATGTGTATACATATGTATATGTATATGTGTAGGTACATATGTATGTATAATATATCAATATATTATATAGAATATATATATATATATATATCACTGCATATATATATATTATTATATATATAATAGCATATTATAATACACATATATCCGCCGACCCCGGCAGACGCAAGGGGGAGCGCGCCAGGGAATAAGACAAGCAAAGACAAGCAATGGCCAGTAGCCAGCAGCTTATATATATATATATGTATATATCCGCCGACCCCGGCAGACGCAAGGGGGAGCGCGCCAGGGAATAATACTTTTGATTCTTGTTTCGGACTACTACCGCTGCAGGGGTTTCAGAAGGGACGTTGGGCACTTTTTGGGCTCGATTTTGGCGCTGTTCCGTCCTTCAGGGCCACTGTGTTTCCCCGTCCGGGAGGGTGCGTTTTCAGCCTTGTTTCGGACTACTACCGCAGCAGGCGCAGCAGCAGCAGCAGGAGAAGTAAAGCAAAGACAAGCAAGTTTAGCCGCACCAGCAGCAGGAGCAGCAGCAGCAGCAGCAGCAGTAGCATCAGCAGACGCCAGCACCAGCATCACCAGCAGCAGCAGCAGCAGCAGCTGCAGTACAGTAGCAGGAACAGCAAGAATAGCTGCAACAGCAGCGCAGCGGACGCCTGCACCACCACCAACAGCAGTAGCTGCAAAAATGTTGTTCTTCGGGGCAGCACACCACCAGCAGCAGCAGCGGGAGCAGCAGCAGCAGCCAGCAGCAGCAGCAGCCAGCAGCAGCAGCCAGCAGCAGCAGCAGCAGCAGCAGCAGCAGGTCAAGCCCCGGGGCAGCATGTTTTTGGAGGTCGTTCCATCCTTCAGTAGCATGGTGTTTCGGTGTGGCGAAGGGTGTGTTTTAGAGGCTTGCAGCGTTCCGTCCCTCAGGGCCAGTGTGTTTCCTTGTCCGGCAGGGTGCGTTTTGAGCCTCCGGAGGAAGAGCAGCAGCAGCAACAGAAGCAACAGGAGGGTTCTATGTCTCATTGTACAAACAGTGATATAAAAATTGGTTGAAAACTATAAAAACTTGTCCAAAACTATTGTTTTTCTAGGGTTTCAGAAGGGACGTTAGGCACTTTTTGGGCTCGATTTTGGCGCTGTTCCGTCCTTCAGGGCCACTGTGCTTCCCCGTCCGGGAGGGTGCGTTTTCAGCCTCGGGAGGAAGAGCAGCAGCAGCAACAGGAGCAACAGGAGGCTTCTATGTCTCATTGTACAAACAGTGGTATAAAAATTGGTCGAAAACTATAAAAACTTGTCCAAAACTATTGTTTTTCTAGGGTTTCAGAAGGGACGTTAGGCACTTTTTGGGCTCGATTTTGGCGCTGGTCCGTCCTTCAGGGCCACTGTGCTTCCCCGTCCGGGAGGGTGCGTTTTCAGCCTCGGGAGGAAGAGCAGCAGCAGCAACAGGAGCAACAGGAGGCTTCTATGTCTCATTGTACAAACAGTGGTATAAAAATTGGTTCAAAACTATAAAAACTTGTCCAAAACTATTGTTTTTCTAGGGTTTCAGAAGGGACGTTAGGCACTTTTTGGGCTCGATTTTGGCGCTGGTCCGTCCTTCAGGGCCACTGTGTTTCCCGGTCCGGGAGGGTGCGTTTTCAGCCTCGGGAGGAAGAGCAGCAGCAGCAACAGGAGCAACAGGAGGGTTCTATGTCTCATTGTACAAACAGTGGTATAAAAATTGGTTGAAAACTATACAAACTTGTCCAAAACTATTGTTTTTCTAGGGTTTCAGAAGGGACGTTAGGGACTTTTTGGGCTCGATTTTGGCGCTGTTCCGTCCTTCAGGGCCACTGTGTTTCCCTGTCCGGGAGGGTGCATTTTCAGCCTCGGGAGGAAGAGCAGCAGCAGCAACAGGAGCAACAGGAGGGTTCTATGTCTCATTGTACAAACAGTGGTATAAAAATTGGTCGAAAACTATAAAAACCTTGTCCAAGACTATTGTTTTTCTAGGGTTTCAGAAGGGACGTTAGGCACTTTTTGGGCTCGATTTTGGCGCTGTTCCGTCCTTCAGGGCCACTGTGTTTCCCCGTCCGGGAGGGTGCGTTTTCAGCCTCGGGAGGAAGAGCAGCAACAGGAGCAACAGGAGGGTTCTATGTCTCACTGTACAAACAGTGGTATAAAAATTGGTCGAAAACTATAAAACCTTGTCCAAAACTATTGTTTTTCTAGGGTTTCAGAAGGCACGTTAGGCACTTTTTGGGCTCGATTTGGCGCTGGTCCGTCCTTCAGGGACACTGTGTTTCCCCGTCCGGGAGGGTGCGTTTTCAGCCTCGGGAGGAAGAGCAGCAGCAGCAACAGGAGCAGCAGGAGGGTTCTATGTCTCATTGTACAAACAGTGGTATAAAAATTGGTTGAAAACTATAAAAACTTGTCCAAAACTATTGTTTTTCTAGGGTTTCAGAAGGGACGTTAGGCACTTTTTTAAGCTCGATTTTGGCGCTGGTCCGTCCTTCAGGGCCACTGTGCTTCCTCGTCCGGGAGGGTGCGTTTTCAGCCTCGGGAGGAAGAGCAGCAGCAGCAACAGGAGCAACAGGAGGGTTCTATGTCTCATTGTACAAACAGTGGTATAAAAATTGGTTGAAAACTATAAAAACTTGTCCAAAACTACTATTGTTTTTCTAGGGTTTCAGAAGGGACGTTAGGCACTTTTTGGGCTCGATTTTGGCGCTGTTCCGTCCTTCAGGGCCACTGTGTTTCCCCGTCCGGCAGGGTGTGTTTTCAGCCTCGGGAGGAAGAGCAGCAGCAGCAACAGGAGCAGCAGGAGGGTTCTATGTCTCATTTTACAAACAGTGGTACAAAAACTGGTTGAAAACTATCAGCAGCAGCAGCAGCAGGGGTCAAAAATAGAGTTTCATTTAGGATTTCATTCATGAGGGGTCAAAAAAACACGGGGGAGGTCAAAAAACAAGGTGGGGGATCAAAAAAACAAGGGCCCCGTATACTTTCATAAAATATCATGCACCTGTGCGGCGCAACCATGCACCTGTGCAGCGCAACACTAGCTGTATAATAATAGGGCCAAAAATATCGTATATATACATATATACATATGTATATATATATATAACTATTATACAGTTACTTAGATCCATGAACCCAGAAAAACATAGGATCATAATATTAACATACACCCAAATGAAAAACCCATTTTCAAATACAAGTTCCAACCTATCAAATATATTTCACAACAATATACATAGGAAAAAGGGCGAAAGCCTCAAGGTGCGAAGCACCAAAAAGTTTTTTCCGGGGTCGGCGGCAGGGGCGGCAGCCCTTAATAAACATCTGCAAAACAAATCAACCTGTGCACCTTGTTCATTCACCCACAAAAACACACGATCTATCTCCATTTCGTCAGAAATTGGCGTGTTTGAAATGATTCCCCTGAAGCATAATTCACTGGGCTGGTGTAGGGGGAAATCGACAGGAAAACAAAGGTGTTACCCCCCCAAAAAAAAACAACAACATCCAGTAATCAAACCATCCAGATCCATCAAACATGGCTGGAAAATCAACCAACAATCTATGACTTTTTCCCCCAGCTATAAACCTCCATTTATGAAGGGGTTTTAAAGGGTAACTTCCCATTGAAAACTCCATGTGTATGGCAATTTCATGCATTTTCCCATGGTTTTTCAGGAAGTCGCTACGTTCGATGACACCGGGGGCTGTGACACCACGCTGCAGGCCTGGTTCGCCAGCTGCACTTCGCGGAAAACCTTCTGGACCACTGGCCTGCGAACGTCGGCAATCTGGGCGACTAACTGGTATAGTCATGGGTGATTAATGGTAATTAGTGGTAATTAGTGGCAATTAACTAGCAATTATAGTGATTAATAATGATTAGTAGTGCTGATAATTGCTAATCATCACCATAGATTGCTGTAGGTTGCATGTGGCACACATCGAATTATATAGACTGATATGAAATATTTTGATGGTCTTGACATTCAAATCAAAATACAACCCTGGATTGACCGCAAACTGTCCGATTTTGGATTTTGTCCTGTGCCTGTTCAAACGTGTCAGCTGATTGGTGAGAATTTAAACCTTCACAATGGACACCATGTAGCGTGGTAACAGGTGGAAACCATTTCAAAATTTGCGGGTTCGTCCTCCCAATGGTCCGCATCTCGAATCCGCAGAAGAAACCGTTAATGATCCCTTCGGCGCTGCAGTGTTTTGCCTGACCAAGGGTGTCAAATCGCAGAAAGACTCCAAAGGCCTAGACGCGGCCACGAAGGCTGCGCAAAAACGAGCCGATGCGGGTGTTTCTGAACATGGGAATCTACTTAGAGCAAATTAAATGTGGAAAAACGATGAATGTCTTGTCATTTTAGCTGAATTTAAAGGGCACGTTATTTTCAAAAAACAATGAAGGTTGTTGCACGAGTTTTTACTGGACAGAACTCAAACCAGCGAATGCGTTGGCATGTTTTTCTCCTCCAGGTGAAGGTCCTTGGCATCGATTTTTGTTGTTTGTCAATTTGCTCGTCTTCCTCCCTTTCCGCTACAGCAAAACCGTATCTTTTGTGGTTCATCGGACGAGAACTTGCCGGTTCCCTGCGGTTCGCCGGGCACCGACACCACTATGCCAAATAAAATGTCAAAGAAAAATAATAAGATGCCAGGGAAATATGAAACACATATTGCAATGGCGAGAGTATGTTAGATAAAATCTCAGATGACATCTTAAGTGTCAAAACATAGGTTCATTTAAATGTCTGAATATAAGTTGGTTCGAATGTCAAGTGGTGGCAAAAACTCGCAGAACAATGTCTAGTGTTTACGGATTAATATGTTTTTGGCAATGGTGGGTCCACAATTCCGCATGCATGTTCACAAAGAAGTCTCGATAATTACATAATTAAATATAATTAGCATAGTTACATATACTGGAAACACATTTGCGCCAACAACTGTTGGAACACCGCCATGGAAACAAACAAGTGGCCAACTTAACTATTCGGACATGTTTTGTGACAAAATGTTCGCAAATATTGAAGTTGTCCGTTTGAAGCGCTACGCCTGCCATGGTCACGACTGAAGGTTCCCAGATGTTGAAGCCGCTGGATTCGTTTACATATATGCTTGTAAGTTGTCAGCGGCGCCTGCTTCGTTCGCCGACGCTCTACCCCCAACTGCCAGGAAAAGTCACCCCAACTTCTTCGCCCATTGTAAACGCAGCACGAAAATGTAAAAACTCAAAAACAAATACTATAATCCCAAACTTTCAAAGCACCATGAGAACGCAAGTCACCCCAGTGGTTTCAAACTAGGGAAAATTATTAACAAAACGGTATACTTCGATATTAAAACACCATGTGAACGCATGATTTAAGATATATCTTTGTTCTGAAACGCACCTAATCTCAACGTTCAAAGCTGCGAGTTGGAACCATATCTATCTATATATATATATAACGGTTTTTGGAAGGCATTTCCATTTTGATTTGCCGAAGCACCCGAAGACGTGAAACACTTTCCCAATTTCTGCAACAAATTTCTGTGGTCAAATTGTGTTCTTCTTCAAATAAAGCATCAAATTATATCAAAATCCCCAGCTGATTCTGCCACAACCAACCACGCTATTGTAAATACATTTGAACTGAGCCCCCAGGTGGGTCTTAAATCACAGGTTCCGAACGAGGCCAAGAACGAGGCCAAGAACGAGGCCAAAACGAGGCCCGAACGTGGTCAGAAAATAGCTTTGGAAGCCTTTCAGCTCAAAAAACAACGCGCAATAAAACAATACAAGGAATCTAGAGGAGAGAGCAGGAGAGAAAGAGAGAGAGAGAGAGGGGAGAGAGAGAGAGAGAGAGAGATAGAGAGAGAGAGAGAGGAGAGAGCGAGAGAGAGGGGGAGAGAGAGAGAGAGAGAGAGCGAGAGCGAGAGCGAAGGAGCGAAGGAGCGAAGGAGCGAAGGAGCGAAGGAGGGAAGGATGGAAGGATCCTGCTGCTGTAGAAACAAGCATATGTGACATGATCTATACAACAAGCACCTTTAAACTGCATTTACTGTAATTAGATGAATCGATGCAACTACTCTAGAATGGTTTCCCCCCCGGCAGGGCGATATGTAAACACGTGACTGGATTTGCTCGACAATCGCATGAATGAGCCAGGCATGACAAAACAACAAGTTCACCAGTGTAAACACAAGCTAAATGAAGCAATGTTTATTTCTAAGAACATTATTTTCTATCTCATGCAGTTGACCAAAGCAACTAAACGCATGTTGGGGCGACTTTCCCGGGAAGTCTCCCCCAACTAAGCGCAAGATTCTGGATCGGGCCAAGTTCACTATAAGGGAGTACACAGGGAGAGCTGGGATAATTTGCCCTAGGTTCTTGGGGACAGCGTCAAGCAACGCAAGGCGGTGAAGTTAAAACACAGGAAAGGCCACGTGCCCTGCTGGCTTTGATGCACAGCAAAGCCCGTCACAGTTTTGGCAATCATGTTTAATACAAACAAGCCACAAGGCGCAAAGATTGGGGGCTCAGTTGGACATACGCGAACAGGCTGGTAAGTTAAATTCCATAATCTTTGAGAATAGTCAGTCCACTTTGTTTCATCTTGTTGTGGCGTCGTCCAGCAAGTCATCATTGGAAAGGAGCACTAGATCGGAATCGAACAAAACCGTAGATCTGTGCACGTAGGTCATCAAATGGGCAAACAAGCTATTTTGTTAGGTTTGACATGAGGGTCACAGAGTCTTGTGAACCCTGAAATGTCAGCGGAAAATAAACCCACTTTTGGAAAAGAATCTGTTGAATGAGGTTATGTTTCCGAACACCTCCCAGTCTTGCAACGATACAATCCACGGATTGAACACAACAATAATTTTAATAGAAAACCAACCATTGATTCATCACCCAACAAAAATATATGATCTGCATCTGGCCACGAAACGATGGGTAAGTTCGTTTGTAACTAGATATATAGTTAAATGGGTTCTTACTATATATATATAATGTAGTGTATATATAATGTATTGTGTAAATATATATATATATGTGTGTGTGTCTGTAATATATTTATATATATAGTATCATTATTGTTATTACTATGATTATTGTTATCATAAACCTATATTAAAAAATGGTAACAAAAATAAATCATAATATCAATATGTATATAAATCAAAACATGTACATGTATATATATATATATATATATATTATATCGTAATATATATATATATATAGATATAGATATAAAAATCTTCATATACTTTCCTAACATATATGATTATATCCATCATAACAGGATTATCATATTATCATGACAAATAAATACATATATATATATATACACATCATATCATATATATATACACATCATATCATATATATATAATATCATATATATAATATCACATATATATATCATATCATATATATATATACAACCAACAAACATGATGTATTGATTCTTTTGGGGGCCTGTTTCAGGCATCTGCCCATGACAGGGTCGTCAGGTGAGTTCTGGGGAAATCATATGTTTTACCCTCTGGTAAACAAACATAACCATTGAAAATTACTATGATTACAGGTGAACTCATCTATACATGGACCATGTTCCATAGCTATGTTGGTTTATTGGCAGAATAAACATCGAAAAATAATACGGGGGGTGTAGTCTCCATCTTCTCGAATCCGGTCGCCATCGCCATAAGGTCGCCGTAGTAAAGAATGACATCATCAACCGGTCGCCCACAGATACCGGAAAGGGGTCGAACATGGGGAGATCAAGAGGTAAAATCACGGTCGTCCATAAAAAATGTCATCTTTCGCTGGTTCTGGAAATATTTTCCGTGTATAGCAAGAACAAATAAGGGTTAAACTATCCATCCAGTTGGGGATGACTATGATTCACCTGTAAAACACGTTGGAGCGACCGAGGTCACCCAGGGTCAAGAAACTATGTGGTTATACAAGAGGGCTTTCCCCAAGACTATAGGGAAAACGTATTATTCGATTTGGTACTGTACCCGAAACAATAAACTGGAGGTTGATGAATCCTGGGCGAACATCACAAGTTTCAGTCGCAAAGTACAGAGTTTGAAGCCACGCAGCTGCACCCCGCAGCCAGGCCTGTTTGCTGCCTTTGCCAAACCATCCACTCCATCTAAAACCTGCGGAATGATCGGACATTTGGGCACCAATGCTCATGGAGTGATTTTTTCACCTTCAGTTGCTATATATAGTTAAACAATGTGGTAGTTTCCATCCAGTCATGGTGACATGGTGGTACCCCCAGTCATCATCCAGTCGTCATGAGCGACCATGATGTGGGTGCCGCCCCAAAACCTGGGAAAGCCTGGGGTATGATGCAAGGTAGGCCCCCCAAAGATTTCGGCAATTTGTTGGCTTATAAAGTCCATGACGACTAGGTACAGCTAAATCTACGACCCTGAAGTTACCCTACTTATAACTGCTTGAAGTATATACAACCAACCCTAAGTTAGCTAACCAACCCTAAGTTATATAAGATAACCCTGGGTCTATATATATATATATATATGTAAATAACCAACGTTAGCTAACCAACTGGGACCCCACCAAACATAGATTCGTCCGTCCTCCACCAGGCTGCTCACTGGCTGCTGACATCGGGCAGAGCTGCCCACCAAGGAGAGAACCAAGGCGCCTGCTGAGCGATGGACATGGTCATCTTTATCATGGCGGAAATCCAACAATAAAATAATAATAATAATACTAGTAGTAAACCCCAAACAGATGGAACATTAATTATTACACAAAATTACCGCGAATATTCATATGGTTGGTCAAGATTCCTTCCGGGAACGGCCATTCTTACCATGAACCAACTAATTTGCGGTTAATTTCCATCCACATCTCGCAGCACCACCAAGATGCACAACAGGCTTTTGTGCCTGCAGGCTTCAGCATGGGCACCACGTCGCATTGCAGCCTTGAGATATGGCCATATTTGGGCAAGGGTGGCAAAGATCATTTAGTAAGCAACCAGGATACAATCATTATATCACACCAGTAGTGCCGCACAAGGCGGTGGCGGAAGTTTTCAATAATAGGAAACCTATAGGAGAGGTTGGTTGTTGTGAATCAGTTGGAGTTGTGTTTTTTGGAGCGGTTGCAATGGTTGCAGTGGTCACCGTACCACAACTGCTGGATGCAGTGTGGCGTAGTGCAGTTGCAGTTGCAGTTGTAGTTGCAGTTGTAGCTGTAGTTGTAGTGTAGTGTCGTGGAACTGTAGCTGTAATGTAGTGTAACTAGTGAATTGTCGTGTAGTGTAGCTGTGTTGTAGTGTAGTGTGGTGTAGTGTAGTGTAGTGTAGTGCAGTGTAGTGTAGTGGTAGTTGTAGTTGCAGTTGTAGTTGTTTGTAGCTGTAGTTGTAGTGTAGTGCAGTGTAATTAGTGTAGTGTGGTGTAATGTAGTGTAGCCATGTCTCTTGTACTGCGCCTGCCACGGAAAATGCATCTTTGCAGATCCTCTTCACATGTCCCACGCCTGCCATCGTTTTTGGAAATGCTACAAAACCCTCACGTTTGCTCACTTTTGACAACGTGCACAATCCCTTGCGCCTGCCCCGCAAAACGACAAAGTGCTCCGAACACCCAGTCTTTTTGCACTTTGACTTGGAAATGTGCTTCGCGCCACAACGGCGTGCACTTTTTCGACATCTCAACTGCCAAAAGTGCTCCGGAGCTCGGTGTTTTGTACATTTTGACTTCGAAATGTGCTTCGCGCCACAACGGCGTGCAATTTTTCATCTCTCATCTGGCCAGATGGCTCCGCACCATCCGCTTTAGCGAGCCTACTTTTCGACCCTCCGGAGCCACAAATCATTGGAAAATAACACAGTGTTTCGCGACTTTCCTACCTTTTCGCGCACCTGGATCTTCTTTCTTCTGAGATTTCTTCTTCTCTTCTCTTCTCTGACTCTTCCCATCTCTGCTTTTCATCTGTCCATATTGTCGGAAGTTTGACTTCTAAACTTCCTTCGATTACTAAAATCTCAATATCATGTTAGACAAAAATTGCAATATAATGCCTAATGTTTCCAATCTGGAGGGCATATTTGGATGCATCCATTTCGTATGTGGCTAACCGATGTCTGGGTCAAAACCTGCCCTGGTGATCAAATCTGGTGCTGCACAGGAGGTTTTAAACCCACCCTCTTTTAACTGGGGATATTCCATGTATAACAATGGGGTATAGAATGGTTTATGTTCCACTTTCCAACTGGGAGTTTAAAATTGGAGGGTGTAATATCGTAATCAATACCAATGTCGCAGGGTATACGACTTCTTCTACGAATCAAGACAATACTAGAACAAACGGTTCTCATTGGGTTACCTGTTTACCACATACCACTTGGGGGGATAATTTTATCAAAACAGCAAGGTTGCTATTGGACCCCACCATGGCATTTTCGACAACTGTTCAGATTCCCAGTGTGCAAGCCCAGGGGCCCAGAGCGGAAGTGTCTCAAAAAAGGCTTGGGATTCCTGCTGAGCAATACGTGCCAGGATGCCAATGATGCTCTTTCCAATTGGCTCTTGTAATGCCAGTGGTCTGAGCGCTTCTGGGGTGGTTGGCGCCTTACTGGGTCATTCCGCCAGCACTGCAACGCTCGGTACACATGGACGGCCACTGGCCACTGCTTTCGTGGCTGGAATGGCACTGAGCGCACGAAAGACATCCCAGACATCAAGTATTCTGAACACTCTATCTGAGATATACATATATATATATATATATATTTATGTATATATATTCTGATATGCTGATTGCAATCCATTCTGATACTCTCTCTGGCAACCATTCTTACATTCTTTCTGGCATTCTATTTGAATCTATTTGACATCTATTCTTACGTTCTTTCTGGCTTTCTATCTGGCATCTGTCATATGTTCTGACATTCTATCTGGCATTCTTTCAGACATTCTTTCTGGCATTGTGTCTGGCACTCTCTTTGGCATGTGTTCGGGTCCAGGCGTGGCCCACTGCATCCTGAGAGATCCTCACCCGGCAGGTGCGGAAAAACATGCCACAGCTCGCTGGGTCTACAAACAAAAACAGGAAGGTATTCAGGTACCTAACACTCAATCACAAAAATGCCAGCGGCTTTGTTGACACATGTTGACACCATGAGGTCATGTTGTGCCTTGTGTCCCCATGTTCGACAGGTGAGCTGTGGAATTTGAACAATGGCATTCATTATTATATATATATATGTACTATGAATATAATATATCTATATATGTATACACTCTATGTACATATATATATATATATATGTTTTGAAAAGTAAGAAGGCAGTGCACTTTTGTATATCAAGGGTACAAAGGAAATGATCGGGACCGCTTCTGGTACTTCATTAAAATGTTTAATATTTGATGACAAAAATCAATCCATATAATATCAAGTATAATTCCATTCGCAATACTTTTATGGCATTTTGGCTAAAGCCTATCAAACTTAGTGGTTGTCAATCGCCTGCAAAACGCTTCTTTAACATTTACTAAATCCATATCCAAGATCATCTAATAGAGAAATATCTTGGATATGGATCTCATGGATCTCTTTCCCCCTACGGCTAGTAATACTAAGACTTTAAGACACCAAGATCAATATAGAGAAATGGCACAGCCACCATTTCTCAACAAAAAACAGTCATCCAGAAAAATCGCCATTCCCCCTAGTATCAAGGTATCAAACAACCCTCTATCTATAATATTAAATATATAATGTGTATATATATATATATATGTATGTATGTAAATATTGTAAGTTATATTATATAATATATATATATACAATATTTATATATATACACATGTTTTAAATGTATATATATATATATTATGATAATAATAATAATAACAATAATAATAATAATATATATATGTGTATAAATAAGTGGTTTCCTGTTGAATCTATATATTCGGGGGGAGGTCAACACACGCATACCCCGCCACATGTCTCTGGGCCGGGAACGAAACGGCTGCTCGCAGCGTGCTCTGCGCCACCTGGGAAAGTGGTTAAAGGCATCAAGTCCCTTCAATATGAAATCCAACCCCAAAACGACACCCTGGTTTAGTGATGTATGAAACCAAAATAGACCCAAAAATAGTATAACTAAGATATGTATTCATGAATTGGGGACCAAAATAGGTGACTCTGATATTAGGGAAGGGATTTGCCCATTGATCCTATTAATGTTTTTGGGCTACTCAGAACTGGGATTCAATGTTGCTGGGCTCACTTTGGCTGACACACCGCAAAGTAGTGCTCTCTATCGCAACTTGGTGGGAAAACAATCCCATTTGGAAGAGCAAAGTCATCTCTGAATCTAGTACAAGCTAGGATCAAGAATATCAAGTCATCTCAAGCTCTAGTCTAGTCATCAATGGCTCAAGCAGTGGCGCCCTCCCGGGCAACAGCTTGATCATCCCATGAACAATGAGCAATTTTATGCACATATAGAATATAGAATCATATGTTTTTTGTCGCAGCATGCTGTGTATATGTTTAGGATATGCTGAAAGTATATCTCTACACACCTTTGTGTATAAGTATATACAGATTCACACATATCACTATATATATAATATATCTTTGAATAGATCAATGCCCATATTCAACCCCAAAACTAGGATGTATATATTTCTCACTTGCTACTCATTCTAACATATCAGGCTTGCATAGTTTCATAGTCATAACCTGTCATGACCATAGTTATACGCCACTTACTAAAATGCTTCTTAGCCATAGTCATGAACCAACTATATTCCATTTATGAACCAGTATTAACCACTATAGTCACTATTCATAGAATTGGATGATGGGAAAATTTACAGGAAAGCCCTATATTTGATGGTAAAAACCATGGTTTCCTGTAATTTTTCCCTTAAACCAATCCAATGAATTATATATTATAAATATCAGCACTAATTAATGGTAGACATATCCCACCAAAAAACGGTAAAAAGCACCTCCAGGTCCAAGTACTCAGCAGCAATCTCGAGGCGTTGCTGCAGCACCTGCGAACGGAGAAATCGCTCAGGACCGGTATATTAATGTCTGTACATGTGTGTAACATGTTATACCGTGCATATATTAAATATATATATATATATGTGTGTATTAAATGCATATATATATTATATTCCGTATACAATATAGACAAGTTATGATAAGTTTAACTTGTATATATAGAAGGCAAATAGGTGTTACTGATATATACGCAGAATGTAGATGAACGTTCATAAGTTTGACTTAAGCAGCAAAAGTGAATAGTGCATGTAATTACTATAATTCTAGCAATTTCTTGCCCATATTCCAGGGCCGAACATATTCCATGCCAAAATAGCTGGGAAATTTCAGGGAATTGCGAAGACCTCTTTCAGGTGAAATTTGTATTTCATACAGTTTGCCAAGTACTCCTTTTCTTCTGGCACGTACGTTGTCGACTGCACATGTTCTTCCCCAAAGAAGGTCCTTACTTTCAACAATTTCTGGAAATGTCACAATTAATAATGTTGAACTTTCCAAAAATGGATTAATAATGTTCTTATGGGAATTTGTCATCTACACTTTTCAGGATCTCAAAACCCAATTCATAAGCTTTAAGCTTATGTTCTGGCACGCTTGGCTGGCCTTTCATCAGCAGCGCCATCCCCATCTTTCTTGACATCTTTGTGGCCCCGCAAAGAGCTCTGCACAACAGGATCTGGGAACACAAATCATCGACGATCCCGTTTTCTTCCGTGCAAAATATTTCCACCGATAGAGTACGATGCCACCCGTGGAGTGCGCTAATGCGAAAATAAAACAGTATGCGTGGCCCCCTTCGACCTTCCCCATGGATCCAACACCAGTTTTTTCCATCATATACCAGAAAATTATCACATTTCACCCTGCTGAGCTTTTGATTTCTTTGTTTTTAATTTTTGGTCATTTTTGGCCAAAATGGCCTGGAATGCGATAGTATGTGAAACTACAGACGTCTCACGCGAAACCGCTACCTTGCCCATATTCCAGAAAACGTGATTCCAGGCGATTTTAGCCAAAAAAAAAAAACACAGAAAAAAAGAGAAAATCACCGAGTACGAAGATTTTATGGAGTGCGAAGATCTTGCAGAGTGCGTGGATTTTATCGTATGTGTACGTCCCTAGCTGTGGAGTGCGATGCCCTCGCTGGAGTGCGAAGAATTTGTGGAATGCGAAGAATTCCGAGTGTGCGTGGCTGGTATAGAGACCACATAGGGAAATCTCGGGGCCAGAACCAAAATTCCAATCCCAAAGCCAGCCCAAACTTCCAGGGGCACACCAGTGGGTTCTATTTTTCCGAGTTCACCTTGGGTGAGGTCCCGGGGAAGAAACTTGCTAATTTTTACTCAGCCAACCTTTAAAAACGTTACCTTTGACAACCCTGTCCTTCTTCGGTAGACAAATGAGGAAACTTCCTTATCAAAGCAGCCTTCAATTCATTCAACGTCCACAGCTGCTTTGGAACGACATAGGGGATAGAAAGCTGTGGAGGGGCATTCAGTGGATTCGCCGTGGGCCAACTGTTCCCTCCAGATTGAGCTGAAATGCCTATCAAAGTAACATACCAAAACCCAGATCTGGAGTACGATGAAAACATGGTATGCGAAGATTTTCTGAATATGGGGATGTTGCCTCTAGAATAATAACATTGCTAAAATCAAGCAGCAACTAGATATATAATTCTGAAATGGATATAGGAGAGAGGTACCCTCTGGTAAACTAACATAACTATGGAAAATCACCATTTGTAATGGGAAAACTCACTATAAATTGCCATTTTCAATAGCTATGTTAAATTACCAGAGGGTACATAAGGAAACATGCTAAGCAGTGACATAAGCCAACAGCAAGTCACCAAGCCGCAGTGGCATCAAAAAAAACTCTGTCATTTCAAAACTATAGATCTGTTGGTTGAGAACGGGATCACTTCATGGATGATAATCATCCACGACATCCCAGGCAATAAAAAGGTGCCGAAAATTCATTTCATAAAACTGTGAATTATCCCGAAATCCCGATCTTTCACAACTATGATCATCAACCACACATCATTAATTCCACATTTTGGCTGGAAACCCACATATCTTGCACAGAAACGGGCCCAACGCGGTGCTGGCGCCTTCGCGATCTCGCTACGGATTTTGCCGCAGAACTCCTGTCAACTCAGAAAATAAATTGTGGTTCACTGTTGGTTGAAATGCTGGTGAAAACATCATAAAAAAGATTACAGTATTCTAAAAAAATAATGGAGCTTAACATGTTTTTTTCTGGTAAAAAAAAACACCATTTTGCCTGGTTGGTTTGTCAGCATCAAATCAGCAAATCCAAATTGAGGATTTCAGAACAACGTCAATTTTCATATGTAAGAAACACCCAAAATGTGGGTTTGTGAAAAAAAACAGGGGATTAATGAATTACTCCCATTTTTTATATGTTTAATATTGTTTAATCATGTTTTTGTTTTTCCTCATTGAATTTGCACTTGGAGGGCCCGATCCCAAACTTTCAGACACACCCACATCAATAACACAGTTTTTGATTCATCAACCGAACAAAAAATTGACCTCCTATGCATGCTCATCTCCGAAACCATCGATGTCATCCTATCATGGGGTTGATAAACTTAAAGCATCTTAAAGCTAATCCATGCCGGAATCTATGCTTTGTGGATTAGCAACAAAATCCATGCCGGGCCTCACTGAAGGCTTTCGTGGTTTGAGCCCCTCTTAAGATCCGACATGTGATGCTGTGATGCTCACAAAACGTGACAAGAAAGCACCGCCAACTGTGGGTTTCATGGCTGGAGATTTTACCAAAATGAATTTTGGAAGTGACTGACAATTATATAAATACGTATATATATAATTATATAATTATATAATTATATATATATGTAAATTGCTGTATATATTAACCCCTGGTGATTTACAGCAGCTGATTTGGGCATTGTTCATCACTGGCTTTGTCCGGGAGGGTAAATGATTAGACTGTATGCCACAGTTGCCCATGGTTGACGGTTGACGACTTACTTTGGTGTGTTTTCTTTGAACAAAAACTATTGGATTATTGGATATTATTGGATTCAATTTCTTCAGATCAAGGTATTCGGCATGCGCTAATCACCTGAACGTTTTCCAAGCAACCATGTTCGATTTCGAAACTAAGGATTTCTAAAGATAGTAAAGGGTATCACCCATCACTTTTTTTTGATTCTTATGGTAGTGAATGGCTACCTATATCATGGCTGGCGAATTTTCCGTGCATCTTAGTGAAATATCCCGTGAAGTCCAGGCATGACACACCGTGCGCAACGATTGCCCTCCGGTCTTCTCTCAAGGATGAAGGGCAGGATGTGCAGCTGTTGCATGTTTAGTAAAGTCTCATCTCAGGCGCCAATGTCGACGGCCATAGTCCTTGCCGGCCATAGTCCTTGGCGCGCCTTGGCCTCCCAACCTGGAGGCGCCTCCATCGCAACAAAAATGATCCTGCAACACCAAAAGGATGGTTGAAACCCTACAAACAATTGGAAAAAAACACCTATCAGCCTATTAGCTATCAGCTGGTGCAGGATTTCGCAACCATCCACTGTCTGAAAAAAACAAGTTCGGCACATCAATGTAAGAAGATCCGTGTCATAGAAACGAACAGCGATCCAAACACCTATAGGTTTGTGTAACCCCGGCCGTTCTTGACTAACTCAGATCCGTTGACGGAAATCCTTCTTCGTGCATTCTGGATTCCCTTCTTGGGTGATTCAACACATAATCAAATAAGTCCAATTTTTTGCATTTTAATCATGTTTATATAATCATTGATTTCTTGATAATCTATGATTATGATGACATATGGATCATCATTGATCATCTATAATTAACAACAATTTACTGATGTCTTGATCATTCATCTAGCAGCTGTTTTCTTCACCCACCTCGTCAACGCCGTGGCGGTCACACCTCATCGTCTTCGTACTCGCTCAGCAAGGCTTGACAGCGCATCCCCGCGCGGCGCGTGGTGAGTTTGAAGCGTTCATGCTTCGCCTCGACCAGCGCCAGCCTCACTGACCGTCACAGCTGATATTGGGAGGCACCTGGCAAGAACTATTTTAAAACATCGGAACATCAGAAGATCATATTTATATACGGTGATATATATATATATATATTATAACATGATATAAGCAGCAAACATGAGACACATTGTGATTTAAGGTTGTCAATGGGTAGGTTCCAACAATGTCCTTTGGGGGGAAAAAATCCAGTTGCCAGTGACTGGTATAGGATGTGTCATCAGCCAACATCTATGGACATCGACATCTATGGTAGGTGAATCACATTACTAGATCAAGAACACATATATGGCAGTGTGTCAAAACCTTGTACCCCTGGTGAACATCAAAATAGCTGGTAAATGGACGTTCATTTCCCTAAAAATGGTATTAATAGGTATTGATCCATACCCATATAAGAAAACCCACATAAACTGTGCTTAACATGAATATGGCAAAAATGGGATTATTAATCCTATGAGTTGGTGGTTTCTTGTGACTGGTTTAACCACCTGGATATTACATTTCAACCAATTCTAGCGGTGTAATTATACTGCCTACATATTCAGAATCATGAAGGTAACTTTGGGGGATCTGCATGAAAATTATTATACCGTTTTTTTGTCTTGTACGGTAACGTGGTGATTCTGAAACCCACAATCATTGAGATTCTACACGACCCTACTATCAAACTTGGGAGTAAACCATCAACATCGATTGGGATTTCACTGGTGACTACTAACATGGCTCATCTTGGCTGCAATGCAAACAACGCAAGCTTGAGCTCGGTTCAATATCACCATGATCTATGGCAAACCGGAAAAGAAAAGAAACATCAAACAACTACACCCGGAATGAAAGAACATGTGTTTTATGTTGTTTGGATTGCATTTTGGACCATTGGTACTCTTTGTCTGTGCTTGGTAAATTTGGCTGTTGTCCCTTATATACATATCTCCCAGTGCGGCTGATTTCACGTCCTCATTTCTAGGGCCATCCGCAAGCTGAATCGCATGTTGTCATAGCAATACAGTTTTGATTCAACAATAATTAGCCTCCGGTAATTTGACATAGCTGTGGGAAAGTAACCATGAACAAACATGATTTACCTCTTTAAAATTGTGATGTTCCGTGGCTATGTTAGATGACCAGAGGGTCTTTTAAAGTATCTGATTGGATATTCACTATATCTCCATTAATCCCCATTATATGCATATGTATTTATATATAAATATAATATATGTAATTATATACATATATATATATATATATATATTCGTTATTAATCCCCATATTCACTATTAAAATCCCCAGTGTATTCAATATTTTCATATGGAGACCTCACCTCCTCCCCTCGACCCCGCTGGGATTCACGCCGGCAGTTCAGAAGATTTTTGGGCCCCGCTTTTTGCGGCTTGCACAGCAAACGCAAGAGGTGCCAACCTGGGTCGATTTTCAATGGATTGGCTGATTTTTTTTTATAGGAAACCCATCTAATTGATGGTAACAACCACGGTTTCCTGTAGACTTTCCCTTAGACCAATCCATTGAAATATGGGATATCTGTAAAAACATGCAATTAAAGAAACAAAAAATAGGGAATATAATGAACAATGATGGGTATTAGTATATTTTGTGAGAAATGATAGGATATGTATATTGATATATATTGCATATTGGGTTTAAGCAAGCTTGCCATATAATTCTTCCATAACCAAACCATAATGGACTATATATCAACAGTTTGAGTTAGTTAAGAAAAAAACACTCTTGAAACCATGGTTTTTGGAAATTCAATGTGTTCCTTTCAAGTAAGACCACACAGAAAATCTGGGATGATCTGTTTATTGCTTTTGTCAATGGATTGGTTTGTTGGGGGGAATCTTCACCGGAAACCATCGATTTTCCCATTGAGATCAGCCATGAAGGATTGAGCCCATGGGCTGTCATTGTTCTTCCTGCATCGAATAGCTTTACTACAGGGGATAGTATCACTACAGGAACCACGTAAGCTTTAAGTAGTGACAACATGTGACAACCAATAAATGTCTACCATCTATATACATGTACACATATTTTGGTGATACCGTACATAGATGTACATAGTAGGATTTAGACATATATATATATATACACACTTACCAGAATGTGGAGATAGAAATAGCACCACCTGTATCTTCTTTATGGAATACTGATACCAATGTACTAGGGACATAACGATCAACTATGTATGCACAGGATGTACACATATTATGCATATACACACGAGTAGCAACCCAAACAGAGTGTTTTACATACAGAAACGTAGTTTGCCACGATTTTTCTTGGTAAATATGTATGTTATAATTGATGCATGTATAATATTGATGGCGATTTAACCAACAAGAGACAACCATTGCGATAATGACATTGATAAAAAAATATAAAAAGGGATCTAGCTTGGCACGTGCTACCACGGTTTATAGATGTTTCTAGGCTGTCGCCCCACCTGCCCCAACGATACCAGGGACCAGTTGCCCGGGCGGCTAAGATTCGGATGCAAATCCTGCTACCCGCTACCGAGCATACGCAAACGTGACATTGATAAAAGGGAATCTAGCCCTTGTTCAACAATTCATAATCACAAAACAAGAAGCACACATATACATATATTCATATATAAGCAACAACGGATACAATTTTAACATCACAACCAATCATTTCATGAGGACATACCCCAATTTAATGCACTTTTCAGTGAGATGATAGTGATACATCGATAGATAGTTCTCAAGTTTAATAATGTCCTATATATATATACTATATAAAATTATATATACACAAACTAATATGTTGAAGCATATTGTGTTCTTTGACGCCAGAAACAAAGAACCATGGAAAACACACACACCCTACTGTTTGGGTAATGGGTTGTCATGTCCAGCCTCAAAATTCATTGCTTCCAATGGCACTAAATAAGCATAAATGAGCATATACCCATTCACTTCTTGTAGGACACCCAACTGCAGAAAAAGTGGGCGACTATCCTCACTGTCAACTTTATCTGAGCAGATTTTATGTTGTGTCTTCTGCTTGCTTCTTTAGTTTGACTATCATCAAGGTTTATATCAAACAGACATTCAACAATATTTTTCAAAAAAGGAAAACCTGTAAAATCCTTAACAAAAATAGAAAAGTAACGAAATCCCAAATCTGTAATATTCCTCCTTAACACATGGTGAATCTTAGATACCTGCAAAAAAATCTAGTCTTTAGCTGGTTAGTACATTTTACTGATAGCAACATATTAGTAATGATAGCTACAACTAGTAGATTTATATACTGGTTAGATACAAATTCTATCTGATTGGTGGTTTCAACCCCTCTGAAAAATATTAGTCAGTTGAGATGATTATCCCATATATTATGGAAAATAAAAAATGGTCCAAACCACTAACTAACCAGTTATCTGTACTTATCTTTACTATCTGATGAATGGGAATTCCAGGATCCTAAAATGGAGGTACTGTACCATATAAGGCCATATTTTGGGGGGTATGTCCCCTTACATAGGCCTAAATAATAGGCCTTATGGTAGGTACCTCCAATCAATCGGTTCCTGTTGCATGGCCATTGATTTATAGTATTCCCAGGGATTAGTATTCCCATTGTTTGGCGAGTATACCATTAAATACCATCATTATACCAATTATCCCATAAAAAATCCCATGGTATCCCCATAGAAACACTAAATTAATAGCTTTATTATACCATCCAAAATGTTCATTCCTATGTATTCCATCTGGTAAATTAAGATAACTATGGAAAATCACCATTTTTAGTGGGAAAACTCACTATAAATGGCCATTTTCAATAGCTATATTAGTTTACCAGAGGGTCTTACTGACGCTTTTTCCTGGTTACCTTCTTGACGTCACCAAGCGACGGGATCCGCAGATAGAGCTGGGGGTCACGGCATTGGCCTGGAACGATGGATGGGATTTTTTTTCGATTCCTAAGTCATAGCAGGCTGGTTGGTTCATATACTGTCAATAATGGTTAATATATGGTTATTATATGGTTAATGATGATTAATAACCTGGTTGGTTGTGGTATACCTACCATTTATATATTATATAGGGAAATGATTAGGGATGTATCATTTATACAGAATATTATGGGGATATGGCATCAAATACCATTTATAGACTGGTTGGTGGTATACCTACCCCTCTGAAAAATATGAGTTCAATGGGTTCCGGATGACAACCCATATATGAAATGGAAAATAAAAGCCATGTTCCAGTCACCACCAACCAGCAGGTATAGCTGGTGTTTAGCTGATGTATAGCAGATATATAGCTGGTGTATAGTTGGGTGTTCGCTGGATGATAGCTGGATGGTGGATGTAGATTCCCCCAGCCATTGGTAATTCAGTCTTGGAATGTCTCAGGATGGCTTCATAAAAGGGTCGACGAGTCGCCATACACCATCCCTCATTTGGAACACCTTATGATTCTTGGTTAAATACCTATCAAGTGATCGACCACTACATGGGTTCTTGCATGTTCCAGATTTGGGGTAATGTTTAAGATTTGTTTGATAGAACTGCTTGGAACATCTAATAGGAGCTATATATTTGAAGCATTTTGGAATGAATTTGCAAAAAATAGCAAAGGCGGTTTTGTCCACACATGGAAGAAATGCTGGATTCTGTAAAAGTTTATTCCTGATGAATAACAATCAAAGCCGGGCATAAGACCAACCACAATGGGAATTTACCAACCGATATGATGGGATATACAGCCAGCGATATGAGATGAGTTTATCCAGAAACGGGGACGCATCACCCTCAATGCATCACCATGACATTGTGGGGGAAATGAGGTTTTAGATCAGTGGTTTGTGGGTTACCGCATTCTTGGGCAAATAAGGAACACCCTTTTTATTTGGAGATAACCTATATAGCAAGCCGTCAAAATATAGAACAGTACAATTTCTAAAATTACTCAAAAATTCATCATTTTGGGAGATGCTATATTTACAAGCGGGACCAACATCCCAAAGGATTGAGTTCATTAACCTTTTGACTTGATTCATCGAAAAAGAACATGTCATCCTTGAGGATGTCATCAGCAAAATCATGGCGACGTCGTCCACAAACATGTGCAAGTATGAACACACAAATTGGTGGTTAGGCGGTCCCATGATAAAGGTGGTGTTTACCATCAATCTACAGTAAACCAGGGAAATACCGTACATGTTCAAGAAACAAAGATTGCAGTAATTATAAAAAATGTTGATTCCTTCAAACATGTGCATATCTACATATATGATTAATCATGATTATACATGTCTGTTCATGTATGAATGTATGTATATATGTAAGTTTGTTTATAGGAATGCTTGCTCGATTTCGTTCACATGCTTTCGTTTTTTGTCTCCCACACTAATGGCTGTCGTGTGTCCGGACGTCAAAGCTGAGGTATGTTTCTTTCCGCATGACGCCCTCCATGACGCTTAGATCCCAAACAAAAGGACCTGTGCAACTAGTTCACCTGGTGATAATCAACCTTGAATACATTTGTCTAAGTTTCTTTCACAAAATGTCATATAGTGGAACACCGTATTCCAACATGTACCGGAACTGAATGAACTCATTCACTAATCATGCAGCAAGGTTCTTAAGTATGGGCTTGTCACAGTCATCATCATCCAGCAATGTGAACATTGGTGTTTCAAACCAATAAACCATGGCTGTCCAATCATTTACGACAACTTGTTGTACATTAAAAAAAACATGTACCCTCCGGTAATTTGTTACATAGCTATTGAAAATGGCCATTGAAATAGTGGATTTTCCCATTAATAGCATGGTGGATCTGTCCATAGTTATGTAAACGTTTACCAGAGGGTAAAAATAAGAACAGAAAATCCATATATATTTCGCTTTGATCCTATGAAATCCATGGTGAAACAATCCCCAGCATTTAAGCCCCAACAGATCGATGCCATCCCGTTGATTTTTTGAGTGACGGGATTAGTTCCATTCCGAACTCCCATTAAAAAAAAAAAACATTCAATGTCCTATAAATTCCCAATGATCTTCCTCACAATATTCCCAATAATACTACAATGTGGGGCCCCCAAACGATAGCTAAGTTCATTTATAACTCCAATAACTATGGTTAATGATCATATTCCTAATAATACTGCTATACTACTAATATTCCTAATAATACTATATACTAATACTCATCAATAATTCCTAACAATATTCCTAGCTAATACTCTTAATGATACTCCGCATAATTCCTAATAATATTATTGATATGCCTAATAATTGTTCAAATATTCCTACTACTACTAATATTCTCAAGAATTGTTCACTCACCACCAAGCAGTTCATCTCGTTTCTGGATGACGGCCGTCACCGCCTGCGCCAGCTCCCGGATCACGTCGCTCAAGCGAACCTCCTCGGTTGGTTTTAATGTAGGCTATAAATAAACATCACATGTCACATTCATTGACTATAGACTGTATAGTTCTATCTATGGTAGATATATAATATATATATATGGTAGATCTATCTATTATAGATAATCCTTTACCCCTATTACTAAATGTCCCCCAAATACTAAAAACTAGGGTCCATTTCCCAGTTTGGAAAATTTCAGGTTGGCCAATTTGACTTTTGATTGATCCCCTTTAGAAAACAATTTAAAAATAAAGCTACCATTTGTGGGTTTTGCCCCCTAATAATAAAAACTAGTTAACCCCGGGGTGTTTATTATTAGGGTCCGTCCGATTTCTTTTAATTTGGGTTTTTAATTTATTATTAGGGCCCTCTTCGAAAACCAATTTGTGGCAATATTTTAATTGCGTTATATAAGGAAATTTAATTGATTTTGAAATCGAACAAACTAGTTTTTAGTATTAAGGTTCTAATTTTACAAATAGGATCCGCTTCGAAATCCAATTTTTGGCAATATCTTATTTGCGTTATATAAGGAAATTTCATTGATTTTGAAATCGAACAAACTAGTTTTTAGTATTAAGGTTTTAAATTTATCAATAGGGTCCGCTTCGAAATCCAATTTTTGGCACTATCTTGTTTGCGTTATATAAGGAAATTCAATTGATTTTGAAATCGAACAAACTAGTTTTTAGTACTAAGGTTTTAATTTTATTAATAGGGTCCGCTTCGAAATCCAATTTTTGGCAATATCTTATTTGCGTTATATAAGGAAATTTAATTGATTTTGAAATCGAACAAACTAGTTTTTAGTATTAAGGTTTTAATTTTATTAATAGGGTCCGCTTCGAAATCCAATTTTTGGCAATATCTTATTTGCGTTAGTTAAGGAAATTTAATTGATTTTGAAATCGAACAAACTAGTTTTTAGCACTAATGTTTTAATTTTATTAATAGGGTTCCCTAATAGTAAATACCCCCCTAATACTAAAAACCACCTGAGGTTTTTATTAATAGGGGAGGGGGGGACGTTTAGCACTAGGGGGAAGGGATTATATACAGTAGATACATGGTGAATGTTAATGAAGTTTATAAACCAACAAACATCTGGTGGGCATCACCTTTCCATATGGCCAAAAAAATATGGCGTTGCACGTTGGTCAACAGCAACATTAATGTGCAATGGTCAATGGCCATTTCATGGGAATCCTTAGATTATGGGTCTATGATTCATTTGATTAAACATAGATTAATGGGATAGAATATAATTACAATCTATTATCATTTAATATAATGGGTCTATAACGGGTTTATAATGGGTCTATGATTCATCATTTTCTTATGGGTCTTAGATTATAATGGGTTTATAATGGGTCTATGATTTCATAATACATACTGTAATATGTTCACATCATGGCAATATCATTCAATTCATCATTCATCCAAACATTACTGGTTGGTGGTTTCAACCCCTCTGGGAAATATGAAAGTCAGTTGGGCTTATTATTCCCAATATAATATATGGAAAAATAGAAAATGTTCCAAACCACCAACCAGATTATGTCATAATCACTTTATTATATAATTAATGGACTGATGATTCCCCCCACTGAACTGTTCTTGATCTAACAATGACAAGAAAGGCACCCAACTCTTCGGACAAAGCCTGAGAGATCCGGCTACATCGCTTGTTTCCCTTTACATCTCAAATTTCATGGGTTGAACATCGTTCGATCGCTATGGTTCATGGCTAAATCACAACTTTGATGGTTAAATACTCAGCGTGTTTGATGGCTAAATCACAATAGTCACGGCTACATCACCATTTCGTCATGATTCAAGCACATATCTTCTATGATTAAATCCCCAAGTCACCTTTTCTCATAGCCAAATCCGTTGTTTTTTTCCCCGGAACTTCACGTTTCAAACCATGGCCTTTTTTCGTTAGGAAGGCCCGGTTCGACCCGGTTCCGGTTCCAGCCAGCAGCGCACCAAAAATCGCGCCTTGATGATGTCTTTCAGCTTCAAAGTCTCGGCGTGAAGTCCCAAAAGGGCGATCACTTGCTCGATCGCCTCAAGGTGCCGAAACGGTGGCCGGATCAGGTTTTGATCGGAGGAGTCATGATTTTTGCACCATCACTGAAAATTTAAGAAGATATGAATAAGCCTTTTGAAGGCATGAATGAAGTGTTTATAACTAGTTGTGTTAATCTATTACATTCTATAAAGTGCATTGAGGATTGTCCGTCATATAATTAATTACGGTAATGTCATGTCTATATAATTTTCGATAAATGGGAATTAAGGATCCTTCACTAGCCTGAATGATATATCTGGATATATAGATTACAATAATTCACTGACCTGAAATAAAACTATTTTGGGATAGTTACCCCTGACTAATCCAGAATATATATATATATATAATTATATATATATATACAAATAACATAACCATACATAACCCACATCTATAAAATCCAGGCTGTGTTCACGTGTATATATAATGTATTATACGATATTCTAGTATATTGTTGTTGGATGTTCAATTGGTGCATAGTACAGTAGCCCCCAAAAAAGATAGAGTTCAGAAAGTGGTGTCACCATTGCATCTAGGAACTTGTGGAACTTCTGCAACTTCTTCGGGGTGACCATATAGCATGTACATATGTATAGAATATATAATCCTGGAGTAGATAGAATATGTCCTCACTCAAATGATAATGTGTTGACATTTAAATGTTCTATCTACTTCTGGATGTTTGTCTATATAAATCTATACACTTATATATATATACACTGTAATTATATACAATATGTGATGATATGTTACGTATACATGCGCTTGGAAACCATGGAAATACTGTACATTATTATATTATTATCGTCACTTTAATGTTGATGATGTTGAATGTCTTTTTTAAAAAAACATACGTACACAAGTCATGGGATGGAATATCAACTGGAATGCCAACTGCATATGTTGAGACAGTCCCATAGGAATATCAACTGGAATGGCTTGCGTCCGTTCTTGTCCTTTTCTGGTCTGACTAGATAACGCACTTCACAGATGTAACACTTACCCTCTGGTTATGACTCACATAACCATGGAAAATCACCATTTTTTAGTTCGGTAAACCATCTATTTCTATGGGCCATCTATACCATGGCTATGTTAGTCATAACCAGATGGTATATAATTGATGGCTAACTTCAATCAAGAAAAGCAACAGCAATCAACCAGGCAGTTGACCTAGCTGCAAAGAGCCCCATGATTCAAGGGTGGTTAAGTTGAGTTACGATGATAAAAACACGGTTATAAGGGCTATTTTTCAGGGCATATCCCCCTAAAGTATGGCCTTATATGGTACTAACGTACCTCCATTTTAGGATCCTGGAGATCTCCCATTGATCTCATGTCTGTTGACTTTGGATGTCTTCCATGCAGAAGTGCCCCGGTTTTCAGCACCTTCTTATCATTGGCCGCCACTGCAAGCTGACAAAACCTCAGGATGGTCACTGACAAAGCCCAGTTTGAAAGCCATGCGTTGTGATTAATGATCCTGCATGTTGAAGAATTATCATGATAGTGTATGGTCATTATAGGTTGGTCATGTTGAAATTTCTTCTATAACTCCTGACATTCGACATGAGACGCGCAATTGCCCAAGAGCAAACTCATCACCTGGTCTACATGAGCAGGAAGTCCTGTGGTGTACTCATCATCTGGTCTACGCCCCTGCAGGATGGTGCCCCCCAGTTATAAGTTGGTTTATAAACCCCATTAACTATAGTTATATCTACCATAAACCATAGTTATGGGAGTTATAAACCAACTTAGCTAACTATGGGGCACCACCTTGTGGCAGACCGCCCTTTTCCCTCTCACTGGGCAGTGTGTGTCTTTGCTTTGAAGACGTACTTTCGGACTCGCGTGGCGTTTCGGACTCAGATGCGGCACCGGCACCTCGTTGATTCGTTGAAGAAATCCATATAGGTGACGTAGCTACCGGGTATGTTCCATGTGACCCTGAGCACCTGTAGAGTGTGGAACCATCCTTAAATAGTCATCCCATGGGTCCCATGGTCTACTTAAAGGCTCAGACTTGAGGAATTTGCGCGCAAAGACCGGGCAAATGTCATGCCATAGACTGGCGAAAAAAATCCACGTTTCACTGATCTGTTCTCCGAGGGTCAGGTGCTTGGCATCTGCCGCTTGGCAGTTGCAGTCCCTGTGAATGGGTGGAAAATTGGACCACACTGCATCAAAATGAGTCGCGACTGTTCAATGCTCGAATCTGTGGATGGTTTTGTATGGTTTTGTTACTTGTCTCTGGAAAAGCTCTCTGAAAGGTTCATGGTGCAACTCTAGAGCATGCCTTGCCGGACCTATCTTACATGCACCATGGTTGGCTCTCCCATTCTGTGCATCAAATCGATGGGCAAACCACCAGCAATCACATGCAATTATCGATGTTACCCGTAATCAAAGCATCGAGATACAAACATTGCATGATCTGCCTGATACATATAAATCATACATTGATTTCTGTGGATTTTATTGCATTTGACATTCTTTAACTGCCGGAGGATCATCCCTATCAGTTCCCCAGCTTTTCTGAACCATCCAAACACCAGGCCGTCCATTTCAACACGGGCCAGCATTTCGTTACCGCGCCGCACAGCCAAAAACCACACGGGTCAGGGCGGTGCTTGGCTTTCAAGGTCGAGGTCTTGGTTTCGACCTGGGACCTGGGGCATGGGGTTTCTTGCTGCGGTGAGCAAGTCACCCATTCCTTCATTGGCCATTTCAGGAACCTAAAATGGAGGTACCTACCATATATTAGGCCCATTTTTCAGGCCTATGTAAGGGGATATACCCCACAAAATATGGCCTTATATTATATGGTATATACAGTATCTCCATTTTAGGATCCTGGAATGGCCATTGATCCTTTGGTTTTCCCATGCTTTTCCCGGGTATGGTTCAAAATCTCTGCCTCGCAACAGGATTGTTAGTGAACCCTGTCAGAAATGCCATTTTAGGAAACCCCCATAGATGGGTGAACAAACAAACCGGGGTGGTTTTAAAACCACAATCCTGGAGAATCGTGTTCCAAGTCGCAACTTCAGGCTGGAAAGTAGGTTGCCAGAACCTGGTGTCGTGGTGCGGTTCTGAGAAATGCTATACGTGCCATGGTTGCCTATCACCAAACAAATGCCAAATTGATGATTATTGGTTTCTACATATTTCTAACCATTTACGTCGCAGCATACTTGAGACTAAAACTACAATGTGGGGCCCCCCAGTTATAGGTTGGTTTATAAAGCCCATTATATAGTTATTTGCGTATCACAAACCATAGATATTGGCATTGGATTTACTTCCACCAACTTAGCTATCGTTTGGGGGCCCCACATTGTAGGATTATGTCACTTTAAAAAAAATGTGTCTAAGGGCCTAAGGGTAATCATGTCTCTAGTATGGTCCTAGTTTTCGTACGCCCATGCAGTGATTTGCTTGTCTTCGTTGCAATCCACTGATGGAAAACCAGCCACCTCTTGCAATCCCTGGGATAAGTATGGCCAGGGGTATCCCACAACTTTACGTGACTCTTCATTTTCTCCTGGCTGAAGCGTCATCACGTTGGTGGCTAAATACTCTGTTGCTTAGCCTGCTTAGCGGCTAAAGCACCACGTTCGTCGGTTCAGACCCTTCCTTTTAAGGTTAAAAACAAGCCCAGCATGTTTGATGGTTTGAATGGGATTCAATGGGCACTTTTGATGGTTTGAATGAGCACTTGATCTTGTTGAATCATGTCGGATTAACAAGGTCCCGGCCATTTAATTTGAAGGGTGGGGTAATACTAAGTCATATCAAGTCACTTAAGTTATCAATAGGAATCCCACAACACAACACCTTTAAAATCCTTTAAGCATGAACATGACAATTCGATATCATGTTCACAATTCTCCAGTTTTTTTTTTTGTTTTTTGTTTTTTTCGGGGGCGAAAAAAAGAATCTGTCATTGACCCTTTTGTTTTCCCATCGCCTGTGTCGCATCCTCTCGGGCGGCCAGGACCTCGCTAGCTGTGAAAAAAAACAATTTGGATTGGGTTATAAACAGAAACACACATATATATATATATTATATTATATTATATTATACAAATATGATTATAAGGGCCGACGAGGTGTGGGTATGGTGGATTTTTGGGCAAAATCGCATTCATGATCTCATTTTGAAAAATGCTTCGGGGGTCGATTTGGCTGCAAATCCGAGCATAGTTTTGCCGAACGATGGTGGTTTGGACCTTCTTTTTGCTCAACCAATCAGTGGAAACTTAGGAGGAACAAATCAACGTGGTGAAGCCAACAATTCCGCCAACGATTGGGTATGGTTTCAGCACAAAATCCAAATGGTCAAAAAAAGGAAAGCAATATAGCAATTGTATGGCTTACCCTCTGGTAATTTAACATAACTATGGAAAGATCCACCATGCTATTAATGGGAAAATCCACTATTTCTATGGCCATTTTCAATAGCTTTTTGTATGTTTACCGGAGGGATCCAGATGGTATGATTTGGTGTCCCGGCTGATTGAATCAACAAGAGCGGGATGCGGGAACCATCTTCCACAAAAAATGTGGCTGAACAGAAGGGAACTACTACTGGTTCAGCTAAGCCTACTACGGATGTGTCCGCTGGATTGAAACAGCTATCAATCGCTTTCCTAACACACATTTGAGAGAAGGAGTCATGCATCGTTACACCTGTTGAACCCGTATATAATATGTCTGACATTGTCTGACCAAATGGCTTTCAGTGCTAACTCCAGGAATCTGGAACTTAGTGATATTTTGCGGTTACCAGATCTTGACATTCCTGGCTTAGCAGCAGAAAGTGGGGATCAAAAGTCATTGTAGTAATGCATCTACAACAATATACCTAAATTTCAATAGTGAGCCATCTACACAGTGATTAAATTGATTAAATTTACATGTTTATGGCCATGCAATTCCTATATAAATTAGAAACTTCAAGGCTCCTCCTTTTAGTGGATGTTAACATGGCATGGCTACACAAAGAACGAACATCAAAATAAGTACATCAGAATTGATATATACAATACAGTACGCACATTGTACATCATCCAGTGTAGTGCATCATTGACGTTGAGCCACACCCTTTCACTGTTGACATGACCAACCTCACACATCACACCAAACATTTTTTGGGCGGGATATCAAAGATTGAGCCATTTTTACATGGCCACAAACTAACCCAGAAAAGCACTCTAAAACTGTGAAAACCAGGTTAAACCAACCAATCACTAGTTACTTTACCCCAAACTTTACCCTGTGGCGATCCGCCGAAGGGCCGCTGCTCTGGGACCGCTCATCCGCAGCTGTCGTTTATCCGGAGAGAGCTGGCGGTAGTGGCGAATCAAGGCATTGCCAGTGACTTTTTTCTACACCGTGGGCGCCGTGGGGTCCCCAGATAGCTAAGTTGACTTATAACTTGGTTACCTATATATCATTATATATATATCATTATATATATAGAGTTTATGGAGGATCAACTATTGTTCATGGGCTAAAAAAAACAACTTAAGCCATGTACAGGGGCCGGGCCCCCATGGCTTCGTCCATAGGATGACCCCACAATTGGCTAATCCCTCTGACCATTTAGTCAAGAAATGTCAAGAATACCACTGAGGATAAAACCCACCCAACAAATGGTAAGCGGTAAGCAAGTCACCAATCCCATACAGTTTCCATGTTGTGGGTGTAAAGAAACCTCCCATCCCCATCTCCTTTTTATGTCGGGAAAGTCCTGCCCTAACTCATGGCATTTTTCACATCCCCCATCCGAATCCATCCGACCCATCCCCATCCGAATCGCGTCGTCTGCACCTTGAAGTCCACCTGATAGTCCCCGCCAAAGCTCTTCAAATCCGCCTCCAAGGCGTTCCAATCCACGGCGCCCGATTGGGGCACCGCACCACTGGCATGACCTGAGCGGAACCCGATTTCCCGGAAACGTCAAGGTAACGTTCATCAAATGGAAAATCGAAACTGGAATGGTGGTAAGTATATTACACGTTGATCTTGCTTATTCTTTTTTGGGGTTGCTATGTTATAAGTTGGATTATGAATTGTGGGAATACTGTGGGTACATCCACCATAAATCTAATCGTTAGCCTAGTTCGAATGCAACTCACCTATTTTTGGGGGCGAAATGATAACAAAATCAAATAACATTCAACAGCTCTAGACGCTCTAGCTAGCTCTCGTGATCTTTTTGTCCCAAGGAAACACAGGGAAATTCGAAGGAAAATCAAAGAAATTCAGGAAATCATTGCCAATCTTAGATACCTGGCAAAAAATCTAATTTCTAGCTGGTGAACGTGGATATTCCCATTGATAGCAAAAGATTAGTTAGGATTAGTTTCTACCCATCCAGTTGGTTGACCTAGAAATTCGGACAGCATCAAGGTCATATCTAGATGGTTGTGGGTCTTTTGACCAAACGGTACCCAAACGGTACCCAAACGGTACCCTAAGTCATAGCTGGTTACTGGATGGTTATTCCAGTGAAATTCCCCCAAATATGGTAATATAATGTAATATAATAGGTTTTGACCCATCCCTACATAAGTTTTCATCTTTCAAGGCATGTCATGGTTCCTGTCAGCCTGGCGCCAAGCAGCATTTGGGTTCTACCTCGATCTCGACTCCATCCTGTGCATGGAAGGACCGTCTTCAAATGGGAGTTGTCATGGTTTTTTCCCCAGGTGCAGTATGATTGATATGGCGGATATATATATATATACATACTACCGTAGATGGACGAATTATTCAAACCCTTATACATAGAGCAACCCCCCTCACCCCAAATATCAATGTTATTTTCTTGTTTGGTTCATTCCTTCAAATGGACGAAATAAATCAAACCCCCAGAGCAGGAACAGCCCTACGAAACCATAACATTGAAATTCGGGGGAGGTAGGGGGTGGCCTATAACTCATGGAAAGGGGTTTGAATAATTTGTCCATCTACTGTAGTACATATTATAATATTATAATATGCAATATTATGTAATTATATTATATATATATATGCATATATGTGATGTATGATAATGGTTATATACTACTGGAAGAGAACATGTGTCCATCATGTTAAATGTTTTCTGAACATGTTGCAAGAAACCAGCCCAAATTTCCAGGGCATCTTGGGAGTAATAGCCAGCAACCAAGACTTAAATGGGATCACCAACTATGCCTGGAGAATAACAGCAGCTGTATAGTAACCATAGTTATATTGATGGTTATATAACTATACCATTGTATTATATATAATGATATATATATATATATGTATATATAATGATATATATATATAATATTATATATATACATTATATTACATTATATTGTATATACTGGTTGGTGGTTGAGCCCAACCCCTCTGAAAAATATGATTTCGTCAGTTGGGATGAGGGACTATGAAATTCGACACTGAATGGGAAAATACCAAACATGTTCCAAACCACCAACCAGATACTCTTGCTCATTGCATTCGATCAAACTTCAGGCGAAACAATCAGCAATGGGGATGCAATACGATGTAATGGGATATCCTGAGATATAATGCGATATACCGATATAGTGTAACATCTGATATGACCATAAAGATTTGGCCATCGAAAAAGCAGGAACCCAAAAATTATGGATCCAACACAAAACCAGGAATTCTGGGGTATGTCATGCGAGGGGGAAGGGACGAGATGCCCTGGGAACAAAACCATTTCTCACAGTGGATGATCTATGAGATTGTCTGCGATCTCCGGTTCTGAGGTTTTGATTTCAACGTCTCCTCTTAAGCCAATAAACCGAATCACAACACAGGAGTCACATGGCTTCATGGCTTGGATACTGGCATATTCCCGACGATTTGCTGCCCAAGCAACCTTCAAGAAGTCGATAAAGACTGACTCACAATCCTCCATCTCTTGCAAAGATTGGCCATTGATCTTGCAAATGCAGTCACCTGAACGCAACCGGGCAACCGGCGAATGGCTAAAGTATTAGCAAGAGGATACCTTTTAGTCCTGTGTGTGAAATCAAAGTGAACGTGTCAAACCATCATACTCCCTCAACCCCTCAATCTACGACATCAATATTTTCTGTATAGACTTCTTGCAAATAAGATATCAATCTTCCTTTTCGGATGTTCACCTGAAAACAAAAAGCATACATGACCCACCCATCTGGCAGGATTGTTCTTTTTATTTTTGCTTCTGCCCGCTGAACTTTCAAATAAATTTCCAGGCACCACCTATCTTCACCATTGAAAAATGACGTTTCCAACAAAAAACAAAAAAACAAATTGAATCTCATTTCTAGATCATTGTCCTAAGTCTTGAAATTAGAGGACATCTATAGCAGTATTTCACTATATTACACCATATTAAACCATACCAACCATGTTTTTTGGTCAACTTGCCTAGACTTTTACCATCAAACAGTGATTTTTCACCCGAAGAAATCCCGATTGAATCTCAGTTCAACATTCAACAGCATTTTCCCATAGTTTTTCCTAAGGGTAATATCCCATTGAATCCCAATTCATTGCCAATCTTAGATACCCTGCAAGAAATTAGCTTGCTGTTCATGGTTACCCTCCAGAAAATTAACATAGACCCTGCCAGATAGGGATTGGACGATTAATTCCATGAAAAAAATGCTATTTTCAGATTCAGGGTCAACAAGTTAATTTACCAGAGGGTAGTAGATATTCCTATAGCAATCGCAAGAATTTTCGCAGGAATTTTCGCAACTACCCATCTGAGGTTGACCTAGCAGAATTTTGTGATAAATTCCCCATGGATTCCCCCATCTTTTTAGGTTTCCCAGGGATTGAATGATTGAATCCCAATTCTCATCCCAATTTTCACAGCAGTTTCCCAAACATGTTCTTAAGATGGTCTCAAGATGAATTCCATTGAATCCCAAAGTTCATGACTTAAGATGCATGGCCAATCTTGGATACCCAGCGAAAAAAATGACAAATTCTTGGCGGGTTAATTAGTAGCTAATCCCATACCAAAAGACATAGCAGGATGAGTTTCTACCCATCCAGTTGATTGACCTAATTAGGAATGATGGTTTCACAAGCATTCAAAAGCACTAAAAGACATCCATTGCTGGTGGTTAAACCATTCAGAAGGTTGTCTTTTAGTGCCAAGTTGAATGCATTTTTTTGATTCATGGATCACTTTGTATTTGGTGCTTAAATCCCATGAACAAAATCACAATTTAAACCATTTATAGTATTCCCAGGGATTAGTATTCCTATGTATTCCCATATTGTTTGATGATTATACCATGAAATACCATTATTATACAAATTATTCCATAGAAATCCCATGATATCCCCATAGAAACACTAAATTAATAGCTTTATTATACCATCCAAAATGTTCATTCCTATGTATTCCATCTGGTTGGTGGTTTCAACCTACCCCTCTGAAAAATGATGGAGTTCGTCAGTTGGGATGATTTTTTATTCCCAACTGAATGGAAAGTCATAAAAGCCATGTTCCAGTCACCACCAACCAGCAGGTATAGCTGGTGTTTAGCTGATGTATAGCTGATATATAGCTGGTGTATAGTTGGGTGTTCGTTGGATGATAGCTGGATGGTGGATATTGATTCCCCCAGCCATTGGTAATTCAACCATAGATTATTAACCATGGATTAACTATGAAAAGCCATGTTCCAGTCACCACCAACCAGCCATTGTATTCCCATATTGTTCAGACGCTATGGCCTCGCCTGGCCCCAGACGTTCATCCTGTCCGGGCTCGTCGTCGATCTCCTCGATGACCATGCCATACCACGAGGGCTCCAGCTGCAAGCCGGCACCCAGCTCCACGTCCACCTGATTTTCACCCGATTTTCACGAAGAAACAGAGGAAAACCTATGAAAACCTATGAAAACCTATGAAAACCTATGAAAACCTATGGGTTTATGAGGAAAACCCATGGAAAATCATCTACAAAGGGTGGAATAAAACCATGAACCATGGAAATATCTTGGGTCAATGGATTGTTTAAGGGAAAATCTATGGTTGAAACCATGGATTTTCCGATAAAATATGGGGAAATCTTCTGTACATATTCCCTTACACCAACCCATTGAATCATGGGATTTTGTTTCATGACAATGGTGATTTCATATTTAAGGGTTGTGATACTGTGGATGGAAGAAATCCTGCACCACCTGGGATGGTAGAAAGCCTATAAAACATGGGATAAACCACCTATTGACTGGTGCAGGATTTCTTCCATCCACAGTATGTTGTAATGGTTTCAGCCACCAATTTAAACTTCCATAAAGTGGTGATTCAATTTTGTATTTGAACAACCCGATTGGGGCTATACGTGGGATGTAATGGAATGTATTGGAATAGGTCGACATAGTGGTGCCACTGTTTGTTGGCTAAGGCGTTTCCTTACAAGGCTAGCTAGGATTTATGGTGATTATGTTATATATATATATAATATATAATTATATATATAGATGGGTTTATAAACCTACTTAAGTGAGGGGGCCCTAGTGGTGGTTGATGATAGGGGATGTGACAAATAGAAATTTGGATTCAACCAGGAATACTTTGGACTATCCTATGGTTTGGAGGGAGCTGTCAAGAGCTATGGTTGTCTTCATATTCTTGAGGATTCCATAAATATTCCGATATATAAAAAAAAACATATTGCAGACTGCAACTGCAGAGCTACGAATTGAGTTTCCCAACTACAGGATATATATATAGTTAGAAAACGTGTTCCAAATCATGTTGAAGATGGTTGAACAACGATTTTTCTTTGGCTGGCACTTCCGTTGAAGCAGCGCAAATGGTGTGAAAATGATGTGGACTTGGGACACAAATCATCAGTACAGGGCAAACATTGTAGATACCCTGAAACCAAAAAAAAATTGTATCAATATGTCTTGTACAGATTTATAACATGTATATACATGTATCATATTTACGTATTGTGTGTATTATCCCCATTGAACATAACATAACATGATTGAAGTATTGCCTCGGGCTGTGGATGGTTGCAAAATCCTGCACCCGTTTGGCAGATGGTTTATCCCACTGTAACAGATTGTAATCCCATTATTTGCAGTGTTTCATAGTTACAAGTAGTAACATTTACCAACTGCTGCAGGAATTTATCCTATATGTATTCCCTCGGATACCAAAAAAACGTGGCAATTGAACATTCGCCATTTATAGGCGGGCGACTTTCCCATTGAAACCTCCATTGAAAAAGAACGGATTTCCCAGTACGCCACGTTTGATTATCAGAGGCTACACGTGGCTGCTATCTAGGGCCATGTTTCATACTATCACAATTCATAGATATTCCATTAATACCCCATGAAACAACCCATTAATAATTCCATAGATATTCCATCATAATCATTTATATAGATATTCATATAGATACTCCATTCAGATTCATATTAAATATACATATTCCATTCATATTCCATTCATATCCCCATTCACAGAACAGGTTTTACCCCGCCTTGAGTTTCATCTTCCGGGGTTCTGTCTCTGCTTCTGCCCCGCTGGGGGGATCGAATTGGAAACCGCGTTTCTTCATCGCCTGCGCGGCAAGAAACATCAAGAAGGCATCACCGGCACCCGGAGGGTGCCCCAAAACACTTGGCTTAATTCATGCCAAATGCCAAACTATAGATTCACTATCAATATTTATAAATCCTATGGTGATTATATATATATATATATATGTTTTGATCATCCAAATCACCATATCCTTTTTTTCGATTCCGGATGGATCACCATCTTATGGTGATTTTACCAGAAATCACAGCTATTCCACCAGAAACTCCCCCAGTATGGATCGGTCAATCTTGGGAACAAGTTCGGCCCACTGGGAAGCACTGGATCTGAAAATCAAACCTCACATTCACCCTCTGGTTATGACTAACATAGCCAAAGAAAATGGCCCATAGAAAAAGATGGTTTACCGAACTTAAAAATGGTGGATCTTTCATGTCGAACTGTTAAATAACCAGAGGGTAGACCTTTCTTATTGATATGCAACATGGGGCGAGTTGAGAAATAACAAACCAGAGCTGGTGCTGCCCCAAACATGGATAGAATCAACCCGAAAACTTGATAGGGACCTGGAAGTTGCGCGAAATTGCTACCAGTATGTGGGATTCATTTTTACTCCACCTCATCCATCTTACAGCTGCAAACAGGCTTATACATGTCAATCAAATCAAAATCAACAGGCAAAACAACAACAACAACAACAACAATAATAATATTACCATCACGGTATAATCATTATGTATATTGATCTGGTTGGTGAAAAAGGTTAGGTTATTATCAATTACCTGTATACTGAATATGTCATCATCAATCATCAATCATCAATCATCAATCATAAAGATACATAATTACATAATAATACTACATCATCATCATCATCATCATCATCACCCTGGTCCTCATCCTCATCCTCATCATCATTGATTCTCCGTGCTCAACCCGCCCCCGCATCCCCCACATCCCCCGCAACAACCGCGCCTTGCGCTGCTCCATGCGCCGCTTCTGTTCCTCCGGGTCCTTCGTGCTGAGCTCCGCCCGCAGCTGCGCCAGGTCGTTCGCCAGGCTGCCGGACTCGTTGCCGCTGACGCCTCCGGGGGGTCCCGGTGGGGTGGGGACCCGGAAAACCCGGTCCAAGGGGAAGCCCAGGGTGAGCATCGTAGGGATGGGTAGGACACAACTAAGTTACTAAGTTGATGTGAATTTGACAAAAGTCAGGTAAAATGTGATCGGAACCTGAACATAGAACCCTTCATCGAATAGCCTTCGGGATTTGAACAGGCTGCGATCTGGACAATCAGCATCAAATAATATAGGTCCTATAGGTGAATCATCCAACTAAATGGGCCGTCTATACATATATATATATATATACCATAGCAGACTTTTAAATTGCCAGAGCCTATAGGTTTCTATATTTTTCCCAAGATATCCTCATCATATCCTCATCAAATAATATACCACAATGGTATGTTGGTTATATGATATTGTACATTATTGTTGTTCATGGTTATACATATATATATATATATATGTCATGTTTCGAGTCATGAAAAATGCAATATATCCGTATAATTCTGAAGCTACCATAAACCCCATATATCACCATATATTTCACCAAATTGTTGCCAAGGAACCGCATATTATATTATATATATACACATATTGTACCAGATATTTCATCAAATGTTTCACCATATATGTTTCATCATGTCACCAGATATAGCCCGCCAGAGCTTACAAAATGTAAAATATGTATAAATTTGTTCAATCACTGAAATATTTCCCCATATCTGTTTCACTAGAGAAACAAAGCTAAACCACATATTAGCCCTCCGGCAATCAAACGTGGCTTGCTGGAAAATTCTCCATTTAGTTCGATTTTCCCAACTATAACCCTCCATTTTGTTCAGGGATTTTCCAGGTCCAACAAATCCATCTATGTGGTGGATTTTTTCCGCCCGATCCGGCCCATGAATCATGGGTCGAAGTGGGTCAGGCAGAGCTCGCTGATGTTGGCACATCAATCTCATCAAAATCCACCAAAAGTCTCCATTTTTGCCATTGAATCCCATAAGAAATCCACATGTCTAATCCCATAAGAAATCCCACAAAAATCGCCATTTTCCCAACAAAATGACGAGAAAATCCACCATTTGTCCATGAAAATCCACCATTTTCCCATCATTTTTCCCCGATTCCCCGATTGCCTCCCGCGGCCCGGAACTCCGCCAGCGCCGAGGTGGCGGCAGGCAGGTCTCGGTCGCTGATGCACATGCGGACCTGGCCAGTGGGGATGGATGTGTATCTAGTGTATATAGTGTATATATGGCAGTGTGTCAAGACCTTGTACCCCTGGTGAACATCAAAATAGCTGGTAAATGGATGTTCATCCCATTAAAAATGGTATTAATAGGTATTGATCCATACCCATATTAATCCACATTAACCCATATTGACCTATCACTAATCATTATTATCCATCAATTGGTGGTATAAACAATCCGCATTTTTGGATATGCTTGGGGTATACCCTCTGGTTATGACTAACATAGCCATGGTATAGATGGCCCATAGAAATAGATGGTTTACCGTTTACCGAACTTAAAAAGGGTGGATCTTTCCATGGCTATGTTAAATAACCAGATGGTATAATATATGGTTGGATATAGTTAGTAATATTACAATGGTTACAGTTATATTACCCTCTGGTGAGCCATACTATGTGGGGATGTTGTATTGGAATATGGTGGGATCTATCCCCGACAATGCCAGTCAATGTCAATGCCATAAACCATTCCCAATTTCACCATTTTTATAGGTGCTATGGTTACCGTTCCCAACTGGGTGGATGATTGTAGTAACTGTAAAATATCTAATATTATGTAAATGTATGATGATGTATTATTGTAACTTAAATATATATATATCAGTTCTTGTATCTGTATTGATGTATTTAATGTCATAATGTCACTAATTGGATATATCCTGTAGATGTCCCCACTAATACTCATAAAGCCTCATTTCTGTTGGATATGTCATGAGAGTAGGATAAAGAGGATCAAATACATATCTGGATAGATTGTAATATTTCAAAAAGCTGAATCTTGCGGCCACAAAACTGGCATGATTCCCCTTGCTAACAATGATTTCAGAGAGGTCACACAGTGAGGTCACTATAATTTACCCAGATATATGGATTTATCGTGATTTAATTATATTAACTGATTCATCACTGGGTCACTGGGGATTGAACTGATAATTGAGCTATGCTACATTGGAATATAGTGGAAATACTATGCGAATGGTATTGGAATATACGACTGATTCATCAGTTGAAAAGGGCATTGGAATATAGCTATGTTGAAAATGCGAATGGTATTGGAATATACTGTAAATAGATTTGACCACAGTAACTGTTGATATATGTCTAATATTGTTTGGATTCAACTATATTTATGGATTTAACTACATGGAAATGGTCATATATTCATAGGATTGAACATCAATTGGGCTATCTTGCTAACATTCATCAAACCTATTGGAATGTCGTGGAATACGACTGATACATCAGTGGGGATTTACGGGATTTATTTAATTCATCACTGGGGACTTCATTGATTCATCATTGAATATACTGGCATCTATATATATATATACCCTCTGGTTATGACTAACATAGCCATGGTATAGATGGCCCATAGAAATAGATGGTTTACCGTTTACCGAACTTAAAAATGGTGGATCTTATACCATCTGGTTATGACTCACAGTTCGCCATGGAAAGATCCACCATGCTATTAAGTTCGGTAAACCATCTATACATGGACCATGGCTTCCATGGCTATGTTAGTCATAACTAGAGGGTATACATATAATGGGATATAATGGGAGATAACGTAGACTTGACTAATTATAATATATTATAATGACCAATTACAACAAGCACATACAACCACTATAAAACTTCAACTTCAACGAATACCAGTACAATTGGGATATGAAATGATACCAGGTAAGATACATGATTTTTGACCATCGATCAGGATGGCCACAATGGTCACATATACGCTGCTACAAGGGCCCAAACCGGGATCAGTTGGGGATGATTCCTCATACACCATCATTCCATCGATAATATATAACATGTATGTATATATATAACATGTGTATATATATATATATACATATATATATATACATATATATATACATATATATATACATATATATATACATATATATATATAATGTGTATATATATATAACATGCATATAATATATATATATATAGACATAGTTGATGAGTGATATCCAATTCTACACGAATATCCCGTTAAATCCACATGTTTTGTGATCACACCACTGAACCACCCATTTCCTCACTTTGTTCTTTCATACACATATATATATATATAATTATATATATATGTAATCATAGATTATACCATTTTATACCGCTTCAGTTGTTGGGCTAGTGGTGCTTTCAGACAGGTGCCTAGAAAGTATATCGACAGTATATATATATATATATGTATACTTGTGTATATAGACATATAATATCATATAATACATATATATATATATGTATAATTATAATTACATATATATATATATGTTAATGATTATAAATGAATAAATGTAACAAGTGTTGTTATATTGTTATGTGCCAAAAGTAATAATAATGATAATAATTAAACACAATCACACAAAGCCATTCATCTTACCAAGTTCGTCGATATGTCTCATAACTTAAGTTAAAAAGCAGATACAGGTGACGTTCTCAAACATACGTTGGGAAAACAACCAAGATAACAACAGGGCAACAGTTATACAGCAGCAAGCTGGTGGATCGATAGGTATCAGGGATCTGCCCCTGAACCATGAACAATACCTCTGTTGATTGGATTTCATCTAAGGACTACTACCTAAATCGTCATGGGAATATTTTATCACCAATAATTCCTACTAAACCAATAACCACGATTTCGATGCACAAAAACACCGGGGTGTTGTTTTCGACAAAGGCCCAGGTCAACAACCATTTCAGGAACCGATTGACCGGAGGTACCTACCATAATATAAGGCCTATAATTATAAGGCCTAAATTTCAGGGCGAATAGCACCACAAAGTATGGCCAAAAATATGGCAATGTCAAGCCTGGTTAATAAACCCCAAACGGCCATCTAATGGGGGTACCATTTATGTATCATATGACTATTTGGAGGGTACCCCCAGAATTTTCATAAACCATGGTTTAGCAAAATCCGGAGTTGACATTACTAAGCTAGCTATTGGATCTATAGTGATATAATATGATATAATGTATTTATAATCCATTATTATTATAACAGACTATAATCCATGAAAATCCTATTGGTTACCCTCTGGTGAACTAACATAGCAATGGAAAATGGCCATTTATAGTGGATTTTCCCATTAAAAATGGGGATTTTCCATTGCTATGTTAGTTCACCAGAGGGTATCCAAAAGATCTATGATTAACAGACTATCCCAATAGAATCCTCCAGATCATGAAAGTTCCAGGCCCAAAAAAACTGCATCCATTGGATTGGTTTTGTTGGGAAAATTTTCACCGGAAAACCCCATGACTTTAATGGTAAAAACCATGGTTTCCGGTTAAAATTTTCCCCAACAAACCAATCCATTGATCTGAATTCTATGGTTTATGGTAGATGTAACGAACTTCATAGTATTGGTAGATTATTTCATGGTTTATAAACCAACTTAAACCAACGTTCACATCACTGGGGGCCTTGGTTTCCAGCTTCTCCAGCAGCTCCGCACGCTGCCTCTCCCGTTCCGCCGCGGGATCCTGCACGAAGCGCTTGGCGCTGAGGTACTCGGGCGCCTGCTCCAAGTCCTTGATGCGAGCCTCGGGCGAAACAAAACCTGTGGATCTGTGGATATGGAAATCAACATCAGTAAACCAAACATGAAAAAAAACGCCACCCAAATTCTGGGTGATTCTTTGTTTATAAACTAATGTATTTGTATATTTGTTAGACAACAAACAAACAAAAATAACTTTGTTTGGATGGGACTAAGCATGCTTAACATCATGGATCTTTGGGAAAAACGAGAACAACATATGGAATATGGGGGAGAAGTGTGCTAAATACGTATGCTGACATCGACCAGTTCGGCCCAGAGAATGTGTACATTGCCAATTGTTTGAGGTACTTGGAGGGTCTAGGTATACAATGGTATACATAATGTGCAACTGAATGACCTAAGTGTGACACCCGTTTTTGATGATTGATATGGACCTGAAGCCGTGCAGCACGCAAATCTTTCGATTTCTGTGAAGCTTTTTTCGGACAAAGGATTTGACTGTTGGCAAGCGCATCATTCTGCAAGTTGTCATAAGTTTTCCCATCACTTTTTGTTCCTCGGGGACGATTATGGTAATCGCAGCTACCGAATGCGGCCTCTCGCATCCACACGCTGCGCAAGCACGAACACGGTCCGGTGTGGTGCTGCCGAAGTGGACGGAGTTGAGGTATGTGTTTCATTAATATAACTAGGGTCAAATTATGTTAATCATGGTTTATGGTAATCCTATGGTTTATCGTCCGTCCCAGGGGAAGCCTTGGTTGCCTTGGTAAATCTCTAAAAACATGGATTGATGACCATCCGACTCTTGGCGCACACATGCTTCCCAAGTGCGTTTTCCATCCGTTTAAACCAAGGTCTCAATAGGAATTTTATGGTGAAGCAAAAACCTTAAAACCTTCCACAAGAACTTACTTACCATAACTTACCAGAAATCGTGAAAACCTCATGGATCCCATGGTCCATCTGTTGCTCCCAACATCACAACGGAGACCCCACATCGTGGCTATATAATAAGTCCCATGCTGGATTGATGACCATCCCCCATTATCTACCGTGGTTATCTACTCGGATATATCATTACTGTATCCCGTTACATTATCATGAATATCATGAATATATCATTAAAACATATGAATTCTAAATCCAAACATGTTTTTTCTGTTATATAATGTTATTTCTATTGTTCAAAGCTCGAAGTTCTGACAAAACATCTGAGGCTTTACGGCTTTACCCACTGCTGCAGCGGAACCAACAGTGGCCCCTTCTGCTTTTTCGAGGTCTTCTTGGACTCGGCCGTCAACTTCCTCAGGTCGCGCAGGTCGAGTTGCTGTTTGGTTTTTGTTGCTGTGGCCTCGACGAGCTGGAACATCCTCTTTTTAATGAAGTTAAATCATGTGAAATCTGAATAGTTTGAACAAGTTCAACAAGTTCTATGCATTGTTGCTACAACTAGAGTAACTAGAGATCTTCTAACATGAATCTTGGATTTCAATGGAACAAAAAAACTGCTTGGTGGTGCAATGTGCCCATCTTGAAAAATGATGGAGTTCGTCAATGGCTTCCGGATGGAAAATAATCCAGCCATGTTTGAAACCACCAACCAGGTACCCTCTGGTAAACGTTCATATAACGAACTGGAAAATCACCATGCTATTCATGGAAAATCCACTATTTCATGAAACATGTTTGAAACCACCAAGCAGAAAGGCATTGAAGTTTAAAAAACCCTGCTTCAAACCATCCCGTCCCATCCGTCCGAGTTTTTTTTGAGAAGTTTCTGCGAGGCGTCCGTCATGAAAAATGACTGATTATACCAACAAAAATATCTATGGTATATATCAATATATATCATTGTATATAGGCTATACCATAGATATTGTTGGGTATACCAAAGATTATGCAACGAAAAAAGTCAACGTTTTTTTTTCTCAACCAAACCATTGGATAAATAGTTTCATTTTTAGCTGGATATTCTCCACATTTGATGTTGTCAACTTTAACTTTGCAGTTATTTGAGGGTTTCCATAAATGGGGGTACCCCTAATCATCATCCATTTTAATTGGGTTCTCCCCTATGAACCATCTAGCTATTGGAGTACGGGTACCCCCATTTATGGAAACCCCCATTTGTTTCCTCAATTGCAACCACCATCAACATAACACCCTTTGGGTCCATGGCTTCTGCCCATCTCCACTCGGAACATCGACTCCAATTGGAAAATCAACGGGATAACTTCCATGGTCATGCACTGAAGATCTGAAAAGTATCATGTCCCCAGGTCCTGACTTAGAAGGGTCAAGTATATGTATATAATTATATATATATGGGGGTTGTCCAAAATACCTTTTCCCGGACAGCCCTCAATCGCTCAGCCAATCGCGTAGCAACCGCGGTACCACAGTGAGCAATCGCGAAAGGGTTTGTTCTTCGTTGATCAGATCATATACATAAAATATTAAAAAATATAAGTTATGTATTATACAATGAATCGTGACAAAAATCTTATGCTAATTCTTTGTAATATCATTGCTTTTCTGCTGAATTTGAAACAACTGCTACTGCTACTGCTACTGCTAGTGCTGCTGGTACTATTGTGAGTTTTCCGGACCGTTTCCGGACCGCACAAGCTTATTTTGCTCCCAAATTTGACATCGAATGCGTTCACGCATGGATCCTTACTCTCATTACTAGACTTGCTACTACTCTTAGTACTACCGACGTATTCTCGGGGGGAGCGATCCAGGGCCCTGCGCAACTTAATGCATACCCCTAAAGGAATGCGTCGAAAACAGAACGGGGCTGGTGATCGGTAAGGAGGATGATAAGATACCCGAAGCTATTACAAGATATATAGTGGCATTATACTGGCAGTCTCCACTATTACATTTCGAAAGTTCTGCCTTTGTTTTTTTCCAAATGACAAAAGTCCCACTGAGGGGTCAGAAATCAGTCAGAAACCAGTCAGAAACCGGCCAAACGCAACCTCTCTCTCTCTCCCTTGCCTATTCCCTCACCCTCTTACCAGAACTCCTACGCCTACTCCTATTCCAATTTCCACTACCACTACTGCTACTGCTACTGCTGCTGCTACTACTGTGAGTTTTCCGGACCGTTTCCGGACCGCACAAGCTTATTTTGCTCCCAAATTTGAAACCGAATGCGTTCACGCATGGATCCTTACTCTCATTACTAGACTTGCTACTACTCTTAGTACTACCACCACACCCGCTGCTACTGCACCACCACTACCACTAGTACACCTAGGAATTTCTGCCTTCGCTTTTAAATCCAATTGGCACGAGTCCCGCTGAAGGGTCAGAAACCAGTCAGAAACCAGTCAGAAACCCGTCAGAAACCGGCCAAACGCAACCATCTGTTCCCCTCCCTCCCTCCCTCTCTCTCTCTCTCTTTCTCTCTTTCCCTCCCTCTCCCTCTCTTCCCTTGCCCTGCTACTAGAACTCCTACTACTACTACTACTGCTACTACTACTACTACTACTCCTGCTGCTACTACTACTACTACTACTGCTACTACTGCTACTACTGCTACTACTACTACTACTACTCCTCCTCCTACTCCTACTCCTACTCCTACTATTACTGTGAGTTTTCCGGACCGTTTCCGGACCGCGCAATTTTCTTTTCTTCTCAAATATGAAAACGAATGCGTTCATGGGCGGATCCTTCTACTAGTGCTGCTACTACTCTCAGTATTACCACTAGCGCCGCTACCACTGCAACGCCGCTACCACTACTACACCGAGGATTTTTTGCCTTTGCTTTTCTCCACTTGACAAAAGTTCCACGGAAGGGTCAGAAATCAGTCAGAAACCAGTCAGAAACCTGTCAGAAACCGGCCAAGCGCGAGTATATACACCTATGACTAACCTATGACTAATTTGGATGAAAGTGTATGGTGGAGCTATACAAAACTCAAACTAGAAACGAATACATGATTTCGGACCGATTCCGGACCGCGCGCACTCTGGTTGCCGGCACAACCTGTATACACCTATGGCTAATTTGGATGAAAGTGTATGGTGGAGCATACAACTAGAAACGAATATATATATATATATATGATTTCGGACCGATTCCGGACCGCGCGCACTCTGGTCGGCGGCACAATGCGTGCACACTTATGACTACTTTGCATGAAAGGGCACGGGGGAATTTACAACGCTCCTCACGTATATTGCCTGATCCACCCTCCGGAAAACTCACAGTAATACCAGTAGTAGGAGGAGTAGGAGTAAGAGTAGGAGTAGGAGTAGTAGCACTAGTAGTTGTAGTAGTAGTAGTTGTTGTTGTTGTAGTAGTAGTAGTAGGGGTAAGAGTAGGAGTAGGAGTAGGAATAGGAGTAGGAGTTCTAGTAGCAGGGCAAGGGAAGAAAGGGAGAGGGAGGGAAAGACAGAAAGAGAGAGAGAGAGAGGGAGGGAGGGAGGGGAACAGATGGTTGCGTTTGGCCGGTTTCTGACGGGTTTCTGACTGGTTTCTGACCCTTCAGCGGGACTTGTGTCAATTGGCAGAAATTCCTAGGTGTACTAATGGTAGTGGTGGTGCAGTAGCAGCGGGTGTGGTGGTAGTAGTAAAAGTAGTAGCAAGTCTAGTAAGGATCCATGCGTGAACGCATTCGATTTCAAATTTGGGAGCAAAATAAGCTTGTGCGGTCCGGAAACGGTCCGGAAAACTCACAGTAGTACCAGCAGCAGTAGCAGAAGCAGTAGCAGTAGTGGTAGTGGAAATTGGAATAGGAGTAGGCGTAGGAGTTCTGGTAAGAGGGTGAGGGAATAGGCAAGGGAGAGAGAGAGAGAGGTTGCGTTTGGCCGGTTTCTGACTGGTTTCTGACTGATTTCTGACCCCTCAGTCAAACCTTTGTCATTTTGAAAAAAAGCAAAGGCAGAACTTTCGAAATGTAATAGTGGAGACTGCCAATATAATGCCACTATATATCTTGTAATAGCTTCGGGTATCTTACCATCCTCCTTACCGATCACCAGCCCCGTTCTGTTTTCGACGCATTCCTTTAGGGGTATGCATTAAGTTGCGCAGGGCCCTGGATCGCTCCCCCCAAGAATACGTCCGGTCCGGGGTACACCCGCTTCTGTTGGTGGAACCGTTTAAAGTGATCGGCAGGAGCTACTTGTAGTAGTAGTAGTAGTAGTAGTAGTAGTAGTAGTAGTAATAGTAGTGGTAGTAGTGGTAGTAGTAGTAGTAGTAGTAGTCCTAGTAGTACTAGTAGTACTAGTAGTACTACTAGTAGTAGTAGTAGTAGCAGGAGTAGTAGTAGCAGTAGTAGCAGTAGCAGTAGTAGTAGAAGTAGAAGTAGTAGAAGTAGTAGAAGTAGTAGAAGTAGTAGAAGTAGTAGTAGTAGATTAGTAGTAGTAGTAGTAGTGGTGGTAGTAGTAGTAGTAGTAGTCGTAGCCGTATAACCAATCGCCAACCAATCGCTCAGCCTATCGCGATGCAGGTTTTGGCAATCGCGCAAAGCAGAGTAAACGCATCAATTCATAAATTTGTTATCTGCTTTTACGGACGGCTCCCATATAATCAACTGGAAGGGTGTTCATCCTGGCAACTGATTGGTTCATTGGGGAGGAAGTCTCCTGCCGGGCTGCGATTTTGACCATGTCACAAGCAGCTGTTTGCAGGTGGGGTTGTTTAGTATCAAGGGGGATGGAAATACTCCACTGGTTGTTTGAAATCTACAACCCATGGGATCCATGTATGCTATATATGGTAACATTTACCATCAATATACCCCCAATGTTAGCATATATATACCATACATGGATCCTATGGGCAATGGTGGGGCCCAGAAGTTGTAATTTCCTTATCAGCATGATCAACATTCATAAACCATAGTTCTTGGAGTTAGTTCAACCAACTTACCTATCCCAAATGCTCCGTGGTGCTGGAATATTTACTAACATTTACCCTCAAAATCACCCAATTATGTAGGTAAATATGCCAGCACCATGGTTCGCATATGGGTATTCTTCTTCAACTGAGTTACCTACAATGTGGGGCCCCCTAGTCATAAATTGATTTATAAACCCCATTAACTATAGTTATAAGTACCATAAATATCCATAAATCATAGTTACTGGAGTCATTTGCACCAACTTAGCTATCTTGGGGGCCCCACATTGTATATGTTTTTTCAGGGTGCCCCACTGACTGGGTCGCCACAGGGACGTATCCCAATCGATTCGCCGAGGATCGCGATCTCTTCCTCCTGCTGTTGCACCTTTTGGGAACACCCCGGTGGTGAACATCTCGATTTCCCGTCGGTTGAATACCTCTTTTGGGTTGTTGAAACTCATGCTTTATGATTTAGGCAATATATAGCCTGTAAAGAGGGTACCCTAGTTACTGTTAGAAGAAACCCCTAATTTATGATTGGCTCCCTTTTTTGGGTTAAGTTGTGAAAAACCCTTCTCCACATTGGTCAAATAAAAAAATGTCTTTGTTGGCAAAATAATTCTGGATGCAATCTGAACTCCCCACATATTGTATTTTCTCCAAACCTATCTGCATGTTGATTGCGGCTGGAATCGCATATTTTTGCTCATAAACAGGTGAAACCTCTACAACATATGTTTTCTTATGTCTTTTTGTTGATAGACCCTTTTTCAATCTTCGTCGTTCCCAAACAATTTCCCCCATGAATACTCAATTCAATCCTCGATTTTCACGGATTATCCAAAGTATGTCCCATACATTCTCACTTAAATCCACACTTTACTTGCTAAAACCCTCATTTCTACCCATCTTAAATCCTCATGTTCACCGGTAAAACATGGTCAACCCCCATGTTCACCAAACGTCGTCTCATTTTTCCATCTTTTTTCCCCAGTGAAACCTGCATTTTCGCCGTCATGTTTCATCCATTTTCCGGGGTCAAACCAGCCATTTTTTTCGGGTCCCGTTGTGGGTGTCTCCCCGGCCCAAGGCGCCAGCTGCTTGGCGTCCAGCAGTTCTTGGTCCTCGACGCCCAGCTGCTGTAGCAAACGCTCCCGCTGCGACACAGTGAGGCCTAGGGACGAAGCGAAGTCCTCCATGAATTCCAGGACCTGACAGGTTGATCACTGGATTCTGGGATCATGTTTTTTTGTGGAATATTGTTTGTTGTTAAAATTGTTACGTAAGTGGAATCCCAGGACCTGGCAGTTTGATCATTGGGAGATATAATATCTATAATATTCTATAATTATATATATATATATTTGTATGTCAATTGTAATATATATATATATTTGTATAACATTGACATACGATGGGATGTCATGTGTAATTCTTAGGTACTAAAAAAAGGAACCACTGCCGAAGCTGGCGAAAATGGGATCCTGATATTAGGACCCGACGGACTTGGAATTTGACGAAATGGAAGAGGGAAAGTCATCTATATGATATATTAAACTAGCTAACTAATATATATATATGTATAAAATTATATATATATGGCATATCTAACTATCATCTATACTGATATATTAAACTACCATATATATATATATATTGCATATATTAATGTGTATACTGGTATCTAACATTATCTAACTAGGCTAGCTGCAACTCGAAAATTACATATAATAATAACTATGCTAATGACTTAACAAATATACATAACACGATAACTTATGTATAATATATATATATAATTATATATACATATTCTATGCCAACATATCGGTTCATAGATGTATAGACTACTCAAGGCCCATCAATAAATAAACAAATCATCTATAAACACAAATAACTATAAGTATAACTAGATGATGAGACCAACTAGATTTACTATTCAGACCCCATCCATCTATCCATCCATCCATCCATCCATCCATCAATCAAGCCGCAAGAATGATCATATGCATTGTTATTATAGATATGTAGTGTTATGGTTATATATACTGGCAATGTCTCGTGTATTCTATCAAATTTCGATATTCAAATGTCATAGAAAGTTATGAAAGTAACTATAGATAGCTATTAATAGCTATTATTATTAATATTCTATCATTTATGGATAACTATCTATAATGGATACTGTAACTATTAATATTATAGTATTAAGTGTGGTTGTATTAAGTTGTCATACTCATTTCATACTATGGATGATAATAGTTAATATAACGGGCAATTTTCAATAGCTATGTTATCATATTAAATTACCAGAGAGAAAATCATCATCATATATATATATTATTGAATTTATTTTAAATTTATTATTATTATATATATACAGGTCATCATTTTCCCAATTATTTCCCATTCTATCCGATTATACTTCTAGTTTTGATGGTTGAAACTATAAGAAACATATGAATCATATGAACAATCGACAATAATAAGTATAACCGGTGTAATATAACAATAAATAACTCACCAATGTACTAGAACTAACCATATCTAACCATCATCTATAATATAACTATGGAGAACATTGTAATATTAATATAACGATAATCATTGTAATACAACTAACTATATCTAACTATATATATACACACTATTTTCATCCATCCATATTACTATCATAGCTATCATGTTACGGATAGTTAAGCTATAAAATCATAGCTATCATATTCTACTACTATCATAGCTATAATAACTATAACTATATCAAAATATATACCAGTTATTCAGGTTACTATTCATATATTATGATGATATGTTTGATTACTATTCATATCTTTGCTATCTAAAGGCTTTATATTCAATAGTTGATATTACTATTGTAGATACTTTGGATACTTTGATCTATAGATAACTCTTCAACGCCCCAAGTTATAACTAGTGATAGTGGATACTATATGATTTACCTATTAAAGCTGGTTATTTTCCATAGCTTGTTTTGTGTTTACCAGAGGGTATCCACAAAAATATATGGCATACATCAAATACATAAAACAATCCAATATACTAGTGGTATTTATAAATACAATTATCTATATATATATATACATGGTTTAACTATATATATATCCAGCAGCTATATAGTAACCATAGTTATATTGATGGGTATATTACTATACCATTGTATATATATAGGTGAATTACTACTCTAACTATTATATACATATCTGGTTGGTGGTCTCAACCATCTTGAAACATATTAGTCAATGGCAATGGGAAGGATGACAACCCATATATTATGGAAAAATCAAACATGTTTGAAACCACCAACCAGCTATTATATATATACCCTCTAGTTATTTAACATAGCTATGGAAAATGGCCCATTTATAGATGGTTTACCGAACTTAAAAACGGTGGACCTTTCCATGGCTATGTCAAATAACCAGATGGTATATATATATATATATATACCTATCATCCTCACACTGTATCTTGGGTTGGTTTTTGGGGCTTAAACACATTCTCAGAGGCTATTTGGAGCGCTAGGGATATATATATATATACACCTATCATCATCCATCCATCCATCCATCCGCCTCCTCCAGCAGCTCGGCGCCCTGTTCCTGGCACCACTCCTCCGCCAGCGGCACCAGCTCCGCCAGCTGCGCCGCCTCCATGGCCGCGTAGAGCTGCGCCATGTCGCCCACCTGCCGGAAAGGTGGGAAAAAGCTGGGAAATTCATGGATTTTACGAGGAAAATATGGGAAAAGCGTGAGGAACATAGGGAAAAAACAAGAAAATACGGGACACATATGGAATTCACTGGAAAAACTCAGATGAAACAACTTTGACCTATGGATTTATTAGAACAAACCGGGAGGAAACCCATGACACATGGTCCATGAAAACAAGTCTGGGATGGGAAGAAAGTAAGAAATGACTGATGTGATTGGTATGGATTCCCATCCCAGACCATAGACAATCGCGGACAAAAGTATATCTGGTTGGTGGTTTTAACCATCTTGAAACATATTAGTCAATGGGAGGGATTATCCCATATATTATGGAAAATAAAAGCCATGTTTGAAACCACCAGCCAGATATGCTAGTGTACTTTGTCTATAAGCAGTTGGGCACTCAGTTTTTGAGGCTCTAACTCCTCCAGAATCGATCCATAAACATCCATGCTTTTAAGGGACACCTGTTCTGGAATGATCTTAATGATCTATGTGGCACCACATTTTGGGTGCCAAAAATCTTCGTTGTCCGATGTTTTTTTCTGGGTCAAATGAGCCTGGTTCATATCTGTCTTGGTGAGCGAATACCAACCTAAACGTATTCCATATGCAAACCGTAACTCATGAATGATGCTGTATTCCGAATCAACTTGAGTAAGAAACGGCCATGCTAAATGACATTTATATGACATTTCACCATGTTCAACCCAACGAAAACGAGAACAGCTCTCTAAACATCAGCACACGCCATACTCACCTAATCATCAGTACTATGCAAAGTTGATTCGCTATACCCTCTGGTAATTTAACATAGCTATTGAAAATGACCATAGAATAGTTGATTTTCCCATTAAAACTGGTGATTTTCCATAGTTATGTGAACGTTTACCAGAGGGTAACCCCATCCAAACTAATATCCATGGCTGCATCCAACTGCCCTCGCAAGGTTTGTCCAGAAATGAGCAATTTCCCCAGCAATGGGACTTAAAATCAATGGGGAGAATCCATGATGTGACCACACCTTGTTTCAATCAATTATATATATATATATGGGTATGTCTGAAAATGGGGTATACCCCCAATTATAGCCATTTAGTAGGGATAGTGATCAGCAAAACCATTGGGTTTAGGGGTACACTATTTTCAGACACACCCATATATATATATATCATATAAATCAGTTATAAGTTATAAACTCATAAAAACTCCACTTTCACTATGGTTTCTGGTTGGTGGTTGAGCCTACCCCTCTGAAAAATATGATTTCGTCAGTTGGGATGATGACATTCCCAACTGAATGGAAAGTCATAAAAGCCATGTTCCAAACCATCAACCAGTGATTATTAACCATTATTAACCATGATTAAACATCATTATCCCATTAAAAAGACATGTTCCAGTCACCGCCAACCAGATATATAAAACCAGTTTCTCTCACCATCCTTCCCCGTCATTCCTGGATTTTTTAAGTGCTAAGATGAGGTCCAGAGTTGATCGCGCCATCAACTTCAACAAGTTAAATCAAATCACAATTTTCAACCAAGAATTAAAGGGACGTTCGCCATCAGACCGAACCCACCATGTTTTATAAAAGTTCATATTCCATGAATGCTATAAGTAAAACCACGACTTTCCGCTTTCAATGTTCATCAATGTTCATCAATGTCCTCCATCCATGTTCATCCATTTTCATCCATGTCCTCCATGTTCATCAATGTTTCATTCATTAAAAACCCCAATGTTCATCCATTGTCCACCCATTTTCCATGGGTTTTTTTCCACAGTGCTGGTTGTTTTTCACGCCCCCAGAATGGCCTCTTCCTCCACTGCTTCCTCCGGCAGAGGCTCTGCAGGCTCCGCAGTCACCGGCTCTGCGGGCTCAACCTGGTTGGTAGCGACCGTCGCGGAAGGCAACGTCTGACGTTGAACGGTTTTAAAGCATAGAACCAATGGAAGTATTAAACGAATGATAGGTTTTAAGATATATACTAATGAACATGATAGGTTTTACGCATACTATTAAACTAATGATAGGTTTTAAGCATACTAATGAATTACTAATGATAGATAGGTGTCAAAACTTCTGTCACCATAGGTTTCACTTGGATGATTTGGGGAGAACCATGGTGTCTACCCTCCAAATCATCCAAGTTAGACCATGAGGTGTTAAAACCTATGGTGACTTGGGGATCCCTAAGTTTAGGAAACCTCCATATTGATATTCTAATATATTCTACAAGGCTCAGCAACTAGATGCAACTGGATTGAGATGTCAAAACTATTGAGTATATGTTTGTTTAACTTGTCCAAAATCATTTTTTGTCCTCCAAAATCAACATCGCTCAAGCCACGAAGCCATCAAAACATGATGGCACGGATCACCATATCTATCCACCCTGGATTTCAAGGAATCAGATCTATGGTGCTTTCCCAAAATGCAAGTTCTTCAAGGTCGATTCGAGAAAAGGGAAGGACAAGTTGTGTTGGGCCAAAAAAGATAGAAACGTGCATTGATATAGAGCGAAGAGTGACTAAACGTTGGTTCTATCTTTGTGGGGATTGATGGGGATTGCATTCTGTTAACCTCCCCACTAATATCAGTTTTTCTCCCAGCACTATATTCAATATTATTCCCATGTCCCAATAACGGTGATGGATTTGCACCATTGTCATTCTATCTGTTTGGTGTTGCTATACATATTAAAATAGAAGTGTCCATTACTTTCCATTTAACATGATTTCCATTCATTTCCCATTCAAAAGAAAACAATCCCAAGAATTACCCCCATGATTATCTATAGTCTATAACTATATCCCCATTCAAATCATAATGATAAACTATATACTATACTAGTTATCCTTTAACAATACTATCTTATCATTCATACTATACTATCTAATCCATGACTAGAATGATGATATATAATTATCACGGATGCTTCCTAAGATTTTTGGGGCACCCCAAATCAATTTCTTTTGAGAATTGTCCATTTAAAAGTACACCATCCAGCGGAGTAGCCCTGCAGGAAACCTCCACCGCTGGCGCGGCTTGGCGCGCCACGGTGCCCGGCACCGCTGCAGGTGCTGGCGCCGGCACCTCCTGGAGCTTCGCCTCGAGACACGTGGAGGGCGAACCTTGAAAAATCGTGGTTTAAGCCTCAACAAAATCATGACTGAACAAATTGAACATGGTTTAATCAGGAAATGGAAGGGTTTACCAATGCGTGGTCATGCTTGGGCTTTAAAAAACCCTTTCTGGTCGCTGACTTGCCAGCGCCAGGCCTTAAGGGATACTTTCTTGCTGACCAAGTGGCTCTTGCCTGCCAAACTGGAGGTTCGATATGGTAACTTGGATGATGCCAACAAAAACAATAAGTTTCCCAAAAAGAATGGATTTGGAATCTGGAACCGGATTTTCGGAGCTAAGATAGCGAAGCAATTATCAAGGAAAAAAAATGCAGGAAAACCTCCAGAGGACCATCTCACTCTCTTGCGACGCCTTGAGGGACTCCATCTCCATGGCCATGGACCGCCGTAGCTCCTTGCCGTGATAAACGATTACAAATGGACCATGATAGTCTAGTGGTTAAAAAAAAGGTACCGATTGGATTTAACATATTTACCATTGGTTTTAACGGGAAAATCATCTATAAATGGGCCATTTTCCATGGCTATGTTAAATAAAATCTTTAAATCGATAAGATATCCTGATATCACTGATATCTCAAATGTTACCCCACATGGATCCAGAGAAGATTTCCCATTCAGGTGGCATTTGTTTGGGGGCTGTACCTGATGTTTAAGGACAAATCCTAATGACCAACAACAATTAATTGCTGCAATCCATACATAGTTGGCGTGCATTCCGTTTACGACTCAGTTCAGACTTGCACTTACAGTAGGCAAAATGATGATAAACCCATATCTTAGGTAAATATCGGATATCAATGGATATCATCATTTCAACACCCATGTCTTAGGTTATTGCAGTATCCACTTACGATTCCAAAGGTGCACATCTTGTGATTTGTCATCTCCCGTCCTCCAACTCGGACTTGAACTCTTCTTCTGCCTTTCTCTTCGCCTCTGCTGCGGCCTCGGCAGCTTCAGTTGCAGCAGCCGCGGCAGCCAGCTGTCGATCTTTCTCAGCGCTTTGCTCCTTGAGTTGTAACGGCAGGAAAGGGTGGAACGGGCAAAGGCACAACAGCCATGGCTCATCTTCTATAGTTTTCGATTAAAGAAAAGGGACAAGAAAATAAAGTCAAAATTCAAGGAGCAGCCAACAGGGAAAGGGTTTCATAATATTCGTAATATGTATCTTGGTTTGTGCCAAAAGCCTTCCTGGGAAAGCACCGCACCCCAGGCTATCTGCTGAGGTTGTCACAAGTAATCCCTGTACACGGCCTGATTGCTTCAAAGGCACTGTACCCGCAATTCAGTTATGGTGAGATCACAAAAAACACACGCAATGATCAAGCACAGGGTTTCTTCAAGTTTTCTTTGAAGATTCAGAAACGAATGCCCCGAAATATGGGACCCCGAAAAAAATAGATCCACACGATTCACCACAAATCTGAAGGCCAGAGAAAATACTAGTCATGGAAATGATCAACTAAGATCTAAAAGGTCAGTTGATCTCAACCCATCTGCCTATGCTTTTTGTAAATATTGGATATCAATGGATATCATCCTTTCAACACCCATGTCTGAGGTTATTGCAGTATCCACTTACGATTTCAAAGGCGCACATCTTGTGATCTCCCGTCCTCCAACTCGGACTTGAACTCTTCTTCTGCCTTTCTCTTCGCCTCCTCTGCTGCAGCCTCGGCAGCTTCAGTTGCAGCAGCCGCGGCAGCCAGCAGTCGATTTTTCTCAGCGCTTTGCTCCTCGAGTTGTAACGGCAGGAAAAGTCAGAACTGGTCAAAAAGGGAACTAAGACCGCTATAATTATTATCAATGTTGATTGAACAAATGAGGAAAACACAAAGTGAAGACTCCACTAATTATGTTTGGGTTTTGGGACCAGGGCTGGATTTGCAGGCTAGCTCTTACACGCTTAACATCTCTTAACCTATAAGCAAAAGCTAAGCTAAAGCATGCTTACACCTATTCATTTAACAATGGTGAACACTCAAAAACAGCAGATGATTGCCACCTGGGGCCGTGATGAATCTATTAAATCTATCATCTATCTTTATCTCTATCTTTGCTAATATGGTTGAAACCATAATAAACCATCCCCCAGTCATCACCATTTTTATGGGTGCTATAAACCATTCCCAGTCATGGCTGGTTGATAGCATTGTTTTACCTGCCCAGCCGTGCCCAGCCTTCCTCCTCCCATCCCAGTTCCCTCGGGGCCCAAGAGGAACCTCCATTTCTTTAAGCTGATGCAAGTTTCAACGTTGTTACCCCACCCCACCCCATCGGAGAAGCTGGGGCCCCTGAAGTATGTATACATATATATATACACACACATGTATATATATATATATATACGTATATTGGTGTGGGTACAGTAATTATAGGTAATTACTTGTTACAGTATCCACTCACAATTCCAAAGGTGCACATCTTGTGATTTGTCATCTCCCGTCCTCCAACTCGGACTTGAACTCTTCTTCTGCCTTTCTCTTCGCCTCCTCTGCTGCAGCCTCGGCAGCTTCAGTTGCAGCAGCCGCGGCAGCCAGCTGTCGATCTTTCTCAGCGCTTTGCTCCTCGAGTTGTAACGGCAGGAAAAGTCAGAACTGGTCAAAAAGGGAACTAAGACCGCTATAATTATTATCAATGTTGATTGAACAAATGAGGAAAACACAAAGTGAAGACTCCACTAATTATGTTTGGGTTTTGGGACCAGGGCTGGATTTGCAGGCTAGCTCTTACACGCTTAACATCTCTTAACCTATAAGCAAAAGCTAAGCTAAAGCATGCTTACACCTATTCATTTAACAATGGTGAACACTCAAAAACAGCAGATGATTGCCACCTGGGGCCGTGATGAATCTATTAAATCTATCATCTATCTTTATCTCTATCTTTGCTAATATGGTTGAAACCATAATAAACCATCCCCCAGTCATCACCATTTTTATGGGTGCTATAAACCATTCCCAGTCATGGCTGGTTGATAGCATTGTTTTACCTGCCCAGCCGTGCCCAGCCTTCCTCCTCCCATCCCAGTTCCCTCGGGGCCCAAGAGGAACCTCCATTTCTTTAAGCTGATGCAAGTTTCAACGTTGTTACCCCACCCCACCCCATCGGAGAAGCTGGGGCCCCTGAAGTATGTATACATATATATATATATATACACACACATGTATATATATATATATATACGTATATTGGTGTGGGTACAGTAATTATAGGTAATTACTTGTTACAGTATCCACTCACAATTCCAAAGGTGCACATCTTGTGATTTGTCATCTCTCGTCCTCCAACTCGGACTTGAACTCTTCTTCTGCCTTTCTCTTCGCCTCCTCTGCTGCTGCCTCGGCAGCTTCACTCGCAGCAGCCGCGGCAGCCAGCTGTCGATCTTTCTCAGCGCTTTGCTCCTTGAGTTGTAACGTCAGGAAAAGTCAGAACTGGTCAAAAAGGGAACTAAGACCATTTTTTTCATGGTCAATAATTATTATCAATTTTGATTTAACACATGAGGAAAACACAAAGTGAAGACTCCACTAATTATGTTTGGGTTTAGGGACCAGGGCTGGATTTGCAGGTTCGCTCTTACACGCTTAACATCTCTTAGCCTATAAGCAAAAGCATGCTTAAACCTATTCATTAAACAATGGTGAACACTCAAAAACAGCAGATGATTGCCACCTCGGGCCGTGATGAATCTAATAAAAAATCTATCATCTATCTTTATCTTTATCTTTGCTAATATGGTTGAAACCATAATAAACCATCCCCCAGTCATCACCATTTTTATGGGTGCTATAAACCATTCCCAGTCATGGCTGGTTGATAGCATTGTTTTACCCACATTACACCGTTTGGAATTTGATGTGATTGGCAGCTGCCCAGCCGTGCCCAGCCTTCCTCCTCTCATCCCAGTTCCCTCGGGGCCCAAGAGGAACCTCCATCTCTTTAAGCTGATGCAAGTTTCAACGTTGTCACCCCACCCCACCCCATCGGAGAAGCTGGGGCCCCTGAAGTATGTATACATATATATATATACACATGTATATATATATATATATTGGTGTGGGTACAGTAATTATAGGTAATTACTTGTTACAGTATCCACTCACAATTCCAAAGGTGCACATCTTGTGATTTGTCATCTCCCGTCCTCCAACTCGGACTTGAACTCTTCTTCTGCCTTTCTCTTCGCCTCCTCTGCTGCTGCCTCGGCAGCTTCAGTCGCAGCAGCCGCGGCAGCTAGCAGTCGATCTTTCTCAGCGCTTTGCTCCTGCAAGTTTCATGGAAAGCATCGGGGATATGAAATTCATTGCTGGCGATATAGATCCCTTCAAATCCACCAAACATCGGAGACAGCCAAGCTGCGCAGCTAAGGCCATTTTCCAACCTTTGGATATGCTGAAGTAAGGATCTACACATCCCAGGAGTTAATATTCATCATCTGGGTATTTCATTTATATTCATTTATGTTGTAACCAGAATTAACCTCAAGTTCTTAAGGTTCAATAAATAATTGACAAAAACATTGGTATAGTAGGAATATGCTCAACATAATCTAACATATGCTTTACGAAAAATTATCATGATATCCAGAGTCTTTTTAGCTGTTAATACTGTTAATATTGGACAAATCCATGTCCCCAGATGCAAAAAACAGTCATAAACACCCTGCAGAAGCCCAGTTTCACCTGTAGATTGGCTTACGTCGAGTGTGGATAGATATCAGTCAAAATGGCGTGAACAATTCACAACATCATGTATACAAAGTATCGAACTTGTCCCAAACAAATGATTATGTACTGTTAATCCATGAGGATGTGTTCTGAAGTCCTCCAACTCCGACTTGAACTCTTCTTCTGCCTTTATCTTTGCCTCCTCTGCCGCAGCCAGCTGTCGATCTTTCTCCTCGCTTTGCTCCTGCGAAAGAAATGGCAGGAGAAGGCGTCATTCATGGTGCACATGCATCTAGCATCCATGGCCCATATTCCTGTCATTGCTTTTAATTTCACAAGAAAATGCAGGTTGGTTAGCTGGAAGTTGATTGATAATCCACTCCACTAGAGATTGAATTGAATATTCAATTGAAGGTTCAACAGAGACCTATCTATCTATCTATCTATCCTATCCAATCCAGTCATCCTATCCTATCATCCTATCCTATCCTATCCTTCTATCCATCTATCTATCGATCTATCTATCTATCCATCCATCTATCTATACATGTGTCTATCTGTCTATCTATGTATCTATCCATCCATCCATCTATTTACATACACATCTACAATTCATGTAGATACATATGTGATCATATGTGCGTACATACATACATGTGGCGGCATTGGGATCAGAACCTCAGATAGGCTGGAGCAAAAAAACAATGTCTGCCTTGGTCAAGTTACATGTTTTTTTCGTAGGTAGGGTGATCCATTTCATTCCCAACATATGAACAAGTTAACGTGTATATATATATATATAATATATATATAATTATATATATACAGTAATTTATATTAATAGTGCTAAATACACATCCCAAACTCATTAAATTTATATGGTGCTCATGGGCAGATCGATCTTCACCATCCACTGGCATCCATAAAAAATCAAGTCATGTGAGGTGCAGAGCCCCAAAATGTTTAGACATTCGATATGTAACAGTATCAACGGCCATTTCAGGAACCTAAATTGGAGGTACCTACCATATATATATATATATATACGTATATATATATACATAAATAAGGGTTGTGTAAGGCTATGGAAAATGGCTATAACTATTGGGATACCTTCTGGTTATTTAACGTAGCTATGGAAAATGGTCCATAGAAATAGATGCTTTTTTTTATGATTTCCCCATTAAAAACGGTGATTCTCCATAGCTACGTTAAATTACCAGAGGGTAACAGTAATAACAATAACACTCATGAAAAATAAATCGTGCGGAAGGTAATCAAAAATGTGATAATAATAAAACCTACATGTCATGGTATTCCATATATGTAATAACAATCGTGCGGGTGATAACAATAATGGTCATCATAATGACAATAGCAACATCAAATATAGAGTACAACAATATTACAATAATATATGTAACAATAATGAAGAAAATAAATACAATAATAATGTGGGTATACTTAAGTGTGGATATAATGTGAATAGAACTACCAACCGCAATGGGCATAGAATGAGTTTTGCCATGTGATATATGAAGCATCTATGTTGTTCTTCCATGGGAGAACGTATTCAAATAAGTATGTAAGTTTGACCCAGTTCCATGTCCAGCAATAAAGGATGGTCCACGTTTGGGCCTTAGTAACCGCTAACAACAACCAGGACAGTGAGGGCATCATTTTATCCATTCATGATTGGGTCCCGGAGTCAGAGAGCTCATATGTAGTGTACGTTTTTGATGGCAGGAAACTATCGGGTCCTTCATTTGGAGCGTTTTTTTGGTAGTCTTGGTTCACACATTTATCCCATAGCCATGTCACGTGACAAACCAAGGATAAGATTTTTTAGATCTGGGCATTCTATGGATCACCATTTAGAAGGCATAGCTAGAATGATAAAACATGGGACAAACATACCAGTGATAAAAATGTAAGACACATTTAACAGACAACACTTGGATTTGCTTAAGGGGTACCCAAAATAAAAAAAACACACTATAGATTCCCCAAATGGTGGATTTCCCATTGGGAAAATAGAAAATCACCTTAAACAAACCCAGGAACATGTTAAGTTTCCTGTCACCAACTTAATTCCGGTGGAAATCCCACCAACCACGACCATCCGTTCAACGAGCCGCAGTCCCAAGGTATCAGCCTCCCATTCGCAGATTTGTCATCCTGTAGACATGTTCAATTATAATTGGAAATGTCATGAAAGTAACACATATTATGAAAGTAATAATTACAATATTGTAATTATAAAGTAGTTGTAGTTATATATTCATTCATATTATGTGGGCATTTCGTAAAAGTAACACATATTCCACTTGTTATTGGAAATACCAACATGGACACTAAAATACTCAGTTTTTCCAGATAAAACATGAAAACCATTTTCTACCAGGCATCTTCTCCACGTTGACTATAAATAAAACCATGGTCAATCTTTGATAGTCCACAAACAAATAATCGTTTGCTGCTTATTCTGATGGTCCATTTATAGCAAAAAAAAACTAAAGGATTAGCTTCTACCCATTCCACGGGATGCCCCAAGTTATAAGTTGGCTTAAAAACACCATTATAAAACTATAGTTATACCTACCATAAACCATAGAATTCAGTCACTTATGAGGTGACTGAACGCTATCTTCTCGGCCTGCAGTTCCGAGTTCAACTTCTCTTCTCGTTTCATCTTCGCCTCCGCAGCTTCGATTTGTCGTTCCTTCTCCACGAGTTGGTCCTATGGTCTTGGGACTCCCCTAAAAGAATGGCAGGCAATCTTGGGATGTTCATCCATGCATATCTATTTGTATATATATATATTATAAGAGCTAATATATACACTTGTATATATGTACACACACATAAATATATATATATATGTACATATATATATATATAATCACAAATACATATATATATATATATATAGTTGTTTACATCTTGTCATCTAAAGAGCCACTTATATGTGTAATGCGGGTATTGGGTATGGTTTCTGGATCTTGGAGACCTTGGGGACCAGGATCCCAGTGCTCCCAGGCTCTGTGGGAAAAAAATGTATATGTACAGGATGATTATTTGATCATATATAAACATATATACATATACCATCCAATCATATACCATCCAATAGGAGCATGGTTATTGACCTGTGCAATAACCAGAATAAAGAACAAATAGTCCAATATATGTATATGTGTATTTCTATATACACTTCTATATGTACATATATAAAAATCAAGAGGAATATTGAATGGAAATCAAATCATGGATTGGGATGGTTAACTATACATCAAATTTGCAAACATCAAGCAATATTTCAATATATTGATATTTGGATTGGGATGGTTAACTATCCAACAATTGATTCAAACATCAAGCAATACATACATATTAGCCATGGTATAGATGGCCCATAGAAATAGATGGTTTACCTATTAATAGCATGGTGATTTTCCATGGCTATGTTAAATAACCAGATGGTAGTTAGCGATATTAACCATCATGATATGAGGAGGATAATACTGTAGCTATATATAGTGAGTTATTGACAATTAACCATTGTAATTACAAAATTACCATTGGTGATTATTAATTGCCTTGTGAAAGGTCTAATCTCATCCCAATGGAAGTGTTGCTGAAAGACGGATGGCCCCCGGCCGAGCCGATCCATAGTTGGTTAGTTTAGTTGGCCCGATCCAAACATGAAGAAACCACCATGGACCATAAATCCTAGTTAGTCTAGTACATGTTATATCCGCTAATCAGACATGGCTTGCTGGACAATTCACCACGTAGTTTAATGATTTTGTTCCCAGCTATTAACCTCCAATTTTTGCGGGAAAATCTTAGGAAATCGCAATCTTTGATGACGCCACAGGGTAGATCCCTTTTTTTTGAACCCAATGAGTCTCCCAATGACATGATATCTGATATACTGGTTGGTGGTTTTAACCATCTTGAAACATATGAAAGTCAATGGGAAGGATTATCCCGTATATTATGGGAAAAAAAATGTTCCAAACTACCAACCAGTGATATATTCCTATAAATCCATCTTCAATCCCTATTCTTCTGGGTTAAAACATCCATTCAGTACTAGGTTGAGTACTGGTTGGTTAAGAACGGGATTCCCCGTTCTTGGATTATTACAATCCTCAATATATAAAGGATAATCCCCCAACTAATAATCAACCAATCATCATTTATCATTTATATTCACTCATATCCCCATATTTTCAAGGTTAAAATCCCATTTAAATTACCAGGCTTTTGAACACTGCTCACATTACAACTCAGCCGAAACGGTTTCGACCGCCTGGAGCTGGGACTTGACGCTTTCATCCGCCTTCGTCTTCGCCTCGACCTCTGCAAAGTGCCGATCTCGGTCCATGCTCTGCTCCTGGTGAAAAACTGGCTCTTTGTCGGGTCACAAAAATGCTTTTAACATACCCATTTATACGTATATAATCTTTACATATTATAACTTATTATATATATATGTATGTATGTGATAACATATATAATATGTAGATATATTATGATATATTAGGGATTCAACACAGCCAAATCCCCTATGATCACACTTGATGTTTATTCGTGAAAGGAACCGCCTTCCAAATGGACACCTGAGGTCCAATCCTGGATCAAAGGTACCATATGTACCTTTGCATTTTACCTCTACCCTATGTTCTGTTGATTGGAGGAATATGCATCAAGTAGGTTTGTCATACTTGGAACCGTTCCCCCACAAAACGATGTCGCGGTTTAATGTTGTTGGTTTGTCTATGCAATCAAAACTGGCCAAGATGATCAAGGAACGTCCATGAACATTATTGGTTCATAACAAATAATATCATCATTGAAAGGATACGGTAAACTGTAATAACCACCAGACATCCGCAGATCTGATTCATGGCTTACAGTAATTATGTTGTTTCTTGATCAGCGCAATGGCCTGGAATATCATGACTGCAAAATGAGCATTTGCAAGGCCGTGATGCCACGAAAGATGCCCTACTGATGGTTCAAATGCCATCTTCATCAAATTATTAAAAGGATTTGAAACAAATATAAAAAAAAAACACTGCAGCAATATCTTATGTATCTATCTGTCTATGCATAATATATATATATATGAATATACATATATACATATATATATATGAATATATATATATATACACATGAATATACATATATATATATGAAGATACATATATATATGAATATACACATATATATATACGAATATATATATATGAAGATACACATAATTACATACATACATATATATATATGACTATCTATATGTATAATTATACGTGTGTTTTTAGATATATAACAGATCTTCATTTGTTCAGCAAGTATTGCAGTCCCCTCCTGCTGTTCCTTTTGCAGTGCTTCAAGCTGTGCCTCGCAGGGATGAGCGTAGCAGCGTAGCCACTGCTTGGTGGTTTGAAGCCCTGTGAAAAAAATATGAACTGATGGTGATTAATGGTGATTAATGGTGATTTAATGATGGTTAATGATGATTAATGATGGTTAATAATATTCTGGTTGGTGGTATACCTACCCCTCTGAAAAATGATGGAGTGAAAGTCACATGGGATGATGAAATTCCCAACTGTTTCTGGAAACTCATAAGACTCCATGGTTCCAAACCACCAACCAGCTGATGTTTTTCCAATGTTAAGATATATTATGTAACTGTTGTTAAATAGAATCTAATTCAAGATATTCTTTTTAGTTGTTATCCCCAAAGGGAAAAAACACATGTCGTTCGAATCTAATATGTATTTGTCCGATTCTTCCCTATGTGTGGTTCTTGTGCTTGTTCTGGTGCTTCCTGTTTCCGGCCGCCTTAAGATCTTCCGCATCCTTCTGCGATTCGGCCAGCTTGCTCCTTAGGTTCTCGAAAAAAACACCATGCTGGAGGAAAACGTGTATATATATATATATATGTGTGTGTGTCACTATATGTACATGAATATGTGTATGTGATTGATGTATGTAATGTATTGTATTGTATTGCATTGTATTGTATTGTTTAATGTATGTATGTAGCTACATAGTTGTTGGAATATGTTGGTCAGTCATGGCCAGTTTTCCTGTGTTTGATGATTAATTAAGTATATACTGAAATCATCTTAAGCTATAATCCCATCCCCCATTCATATCAAACCCCTCCATTTCTATGGTCCCGATTGTGTGGAATTTCCCTCCTAACCCATGGTTTCTACCATGGTTTCTAGGGGGTGTTTTATAGGGGGAATGGATGAAATTCATCCACCAGCGTGTCACAACAGGCACTGGCAGCACCGTACAGCGAGGATCTGTTCCTCGAGCAACTCAGAGGCTAACGCCTGGGACCGCAAGGGAAATGTCAGCTGGGTCAAATACCTCAGGGAAATCACATTAGAAATCACAATAGTTGTTTGAATTAGAAATAAATCCCATTTAAAATCCATTGAACATGTCCTGGGTAATAATTAGAAATGCGGATTTAATGGGATTTAAAAGGATTCAATGGGATTTATATGAATTGATTATCCGATTTGATGAGGTTTGTCTATTTCGTTTGGGGAAGGGGTTTTCAATTGAGTCCACGAGCAAACTCTTGCAACTCTACGCCTTCACAGCCACAAAGTCTTAGTTTAATTTGGAGACCTGTATAAAAATAATGGCTTTAAATGGTTTAAAGACCTTATCGTGCCTTTTTTAATAACATAGTTTTTCAGAAATCATGTTTTCTACACGTCCATAAGAGTGTCAAAACTATGACTTCGGGGAGCCAAAAACTGTTAGTACCTGGGACACAAACTGTTGGGATTATACCCTGCTCAGACCTGGATTCAATGCACTGCGTGGCAGCAGGTTGACTCATGTTACTCCCAGTCCCATGTACCCTCTGGTTATTTAATATAGCCATGGTATAGATGGCCCATTTAATTTATACAGTAGATGGTTTACCTATTAATAGCATGGTGGATCTTTCCATGGCGAACTGTGAGTCATAACCAGAGGGTACCCCCAAAGATCATAAAAATCGTCAAAATGACCAAATCCAGGAGGTCTCTGAGGTGGAAAAGACGAAACCGAAGCGAAGCGCTGAGACTTTTTAAATGTCACAACAATACGCACCACACAATTGTTCATACTGTGGTGTATTCCAACATTCTAGGCACTTCAAATGTATCATATATATATATACAGTATATATATATATACGTATATATAATATATAGAGATATTGAAATTGTGGTAAACCCAATCACAAACCATCCCCAAAATCACCATAATGGCTTCTGTAAACCATCCCCAAATGGTAGGTTCATTATTGGGCTGCCTCAAGTCCGGCCTACCGATGGCCACTACTTTTTTGGAGGCTAAGCGCTATGCTTAAACCACCGAAAAGTCACGTTGCATTCCCAAAGTTCGTTGGTTGAATCCTCACGTGGCTGCTTACTAGATTTTGGTCTCCACTTTCAAAATGAATTAATTGTAACATGGATGATTGGCAATCGGCCACCCCTCCCCTCCGTTTCAAGAATTAAGAACGCACCATTTTTTGGGGAAAGTCGCCAGATGATCACCCAGCTGCATTCCTTGACTCTTCAGTTTTCGACGTGAGATCTTTCCTGGGTTCCGGCAACTGACGTGCAGATCATCTGGTCCTACTGTATCCACATGGACCATTAGAACTATACAGTAGAAATTAATGATACTAGTGGAAATATATGGAAATATATCATATGTATCATAATTCATGATGGCTAACCCCTCAAAATGTGTCAATGAAGGCCTTTATTATCCTATTCCCATAGAAGACATTAGTCCAAAAGAAACTTATACCCTCTGGTAATTTAACATAGCAATGGAACATCACCATTTATAGTGGATTTTCCCATGAAAAATTGTGATTTTCCACCGTTATGTTAGTTTACCAGAGGGTAATCAAACATATATTGGTCCAAAGAAATCTCCGATATTCAAAATCTCTCCATCACCAGAACTGTGTCACTGATCGCTTGAGGGGAACAGAAATCAAACAACCTCGGGCCTCGGGCACGCATGAAACACGTCGTGAAAGATTTAGTCATCTGTTGAGCGTTTGGATCTGCTTGTGTATGTGTATTTTTATATACATATAATTCTTAATAATTATATATATATATACATAATTTACATAATCATAAATATAAATATAACTATTTAATACTATTTCCATATATATATATATATATAATTATATACATATACTAGAACTACTAGACAATACTCCACATATCCTATCAAGAGGAATCACATTTCCCTGAAGAATGTATATATATAAGAAGAGTGTCAACAGGATAGTGGAAGCAACTTCAATGATTGACTTTGGATCATTTTGCGGAACTACCTGAACAGTTCATACAAATCGTATCGTCTAAATGTAATTGTCCTAAGTGAAAGTGAAAAAAACTACACGCAGCCTATTCACAATGGAACAAACCACAATTGATTTCCACAATTCATGGCTCAACTCCAGATTGTTGAATGCCTTCATGATTTTTTGATCATACGTACTAAATTAGATATATATATATATATATGAATGTATATGTCCCGCTACTCACTGTTGTATACCACCATCCTTTTGGCTTTGGCCCCTCACTATAGCGGCTTGCCGTGTGCCCAAGTCTCTGTTCGTTGCCAGCTGCCACGGCCTCTGAGAAATCCTTCTGCAGGGCATCCTGGGCACCAAAAACACGCTGGGGCCCATTTCGAGATGGCGGACATGTTGCCTCTCGGCACCATTTCGATGAATTGAGATCTCCCAATCATTGCTCTCTGATCAACGAATTTGTACTAAAAAGCGAAGAAAGAGAGTGGACGATCAACCAACAATTTTGGGATAACTCTCCGTTTTAGTTGGATAGTGTACAACAACTGCTGGTTCTGATCACGGTTTCGTTGTTTATTATCCTGATGTGTTGAACAGCTTTACTTTGGGGCCAACATTGAATATGTTAGTGAGACTTCTCTTTATGTTCAGCCCCAAACTGAACGGTTGAGATTCTATCCATTTCCAACTAACTATATCTGCATATGTCATTTGTATATCCCCACAAAAGTAATGCACTTATCAGACGTATCCAATAAACTGTACATGGTATACATCAACGAAATAGTACACATCCCATAAATATCCTACATCCTGTATACATATCCTATAGGCATCAAAACCCTCCTTTTCTCCCCTCCAATGTGTGACTGCAAGGACTGCCACTTGAAATCATAAAACCACGGAGGTTTTTTGTTACTGTGACACTCTGCCTAAACTTCAAGAAAGTCTATGCAAATACCCGATGATATCCCATTAAACCATATTAAACCACTGTTAAATTCCATGAAAACATATTGAACCACTATTAAATCCCATTAAACCATATTAAACCAGCATGTTTCCATATGTTTCATGTTTTTTTCCCAGACCAAAACACTCCAATTTCTTTCCAGGTCTCCAGCTTCGATGTGAGATCCTCGTTGAGTTCCTGCGCCTTCCGCAACTCCGCGTCCGTGTCTTGCTGCGTTTGGCCTGGGGCGTCGGCCCGCTCCGCTGTGGCTTGTTGGCCACAGAGATCTATAAGATATCTATTAGCCAATTATAGCATAAGGTGGCTACAGTATATACTATAATCATATATATATCATTATTTATCATATATACTAATGGTATATTAGATATAATATAACTACTCATTGTTTTGCATTTAGGTTATGTAGATATTATGTCATATTAATTCATATTATATATAGTTATCATGTTTTCACTTTTGTCCATATATGAAACAATATCATGCATAGTATGGAATAAACACCAAATTTGTCGAAAAACAAACACCACATGTTAGATATGATGTTTACCTAGTATGGTTTCTCAACTTATACATTTGGGATATTCACATTCGGATACTTGGTGGCTCATCCCACGGCTCGCAAGTGGGTTATAAGCCCAGTTATAAGTGGATTAACCCTACTTATCCCATTTATAACTGGGGTTATAACCCACTTGATTCCTGGGTAGTTCGCCACCAAGTAGATTAGATATGCACAGTGCGAAGAAGTTACGGGTCAGAACTCCACCCGCGAGTCGCCGTTTTCGGCGCCATGCCGAGGCTGCCGAGGGACCAAGATCTGCCAAGGCATTGGTCTTTTCTTCCTTGGAACCAAGGTGGACTGGGAGATGTGTCTGCAACGTAAGAAATCCATGTCTATTGCATAACTAGACTATAGTTATAAGATAACATAGTATATATATAATATACACATATAACATATATTTATCATAAGAATGTACTTATAATTTATCTTCACCATGTTCATCTTAAATATATCTTGAAAGCCGCTAGTTAAACTATAGGAATTCATGCGGAACAGCCTGGTGGAGCGATGTCTGTGGCTTGGCACCTCAACCAGTCTCAATACGTCTCAATAACTATTGGTTCTGGGTTAATACTGATGCCCCGATGAGAACCAGAGTCTGGAAAATTGTTGCTTTCATTCTTGTTGACTTGTTACCCTCTGGTAAACTAACATAGCTATTGAAAATGGCCATTTATAGTGGATTTAGCAATTAAACATAGTGATTTTCAGTAGCCAGTAGAAACATCCGTTGTTCTGGCCGTTCTGGGGAAACCCCAATCTTGACGCAAATAACAGGTGTAATTAGTTGGATCTATTTGCTATTAGGATGCGGATGGGAGTACACCAGATCTTGAAGTTTTGAGGATATGTACAATTCATATCTGGTTGGTGGTATACCTACCCCTCTGAAAAATATGAAAGTCAGTTGGGATGATTATTCCCAATATATGGAAAAATATGGAAAAATAACAAATGTCCCAAACCACCAACCAGTACAATTCATATACATTCATACATGTGGGTTAGTCTGCAAATAGGGCACCCGAAAATCCCATGATGCCATGAGTCTAATTTTCCAGACTACAATGGCCTGGAGCATTCCCCATGTTTATCTGTTTTTGGAGAAGTGAAAAACTGCAACTGGGAGTTTCTACTGCCACGTCATCCCTTTGGAGGTAAATCCGATCCTTCTTGTCTCAAATATCCCATGATATCCTCATGGAATGGCTGGTTGGTTATAGATCCACACGTTATACACGTTTGATGGTTGAGTTCTCATGTTGGGACAAGGGAGCCCATGAATATCAATCAATAATCATCAAAACAATAACCTTCATACCTGACATACTGTACCCCAAAAAAACGATCTCTTTGGCAGCGCGAACTGCAACTTCTTGCCAGTCTTGGACAGCCGCAATCCCTGCAGTTGTGGTGGAAAATAGCCATCCGAGTTTGCCTGATGAGCGCCAAGCCATGGTTCCCTGTTTGCTGGATTGCATCCAGCAACCGTGCCGTGCAAATCCTCCATGCGCGTTTTCAACGCGTGATGCCGTGAGTCCATTAAGAGGCGGCCGTGACAGGCCCTTCAAGGCAGGGCCTTTATATTCCTTTGGGTGTCCCGAAAGTACGCCAACTATCGCCCATGATATCCCCACAAATGGTTGGTTTATACCTCAACATTGCAAGTTCTTACAGGATGATCAACAAAACGGAAGTTCGTGCAGGATTGTTTCTGCAGTTTTCCATTGTAAAATCGCCGATCAATTTTCAGACAAACGCATACCACAATCTGCATAGCAACAAGTGTCCAGTTCGCTCGTGATCTCACCTTGTCTTTGGGTGAGAGCTTCCAACCTGAGGTGAAAAATCGCGCATGTTCGCAAAGGACAGGTCAGCTGGTTGAAATGTGTGGTTTACCTATGCTTACCTGGGGTTTTGGATATGATGTATCAAGAGTTAGATAGTGAAGCTGGCCAGCTAAACACATCTGCGGGGATTTACCAACATCATAGCAGCCGATAGCACTACTTCCAAGGTTCTTAGTATCAGTATATCAGGGTATGTGGTTTTCTGGTCCTCCATGTATGCTGTTTCATCTAGCATCATCTAGCGGAGAACAACAGGGGGGCCCAAAATCAACAAATCATAATCCAGTGATGTATGATGGCCATCTCCAATAAAACTGCCGTTTTTGGGGTATACTCAAGTTCTGTACATCACAAGTGGCGCGAAAAAAGGCGGACAGGGGGAGACAAGACGCAAAGAAAAAATCTGATCCAAATCATCCAAACCATGGCGTATGAGTGCCACAATTGGCAATTAGTGAATTACCTGAGCTTAATGGACTTCTGATCGGTGGTTTCAACATGTTTCAACATGTTTCAACCATGTTTTAACCATGTTTCAACCATTTCAGCGAATCGGGATCATCTAAAGGAGAATGGTTTGAACATGGCAATACTTCAAATCAGCCACCAGTATTTATTGGTAATACTATTTAGTATGTTGGATATATATACTGGCTATGTCAGCATGATTATGACTATACTTATAGTTCAATGTATTGGCTATAAATCAGCCGGTAATACTTAGCTATATTTCATGGCAATATTTCATAGCAATATTTCATGGCTAAATACTCAATTTATAGTATTCAGACGGTAATTTAGAGTTATGGTTCATCTGCGAGTTTTGCTATATAATATGTAAAAAGTAACCTTAATGAAACCACAATAGATCTAGTCCCCGGTTTGACTTAATTTGCCTTTACCATCCATGTAAACTTGTCTAAACTATAGATAGGAGGTGATTTACCATATGATTTTCTATGTTTACCTTTGAGGAATTCGAGAAATCCACATCTGACACCAAATGCTGAAACCAAGAACTTGGAATAGGTCCACGACTATGGGGAAAAACAACGGTGGCGACGTCCCTGATGACAACCAATAACCAATGAAGTGGGATCATGATCGGAATGACAACAACAATTGTCATGATGATGAAGATGATGAAGATGAGGGTGATGGTGATGATGATGATGATGATGATGATGCTGATGCTGATGATGATGATGATGATGATGATGATGCTGATGCTGATGATGATGATGAGGGTGATGGTGATGGTGGTGATGATGATGATGATGATGAGGATGAGGATGAGGATGATGATGATGATGATGATGATGATGATGCTGATGCTGATGCTGATGATGATGATGATGAATAATACCATAATTATGCCATAAACCACTATAGTCACTATACAAATGCCCCAAAAACGTCGAGGAACTCCTGCTTCGCCGCCGTAAGTTGTTGGCCCAAGTCGCTGGCTTGCGCCTGGGCGTTTCAAGGAGGGATTCTAGGGATTGAACTTGATTAAACCATGATTTATGGAAGTTGATTAAGATTTATCTGGAATTCATGAGGATTTCATAAAGATTAGTGAGGTTTAGTGGGGCTGACTGGCGTTTCAGACACTTATAATCATGCTAAATCATGCTAAGTCTATATATATATATATCTACACATAGAAAGAACTTCAGTCGAACCCTTATCCTCACAACGACCAAAGGCCACCACAGCTGCCTCGGCATCTTGCTGTGCCACTCGAAGCTCATCCTGCAAGCTACTCCTCGGCTTGAAATGAACCGCGATTACCCAAGGGCTGAGTGAAGCACCAGAGATATGATTGACTACCCTCTGGTAAACTAACATAGCTATGGAAAATCACTGGTTTTAATGGGTAAATCCACACTAAAAATGTGGTATTTTCAATAGCTATGTTAAATTACCGGAGGGTAAATGTCGGTCCATTTGTGCTGCTTGGTGGCATCATGTTTGTTTCCGAAGATGGATTTTTTGTTTGATCACTTGTAGGTGGGAGTCCCCCAGGCTTTCTTTATCCGGGGTTGCACTATATACTCAGTTAAAGGGGTTGATTATGGTTGATGATATTCGATGATGTGAGGCTCATGATGGTGTATATATTATTTAATAGTATGTAATTGGTGGGTGACATTGGGTGACCGCTGGTTATAGCTTCCTGAAAGGTGGTTTCCCCCATTTATAAGTTGTTTTTTCCCGATCTATATCCGATAAGTATAGTTATAATCACCATAAACCCAACACTTCTCCTGGACCTAGTCGCCTCAACCAACCTGGCTAACCAGCTTGTTCTATTTTTCATCCTGGAATGATGATCATTGACTTTCACATATGTTTCAGGGGGGGAAAAAACAACATGCGCATGTACCCTCTGGTTATGTCAAAATAGCTATTGAAAATGACCATTTACAGTGGATTTACCCATTGAAAATGGTGATTTTCCGTAGTTATGTTAGTTTACCAGAGGGTAACTGGCAACACTCCCAGGTTTGTAACTGGCAATTTGCCACATGTTTCTTCTCAAACCGAGCATCTGCTGCTGCTTGAGCTCTGCAATTTGCTGATCCAACCTGCATCTCGTGAGTTGCATCCACAACATAAGACACATATGGAATATCCCCACGGAACCAGGATGGACGCAAACCACTTACTGACTGGGATGCAAACCTAAGTATAATGGATAAAGGCCTCATGTTTCCCACTCACCTCCATAACTTGGAGTATCACCCAAGAGATTAAACACAATTCCTCATGGAAATTGTGGACTGAACGAGGGAATGTGTAACCTCTGGTAATTTGACAGTTGCTATGGCAAACGGCCCATTTATAGTTGATTTACCTATTGGCAATGGTTATGTTCAATAGTTTTGTTATATGTTGTTTTCTAATGTTTTCTATATATATATAAATTACCCGGGGGCCCACGGAACCATTTTTAAAGCATCAAATACCCTCAAACCACTTGTGGGACAATGGACAAATAGAAATACAGGGGGAAAAAACAATCCAACGGTACAGATTTGGGCAACAAATTGGGCAACAAACCCTAGAAACTCCGGCGCAGCGTTGGAACAGTTCATGGGTTACTAATGCAATTGTACAAACATCATTTACCGCTTGCCAACTGAAGTGTATATCGCGTTCAGTCTGTTGGGTAAAGAATAGCTCAACCAATAAACATCAAACCAAATGAACAAAACATTGCAAAAAACATGTATATGTAAATATATATATATACCTGGGCCTTCCAACTCCTAAAAAATATCAGTCGTTTTGCACAATCAGGCGTTTCATCAAATTTATGGTCGTATCGAGCGTTTCCCCAAAAAGTTAGGCTTGGTATGTCATGGCTGTGTTTCCCATCGGCATGGCCCTCCTCCCAGTCTTCTCACCAGTATTTTGCTTTCGATCTGCACATCCAAGTTGGTTTCTGTTTAATTGCGCGCTCCCAAAATTATACAAATTTATCAGATTCTTGGATTTGCGGGCGGTTGCGGGTTTTTGCGGGCGTTTTGCGGATTTTTGCGGGCGTTTTGCGGGTAATTTTGGGCGGAGTTATGTGCATTTATATGCGTTGGTGCTCGGGATATGAGAATGGCCTGGTATGTCCCTGGGACGCAGCCAGGATGCAAGCCATGTTCAGTCAGTCATATTCAAAATGTCACTTGTGGTGATAGTGTGGCCACTAGGAAGCAAAACCAGGCAAACTAGTAAAATTAGACGAGATTCTGAAAACTGGGTCATTTTAGGTCATACTCCAAAACTACCAAAAATAATTGATCGAAGGAATGTTCAGGTATATTTATATTCCCTTCCATATACGTATAAGATTGATTTTTTTGTAATCACCCCCAAAAAAAAACAACAGCATCGCTGGTCAAAAGTATCATGCATCAGATGGTTAATAATATTCTGATTGGTGGTATACCTAGCCCTCTGAAAAATAATGGAGTTCGTCAGTTGGGATGATGATTCCCAACTGAATGGAAAAATAAAACATGTTCCAAACCACCAACCAGACCATTTCTCAATTACCCTCCAGTAAATTAACATAGACCCTGGCAGACAGGGGTTGGAAGACTAGTTTCCACCATAAATTGGTGATCTTCAGGGTCTATGTTAGTTTACCAGATGGTATATCCAATATCATTGAGCACTTGAAACCCACTCAGGTGAATTTATCATGTTTCATAACTATACATCAACCAAACATGATTTATCAAGGATTATGAGTGATGACTATCCCCATAGAATATATTGGTTCAAAGCCATATTTCAATGTGATATCCGCACATTAACATTGCCAATATGAAAGATACCCTGCAAACAACATAAATGCTTAGTTTGTTAGTACATATTCCTGTTCATAACATGTTGTAACAAAAAAAACACGGGTTAAACTACCCATCCAGCTGGTTGACATAGCTATGGACAATAGCTCATTTATAGATGATAAACAGGATGATTTACCATTTCTAAAAAAAATGGCGATTCCAGTTTGCAAACCGTTTATAATGACGGACAATCACTTAGAACATCATTTTTCCCAAAATTTTGGAGTCCCACACTTAGAACATCCAGAGACCCCACACTTATGTCAATAGACCATTATAGAAATATATGTATATATATATGTTGTAATGTCTTGGGATGTTCTAACTGTGGGGACTTTTGGATGTTCTTAAACATAGCGTACTCAAAAAAAAATATCCAAAAGATGTTCTAAGTGATTGTCCGTCGCTATAAATAACCAAAGGGTAAAGTCATCAACCAACAGGGTTTCGGCAGCAAGGGACTCTTGGGCTTCTCCCGTCTGCTGTTCCCTGGCGGCTTGGAGTTTCTCTGTCTCCTCCAGCAGTTTTTGCCGTTCCTGGCGGAAACTTGATCAGCGTCTCAGTGAGGAAAAAAACATGCAAAATAAAAGGGAACAACCATGACTGGTTGGTGTTTCAACCCCTCTGAAAAATATTAGTCAGTTGGGATGATTATTCCAATATATGGAAAAATAAAACATGTTCCAAACCACCAACCAGATGAACAAACATGGAAAGCAATGAAAATCGTTTTCAAAACCGATGAGAAAAAATGGTCAGAACCGATTTGGGAACTGAAACACTCAACATGCAACGTGTTATCTGTTGAGGATCGAATTGGCGTGTGAGCATGTCAGCAAGTGCCTTGCATACAGCACGGCATATTTTAAGAGGTGCCTAAATGAAAAATGTTTGCAGGAAACAGAAGTTGTGGTCATGTTTAGGATACATAACATAAAACACCATCACACGTTCTGGGTATGGAATGATTTGATCCATAGCCAATATGATTTCACACTGGGGGCTCCCAAATTTCCACATCCGAACAATCAAATAATCGTAATAATGTGATCATCATCAGGACCACTAGGAATAATAATAATCAAACGGCCAAGTAGTCACATCACCCAAAATTCAATTCTCCATATATGCCCCCAAAAAACATGTGTTATTATATTATATAACTAAATAAATATAATCATGACAATGTGGCAAATTTGACAATGTTATGTATATAATTATATACAATATTAACATGATATATGTATTCGTGCAGAACAATCAAACATCTCGAATTGCAACAGCGCGGCCGAAAGTATTTGATGAACCATCCCTTCGGTTTACGTCGGTTTCCCCAGCCTCTTGAAGTTCTTGCAGCTGCTTGTCCAAGTCTGTGGACCTCAAAATATGGGAGGTGTAACATGGTGTAACCATCAAAATGAAATTTCAGCTCATTGACCAGCAATGAAGTAGTCATTCACCAGGACATTTGGGAGTGTAATTAACGCAGAAAGCAAGAAATGGGGGCGGATCAAAACATGAACATCCATTTACACACTATTTTGGGCTCACCAGGGTGCTTGGGTTTTGACGCATAGCCATATGAAGCTATATTGACCATGAGAGATATAGCAATTCCAAACTCAGAAATCAACTAATTATGATTGTTCTTGTTGTGGTGGTGGTGGTGGTGGTGGTTGTTGTTGTTGTTGTTGTGGCGGCTCACAGCAGTACAGCAGTAGCTGCAGCCCGGGAACACACCTCCACCGGCAGATTGACAGACAAGCTCCGATAAACAAACCAAACGTCATTGCAAGTCCTCCCTGCCAGCTTCAGGTGGCCCAAACTAGCAACGAAAAGGGACCGAAGCAGATATCGAAAAAAACAAAAGGTGAACTAAAGGAATTTAGATCCCCGCCGCCAAGAGGATACCAACCTTTCTCCCAGCATGGCACCAACTGCGCCTAGGCAACAGAACAGGACAAAACACACGGGGCGAGCCGAAGCCCAAACACAGAGAAATCACGCAACAGAATAGGACAAAAAACACGGGGCGAGTCGAAGCCCCAACACAGGATTGGGTAGCAAAGAACCCAAAATACCAACCACACGGAACCACAAGAACCACCCAATTAGAAAGGGAGAAGAAGAAAGGAAAACAAAAGTTGAAAGAAAAAAAAAAGAAAGGCAAAGGGAAGCAAAGGGAAAGCACGGGAACAAAGAAGGGAGAGAAGAAGAGAAAACGCGTGGACCCCGGCCGGCCCAGGGAAGAAGGGAAAATGAAAGCATGGTTGGGCAAATCATGGACATGGTACGGGTAAACCAAGAAATCCATAGAAATCCAATCAACGGCAACTTGTAAACAGGACCAAGCCAGAGCCAAAGTAGCAGCAGGCACAGCAACAGCAGCAACCCACTTAGACAAAAAAGGTGCTGTCACACGCCGACTTCGGGGAGGAGGGAAAGAAGGTCATCGGGAACCCAACCCCTTCAGACCCTAGTGCCGCCCCGGGGTCCTCCTAACCCAAAGAAACCAAGTCCAATGGCGCAAGTCCCGGGGGGAACCTGTCATCCATCCATCCATATATCCATCCATCCATCCATCCATCCATCCATCCATCCATCCATCCATCCATCCACCATCTCTTGCTCGATGATGAGAAGTGATTAAACACATCACTTCACGTACATTCTCCAATAGTCCAATTCGTTAACAATCCCTTGAAAAAACCATCTGAAATCCCAAGTGGTTGATGATTAATAGGGGGATTATAAGGGATTATACTAGTTCTCCATTAGTTACTCTCCGGTAAACTAACAAAGCTATTGAAAATGGCAATTTAAACATTGTGATTTTCCATAGATATGTTAAATTACCAGAGGGTAGTTGCCATGACATTTCATTTAAAAAAAATCACATTGATAGATGGATTGTCCATTATAAATCAACCATGTTTTTGGGTAATCCGTTTGGTCGTTTGGTATAATGACATGACAATAATAACCGTAATTATTCATAAACCATCATTTATATTGATATTAATCATTAAATAATGATAATGAAACGACAATTATATATCATAACTAACAATAGTATTATTATTTAAAGAGTTAATACCATATGTGGATCATTATTTATATAGATATTAACCAGTATCATGATCCATTAATCATTAAACCAGTTATGGTTTATGGTATTTACGGTTAACAATCATAACCAATCTTATATCATTAAATATGGATTTATCATTATTAATATTGGTTCGCTTAACATCTTATCTCTCTCAATATTGGTGCCCTATTACTTACCATTAATCATTAATCCATTAAACAACAATACCATCAGGGGGATCACTATTTGTATAGATGTTATAACCACCTTTAATCAGTATTGTATCATTCCCAATATCTATAATATCACACACCTAATATAGTATACATTACCTATAGTCATAGATATGAACTATAGATATTAATCATTAAATGTTACTAAATAATGAAAATGAAACGACAACAATATAGATATTAACTATTATCAACCAGTATTATATCATTCAATGACCTATCAGTCATTATATATATAATTACACATATATATATTAACCATTTCCCATCAATATTAGTTCCCTATTATGTACCACTAGTATCCCATTAAACAACAATAACCCCATTATTAACTATCTGTATAAATATTAACCAGTATTAACCACTTTATAATTAAAATGATATTATATCATTCATAGTTTCCTAATATTTACTATTTACCATGATTCATATCCCATTAAACAACAACAAAATAATAACCATAATCACCAATGAACCAGTATTAACCAGTAGTATATCAATAAGTAACCACAGTATAGATATTGTAGTATAACACGCCTAATATAGTATACATTACCTATAGCTATAGATATGAACTATAGACTATAGACTAGTGTATCATTCCCATTATCTATAGTATAACACACCATTTCACTATCAATATTAGTTTCCTATTGTTTACCATTAGTCATTCATTTACCATTATTATACCATTAAAATAGAATTAAAATATATAGTATTGTTAGCCATATTACAATCATATTCTCATCAAACCATTATCAACCATTATCAAACAAATCGGTGTGTAATATTATTGACCATATTATTAACAATATTATATACCATTCTTATATCCCATTATTATTAACTATTAATATATATATATATATATTAACGTACCATAGTACATTTCTCATCAAACCCTAGTATTATATATATATCATCACTTATATAGATATCATGAATATAACCACTATACCTCTATCAGCCATTATTAACCAGTATTACCCTCTGGTAAATTAACATAGACCCTGGCAGATAGGGGTTGGAAGACCAGTTTCCACTATAAATTGGTGATTTTCCATGGCTATGTTAAATAACCAGAGGGTAATTATTAAATATTACTATGTAATATCTATATAGTGTCTACTTACAGATTAAAAACCAAATGGCTATGTTAAATAACCAAATGGTATTATAATAGGTGTGTAATATTACTAACCATATTATTAACCATTATTAACCAGTATTAACCATTGTTAACCATTATTAACCATTGTTAAACAGTATTAACCATATTATCATATTATTAACCATATTATCAACCATATTATTAACCATTATTAACCATTATTAACCAAATGGTATTATATATCATCATCATTTATATAGATATCATGAATTTAACCACTATACATCTATCAGCCATTATTAACCAGTATTATATAATAAACCACAGCTCCTTCCCCATCTCACCTCCTCTGCAGTTCCTCCGCGCGCTGCTTCTCCTCCGAGAGCTGCCGCTGGGAGGCCAGGTCCTTCTCCGCGGCGGCAGCCTGGTCCTGGGTCCACAAAAGGCGAGCTTCGCAACGGAAAAACCGTGGGAAAAAACGTGGAAAAACGTGGGAAAAATGTGGGGAAAATGTGGAGAAAACGTGCAGAACCAGGGAAAAACTAGGGAAAAACTAGGGAAAAACAGAAAACATTGGAAAAAAACGTGGAAAACATTGCAAACAACTTGGAAAACATGGGAAAATCAAAGTCACACTAACATGCAAGGGATTTCATGGGAATTCATTATGAAATTGGATAACCTTATCAGGAAAAGATCCATGTGATCGTTTTCCAGCAAATGGAGATTTGATTAACACGATTTTTCAAAAATTGGGATTGGCGAATGTTTGTTCTACTCCGACTCAATTTTTTGGACCCAACAGAAATCCGCCCAGAAAACCAGGTCCAAATTGGGATTCGCGCAACTAGGCCTGAACAAACTGGGTTTAAGAAAGAAATGAATGGAACTAATTAACACAAATGTGGAACCAATAGAATTGGATGGACGCAGCAAGATCAAAGTCAGATATTTACTGACAAACATCGTGAAATTGCAACAGAAAAGGGGAATGGAACCAGAACGGGCATGTTCCGAAAGTCTCCCACCATTTGGACCATTTGCATATGATCTCAATCAAGGAACCCATAGTTTACTGCAGGGTAAATAATGTGGTAAGTAAATCCCATAGCGATCCATTAACATAGACCCTCCCACTATCTACAGGTTGTTTATTACACCTCCAATTTACGATGGTTTTTTCTGGAATCCAAACCCCAAAGATGGACCATATACCCTCTGGTTCTGTCTACAAAAAGCTATTGAAAATGGCCCATAGAAATAGTTGATTTGCCCATTAAAAGTGGTGATTGTCCATAGTTTCGTTAGTTTACCAGAGGGTAGTTTATCACTATACCTTGGGATGTTACTTGGGGATGGGTCAAAACCCTGGTACCTAGTGAACCCCAAGTCATAGCTGGGATTTATGGATGTGAATAACCCACTAAAAATGTATCTATAGGTATTGACCCATACCCATATAGCTTTTGAAAATGGCCATGAATTTAGTGTTTCTATGGGGATTTTTTATGGGATTCTTTATGGGATAATTGGTATAATGATGGTATTTAATGGTATCTATAGGTATTGACCCATACCCACTTGTCTATCTTCTGGGGGATTGCGATGGTTTCCGACCTCTGGCGTCCGACAGTCCTGCGACAGGAGCTTCCTTTGCTCTTCTATCTCCTCCGTGACCTGTTTCAGCTCAGCCGCCAGCCGCGCCACGTTGTCAATCTCCACGTCCTCCGGGCTCTCAGAACGCCCCAAAATGGCTCTTTGAAAATAGGAGACCTACACCAAACTTGGCAACTTCTATAGGCCAAATTCATGATGAATGACCGGATTTAGGATGATTTGGGCAGTGAATACTCATGTGAAGGGTCTTTTGAATGGGCCGGAGGCACCTGAAACCATAAACATATACTTGAATTACTTGATTGTAGTTGCATTTGACCATGGCTCATTTTAGGTTTCCACAGCGAAACAAAATGTTTGCCGGGTATGAAGCATTCCTCCATTTTAAGAACATAGCTATGGACGCCATGTGTATTCATGGGGTTTATAACCCAACAAACATCACGGGGGGGCGCACCACTTTGTACCTGGCAAACTGGACGAACCAAACTTGCCCCTGCCCCACTAAGCGGAATGTTTTTATAACTCACTGCGGTGAAGCACACAGTAGTTCATTTCCGAACAATCTAACACATGATGAAGATATCTCAACAATTTATCAAGATATGCTTGAGATGTTCTTTTCCATCTGGCTGAATAAAAAAAGTCCTTGAGAGCCATTTCTTGTGCATGTTCGGTCTGCCACTCCTGGCGAGAGAAAACTCAGGTCCACAGATGGTCACAACAAAAGTCTTCCACCATAAAGCTACTGTGCATCGTTGGACCTGTGGTGGACATGTGGAAACGGGCATGAAACATGGTAAATCCCTAAGGCGCGTGGCGAACCAGATCTACGGATCAAATTCATTCACCATACCCTGTTGAACATCAAAAGGTCCAGTTTTTTGTAACCTCCCAAAAAGATAGGACAAAACAATTCCCACTAAACATGGCCAATCAGCCAGATACCCTGCAAAAAAAGGACAATTCTTTAGCGGGTGAACGTAGATAATCCCATATCAAAAGACATAGCTAGACTAGTTTCTACCCATCCAGTTGATTGACCTAGTCATAATTATCCCATTGTATTCCCATCAACCATTATATATTGTTATATTGTTAGACATACACCATGTATCCACTACAAATCCATTCTAAATCCACTACCCATCCAAAATTGACCTAGTAAAATAGTGCCACCGTCAACTGGGCACTGCAAATGTATCTCAATGCCCCAGCATCTTTCTTGGATTTATCTGCTTTGACCCACGGGCGCTGAACCAATGCGATCCCAAGTCACTCTGAAGGTTCCTCTGCTTCCAAAATGAATGATAGGAGTATACTACCAATGGAATCTTCAAAGATGAGTATAGAGATGTTATAGATAAGTGCAGATGAGTAAAGACGAGTATCTTGCAGTATATAGTACAACATCTGGCAATGAAAAGAATTCAATGGGAAACCTTGAAACTCACCATTGATCCATGCGTTACACTCTCAACACTGTGAATGCCCAGCCATCTTTGACCCCGTCCTCAACTTCTTCTTGCAGTGAGGATCTCTCCTGCAACCAAGCAACATCAGCGCAAAAGGATGCTTTTGCGGTGGTTTCTCTATAAACCACTATATAGCTATTTATTGTGACAGGTTCAGCAATATTTATATAATATCATGATCCAAACATTTGCAAACATGACCTGACAAATAGTTTTGATTTTTTGAATATGTCTAAATATACCGTCTATTGAGATATATAGTAATAATACTAACAGTATTAATGATAGCAAAAATAAAAGAGAATAAGAATAATATAATGGAATCAATTATTATACAATACAAGATAACAACGTATAATATATCTAATCTAATAAAAATATAATATAGTATAATATAACATAATAAATTATAATATAAAACAAATATATATATATATAATATATATAATATTATATATATATACTAATATATATATATATTATAATATATATTTAAAAAAAAAAATATATATAATAATATATATAATAAATATAGTATATATAATATATAATAATATATATATATATATATTAATTGAAAAATAAATAATATAACATATTATATATATAATATAAAATCGAAAAATAGGAAATAAATAAATAATATTATATATATATATATTAAATACAATATCAAAATATAATATATAATATATAATAATTAATTTATAATTTATTATAATATATATATATATATCATATCATAATATATATAGTGTAAATAATATATCATATATATATATAATATTTATAAAAAGAATACATATATATATATAATAATATTCAATAGATCTACATAATATAATATATATAATATGCAACAGATACTATGTAATATATAAAAAAGAAATATGGTTTATATAATAAATAGTATAAATAGATACATGGTTTACATAATACATAGTGTATAACCTATAATATACAAAATAAATTATCTAACATGCAATATATAATAAATAGGATATAATATATAATCTATAATCTATAATATATAAAAAAAATAATATATAATGAAATATATACATATATATCTTTATATATATATCTTTATATATATATACATAAATATATATATATATCTTTATATATATATATATCTTTATATATATATAATATAGAGATCCCATACCGTCCTATATCAATCTGTTCCTGGCACCCTTCCAGGCACTGTTTCGCCTAGGCTGGGGCTGGACAGCACCAGAACATGTGACTAAATCCTCCAGGTTTGTGACGGGATTCGCCCGGGTTCTTTCAATTTGCATCTTGAAAATAAATGTACCCTCTGGTCATCAAATGTAGCTATGGCAAATCCATGCAAATCCCCATTTATAGATCCTTTACCCACTAAACATGGTGATTTTCCCATAGTTCTCTTGGTTTGCCAGAGGGTATCTAAATTTTAATAACTGCGTATCGTAATAAATGTACCTTTCAATTTCCATTTTTCATACACGTATCTATCTCTACTTGGTGGCTCATCCCACTTAGTAAGTAGATTATATTAGTCTACGTATAACTACTTATAACTCTAACTAGGGTTATAACTACTTATAATTCTAACTAGGGATATAACCTACTTACTAAGTTGGATGAGCCACCAAGTACGTATCTTATTTTTGATGAATTTGGAATTGGAAGTACCCTCTGGTAAACTAACATAGCTATGGAAAATGACAGGTGTTTTTAAAGGTAAATCATCTATAAATGGGTCATTTTCCATAGTTATGTTAGTTGACCAGAGGGTTAGTTGATCATCATTTTCCCAATTATTTTCCCAGTCTATCCCATTGGACCACTAGTTTTGATGGTTTGTTTACTGGAGGGTACCCGATTTTAGCTTACAAAATGCATCCAATTCCCTGGCTTCCCAGTTCCCTCTTCTCCTGCACGACCTGTTGGTGCCTGGGATGGAATACTTCGGACTTCGACAGGGCGGCTGCCTATGAAACGAACCATGAAACATGGGGAATTTCACCATTATAATGATAGAAATCCGTGTTAATAATGGTGATTATATGGATAATGATGGTTAATAATAATCTGGTTGGTGGTATACCTACCCCTCTGAAGTTGGTACAGATATGTAACTGGTTGGTGGTTTCAACCCCTCTGAAAAATATGAAAGTCAGTTGGGATTATTATTCCCAAGCTATGGAAAAATAAAATTCATGTTCCAAAGCACCAACCAGATACAGATTGGAGCCTATGTTGGGAACTTCGTGGGACTACTTTGGACATGGATGGACTTGAGCCTATCTTTATTTCACCATCATAAACAATGTTTTTTTGGTGGATATCACGCGAACATCATGGAGAAGATGATGATCTATACCTTCTGGTAATTTAACAGAGATATAGAAAATGGATCATATCTGGAAGGTTACCTATTATAAAATTTAAAACAATGATTGTCCGTAGCTATACTAAATTACCAGATGGTAGTTGCATTGACAAAATTGTGACATCAGCAACCAAAATGGTTAGTCATGTACAGTATGAATCTGTGCATTGGGAACATCACAATATTTTCAACATACACGTGAGTACGAGAGGTATCCCAGGTATGCAATATGACAAAACATGAAACCTTCCTAGTACCTGGTCTGACCCGTATTAATGATTTACCCCTGGTAACCTAACATAACTATCGAAAATCACCATTTTTAATGGGTAAATCCACCATTTTTATCGCCATTTTCAATAGCTATATTAGTTTACCAGAGGGTACACCCCTCTTGCTGGGATCCACCAAGGGGAAACAACATGAACCAACTACAGTGAGGGCAAATCGCCAGTAACATTGAGGGTACACCCCATTATTCAATATGTATATTAAAATATATGTATTATATATATTAATATACTATATTATATTAAATTAATTACACAGTTATATATAAACATAATTATTATACATACATATATATATACATACATACATACATACATACATACATACATACATAACATTACATTACATTACATAACATAACATTACATTACATAACATTACATTACATTACATTACATACATTACATACATTACATACATTACATACATTACATACATTACATACATTACATACATTACATACATTACATACATTACATACATTACATACATTACCTACATTACATACATTACATACATTACATACATTACATACATTACATACATTACATACAGTACATACATTACATACATTACATACATTACATACATTACATACATTACATACATTACATACATTACATACATTACATACATTACATACATTACATACATTACATTCATTACATACATTACATACATTACATACATTACATACATTACATACATTACATACATACATACATACATACATACATACATACATACATACATACATACTTACATACTTACATACTTACATACTTACATACTTACATACTTACATTACATACATTACATACATTACATACATTACATACATTACATACATTACATACATTACATACATTACATACATTACATACATACATACATACATACATACCTACCATTACATTACATTACATTACATTACATTACATTACATTACATTACATACATACATACATAATGATAATAATAACAATAATAATAATAATACTCTATATATATTATGATTCTGGCACATACATGTTCTGTTTGCACGCTGGCATCGCCTCGCTTAAAATCCATCCAGGTTGCTGCAGCTTCCAGTTCTCCACCTCTTCTCTCAGTTGGGACGTCTGTTCGCTGCTGTCCTTCCTCGGAACGTGCGCGTTGCCATGGAAATGTTGCTGCATTTTTTATTTATGTCATGCTAATACTATATTAATATATTATATATCATAATGTATGTAACGTATTTATATATATATACATGTGTATCATTACATTGTATGAGTACTTACTGTCACTTTTATAGCTAAACAACCGTAATTCCTGGTACGGTAGATTTACAGACGTTTATCTACCACAAGCATGATCCACTGATGGAAGACGTGCAACCCATGCCGGGCGGTTCTTTGGAAGGGCGCAAAAATGTGGTGAATCCAAGAACAAATCGAACAAATCGCAATTCGTCATTTTGTTCCAAGAAAATAAATTGGCAATTTGTGGTATTTGGTGTGGTTTATTGTTGATTTATGTTGGTCAAAAACTGTTTTCCATGGATAATCCAGATGATTTCTTCGCAGTCTCCCGAGCAGTGGATATCTGATTAATCCAAGGAAAGGTGTGGCTTTTACACCGCGCCAATACACAGCAAGCACAGCTAAGCACAGCATTTTTTATTTAATGCAGCTGATGGGACAACATATTTTGCCTTGATTTCAACTAGTTGGATAGAATCAGTTTGACACTGGTTTAAACCCTTAGACTACAACATGCCCAATCTGAGATGTTGGAAAGAAAACTACTGTAGTTGTTTGCTCTCTTGCCTGATATCTTGTGCCATGTCTATGGAAAACATATCTATGAATAGTCTATGAGCATATGTAATTCTACTGATCCTGTGCATATATATATACACACACACTGTACAATAATATTTTCCTATGTATGTAAAGATATATATATATATACAAAGTCATAATTGTAGGATGCATATGTAATTATATTATCTGAATACCAAGTTTCTGTTCCTTCTCTCGCGCTTGCGACTCTGCAGCAATGGCGTCTTGCAACTTTTGGATGGTTTCGTTGAGTTCCTAGCGCATTTTGCACAGGATTCGCAACTATTAGTGCAACTATGAGTGTACACTCATGCTCGCAACTATGTGCATCTTCAAGCACATTTCATGTAATCATGTGTGTACATCATTTCGGTGGTTTCCACAATTATGATCCCCACAATGGATGGTTTTGTTGGATGAGGATAGGGGTATCCATTCTACTCATTTCTACTCAATAATGGTAATTTTTCATAACCATTTAATCAAAAGCTAATGGTACCATCTGGTTAGTTAACAGTTCGCCATGGAAAATCACCATTTTAAATAGGTAACCATCTATTTCAATGGGCCATCTATACCATGGCTATGTTAGTCATAACCAGAGGGTAATTGGAACATCCTATTCAAATGGAGAACTGGGGCCTGTATTCCTGGATCGAATCTGGCAACATGATGTTCCACTGGATTTCCCGACGGTCAAACATGTCGAGTTGGGAAATTCAAACTTTGGCTAACCTCAAGACTAATATTATATGAGGAAATCATCTACTTATGGGGAAATTCCCAAGAAATTCAAACTATGTTCCAATATTATATTCGGGGTAGTCATCTATAAATGGGCACTATTGCTATGACATTGCCATATGATTTGTGAAAATCACAAAAACTTGACCAGACAAGTTGTGATCATAAGGTTATGATCATTCAATATATCTGCCATAGATCATTCCATAAATCTGCCATATGCACGTATTGTGAACAAAGCGCACCATCAATCTTGCCGGTGCAAAATTGTAGACTCTTGTAAAAAATCACACAGTCCCAAAATGCATTTAATTTTCATGACTTTGTGCACACTGGTGATGATCTGTTCTGGAAACCCAAGCTTCAAGCTAATCTGTATTTTATATATATATAATATATATATATAATATATATATATGTATTATATACCTGCAATTCCATTGATTAATTATACGGTTCCCTAATTGAATTGCATTTTTGGAGGTATACAGTACACCCAAATACCACACACCCATATCAGACATATTTATTGTGAATGGGTGAAATCTCAATATATATAAAGTTCCTGGTGGAAATCCCAGTTCAATCCTATCAAAATGTCAGTTTTTCATGGTTAAAATCGGTGAGGCGGAACAATAAACGGAGAACCCATGTGGAAACAGGAATCCTTGATAAACCAAAGTAGGCACTGCCTGGTGTCAAAAAAAGACAAAATGCCATTAATATCCAATTGTTCATCATCAAAATGCATCAAAATGCAGGACTGTCCATGGGATTCCATCGCTCCTGCGCCTCTGCAGCCTGGCGCGACAGCTGCGCCATGTCCTGTGTTCCGTCAGAAATTGTGAAAAACTGGAGAGTTCTATGGGAAATGTATGGAAACATACAATAGTTTCATGGGATTTTCAGCATGAAAACATTGGATTTTGATATTTTGATATATTTGGGATGAGATTTCACCAAGCAAAATGAGGATTTCAGCAAAGTTAGTTGGATATGGGTTTCAAAATGGTGGGAAAGCCACCCGAGATGACAATGTTCATGGGAAAGTGATGATAAACCAATCCGGTTTCGGGAGACCCGATTTTCAGCTTGACCCCAAGTGGTGGTTCATACCCTAGTGATCTACTGTTTATGGTTTATACATGTTTATAGCCCGTAAAAAACCACCGTTTCTACTGGCCAAATGCTGAAGTTCATAGGGCTTTTTTGGGGATCATGGGGATCAATCATCCATGAGATTCATGGGATGAATTCAGGACCATCCAAGAACTAGGCAATCGACATCAATTGACCCAAGTTTTGACCATATTTTGATCATGGAAATTGATGGAAATTGGGGACGTTACCACTTGCTGCTTTTTGTGGATGGAGAAAAACTGCCAGCATTTGGGAATGCTGGCTGAATGCTACGTGGATTCGGATCCCAGTCACACAATGGCTATTGGAGATGTCATGTCTATGCTTAGGCGATGTAAAAAAAATGAACATGTCCCTATTTACTTCACGGGTTAGCAAGCGGATGAACGTGGATTTAAGCTGCTTGCAATTTCCCTCCAGAGTGAACCAACTAACCAACTCAACGACCGATCGAAGTACTAACCATGACAGCCATCGATCTCCACTGTCCTCTTCGACCTTTTGCTCCAACTGGTCTCCTCTCTCTACGGCTGCAGCATGATCCGCGCGCAGCTTTTCCTCAACGCCACAGATGCAATTTCAGATATTGGGGGTCCTGTTGTTAAAATCACAACCTCTTCAGCTGGTTAAACCATGTTAAACCATGTTAAACCATGTTAAACCATGTTAAACCCATATTTTCCAGGTGAAATACACGAAAATCCAGTAAGCGGTGGGATTGAACCTGGCACAGTAGTTTTCAACCAAACGGTGAAACAACCACCCCGACCAGTTGGGTTGAGATATGTAACATATATTAAACCGTCATTTTCCCTGCAACATTGCCATTTTGGCGGTGTACGCCATCTTCAGATACACCCAAATCTGCTATTCATTGCTTCAAATACTCGTTTTGGTCGCTGAAAACCATCAAAACTCAACTCTTGATGCTTAAAATTTCATGAAAATCACCATTAAACCCTAAATTAAATAGCCCCACTGAAGTTCCACTTAAACTTAAATCGAAAAAAAACATCACTGACATCACAATCAAGCCCCAATTAAACATATCTTAAAATCCCATCAACATCCACTTTTTTCCTTTCTCCAGAGGCGCCATATCGCCGGCCAAGCCGGCGGCATCGGCCGAGGCTTTGGCAAACTCCTCCGCGCGACGTTGCAGCTCCGACGCATGGTCCTGCAAGGGAAGACGCTTGGGGAAAAAAGGGGAGAAAATCACCTGGAGCTTCACCTGGAAAAAACATGGATTCACCTTGGGGTTTTCATGGTTTTAAAATCACCTTTATAAAGCCATAAAAAGAAATGGGATTCACCTGGAAAACTGGAGAAACACATGGATTTCAAGTGGAAAACTGGAGATGTCACTCAAAAATTTGGGACTTAACCGATCTATACCGATTTCTTCGAGATGATTTTACGGGATCCAACCCCTGATTTCAGGATGGAAAGGGAAAGGGGGGTTGATATTGGATTGATGAGTTTTGAAGAGTTTTGATAAGCAAACAGTTAAGGTTTATAACTCCGATTAGTTGACAATGGGTTTTAATTCACCAACTTGTGATTGGGCAGTGGTCAAAGGCGAGGATATCGCCCCTCATCATGACGTGAAACGTGTAAATTTCTACCTGCTTTCTTGCGGATCCAGCAAACGTCGAGCGTCAAAGTGTCGCAAAACTGGCATTCCTTATCCATCTTATCCTCTGGTCACTTGACATAGCTATTGAAAATTGCCATAGAAATAGCTGATTTTACCATTGAAAATGGTGATTTTCCATAGCAAACTGTAAACGTTTACCAGTTTACCAGAGGCAAACTCACCTCAAATTTATGTCATCTCAAAGCCAAGGGATGGGGAACCCCAGTATCCTTGAAAGGACGACCAGCGGACTTGGACACCCCTTTTTTGTCTGACAAGATCTGAAAAATCGATAGTTAATGTGAGGATGGGTCAAAACCCTGGTACCTAGTGAACCCCAAAATAGCTGGTAATGGATGTTCATCCCACTAAACATGTATCTATAGGATACTAGTAGGCATTGACCCATACCCATGTGTCAATGTCAATCAGAATCTGTCCAATCCTCCATGTTCAGACCCGAATCCCTTGCTAAACCATCATCCATCACCATGAAATGGTTGGTGAAATTCCCATGGAAATCCCCACGAGTCGCGAGTTCATATTCTCACATATTCACCATGAACATCCAATCGGGTGTTGATACCCTCTGGTAAACGTTCACATAACGAACTGGAAAATCACCATGCTATTGATGGGAAAACTCACTATTTCTATGGCCATTTTCAATGGATTTTTGTATGTTTGCCAGAGGGTAAATCACCATCAAATCACCATTTATAGTTCTAGCAATTTCTTGCCCATATTCCAGGGCCGAACATATTCCATGCCAAAATAGCTGGGAAATTTCAGGGAATTGCGAAGACCCCTTTCAGGTGAAATTTGTATTTCATACAGTTTGCCAAGTATTCCTTTTCTTCTGGCACGTACGTTGTCGACTGCACATGTTCTTCCCCAAAGAAGATCCTTACTTTCAACAATTTCTGGAAATGTCATAATTAAAAATGTTGAGCTTTCCAAAAATGGATTAATAATGTTCTTATGGAAATTTGTCATCTACACTTTTCACGATCCCAAAACCCAATTCATAAGCTTTAAGCTTATGTTCTGGCACGCTTGGCTGGCCTTTCATCAGCAGCGCCATCCCCATCTTTCTTGACATCTTTGTGGCCCCGCAAAGAGCTCTGCACAACAGGATCTGGGAACACAAATCATCGACGATCCTGTTTTCTTCCGTGCAAAATAATTCCACCGATAGAGTACGATGCCACCCCTGGAGTGCGCTAATTTTCTGGAATGCGAAAATAAAACAGTATGCGTGGCCCCCTTCGACCTTCCCCATGAATCCAACACCAGTTTTTTCCATCATATACCAGAAAATTATCACATTTCACCCTGCTGAGCTTTTTTTTTTTCTTTTTTCTTTTTTTTTTGGCCAAAATTGCCTGGAATGCGATAGTATGTGCAACTACAGACGTCTCACGAAAAACCGCTACCTTTCCCATATTCCAGAAAACGTGATTCCAGGCGATTTTAGCCCAAAAAAAAAAAGAAAAAAAACGAAAAAACGAAAAATTACCAAGTACGAAGATTTTATGGAGTGCGAAGATCTTGCAGAGTGCGTGGATTTTATAGTATGTGCGCGTCCCTAGCTGTGGAGTGCGATGTCCCATGTGGAGTGCGAAGAATTTGTGGAATGCGAAGAATTCCGAGTATGCGTGGCTGGTATAGAGACCACATAGGGAAATTTCGCGGCCAGAACCAAAATTCCAATCCCAAAGCCGGCCCAAACTTCCAGGGGCACACCAGTGGGTTCTATTTTTCCAAGTTCACCTTGGGTGAGGTCCCGGGGAAGAAACTTGCTAATTTTTACTTAGCCAACCTTTAAAAACGTTACCTTTGACAACCCTGTCCTTCTTCTGTAGACAAATGAGGAAACTTCCTTATCAAAGCAGCCTTCAATTCATTCAACGTCCACAGCTCCTTTGGAACGACATAGGGGATAGAAAGCTGTGGAGGGGCATTCAATGGATTCGCCGTGGGCCAACTGTTCCCTCCAGATTGAGCTGAAATGCCTATCAAAGTAACATACCAAAACCCAGGTCTGGAGTACGATGAAAACATGGTATGCGAAGATTTTCTGAATATGGGAATGTTACCTTTAGAATAGTGGTTAAATCCCATGAAACCACCATTTTTTTATGGGAAAACCACATCCCAGGGTGTTGATAGGTGCTGGTTCTTGGTCTCACACAGCACCTGCTTCAAGTTGCTCACTTCGCTGGCATGCTGTGCGCTCTGATCCTGGACACTTAGGACGACCAGTGTGAAACCCACACGTCGCCTTGACCATTGGTGATTCATATACAGAAATGGATTGGTTTAGCGGAAATTTTACAGGAAAACCCTATATTTAATGCTAAAAACCATGGTTTCCTGTAATTTTTCCCTTAAACCAATCCATTGATATATAGCAATATATAGCATATGTTCAGGGTCGCATGAAACTTCATGTTCAAACTATACAAAATTCCCCCCACATTATCATCCTCATCATCATTATCATCATCAACATCATTATCTGGTTGGTGGTATACCTACCCCTCTGAAAAATAATGGAGTTCGTCAGTTGGGATGATGATTCCCAACTGAATGGAAAGTCATAAAATTCATGTTCCAAACCACCAACCAGTTATTCAAGGTGGTGCCCCCCCAGTTATAAGTCTGTTGGTTTATAAACCATAGAAAGTATATATATATATATTTATTTATAATTATATATATTATATATATCTACCATAAACCATAATCCATAGGTATTGGAGTTACAATACATGATCCTCCTACTCCCCCCACACTGTTTGGGTCGCCATGGCCATGGCTTTTCGCCATGACCATGGCCTTTCAAGATCCACCGGATCCGTGGCCTCCAAATCTTGCGCGGCCGCATGAACTTCGGAGGTCAACTGGGCCTCCGAAGCCGCCACGTCACGCTTAAAATCAATGGGAGATCTTCAGGATCCTAAAATGGAGCTACGTTAGTACCATGTTGGCCATATTTTGCTGGGATGTTCCCTTACATAGGCCTGAAAAATAGGCCTTATATATGGTATACGTACCTCCAATTTAGGTTCCTGAAACGGCCATTGACAAAAGGTATGTAGGTTTTTGCTCCACTGGCTCATCACATTCCCCACAAAAAAAACATAAATTGGTGTAACATGGTGAAAAGATGTGGTCATGTACCCAGTTTTTAAGATGTTTAAGGCGAACACGGTGCCAGCTAACAAATATTGGGCTTTGTCTCAATTTATTGAGAGAATTCCGTCCCATGGAACATGTTCCAAATTTGACTACCGCAAGGTTTTTCCCCACTTAGCCATCAAGACCATCTCATCCCGTGCGCCTCTCGAGCTTCTCGAGCTTCTTCTGTTTCCTTCAACTGACCTGAAGGAATCGAGAATCCGGCGATTTCAAGGAGCTCTTTATGTCCCCGGGTCAGATTTCAATGCGTCTTCTATAAGCCGTGTCTTTAATGAACATATCATGGGCCTACGTTGCACAAATAATAACATGAAGACTTGGAGGTAGTTTCTCTTGATGTGTTCCGACAGACACTTCGCACCTGCACTTGTTTCTCACTGCGCCAGTGTTATGCTGCAATATTCAATATGCCCATGCAAAACATCAAATCCAGCAAAGGTGGGTCCCCCCAATGATGTAAGTTGGCTCAAAAAAAAAATCGAGCACTAGCTTGATCTGCCATAAACGTCTAAGAAAAGCCCCCTGGCAACACCTTCCAGGTCTTCCACTTGCGTTTTCGTGGCTGCCAACTCCTGGTGCTCAGATTGGTGGGGGATTCCTGCAACAACCCGCAATGGGAACATGGCAATGGGGAAATCCACTAGGTATAGACGATGAATTTCCCACGAAAAAAACCTCCATGGCCAGACGAAATTTCCCATGGCCACAGGTTAACGGATGGTATAACAAGTTATACATCTACTAGAAAAGAAGTGTGAAATATCTTGGGTGAATCCCCCCAAAAATGAATAGTTGCCACACCTGAATTGATGATTCTTGTTTACCTCTGCTCACTGACACATCACGGCTTTGTCCTGATTCTTTGCGTCTGAGTCAGCAACCTCTGATCTACCACCATCAAACCCAAGAGTGGAATCAAGCCTCCCAGCCCAAGGAATGTTGATGTTGAGGGGCAACCCCAATGGGAATCCTGCCGCCATCAGCCATCATCACCACCACTCCATCCCACCTGGATTCGTTCTTCCAATCTCTGCGAGGTTCCAGCACCTGGCCACCCGAAAACGTTTTATACATGTGAGCAGTGGCAGCAAAACCCCTCTGTGATTCCATTCTTGTTGGTTAAGAACGGGATTCCCCGTTCTTGGATTATAAAATCATCCCCAAGATATGAAGGGTAGATTTTCATCCCCCAACGAATCATCAACCAGCAGGGCTAAACTTTAGCAGCCACTGCTCATGTGGGACATCTGGGGACACCAGCCGGGGGAAATCTTGACATCTGGGGACGTCAGCAAGACTGGGAGATCTTGATGGAATCAACTTAAGGATGACCCTGGATGGGTATAAACAGCAACAACGGGATAAAATCAACGTAACAAACGGGAAACGTTTCATGGGGATTTCCATAAATGGGGGTATCCAAAAATGGTTGGTTTATCATGGAAAATCCATCTATAAATGGATCATTTGGGGGTGCCGCTATTTCAGGAAACCACCCTGTGGATAAGCATGGGTATATGAAAAAGGACCGCAGTTCGCGGTGCCTGGGGAGGTTTAAGGAATCTGTCAAGCTTGGACGGCCTTGATTTCACCCATTTACGCTCAAGTTTGCGTGTGAAATTGTGATCTCTGTGGGAACTGCACATGTTTTGCAAAGAACTTCCTCCTGTGTTGCTCAAATCCAGATATATGTCCAGTTTTTTTTACATAACCACAATATGTTCTCAATCTTGGATGAATCCCCCCTAGATATACCCACTATACCCCCTATTTAATCGCCACCGTCGTTTCGCCGCACCTTTCGCCAGTTCTTGCTGCAACTCCGATTTCACCTCCTCCAGCGTCTGTGAGAGGCTTGAAACCTGGCACCGGCGGCTGGGCTGTTGGTGCCCCCAAGATAGCTAGGTTGGTTTATAACTCTAATAAGTAGGACTTATGGTAGTTATTGGTAGTTATAGTTGATAGGATTATCAACCTATGTATCCTATGTATTGCAACTGGGGGGCACCACCTTGTAGGATTTTAATGGAATTTCAATAGGATTTAATGGGTTTTGATGGCGTTTAGTGAAAATTTGACTGACTTTGATGTGATTTCAATGGATGTTTAATTGGATCTTAATGGGATTTCAGACATGTTAAGTACTCCAAATTGGAATTTAAGAGGTTTAACCAATGGAATTAAAATAATTGAAAATGGAGATTTAACCATCAGAACATAATTAGGGAATCGCCAATGCATGACGGATTTGGGTTTGTCTCCAAATAGGGTACACTATTCCATCTACTTGTTAATCATGAGTTCTATCCATGTCTCCCATTCAAATAGACATGTGGGAAATATATCTCATGTTTCAGACACACCCATTCCTGGTCAAAGGGAGCTTATGTATGTTTTATTGGGTAAACCCCGCATTAGCTAGAGTGTGTATATATATATATAAAGATAACTATAAAGAATATCCCAATGTTTGTTTTTTCACAAAAAAAAACGAACAGAATACTGTTATACTGGAACTATATATTAATATAGATCTATGTATCTTTCTATTGTTTGGCTATTTAAATATATAATATCCAGTGTCTATTGCTTACCCTCTGATAATTTTAGCATAGCTATGGAAAATGACCCATTTCTAGATGGTTACATATTAAATAAACATTGTGATTTCCATAGCTATGTTAGTCATTACCAAAGGGTAAACCACCGGGGATTCACGATTCGCGCTGTCAGTGCCTCAGCCGAACTGCTTCTCTGAAGCTCCTGGAACAAATGGCGAATTCAAATTGGAATGCCGCATGGCTTTAATGCACGTATAAATTCTGAAAATAATTGAAATAAGTTTGTATAAGTTTAACTAAAGATGCCATATGAAAAGCATCTATATATATATGTTTATAATTCTATATAGTTAGATATATACATACATACATACATATATATATATATATTATGTGAGTAATTATTATAGATTGATTGATTTTGATTCTAAATCAAACTCGCTACGCCAATATTGGGCGCTGTCCTCCAACTGGGCTGCCAGCTGCTGTAAGCGATCGGCCGCGTCATTGCCTTCCTTCTCCTCTCCGCTCGTGCATGACAAAGAAATAGGATATTTATTCACTGGCCATTTCAGGAACCTAAATTGGAGGTACCTACCATATATAAGGCCTATGTAAGGCCTATGTAAGGGGATATACCCAGAAAATATGGCCTTATATGGTACAGTACCTCCAATTTAGGATCCTGAAATTCCCATTGATTTAACGAAACTATGGGCATAGATAATGGTATAATATATATATATATATATTTATTATATATATATATATGTGCTGAGGATTGCTGAGGATGATTCTATAAGCATGTAGAACGAACTGAAGATAAGATGGTGTATACAAATTTGTTCTCACAGAATCTTGGCTATTCTTAGGTTGCAACTTATGATAATTTGACGTCAATAGATGATGATCAATCATGGAATATAATCACATGTCATTCCAGCCAGAGGCTTCAACCGATTTACCATCACTCACACGAACCACGCAAATTATCCCTATCCTATCCCATCGTAGATTATTAGTGAATCTCCAATAAATTTGGTAGTATTAGTACAACATCTTATCACCATCAATTCACAATGCTATCTTCCTTTATACTCAGGTATGTTCCTCCTTTATCTTGGCGCGCCCTCCCCGTCCTTAGCCTCCTCCAGACTTTGCACCTGTTACAACGCAAGATCACGGCTTAGAAAACCGTTTGTGGGGCATACATCACCTATGAAGCAGTTCTTGCATCACACACAGAGATTATGTGAATAAGCTATGACAAGCTCCTATAATCTTTGTGAAAATTGTAGTTGTTACTACGCGAAAATACTCATGTTGTTCTTATGTTATTGCTGTATATTATCATTATTCTATCTATAATGCACATTGGCATGTCTCATGTCTCCATACTTCACCCGCCAATCGTAGACAACCTAGCTGGTGACTGTAGATATTCCCATTGAAATCGCAAAACATGATTAAAGGACTCTGTAGGAATATCATGGAATATCCCAATTAATTGGGATGGTGAACTAATTCTGGGTAGATAATTCCTATTGAAATCCAGGATCACTCAGTTGGTTGAGAGCCCGCCTCCTGAGACAAGCGTTGCATTTCCTCGATCTTCGTCGCGCGCTCCTGTTTCTGGGGCGTCCACACTCACAATCCACCAATATCTCCCAATTCTTCACCATGTTTTTTTCATATTTTTTCCCCAGTCATCATCATATTCTTCACCAATCCACAAGAATCCACCAGAACCCCAATCCTTCACCATCTTTTTCACCCATGTTCATCATGTTTTCACTGGTTGGTGGTTTCCCCTCTGAAAAATATTAGTCAATGGGACGGATGATCCCATATATTATGGAAAATTAAACATGTTTGAAACCACCAACCAGTTCATCAGTTTGTCACCAATCATCACCATCGACCTGATCATGTTCCACCCAACCGACACCGCAAAAAAAAAAACTCGCCGAACCTGGGCATGTTCAGAACGCCACTGCTCCAGCGACCTGGACTCCAACGGGAATGGACCGATGTTCTTCGTTTTTTGTAAATCATATACATATATATTGTATATAGTGTAAATATAGTTATCATATATTGTTATAGTATTTATATATATACATACATACTATAGTATATATATATAGTTATATCTATAGTTATATTTAAAAAATGAATGTTTATGGCAGATGTATATTTCATTATCTATAGATATATGATGGATTTATGATGATTTATTTATGGTATAGACTTAGATGGATGGATTTAGCCTTTCGTAATCTAGGCGAGTGCGACACGGAAACCAACCATTTCACAAGGTAAATCATTGAACTGAATGGGCCATGGCTTCCATAGCTATCTTAAATTTCCAACTAGTGGTCTGCATTTATTGGGCAAAGGAAGCGGAATAAGTCGGTTCTGTTCATTGAAAAAATGAAAACATGCAGTGAATGCCATTAGAATGAAAGGGACACCCATTCTTCTCTTAAGGTCTCATTTAGGCGTCTGAAAATAAACTATTCATGGCTATTCGATTTCATATCACGGTTTGCACAATGGAGATTTCCAAGTCATGAGTGTATCCCCAAATCATCCAAGTCATTAGACCATTTAAGTATTGAGACTCATGGAGACTTGGAGATCCCCCATTTTAAGAACCCCACATCATGTCGTGCAAAAATCGCATTATTTTGGTGCTGCCCCTGTTTAACAGGACAAATCTACCTCTCCACATACAGGATGGGGCCCCCCAGTTATAAGTTAGTTTATAAACCATTATAATCCCCATTAACTATAGTTATATCCACCATAAACCATTGAATTCAGCCACTTATAAACCAACTGAACGCTATCGACTGGGGGCCCCATCCTGTACACCATTCACCAAGCAAAACATCAAAAAAAACACAGTTTGTTTCTCTGGGTCCCTTGGGTGACAAGACCTCACAAATATGATCCCAGAATTACCAGTTGGTATATTAACATAGACCCTGGCAGGTGTCGGGGTTGGAAGACTAGATTCCACACTAAATTGGTCATTTTCAGGGTCTATGTTAATTTACCAGAGGGTAAACCAGGCAATAACTTCGGGAAAGCCTCATGTTTATTGACAAAAACACATAGAGCCATACAGCAGTTTCCTGTACACGTTGAATCAACACAGTGATCTCAAAGCTTCCCCATGTTCGAAACCCATTTTTAATGGTCAAATCCCATTTAGTCATATAAAAATGCCATTTCTGATTAAAAACCATTTCTGATGGTTAAATCCCAGTAGAATCCTATATGTCTAATGGTTGAAATCCAACTGATGACGTCCAAGTCTCTCTTGAAGCTTCTCCGCCTCCGCTTCCGCCTTTGCCACAGCTTCGGCGTGTGCACTGCGCCTCATCGGGGGATTTTGGAGGATCACAAGGTGTTAAGTTAGTCTATAACTAGAGTACATGTAGAGTACATGAACTAGGGTTTATGGTGATTCTAAATAATCATATATTGTATATGTGTACATATTGTATAATCAAGTTATGTATATTGTATGTGTATATATATATATATATGTATATGTAGATAGACCGTTCAAAAACCAACTGATAACATCTTATAACTCTTGATGATTGAAACTTTTGTTGGATCCGTTCATAAATCAACTCATCCACTAGTGGGCACCACCTTGTAGGGATAAACAAAATCCTATTGGGAAAAAAACTGTTGGTCTGGTATACGATTGGTCATCACTTACCATCACTTACCTATTGGTCGTCGGTCGTAACAGTGGGCTTTACCTGTGGGAACAGGACATCTATGACAAGATGATAGGATCTGATCTGATCATATGGATTGACGTACTCTACCGCGGGCCCCGAAACTGAAGTCACCTTAAATCGACAAAAGCGATGGATAAAGATGGACAAGGGGAGTAAATATATGTTGTTTCGATTTGCAAAATTGGATGTAAAGACATCATGACTCCTTGATTTCCCAGTTTTACTAGTCTCACAAGAAGTCATCACTTGTGTTCTGGTCCTTCACAGTCACAAGCTGCCCAAAGAACGGATGATGAAATGGACATAGTTCCAGAGGGAAATCTGCTATATATAGATCCTCACTATCACCCAAGTATGCCCTTTGGTTCACTTTGGAGTAGACCCAGATGATCCTGACCCCTAGTAGATATGTTTTTTTCTTTGATGATGTTCGATATGTCCCGCAAGCACCGCAGATTTCCCAGAGATTGCCACCATCAGCCCAGACACCACTCACTGACTTGCTGACTGAGCTGTAGAGTCTGGCTGTCGGCATCCTTCTCCAACGCTTCACGTGCAGTTGTCTCCGCGGCCACTGCATCTTCCAACCTGGGATTTCGACCAGGTCTAGCGACCCAGCCCAAAACCATTCGTCAAAGAGATCATCCTTGGAATCTCTAAGAATATGTTGCCACCTTCGTCTCCCTTCATGGTGGATTAACATGGACTAATCAATGGACCAATGGGGACATATCACATCACCGCACCTGCAAAATCCAAGCAACTTTTGAATTGTTGCCTTCAATGCGTCCGCAGCGGTTTCTGCCTCCTTGTTGTCTGCATCCCTGCCTTCTTGCTCTGCAGTGTACTCTGATCGGGCACGCTTCAACTGAGAGTTTAGATCGGCAATGTCTTCGTTGGCTTTGGTTTGAATGGACTGCCCTTCTTGCACTGCAGATGCATGCTCTTCCTGCAGTGTATCAATATGTCTCTGGAAGTCTTCTGCCTTGCTCCGTGCCTCTCTTTCATTCTCTTCGCGTGCATTTGTCTCTGCTGCCACTGCATCTTGCAACTTTTGAATCGCTGCATTCAACTCCTGCAAACAAGGCGAGTTGGAGAACACCCAGCTGATGCAGTCGTGACATGGTTTTCTACGCAATGGTATGCCCAACATTTGAAGATCCTAATTCGATGGGACATGCGAATACTAGATGAGACTCAATGACACTCAAATTATGTGGTTTTACATGGTTTTACTGGAATTCCTAAATATATGTGATAGACCAACAGCATCCAACAGCATCCAACAGCATCCAACAGCATCCAACAGCATCCAACAGCATCCAACAGCCATGGTGGAACCTCACATTTTATCTTGAGTGTCGTTTTTGGTGCCCAAAAATCACCCCATGACCCTCGCAATGGGCAAAATCACCCCATGACCCTCGCAATGGGCAAAATCACCCCATGACCCTCGCAATGGGCATGATGAGTCCACTGGTCCCTCCGGTGTCATCATGGCTGGAGCATCCCCCATGAATAGTTCAATGATTTTATGGCTATAGAAAAAGTTGATTCACCCATGAAAAATGGTGATTTTCCAGAGTTATGTTAGTTTACCAGAGGGTAGAAATCTCCGTGTTTGTTGTGGATTTCCAAACTAGCCACGTTTGATGTTCCAAAGGCAATCGTAGGCAATCACTTCGAACGCGCTTCGTTGGCCATGATTTTCTATCAATATTCCGGCAGCTTTTTGCGGCTCCATACACTGGTTGGTGCATAGCTATTTCCATCTCTATTTTTCCAGGCCCTGCTTGGTCTGATGCGTCTCATGACAATGGTTGCCATGTTGACTATCTCAGAAAAACTGGAGGTCCAAATCCTAGATGAAGTGATTTGGATTTGTCCTTCAAGGAGCCTTTGTGGAATCCCAGAGCGAATCTCAAAAATGACAAAGAGCCCACTTCTGACAAGGCACCGTCTCATCTGAGCAATGCGGGTCCTCCAAATCACATAGGGACCATGGTGGGAAGCTAAACCTTGTCAGCACTCTCCATTTGACAGCAGCAATGTTGCGCAGAATGTTCTCACACAGAAGAATCCATTTGTTCCGAGCAAGTTCTGTTGAAGGCCAAAAAGCTGCCGCACAGGCAAAAATTGCAGGAGTTCCAGAGAGAAGGTCTGCCCAAAGGCGCTGGCAAGCTTGCAGGGCTCGGAGTTTGATGTTTCGGAAATACAGTGTTTATCTGTACGAGAATGTATTCTACCTATCTACCTATATTATATTGGGATCTAAATTGTATACATATATAAGCATATAAATATATATATATACATATAATATATATAAATAAATATATATATATATGGTCTTGTTCCGTGCTCCTACCCCCCCAATGGTCCCTCTTCCCTCGTATTTGCTAGGTCGCTGAGCCTCGCATTTACTAGGTACATGCTACCTTTTAGACGACCTACGTAGCACACATACTCCCTCAAAGTACCTACGTGCTACTTACAGTCATATATACATGTGCTATGTATCTACTTCCTATTTACTACCTGTGTACTCTCACAACACTACGTGTGCTTAACAAATACCGTCCCTACCATACATTCCAATGATACCATACATACCATGCATACCATACGAACTTTGACCATACATACCATACCTACCATACCTATCATACATACCACACATACCATTGATACCATACACATGAAACATAACTACCACACCTACCATACATACAATACCAAACATACATGTCATACATACCACACCTACCTTACATAGCAAACATTCCATACCCATCATAGTAACCATACATACCATACAGACCATACATACTGTCATATCAAACATACCATACCCAACAGACTTACATACCATACCTACCATCCATACAATACCAACCATTCATGCCATACATACCATACCTGCCATTCATGCCAAACATACCATACATTCCAAACATACCATACACACCATACCAACCATACATGCCAAACATACCATACATATCAAACAACCGTACACCAGAAAATTACATACCATACTCACCATACACACCATGCCATATATATATTGTCATACATACATTACACCCACCCCCCACACACCCCGCACCACACACACCCCACCACACCACCACAGGGGGGAGGGGGACAGTACTATGGCTGACCCATGACCATGGCCGGGGGGAGGGGGGTTGGAACGCTGGACCATATTTATATATATATGTGTGTGTATATATATATACGGCGTATTTTTTTGCATCATAGGCACATCCTGTATCATAGGCACATCCTGTATGCCACCATGTCCATCCTATCCCAGTTGGGAAACCATCCATCTTATGATCTAAAACCACCTTAGCCGTAGCCGTCTAATTAACTGTGGACTGGTACACCTCAACATCTACAGGAGACATCTTCAGGATTTATCTAATTTTTTGAGCCAAGGACCACTGGGTGTTTCCAACACTAGGGGAATCCCGAAATCCAAAGTAGCCTGTTTGAGCCCACTGAAACCCATGTGTAGAGTGCAAGGTACTGGTACGTTTGGAAAATTTGGAAGTACCCAACTGGACAATCAGCAACCGGTTGCTTCAAGCTGCTTCCCCCATGAAAATATACGAATCATGGAATTAACATGAATTAACTGTATTGCCAGTTTTTGGTGGTTAATATCCAAGTCTTTATGGTTTGTACATGCTTATACAATATTCAAAACAGTTATATAATAACACATAGTTCATACCATTTTGTTTAACTATCTCACTATACATCCCAATATTTACTTATATAGATCCATATAATTATAATCCCCCTATTGATATCATAGGATATCCCACATTAATCCCCATATGGCTATGTAATCCCATATGTTGATACTTTATAAATGGGCATAATGTATATATATAATATTGTATCTTATATTATATGAACAATATTTAAATGATCCAGACTATATCCCCATCACGTCATATTAATCTGAAATTGAGTACTATATAATCGCACATTAACATATGGGTATGAGTCGAGATTAGGTACCCCAATACTAGATGATTATTAGACTAAGATCTGTGGTCCCCAGGGTCCCCAGGTCTTTAATTTTGACCCATCACCATACATATTAATCCTATATCACACGGTGAATCCTGTATGTTTTTTATCGTTCATCGACGCCTTTCTCAGTCGCATCCATCCCCGTCCTTGGCCGCGTCCTGTGCTTCCGCAGTCTCTGCCTGGCGAGCCTCCTTCTCAGCTGCCATCTCGGCGCGAAATTGCCTGGGAATTGCTGGGAGTAGGGGTGGGAAATTTGAGCATTTTTATGGGATGTTGATGGGATTTTTACGGGATTAATGTTTCATGCCCCCGGCGTTTGGGATTTTAGAAGTTTCTTCATACATGTTCTAGGAATTGTCCAATTCCTATTCCAAATGCATAGGAAATAGCATCTGGTAATAAAACGTGGTTAGTTAGGATTTATGCAAGGTGGGGTCCCATACTTAGCTAAGTTGGTTTATATCTAGGTTAACTATGGTTTATGGTAGGTGTAACTAACTAGTTTTACGGGGTTATAAACCAACTGATAACTAAGGGGGGCACCACCTTGTGGGCAATCATCCTCCTAAAAAAAGGTTTTTGAGGGAGTTTAGTTTAAAACATGTTCTAGGTATTTATGTAATAGGTATTGAATGGTATTGATCATTATTGACTATATAGCCGCCATGTGGATGTGGTACTTGTAGACAGGTGATGTTTGTTTTTTTGGCCATCTTTTCTTGTTTTTGTGGGTGATATTTTTTGAGTTGTTCCATGTTATTCCCACATGGGGAGATTTCATGCATAAAATTCATTGGGGACTTCTTTGGCAACCCAAACAGCATTGCAACAACAAAATACGAAAACGGGCATGTTCAGGGTCCAAACAATCCAAAGAGAGAGAATGCCGAGTCAGGGAACCCTTTTTTACCACTGGGGGACTGAAGCCTGGCAGCCGGGTGTGGTGAATTTACAAGCACAATACATGGTAAGTCTTAGATTTCCTTTAACTATAACTATGTTTTGTTCGATAGTACATCCATCCATGGTTGACTTCCAATAATAAAATACTGGTTGCTGGACTGATATAAAATCATTTATATAAATGTTCTTATTTATGCTACATATATACTACATATATATATAGACTACATATTGTATCATATTGTATTATATTTCCCCCACGATAATCCATTGCTGGCAAAATCAAGTGGATTCGTTCGGCCGGTGCGGCCACAGCGGGCCAAGAAGGTGCAAAGGCTGGGTCTCTACCGGTTGAAAGTCGCGCCCTGTACGCCATTTGGCAACAGCCTCTGTGATGAAACCGCCCAGTGGGTGCCCAGTCACGTACAGGCGCTATGTCGAGTACTTTTCCTGGCCTTTAATAAAGGGGTTCACCGACTGGGCTAACAGCTGGCGTCCACGCTGGCCTCGGGCCATCTCGAGCATCCCACCACATCTTGCATTTCCATCTTACAAATTATTTGGCCCAGGAAGTAGATATGCCATTGGGCGAAAATGATGGTTGATGGTATTCAACTTCCCCCCGACCCCCGCAAAGGTTCCCCAAAAATATTATTTTACTTCGAGTGATCCCCACCCTGACACTTATTTGTCTCAGTTTCTGACATATCATCTGGAAAAATATATTAGATTATATTAGGTATAATTTTCTGACATTCTATTCTGGCATCACATCTATCTGGCATCCTTTGTGCTTCTATACTGACATTTTCTCTGGCATTCTATCTGGCATTTTTTCTGCCATATGTTCTGGCATACGTTCTGGCATTCTATCTGGCATCTATTCGGAAGTTCTTTTCTGGCATTTCCTATCTGGTATATCTTCGGGGATTCTTTGTGGTTGAGGTCCGGCGGGGAACATCGGGAAACACTCTGATCCGGTGCTCGCGGTAGAGGTCCGGCGGAGGAAGGAGGAGGAAGATGAGGAGAAGGAGGCGGGCCAGCTGACATAAAATCTAACAACCCTCACCTGACAGGGGAAATAAGAACTTATTGAAGGCTTATGACACTATGAAGAGCACATCGACCGACCACCAACAACCACTAAGAAAGGCTTATTGACCATCTATTATTGGTGGGAGGTAGTTGAATCCCAATTATTGTAAAGCTAATAATCCACCCATATTTTTTAAATGGGAAAATTGCGGGTGGTAGATCCTATTGCTGTACTAAGATTATCCAATTTTCCCAGCTCATGAAATACTGCTTGATAGGTTTCCCGACTGGTGATGATAATCCCCAATCAATTAGGTAGTAATAGGTAGTATATAATGTATATTATATATATGTCCCTATGTAAATCCAATCAACAAAAGGTATTTATTTTTCTTGGCTCACCTGGGGATTCTGGCAGGAAATCTGGTGAACATGGTGAACAACCGGTCGATTTCGGGTGAACCCCCAGGGCCAAGCTGCTCAAGTCGCTGTGTCATCCTCTCCGCATCTTCTTTCGCCTTGGCCTCCAACTTGTCGCCTCGTTCGATGGCCTGGGGCAACGAGGTGTCCAACGATGGGTCGATTTGGGGATGTCCCCCAACCCACGAACCAACCAAACATCGAGAATTCATCGTTTGACATCCTGGGTCAACCAAAAACACTTCAAGTCACCAAAAACTCATCATGTTTCACCAGAAGACTTACAAACCCATTCAAACAAATTTGAAAAAATAATAATAAATAGTCGCATGTTTGCCAGATTCGTGACCCCAAGCAGCAGCCAAAACCAACCTTATTCCACATGTTTCCCTTGCGAAGCCCCTAAAAGCCACTGGTTTGCAAGCCCTGCCAACAGGGCAAATTTCCCAGATTGAGTTCAACAGGTAACTCACAAATCATGGCGCACTGTTGGTACGTACTAGTATAGTTAGTAACTCATATACTACATTAGGGTTTGGCTATGACATTCTGTGACAAACATGCACGTGGAGATATTCCATATACAGCTGGCTAAGAAAATGCCCATTAATCCCGTACCCATCACATTACACCCATGATGGGACCCCAAAACTAGATCCACTACCTAGATGGTCCATTCAATTGGTTGACGGCGGGTTTGTAACCCCCAAAAAAAATGGAAGACCAGGATATGTACCGGGTTACTCACGAGTTACAACCATTTAGAATCCATGATAATTATGTTTAATATTCTTCCACTTTTCTCGGAATTTCACCCACTTTCACTTACCCTCCTTGGAATGACAGATGGGAATATGCAAAACTCCCAGTGTCTAGATGACTCACCCAGCTATAAAACTCCATGGAGGAGTTGGTGATTTCCAATTTCTGGCCATGTTACCAAAGGCTACCTCCGAATTAAGATCCCAACTATTCTCCCATTCATCATTTATCACCACTAATCACAATCATCAGTCATCACCATATTCATCACCCTAGTAATTGATCACCATACAAGCCCCTATTAAACCACCATGAAATGCTCATGAAATCACCATAGATTCATATTACAATCCCATGAAATCACCATATCATCACCATATTCATCACCATTACCCTCTAGTAAACAAACATAGCTATCGAAAATCACCATGCTATTAATGGGAAAACTCACTATTTCTATGGCCATGTTCAATAGCTTTTAGTATGTTTACCAGGCCGGGTAAATCACCATAGATCCACCATGTATAGTGGTATCCATCCCATCAAAATCACAATTTTCCCAACATAAATCACCATGATCATCACCATTAAATCACCATAGATCCACCATTTATAATGGTTAAATCCCATGAAGTCACCATTTTTCCCAACAAATACCATGAAATCACCATAGATCCACCATAGATCCACCATAGATCCACCATTTATAGTGGTTAAATCCCATGAAATCACCATTTTTCCCAACAAATACCATAAAATCACCATAGATCCATCATTTATAGTGGTATCCATCCCATCAAAATCACCATTTTTCCCAACAAATACCATTAAATCACCATAGATCCATCATTTATAGTGGTATCCATCCCATCAAAATCACCATTTTTCCCAACAAATACCATTAAATCACCATAGATCCATCATTTTTGGGGATGCTTTGATCCCCAGCATCTGGACCTCTCCACCCGCCTCGGCACGCTCGGAGCGCACCCGCACCATGTCCGCGGCCAGGCCGCTGGCGTCGCCCGAGACCTTGGCGAAGTCCGTCTCCATGCGGGCGATCTCCTGGCAGAGAAAAACCATAGGAATTTTCATGGGATTTTCATGGGATGTGAGCCCTCAGAAATGGGAGATTTATGAATATGTGTGCACATTTTCAGCAAAATGGTGGATTTTCCAGATTTGGTCATCGAAAAGTGGGATTGAACATCCAATTTCCAGCAGCAGTTTACTAGGATTTTCCATCCGATTTCAGCATCAAAGTGCTGAGTCTAGTTCTAGTGGGAATTCACCAACCAACATGGGGAGTGAAACATCAGACATGGGAATTTCATGGAATGTTATTGGGAAATTGTTCATGGCATTGCAACTATCAAACATCGGATTTCAATCGGATTTCACGACCAATTTATGGCGATCTACCCTTTGGTGTCATCTAACATGACTGGGAAATCTAGTGAAACATATGGTGAAGAATGTGTTTATGGTAAATATCTATAGTATATATTATAGTTAGATGGATTATGATAACTTTACCCTCTGGAAATCTAACAGTTTGCTCCAGCATTCCCCAGCATTCCCAGTTTCCTGGGTCTCAACCAGATCGATTCACTCGAGAATAGCTTCGTCATGGTCCATCAGGTACCCGAGAGCCCAACGGATGATCATCATGTTCTCGTTAAGACTCACTTTTCTGGTGTACCCAATTGTTGGACCCTCAATAGACTTGGATCCACTGTCCAGCTGGCATAACACGTCCATAAACTCGCCACTTGAGGGAAACGAATCATGATAATCCACTGGAATTCTGGGGTCCTCGCATAGCCAACCGTAACAAACTCATATGTCAACCATAGCTGGTTCATAGTTGTTAATAAGCCCTTCTCAGTCGTTGGTGTTTAATAAGCCCTTAATAAACCATTCGTCTCGGAGATGGCCCGCCTTTCTTGGGGTGAAATCCCCAACCAACACACCTCATTCATAGATATTCATAGTGTATCATTACTCATTGGCCCTCATTGCTCAAATCACCTTTTGATTGCTTAAATCCTGTAAAAAATGCTTGGATCATCTTAAACCAGTTTTCAGGGCAAAAATCCACTTGTTCATCATGTTTCATGCTTAAACTCCCATCAAATAATACCATTCGTTCGACCCATTTCTGGATCCCTGTTCTCTTGCCTTTGAATAGGTCTGCTTGATGCGATCCATCTCCTGGAAGAGTGGGGGGCAGTTTTTCTTAGCTAGTTGCAGTATGTATATATATATATATATAATTGTTTTTTGTCGAAGGCATAGCAAATTGAAGATGCCTGGATCAGCATATGGCTCAAATCTACAAGCTATAAGAGTCACCACATAATAAACCATATGATCCAATCAAACTGAAGGATTGCTGAGGTAGATTGCTGGTAACCCCCAGCTAAGAGGGGTTCCCTCACTAGGCTTGAAAACTTAAAAACCTTCTGGCCTTTTGGTAGATTCTTGACTTGGTTTTCAGGAATATGTGCAAATCAGTGGTGTATAGAGCCCAATGATTGTGTGAATCTCAATTGGTTATACTATATATGTATATATATATATACACATATACGTAGTATACATGTTATAATCATGTTGTATTCACAAACACCCACCAACTCCAAATGGCATCCGATGGTGTAGTTGATGGTGCGTGGGGTGCGCGTGGGAACAGGTACACATGCCGTGACTGCCACGCCCTTCACAATGTCGGCTTGAAAACAGGCCCCACGTTGGTCCCAAGCAAGACACCAGCTTGTCGTTGATTCTGTATTCCAGCTCCTACCAGTATACATTTGTCCGCACCCTTGTCATTGTATCTAAGTCAACTGGAACACCATGTGTGTCGTTTCATCCAATATCGTTTGGGAGACACCAGCTCAATCAGCTTACTTCTAAACAAATCAAAAAAGGGGGTTGGCTGCAATGGTAAACCCAATCAGAAATCCAATGATTCAGATTTTTGCAGCCCATCGTGAGATTGCGGGTCTGTCTCAACATTTCCCACATATTTTCCATATATGTTTTCCATATTCGCATGTAAATCCCAATAAACAGCACATATTTTTGAACTTATCAATCCCAAAATCACTCAGCATCATCCCAAAATCCCTTCGAAAAAAGCCTTACTGGGTCCCTAAGTTTTCTGCATTTCTTCCCCATGTTGAACTCCCAGCGTCGCCGTTTCGTTTCGGCCTCCGAGTGTTGCAGCTCCATCCGCTGCCGTTCCTCCTCGGCCGCGTAGAGCTGTGCCCCCTCGCGGCGCAAGGAGTCCTGCCAGCGGCGAAGGGATGGATGCGGCCCGGGGGTGCCTTGACCCTGGCGGTTTATAGCGGTTTCAGCGCAGATATAAACTCAGGGAGTTCACTCGGTGAACTTGGAACTTGGAAAAAATGATATATATATATATATATATTATAATGAAATAGATTAGGTTGTAGTAGATGAAGATCAAGTACATGTGTGTAAATGGAAGAACTCTGCTATTCTGTGCTTAGCAAGCCTTGGAACTTATAGAAAAATATTGAAAAATATGAGTTGGGATAAGACTCAGACCATCCCAGCCGACTTAAGTGGAATGATCCCCCAGGGGCGTTGTTCGGCTTTGGCCAGTGAAAAACTAAGATGTCAGGCCCAACATGTAGAAAACCTGAAATCCCACATACCTAATCCTATTTATACACATATCGAATCCTCTGGTCCAACAGATATCTTACATAGATCCCATTGTGGTGACACACGGAGGACACCAAAACCGTGGCAGCCAAGACTCCATGGTTTCCTTCAGTTCGCTGCTGAGCTGCGCCTGTGCGGTGGGATGTGGGCTGGTACACCAGATGGGAGACTCCCAGCTCTCGATTGCTGGATGTTAAGTTGAACCAAGAAAGAACATAATGTGGATACATGTGGTGAAAACGAACCAAGCTCTTTTTTTTGCCAGCAGTTGATGGATTACCCGGTTACCCTCGAGTGTTTGAATGTTGCTATAAACAAATAAAAACTGTAAAACACTTGTGGACGATTGTTGCGTTTGCTACTGATTCTATCACACAAGAACAACACTGGGCAACTTGGGTATGCTCAAGGATATGAAACAAGAATCACCGGGATTGACTCGGATTGACTGAATCTTATTAATGAATCATGAACAATCTGGTAGTAATCTGGTTGTATGTTGCAACTAAGATTCCCGTCATTGCCCTGCCTTCCGATTTGAGGAGGTTGGGGTTCCCAAATTCAATCCAGGCACTTACTTATCGGGGACAATGTGGTTGGTGACAATTACAGGCCAGTAGGATCCCAAAAATATCTCCAAAATAAGATATATTGCAGTACCTTCATCCAACCATTGTTGTTGATGAAAAGATCAGTCCCCGTTTTATTCTGGTCATGGGCAAAGAATCCACTATAAAAAACAAATATAGTCTTGACACATCATTTTTGGATGTGGACAAAGATTCTGGTCTTGATTTCTTTTCGAAATCGAAGCCAAAATCAATTTGGGTCTGAAAATAGATTACCCCCTAATTGCAATGGACTATCATGATTTTCCGCATGAAAAATAGCTCTTTGGGTGTATCCCCTACTTTCAGACCAACCCAGTTGATGATATTTGATGCACTGAGCTTATATCCCTGATGTTGCTTCAACATCTTCCACATGACGAAGCACGTAGGCGCTTACCCTGGAGCATCCAGCTACGGGTACCACGGGTCCCTCAACCAGCCCACCTTCTGCGCTTCCAAATCCCTCGCAACTTGGGCAGCTTCCTTCTCGATTCCTCAGTCCGATTTGGGTTGATTTATAGCAACCCCAAAAAAGATAGATCATTTGGAAACTGGAAATTAAAGGCAAAATCATGTAAAATATGGTTAAAGAAATAATCATCTATCCTGGAACATGCATTTCAATTGTTGGGACCTCTGTAAGGGAAATGTCACAAGAATCCCATTGTGTTTTTGAAACAATCACGACTTCTTCGACGGGGTCATGTAAAAACCAAGTCAGCGATCAAACGGGGGTGTGCATCCCAGCAATGGGAGCCCTGTGGTTGTGGTGGTACCCCCCAACGTTCGACTTGTCGGTCTTGAAACCCATCTAGGTATAATATGTTATATGTTATAATCATTTATAATCTGCTATAATCACCATAAACATCCACAAATCCGCCCACCAGTTAGATCCAGTTAGACTAGTCGTAAGCCAACTAACTTTCGTGAACAAACTGGGGAGTTGCGGCAGCGTCATGGATACCTCTCTGACTCCGTGCCGTGCTTCGTTCTTTCTCCGCCAAGACGTTCCTCTCCCGCTGCTGGGCGTCCTCCAGGGCCTGTGTTCAACGCCACAGTTGCAGGGCACTAGGGCGGGGCAAGGGGAATCCACATGTAGAGATTCTTCCGTCAGGTACCTGCATGATATCATGCGGTTTCCTCTGTGCAATTTTTGTACGCACAATTGGATGTTAATTTGAACGAAAATTGGAGCGTATAGAATCCCAAGTTGGGTCTAAGCAGCAACAAATCACAAAAGCATACAAAAGACATGGCTATGCCTGAATTCACTCTGCTAGCATGGTTTTCACGTGAACACAGTTGTAGCAGCTGGATGTTCACCCCTCATGTGAGAAACTCATCCCCATATGAATGGCACTGAAAATCATCCAGGCACATTGTTATAAACATCAGGTTATCTCCTTGTTTCAGCATCTAGTCTTACTTGAAGTAACCAACAGGCCTGACTCTATTTCTCCAGGGTAAGGCTGCAAAAAGCGTGATTGTTAGTTCAGAGGCCAAAAATGAATATGTTCTAATTTGGTACCAGGTGGTGCCCCATACTTTGCTAAGTTGGTTTACAACTAGGCCAACTATGGCTAACTATAGTTAGATGAGATGGGTTTAAAGACCAACTTACAACATCTTACAACTAGGTGGCACCACCTTCCATTCCATTCTTAAGGATCCTAAGACTCGTGTTTCCTTTACCAACATTTTGGGTCTGTCCAAACCATAGTATGCCTCCAAGATTCGAGAGTTTCTCAAATTTGTTCAAATTTGTGTGGATAAATCACAAGTTTTCAATGATTCAATGATATCGGGATATCTGATTTTCTTCCTTTCCCCAGTTTCCTGTATATGAAAAGGTGGTGAGTATATCCCCTTCTAGTGCTTATGTTTTCACGATACATTCCCAGTCGGTTCCCCCTTGACAGCCTGATCTGCCGCCTTTTGCTGATCCTCTAACTTCCTTTGGCTTTGCTCTCCAAGGTCCTGGTTGTAGCGAAGGCTACAAGCCGGTGTCACAAATTCCTGGTTTCACTGTGCAACCGGCTCCCCTGGTGACAATAAAATGAAATTGATTTCAATTGATTGTTTACATCAATTTCAATTGTTTTCACAATTTGGTAGCTGAAATTTGATGTTGCCAACATTTGCAGTTACAACAATGATGATGTACAGATGGTTAAAGTCAAGAAATGCATCTTGTGGACTGGTTCTATTGTTCGTTTGAAGTTGGGATTTCCACCTTTGATGGGTTCTGTGACAGAGCGCATCAATGGACTTCATTGGCAATTCCAGACGGCCTTTGATATCCCTCAATGAGAGGCGCCACAATCCATAGAAACCGCAGACTGAGACAAATGGAACCGACACGAACCTGCTTTTTAGAAGGATTTGATCCAAAAAAAAATGTCAAGGTCAACATGGACGGTCAGCTGTCCATCCAATTGTCCCAGAAAAGGTGTCCCTTTTTTCGTCGCAAGGACTTCTCCAAAAACACATACGGCTGACCTGAGTCACCCACTTCCAACGGATCATCATGTCATCATGTCAATATTACCATTTAACGTAGCCATGGAAAATCACCTTTTTTAATAGGTAAACCCAGGTAAACCATCTATAAATGAGCCATTTTCCATGGCTATGTTAAATAACCAGAGGGTAAAATTGCCATGTTGGATCTTGTTGGATCATTTTGGAGTATACCACCCCATTCTTTGGACAAAGATAGATATTCTTCATGGACTTGTTGATTCCAGCACCACATGCTTTTTTGAAATGGCTTCATCAAAACCTACCCTGCACCAGATGGATTTCAGTTCTCTTTCACCCTGCCCAACCTGGAAATAGACCATTTGGAAGAAAAATAACTTCAATAAATGGTCTATTTCCAGAACCATAAATGGTATATGTATAATAATCTATATCATAATCATGTTATTTGGAAGAACCATTTGTAATCAATATGATTATGATATATATATATAATATAGTTTAATGATGTTTAATGACCATCTGGAATGATGAACCATTTTCACCATGACTATGACTTGAAAGACTCTTCCCCTTAATAACCATAATCTATGGTGACGTCCGCCAGAATACATGGGCTTGGCCACTGATGGCGTAGCCTGGATTTTCACTGGTATGATGTGAACATCATCTAGATCATCCTGGACAAACTGCTCTATTTGACTCTACTTGCTGGTGCCCAGAACCAAGAGATTCAAAAATAAGACAGCAAATCATGATTAAAATCATTAAACCATCGAGCAGCCACTTCAACCTCATCCTCCCTAAGACAACTTCACCACACCAGGCTTTTGCAGGCCTCCATCTGTTGCTTCAGTTCCATGAGTTTCCTTTCTGCTGTCTGGGACTCTTCATCCTGCCAAAAACTGATCGGTTTTTTGAACGCAAGGGTGAACCTGGGCATTGGTCATAAGTTGTGATATGGGTTATTCAAACATCAAACATGGGGATGCATCAGCAGCCATGATGAGTATACAATAGGATATATATATATAATTCCAACAATCTGATTTTGGGAGACAAGAGCGGAGCAAGACAACTGGTATTTTAAGCAGTTATTGATACAGTTTGGAGCCTACGGGGTGAACTTAAAGTGAACCATACTTCTCTGAAGCTGGTGTGTTCTTATCATCCAACACTGGGTCTTGTTACCCGTCTTCCTTTTGGGATCTTGTGAGGAAGTGGATTCTTCGACCCCCAAATCTGGAACAAAACCAATGTTTGAATCCCAGATGCGAACCATGGTGCTGGAATATGTAGCTATATTTACCCAAAAAATGGCCCAGTCATGTAGGTAATATTCCAGCACCATGGTTCGCAGCTGGGAATGGTTTTCCTTTCTCACCACTATTCTTGGCCAGCACAGCACAGCCACGCGGCCTTGAGCCTTTCAAGCGTCTCTACCTGGCGATGTCGGAAATTCCACATGTCTTGATAGGATGGTTTCCTTAAATAGGGGTAAACCCCAAATCATCCAATTTTTCACAGGATTTTCCATTATAAACCATCTATTTTGGGGTACCCCCAATGGATTGGAAACCCCCATAATTATCCATAATGTTTGTCCGTTGAAAGTGGGATCTCCAGCCGCTGTGTTTTATTCCCAAGTGTTAAAACAAACTTGTTCAAACAAACTTAACAAACACAGAGAGAAACAAGTACTTTGAGAGTTGGATGATTCAAACCAAATCAGTCGTATTCCTGGCACTATAATTCCCCCGTTGCCAGTGCGCGAGCTGCAAAAAAAATGTGTCCACTCGATCTCAGAGCAAAGTATATAATTACAGTAGATGGTATTTAGAGTAGTATCCCATTTATGGAAGTTAATCGTCTATGAGGTTGACCATTTTTTATGGCATTCAGACGTCCATGTTCCCATCGAAAAAGGCAGTTTTTTAAAAGTTAAGAAGTTTATCCCCACGTTGAAAATCGTTGAAATACCTTTAACCCATCCAAACTGGATCTTTAAAACTTTGCCATGGTTTTCAACACTTTTTCCTAAATCATTCATTTGTTAAATCCCATGTAGATCCCATTTCTCATTGGTTCCACCTGGTTCTAAGCACATTTTCCAACGTCATCAGCTGATGCTTTGCACAAAGAAGGCCGTCATGGCTTCCACGTCGCGGCGCAGCATCTCTTCTCGGGCGACCCGATCTCCTTTCCGGCGTTGCAGGTCCCGGAGCTCCTGGAGCTCCTGCAGGGCCTCGGAGAAAGTCTTGCGATAAGGACCTACGACCTCAGGCGGAATGGGCATGGATGGGGTAGATTCGGGTAGATTAACAAGCTGCATGTGGATAGAAGTGATGATTTAAATGATACATATGATGAATATGGTGTTGTGATAAATGTCGCACGTCAAGGTTTCATGAACAAGCCCTTACACCCCATTGACAATGATTCAAACTGCATCCAAGATCAGATCTGAAACAAGAAAGGACCCCAGCTGTTGGTGAAAGTGCCCAAACTTACCTACCAAATGTCCATACAATTTCACCTACACCAAATCATACCAGCGGAAGTCTCAAGTTGGACCCTTAAACAGGGCCACACTGGAAGAAACATTTCATACAATGCTAAGGGGTGATAGAACAGGATAGCATGGTTTTATGGTGGGTGAAGGATGATGTGCCATGACCATGATGTGCCATAGTGTGATTTGCTGTGATATCGAATTATAATGAACCGGTTTGGAACCCCCCGCCTCTGTACCGTCAGACAAGCGAAGCGTGACACAAAGGCTATCATCCTCTGATTGAAAGCTGTTCAGTTGCAAACCTTCGGGGAGCTCCGGAACACCCCAAGCTCTCAACAGTTTCTCTCTCCGAATCTTCTGTAAACTGGACTGCAGCGAGAGCACCATGGCTCGCAAACGGCCGAGTTTGACTCTGGCAAAAGCAAGCCGTTTCTGCTGGAGCAACTCCCGCCTTCTCTGCCTAGCGATCACTTTCGCTTCTCGCTGTTCATCTCGTCTCTGTCGTTTCTCCCTGTTTACTTCTCGTTGTTCAGCCGATTTTGCAGCGCGTTCTTCAGCCAGTTGTTTCTGCCGTTCCAGCCGTCGCGCAGCGCACGCTGCCCGTCGCTCGGCTTCCTCCTGCTGCCGCAGCAACTTCATCGAGTATCTGTCTACTCCACCCAAAACCAAAACTCGGTCTTTTTCCCTCATCCAATCTTCGATGGCCGTGTTCAAATCAAGAACAGTCGGTGTGAACCTATTCTTGAAGAAAGTTTGGAAACGCAAACGCATCTCCACTGCACGAGCACTTGCTCGCTCTGCTTGGACAGCCTCAATAACACCATGCACGACTTTCCTGAGATCCTTGCCCCCTGCCAAACCAGCTGCTATATCTTGGCGCATCTGCACTAAGCTGATATGCATGTCAATGCCCACATCCAGATTGTTTACACACTGTGCGCTGGCTTTGAAGCCTCTGAACAGGAAAATGCCCGACTGATAAGAACGATAAGACCTTGCTTGGGGGGTTGGGGATCATCCATCCAGCTATACCCAGATAGGTATATGCAAAAGAATAACAATGGCATATAAGATGGTATACCATGAATCCAAAGGAAACGAAAATGAAAAAAACAACAGAACATAACAGAACATATATTTGAAGCGACCAACCAGAAACCCATAGTCACGGTTTCTGATACCTCGCAGCACCGTCTTTCCAGCACGAGCAGCACGACGTTGCTCGGTCTTTGGTGTTCGTTGTTGCTTCGGAGCCTTGGGAGCCTTCGGAGCCTTGGGAGCCTTCGGAATCTTCGCAATCTTCGTCTTATGGCCCCTCTTCCTGGATGCAGCCGTGCGCTTTTGAGTCTTCGGCGACTTCGGGCAATCTCGCAGTGCAAGTACAAGCATGCTCAACTCGCAGAGAATCTCTTCAGCTTCATCGGAATCCAAAAAACCTGCGAAGGCGTTCAACGACTCTTCTGACAGTTTCTGCAGCTCTTCCAAAGCTTGAGCCTTTCGCATGCGCATCAATTGGCGGAGCAGTTGTGCTTGCTCCACAGGACCACAGTCCTTCTCCGTTTCTGATGCCTTAGGCGGTGGCGGTTTCTCTGGTGGCGGCGGCGGTTTCTCTGGCGGTGGCGGTTTCTGTGGCGGCTTTGGCATTGGCCCTGGGGCATCTTTGGCCGAGGGCGCTCTGCGCTTGTCTTTGGGCGGCTTGGCTGGGGATTCCGCTGGCCGCTTTCTCGGAGGTACATCCTGACGCAGGGTCTGGGTCCAGCTTGGATTTTCTCACCAAACTTGGGAGTTGTTCGAACCAGTATCAGTCCATTTCAAAATTTGGAAACACCCAACAAAGATCAACAAAGTACCCAAATAACGGATTCAAATGACATAAATTACCAATCCATCATTTTCAACATACCCCAAACATCTACAAAGAAATCGAAACTTGCAGCACTTGAACCCCAATGGATCTCGGTCCTTCGGTGGAGGAGCGGTCTGCTTCTGCTGGCTGCGACGGCTTCTGAGTTGGTCATAGGCCGCTCGCCGACTTTCATCAATCAACGTCTCAAAGGCATGAACCACTGAACCTAGGTGCTGCACTGATCCATTGCCATGGTTAAACAAAAAACCTCCGTAGGTGGAATGTATGATTATATACTATCATCCTCCAACTAACATACACCCTGCCAAATAGATCCAAATAAGGGGTTGGAAGACCATTTCCGTCGAAAAATTGCTGATTATCAGGATCTATGTTAGTCCGGGGGATGGTATATGGTAAGCCCATCTATTAATTAGTAGTGCCAAAACCAACTAAGAGAGCGTACTTAGAAGGGCCATGGAGTCAGTCAACTGATCATAAGTCAGCAATTATAACGAAATCTACACCCCCTTATGTTTGGGGGTCACGAATAAGTTCACTAACAAACCGTGGCCATCATTGCTAAACGAAGATCCAGCAACGGAAGGCTTCAGCAGATCCGCCCTTATCTGGATGAGTGGATAAGGCGCAACGGCGGTATGCTGATCTTATCTCACCATCTGTGGCAGAGGGCAGCAACTCCAAAGTTTTGTACAGGCACTGCATCTCGCCCCATGGGGAGACACAAACTACTGTGGGAAGTGTAGCATAAAGTGCTACACTCCCAAAAAGACTGTCACGATCATCAAAAACTGCCCACAATTGATAAATACCCAAACTTTGACACAACCGACATCAACATCTGGATTTGTCCAAAACTCTGCACACCCAAATTCAATGGCTTGGCTTGGTTTGATTTTCATTTTCCGAATGAAACCAGCACCCAACTAACATCGCTATTATGATTGTCATGATTACCAATTATTGTATTGTTAACTTGCGGGCCAGAGACTCGTGCCAAAAATATGTCGCTGTTTTCTGCGGCTGTTTTGTGGAAATCGAGCTGTTTTCTGCGGCTTTACCTGCTTAAATAGCTATGAGTAACCAAAACACTGCAAGGTGATGCTCCCCCCCAGTTACCCTCTGATAATTTAATAGGTTGCTATTGAAAATGGCCCATAGAAAAAGTTAATTTACCTATTAAAGATGGTGATTTTCCATAGCTATGTTAGTTTACCAGAGGATATAAATGTGTGTTGGTTTATGGGTCAATAATCCTCAGATGGCAGGTGTGGGTCAACATTCTGAGATGCCACATATCCACATGTTTTTGGCTCCCACACTTTGACAGACCCATCAATGTCCATGTGAGCCTAAAACATGCTTACTTCATGTTTCTTACATAGGTAATGAATGTGATGGGTCCAGTGTTCAGATTCCGAGGCAAATTATAATATTTCACTAACCTGAATTAAGGCCATTTTGGGATGATTTCCCTTTATTCACCATGATTCCAGTGAGGGAGAACAGTGAGGCGTTGTAATTTACCCAGATTATTGTATATAGTCTTATTGTATATAATCCCACCCCCCTAATATTAATCACCCCCTAAATGGTTCCAATTATGTCGAAATTCCCCACTAAACCATGGTTTCTAAGGGGGTGTTTTATATTAGGGGGATGGGATTAGTCCTTACACATAAGAACAAATGGATGTCCCTCCGTGTGGATCACTTGGACACACATCAATCAGCTGGGGTTGTCATAATGTGACGCCCTAATGGGATGCGAATGGCTGATAATAGGGAATTCATTTCATGGGACATTCATTGGGCAAAAATGGGGAAATAATGTGAATTTATAAGTACCAATTTAAAATGATGTTCTTTTCTAATCATCATTCATGGTGAAACTCACTAAAAGCTTGCCCAGAAATAATAGGTCAAGAACTTCTTTGTACTCCCGCTGCAGTCTATTTACGCACCTCTTCAAATTCAAAAATCTATCCAAGATGGCGCATTCATATGGGTATTTATAAAGATGCCATGCATGCAGCATCTTGGAATATAAGTTGCTTCAAATCATCATATGGTTGGGAAGTTCTTAGTAGGTCCTTGGTTCCCCATTTATCAATGAATTTAAAGTAAGAAATATGGATGGATCCCCGTAGCTACTGCCAAAAAGCTCCTTACCTCCCGACTTCAATCACCGGTCAATTTGTTTGCAGATCTTTCAGCCTCCATAGATTGTCCATTACCCTCTGGTAAACATACAAAAAGCTATTGAAAATGGTGATTTATAGTGGATTTACATGGATTTACCCATTAAAAATGGTGAATTTCCATAGTTATGTTAGTTTACCAGAGGGTATTATTCATTGGTCAAATCCAGCTTTTGATGGACAATGCATGGCGAATTGTTATTTCCTATGGCGATTTCATCCCAAATACCATGGGATATGTGTATAACCATCAAAACATGATATCATACATGGTGGACATTGTATTCCCACTATGGTTGGTTAAAATCCTACATGTGAATCAAAGAAATCACCAGCTGGTAAATATTGGAAACATTTTTCAACACCGAAAATAATGGGATTCTCATGGGATAAATATACAAGTATGAACGGACCACTGGTGCAGGATTTCGTAACCAACTGGTTTTTATCATCTACCATTGGATAAGGTGCATTATCTATCATTTATTTATCAGGATGGCCATCATCTACCAACTGGTGCAGGATTTCTTCCACCATCCACGTCGTATCCACGTCGTATCCACGTCGTATGTCCGCGCACCCGGACCCCCCCGGCAACCTCTGATGAGAGCTGCGCCACCCGCTGAAGCTGTTCTTCCTTCATGGCCAATTCCTTCAAGTGGTGGGACTCTCCGCTGATTTCAGTTGGGGATAGAAGGAACTGGATGTAACAACTGAATCCAATGTGGGCCCCCCCTACTTCATCAACCATTAGGAACATGGTGATTTAACCAACAAACAAGGGGATCTAATATGATTTAATGGGATTTATAGCTGATTGATGATAGCTAAGTTGGTGAACATAACTCCAATTTCACTATGGTTTATGATACGCAAATAACGAACGATCGTATTCATGTGGTGAATCTAATCCACCATTCCCATCACTGGGGGGACCAGTGATAGTATGGTATGTACGGGATACGAATGGGAATATAGTAGGGATACTAATGGTACAAAGTTGGGGATGCAGTTGGGTTGGATGAGGATATCTAACCACCTTTTTTGTAGGGATACGAACGATATAAGCCAACAATTATGATATTCCCCATAAACTGTAGTATCATTAGTATCCCTACTATCCAACTGTACCTAACTATACTATACTAAATTGGTTTATAGTTTATACAAGCACCGTACTTAAGTCACATCAGGCGGGAAAAGTCACATCATCCCCATGGCACGGCGGCGATACGGAGAAGTCACATCAGGTAGTGGAAAGTCACATCAGGGAAGAAGAATCACCATGGCACAGCCTGTTTCATCCATACTTGGAGATGTAGTTAAAAGTAGCCGAAGCATTGCGCACAGCGGTGATTTTGAAGGGCACAAGTTAATACAAACAAATTCTCGGCAGCTAATCCTATTGGATTTGAATATATTATATTGATGTCCATAAACCCATGGTAGGGCAATTGTCATTAGTTGGGAAATATCGACTATACTAATGTTTTATGAACCCATCCAACTGTAATATATCCCCCGTAAACCCAGTGGGCCCGGTCAACAAAAATCAGTTACCTATCGTTTGGGGTGCCCAGCCTTGTATCAAACCAGAATTTACTTCCAAAATTGCTCAACTATACTCAACTTGGGCCATTAAAGATACCGTTATCATCCCATCTCATTATACTACTTGGTTGATAGGTGTCCCTACTTTGGGTTGTTTTAATTATCCCCAATAACCCAATAGTCCCTATAATGACCGAACAACCAAGGTATTTTTACTGGCTCACTTACATTCACTTACAGAATTCAGGAGGGAAAGAACCAACGCCAGTAAACATGCACTCTCGATTTTGAGCGAAGGGATCTACAAATTTACATGGAGGAATTTCAAGCCAGCCATGTGTGCGTTGTCTCTCTATGAAATGATGTGATAATGTTTTTTCCCCTATTATTGGGCAACCCAATCCATGGTCTCTGGTTGAATCCATATTGTTCATGAATACATAAATCATGTTAAATCTCCATTCTTGATGCTTTTTCACCCGCCATTCTTGCTGGATAAATCCAGCAAACAAATCCCAGTCTAATTAAACCTTCCATCACTTTTTTGTCACCGAACAAATCACCTACATCGATATGTTTTACTTGACCTTAAATCCCAATCCCCAAGACGCCCCTCTAAATCTATCTTGTACTTAAATCATTTCAAATCCTCATTTTCAAGCTGAAATCCCCTCCATTTGGGCATGGGTCAAAACTCTGGTACCTAGTGAACCCCAAAATAGCTGGTAAATGGATGTTCATCCCACTAAAATGTATCTATAGGTATTGACCCATACCCATTTTTCCACAAAAAAAACACGTTCCGCCCCTGCCTCCGCGCATTCCGCCTGCCACTGCTGCAGCGTTTCGCCCAAGCGCGCCGCCTCCTCGGATGCTGTCTGGAGGCTGGCGGCATGCTTGGCCTGCCTGGGGACGCGGGGCTGCGTGCTAAGCACGCGGAAAGTCTGAAAAAGAAAGGTGATGTGCCAGTTATGTTTGGTTGGGTTGATGGTGATAACTGAAACACCTAGGGTTTCTTACCCATCTAGACTTACAAGTGATTATCATTGTAATAACTTACAACATCTTATAACTATAGTTAGATGATGTTAGATGGGTAAGAAACCCTAGGTTTTTTGAATGGTAGTACATACAAGCTGGCGCCCCCAAACCTGGTGTTTGTTGCTTTATGTTCGCCGTCTAGGTGTAGTTATTTCACATTCTTTCACCACCGCAATGTCAAGTTAATCTATCAACCAACTTGGCTAACTATAGGCATTGTCAATCAGGGCTGCTCCCAACACGCCAGATACAGGGGGGCGGGAACTGGCAAAATGACCTAGTTCCCCCCACTGTGGCGATCATTTACAGATGTTAGCAACCCTGCGAATCCAAGATCCACATGTTGATTTGAGCCACAAAAGACATACACAAATAGTGATTTATTTGGGGATGTGGATATAACATGACATAACATGATCATATTATAGCCAACCTTAGATGCCCTGCAACATGGTGGAAAATCTTCCGCCGGTCTGAATATATCGCCATAGAGATGGAGAGATTTTCCAGCACATCTAAGATGATCCCAGCGGTTTTTTGATGCCATGGGGACCCCAATTTCGGCCCGTAATGTCAGTCACAACGGTGAAACGGTGAAATCCATATGTAAAATCCATATGTTAGTTGAAACAGAAACCATATTAAATCATATTGTTCCAGGTGAAATTTTCACACGTTTGTTGGTAAAATCCATCTTAAAATCCAATAGTGTTCAAGGTTTAAATCCACATTTTCCTTGGATAAATATGGTGAGATCGACTCTGTTCTTGCTGAAATCCGCCAGAGTTCCTTTGCAGCATATGCCCGAGAAAGATGGATCAAATCAAATGATTTTTTTTGCTGAACAAAAGGTGCTGAATCCATTTGCTATGCAGAAAAATAGTCCAAAAAACATCCCCAAATCTGTGTGCATCATGTTGAATCCCAATCCCTCTTGCTGTAAATAATCAAACGGGTTCAGCCTAAAGTCCCTATATGTTTGATATATTTTGATTGTTAAATCCTCCAAAAATTGCATAAATCCCTAAATCACCACAACAATCACATCACCATTCACATCAATCACCCCACAAAATCACATAAATCCCCATAACCCCCGATAAATTGCAATGTTTACCCAATGTTTTTCCCCACCCAAAAAAACGAAGGGCTGCCCCGAGGTGCCACTCGCTGACCTGTTGGCTCAGCTCGCGGGTCTGCGCGTCCGCGTCCTTCTCCAGCGCCTGCCGCGCCGCGGTCTCGGAGGCCACGGCGTCACGGAGCTGCTGAATGGTGACCTCAGATGACCCTTTCTGTGGGGAATTCGACTTGTTTTTTAATGGGATATTCCTAGGATTTCAATGGGATTTTCATTGGATTTCATGGGATTTAATGGGATATTCCCCAGTGATGTTTGTTGGTTTATAAACCCCATGGACACTATAGCTATTTGCCTATCATAAACCATAGTGAAATTGGAGTTATTTGCGCTAACTTAGCTATCGTTTGGGGTCCCCACATTGTAGTGGGATATTATTGAGATTTCATGGGATTCGAATGGGATGTTATTTTTTTTTAGGGGATTTTTCATGGGGATTTTAATGGTGCCCATTGGTACCCTCAAAATCTGGCAAACTGACCTACCCCTCTGAAAAATGATGGAGTTCGGACCAGTTGGGATGCCCAATATATATTGAAAGTCATAAAAGCCATGTTCCAAAACACCAACCAGTATTGAATCGGGATGAATCGGGCTCATCACCCTGAGGAAACCAGCCAGAAGCCAGCCCGGTTTCAAACCTTTAAGCGGAGCACCTTCAATTCATCTGCTGCACTTTCTGCCTGGTTGTTGTCTGCTTCCCTTCCTTCGATCTCTGCAGAATATTCGGATCGAGCCCGCTCCAGTTGTGAGTTGAGGTCCGCGATGTCATCAGTGGTTTTAGCTTTCAAAACCTGCCCCTCGTGGACGGCAGAGGCATGCTCTTCCTGCAGCAGTCAGGCATTGGGTTACATCATTGCCAAGATTTGCCAAGTGGTGATATCACGAATAACATAACCCATGAAAATCAGTGGTTCCCAAAGGTTTGAGGCATGGCCACTCCGGTTTTACCCTCGGAGCGGGTTTTTGCCACCTCAAACTTTGCCAAAGAGATACTAGGAGTATCTAGGTTTTCTTGGGAGGGGCAACTCTTGCAGAAAATCCCCGTCCTGCACAGTCTCAAGTTCTCGTTGGAGCTGTTCAGCTCTGCTCTTTGCCTCCCTTTCATCCTCTTCACGTGCGGTGGTTTCTTGCGCCACTGCATCTTCCAGTTTTCGAATCGTCGCCCTCAACTCATCCGCTGTGAAATCGGCCTGCTGCTGATCAGTTGCTCTCCCTTCCCGCTCGGCTGAGTACTCGGATCGAACTTGCTCCAGCTGGCTGTTGAGGTCAGCGATGTCTTCACCGGCCTTGGTTTGAATGGAATGACCCTCTTTCACTGCCGTTGCATGCTCGTCCTGCAGGCTTAGCCGAAGAGGAGCGGTTCTGAAACATCAGAGAAGATGGGGCTTCAAGGAATTTCACATGTTTACAAACCTCCAAAAGGAAGCATGGACTCTGCACAGAATCACTTTGGAAAAGATGTCCTTGCAATTTTACACATGTATATGCTATGTTTGGTGCCCGCATCCATCAATGGATCCATGTAAGACAAACCTTGAACCAGACCAGTTGTTTCCCACCATGTTTTCCAAATATATGGGAAACGAAACTTTTTGTTTGCCCCATTTACATGAAAATTAGAAACAACAAGAACAAAAACAAAGAAAATTACTTTACTTCGTGTGATCCCCACCATGACATTTATACATTTTCTTACTGGCAAATCTTCTGGCATTCTATCTGACATATCTTCTGACATTCTATTTGGCATTCTATCTGGCATATCTTCTGGCATATGATCTGGCATATCTTCTGGCTTCTGGCATTCTATCTGGCAAATCTTCTGGCATTCTATCTGGCATATCTTCTGGCACTCTATCTGACATATCTTCTGGCATTCAATCTGGCATCTCTATCTGGCACATATCTTCTGGCATATCTGGCATCTCTATCTGGCATATCTTCTGGCATATTCTATCTGGCATATCTTCTATATTCTTCTGGCATTCTATCTGGCATTCTTCTGGCATTCTGGCATTCTATCTGGCATATCTTCTGGCATTCTATCTGGCATATCTTCTGGCTTCTGGCTTCTATTCTTTCTGACATTCTTTCTAACTTTCTTCTGCACATTCTTTGTCCCATATCTTTACATGAGGTCCGGCAGGGAACACTTGGCGTGGATACTCGCGGTTGAGGTCCGGCAGGGAACACTGGGCGTGGATGGTCGTGTTTGAGGTCCGGCAGGGAACACTGGGCGAGGATGGTCGTGGTTGAGGTCCGGCAGGGAACATTGGGCGTGGATGGTCGTGGTTGAGGTCCGGCAGGGAACACTGGGCGTGGATGGTCGTGGTTGAGGTCCGGCAGAGAACACTGTGGATCGCGGGTCGCAGTTGAGCAAGGACGACGAGGACGACGAGGACGACGAGGAGGACGAGGAGGAGGAGGAGAGGAGGACGAGGCAGGAGGAGGAGGAGCAGGAGGAGCAGGAGGAGGAGGAGGACGAGGAGGCAACTGACATAAAATCTAACAACCCTCACCTGGCAGGTGGGGAACAAAGAAAACAGTTACAGCTTTCCGTCCTGCAACGTCTCAATCTTCTGCTGGAGCTCTGCTGCTCTGTTCTCTGCCGCGCGGTCATTCTCTTCGCGCGCAGTGGTCTCTGCGGCGACAGCATCTTGCAACCTCCGGCGGAAACGGCCCAGCTGGTGCCGTGCCGTTGTGACACTCTTCTGGTGGATTTACCCTCTGGTTATGACATTCACAGTTCGCCATGGTTTCTCGATGGCCCTAATCGATAGCTAGATGGTTTACCGACCTTAAAAAAGGTGGATCTTTCCATGGCGAACTGTTAGTCATAACCAGATGGTAACCGAACAAATGGAGCTTTGTGGATTCTTGGAGCTGAGGCGTTCAAAAAGTTCCATTCTCACGTGAATCACCTTTAAACAAAATCAACCAGGCAGTATGTACAAGCCCTAGCCCTATAATCATCAAGGATTCTGGTCAGTGCCCAGTTTGGGTTCCAGATATTTATCATTGATACGTCCGAAAAGAAAAACAAGTGCACTTGTTCATCATCTTTCTCATCAAGTCGCCGTCAAGTGGATAACTACTGTAAATAGTAGTGATTCTCAGGGTCAGACTCTTAATTTGGAGAATGGCGTTATCGAAGCAGCTAGGAATTAAATCTTTAGTTCCTAATTATTCATGTTGGTTGTATTTAAACCAAAGATGTAAGCTATTCGCAAGCATGGATCCAGTATGTATAATCATCCTAAAGTAGATAGAGTATGGAAATGTCCGAACATGCCAAGTTAAATTGGAATACTATTGAAAACGAAAACAAATGTATTCTATCTACCCCAGGATGACTCTATATATATATGGTACCCCCCCAAAACCGACGTTTTTGAGGTCGCAACGCTTTTGGGACAGATTACCCTGTTCAGTTTGAGTTCCAGTGGGGGGTACCATATGTATATATATATACACACATGTGTGTATTAATTGTTGTCTTACTGTTGAACCCAGGTACTTAGAGCAATTTTGTCACCAAAAGCGTTTGCAAACGTTTGCAAACGAGTCCAGGGGCCCAAGTACTTAGACTGGCTCAGGATTCAAGATTCAAGATTCAAGATTCAAAAAAAACTTCTTGAATCCAGAAACTTGAATCTTGAATCCTGAGCCAGTCTCGTTTGCAAACGTTTGCAAACGCTTTTGGTGACAAAATTGCTCTAAGTACCTGGCCCTCTATGCTAGCGGGCCAACATAGCGCTATGCTCTCAGGTATTGCATGCACTTGGAATATTAAAGGTGTAGTAAGCGACATTTTAATGAAAACACAAGGTATTTTAAAGATATACTAAAGATTAATATATATATTAATATATTATATAGATTCATGGCCAGACTGGAATATTACAGGTATACTACAGGTATATTAAATGGTATATTAGAGGTGGATTAAATGGTATACTAAAGGTATATTAAAGGTATTTTCAAAGTCAAACAAATGGTATATTAGAGGTAGATTCATGGTATATAAAATTGTATGCTAAAACCATATTTAATCATATAGTAATGGTATATCAAATGGAATATTAATGATTCTAACATGGTGAATTAAGTCTAGATTGTATATCTAAGGTTTATTAAATGCAAACTAAATGGTAAGTAAAATATATTTTAGAGACATAGTGGTATTTTCAAGGTCAATTAAATGGTATATGAAAGGTATATACCTTCAAGGTATACTAAAGGTGTAGTAAACGACATGTTTAATAGTATTAATTAATGGTATATCAAATGGAATATTAACGGTTCTTAAATGGTAAGCTAAGTATAGATGGTACATTAAAGGTTTATTAAAGACAAATTAAATGGAAAATAAAAGGTATGCTAGAGGTAGAGAGGTATCCTAAAGGTGTGTTAAAGATGTTTTCATGGCCAATAAAATGGTATATCCAAGGTAGATTAAATGGTATAGTGAAGTTTTATGCATTGAAGGTATATTTAAAGTATACTAAAGATATTTTCAAGCCCAATTAAACTATATATTAAAGGTAGCTTCATCGTTATCCAATGGAATGCTACAGGTATATTGAATGGTATGTTAAAGTTTTTAAAGATTGTATTTAACAGGGGATATTGAAGGTATGCCAAAGGTTTACTACCGGTTTATTAAAGATATGTTCATGGCCAATTCACTGGTATATTAAAGCAGATGGAATATATAATGAAGCTATATTCATTGTAGATTAAAAAATGCTGATAAATATATTATTCTTACTCTGTTGCATCAAAAAACATAGACATATCCAAAATGTTAGAATCTGGTGTTTTGAAAGAAATACTGTATGATTGAAGGAAGGTTTAATATTAGTTTGAAAGGAAGACTGCACTTCTTCAGAAGAAAAAAACATCACTGCATGTTTAGAGGAATGCTCTATACTTTGTAGGGGTACTGTTTCTTGAACGAAGTCATACTTTGTCTGGAAGGAAAATTGCAGTTTATGAATGAAGTTGCCTTTTGTCAAGCATGGAAAGGAACGCTGCAATTTAAAACAGATTGCTTCCTTCAAGAAATGTTGTGCTTTATGACCTGAGTATGTGCTCATCTTTTTTGAAAGTAATAGCTTTGTTTTTGCAAAAGGTTCCCAACAAATACTACCTCTTTGACATCAACAAAAAGCTGAAAATGGTAGATTTTTGGGGGGTTGTAGCTATATGGTACCCCCCCCCAAAGATCTACAATTTTGACCTACCTTTTTGAAATCTTGTGGTTTGGGATGATACATGTCTGCAATCCCTTCAAATCCTTGCAGCCCTACGACACCCATTGCCAACTCTCAAAAACGTCGTTTTTTTTGGGGGGCTAGCATATATATATATATATAAATACACACACATACCCAGTACATCATGGTTGGTGTTATTACAACGACTATCTCGATATATATATATAATATACATATATATATATATAGAATATATTAGAGTAATTATTGATTATATAATTCTATAATATTCTATATACATACACCATGATATGGCGCATATGATGTATCCCTCATGTGCACCTCTGGATGGTGGCGTCCAACTCCTCGGCCCGCCGCTCCGCTGCTTGCTGCTCCGAGTGAAGGGTCTCGGCGGTCTCGGCCTCCTGGGAGGGCGAGAAGTTTGCCAAACATGGGAAGTACCCTCTGGTTATGTCAAAATAGCTATTGAAAATGGCCATAGAAATAGTGAGTTTTCCCATTAAAAATGGTGATTTTCCATAGTTATGTGAACGTTTACCAGAGGATGACTGGTTGGTGGAAGAAATCCTGCACCAGTTGATAAGTGCTTATTAACTATAAAACTATGGCCATGTTCAATAGCTATGTTAAATTACCAGACGGTAACCATACGGATTCACAGTACTAGTACCACATCTGGTTGGTGGTTTTAACCATCTTGAAAAATATGAACGTCAATGGGAAGGATGACACCCCATATATCATGGAAAATAAAAAATGTTTGAAACCACCAACCAGATCATAGTTGATATCAGGGTAGAGCCAGGTCATGGGAATTATATCATGCTTGAATTCGAAAAAAATACACATCGTATAATCCCATAAAACGCCCCTCAACCAGGGCTGTTGAACACTCACCTTGGGCCTCAAAATACATTGCCAATCTTAGACACCCTGCAAAAAATTAAATTCTTTGCTGGTTAGTAGATATTCCCATTGATACCAAAAGACTAAAGGATTAAAGTACCCATCAAAAATCATCTAAGTTGGGCCTCAAAATATGGCACTGCCATCCCTCCACCGTCCCGGGCGTCCCGGGCGTCCCGTCCTCCTTCCGCCGTTGCTCCAGCGCTTCGCCCTCCTGCACCGCCGCCAGATGCTCGGAGCGCAGCTGCTCCATGGCTGCGGCCATCCCTGTAGCATCTGCGGAGGCCTGGGCGAAGTCCGCCTCGCGACCTCGTTGCGAGCGCGGTGGGCGGAGGGTTTGCCCGGGAAAAATGGGGAAACATGTTGGAAACACTTGGAACATCTAGGGAAAAAATGGATAAAACCTGGAAACTCTGGCTATATGTCGCCATTTCAGGATGGCTATGGCCATGTTAAAGCTCCATTTTCCATGGATAAACCTCCATCAATCCTCTTATCTAATAATTACATAAATCAAACATTAAACAAAAAAAATAAACAGCTACTCAAAAATCATTATATAAATAACCCCTAAATAACCAACAACAGTGCCACCTCTGCCGTCGCCCAAGCTGCGCTTCACTTCCTCCGTATGAAGGCGCCTCATCTCGTCGAGCTCCTGGAATGGGAAAACCTACGGTTGAAACCATGGGTTTAAATCATGGATATCGCTGGGATGTTTATGGCTTTTTGAAAAATGACCATCAAACAAAGATGGGGATTCAATAGGAAAAATAAATTGGAATCCATCTGGATCATACATGTATACATAATATGTATATTTATATAATATATGTATATGTATAGTTATGTGTATATATACATATATATATGCGTGGATTCACTGTGCAACCTGAAGTATGGAGTGGTGAAGTGCCCCATCTTCAGGAAAGGCATCCATGACATGCCCCAATGTCCCTCACAGGTTCATTAGTTGGGCCCCTCATTGCATGGGTCAAGAACAACTTGTGTGGTCAAAAACCAGAAGTGAGTTGGTTCATAGTGTGCGCATGTCTCTCAAAACTGTGCTACAAACCCCGCAATGCGATGCTTGATACTCGACTTGAGCAAAATTGGTCGTCTCAGAGTTGGAATTTTGACCCCTACCTCCGCAATCCCTTTCCCCCAATATTATATACAGTACCCCCCCAGGTTTAGAATTGAATCTTTTCATTTGGGGCCCTGTATGCCGGATGTTTTATATTTGGGTGAAAGGATCACATTTCTGTACAGTACAAGGTAGTGCCCAATAGCTGGCGAAGTTGGTTTACGACTTGATGAACTAGTTCTCTAGGTGCTTCAAAAACAAATCCCATGAAATCCCATGAACAATCCTTCTGTTGAATTCTTCAATCTTCCATACCCAGATGCTCCGTGGTGGAATATATACCTACATATTTACCCCCCAAAAATGGCCCAGTCATGCACCCTCTGGTTATTTAACATAGCCATGGGAAATGGCCCATTTATGCCCATAGAAATAGATGGTAAAAACCGAACTTAATAGCATGGTGGATCTTTCCATGGCGAACTGTTAGTCATAACAGGGGTTGGTAACTGTCCCATTTTGGGTATATTGGACATCACCTTATAGTAGCCATTATAGACCATATACCTAATGGTTGGGTGATGTTCAATGGGGACATTTAATGACCCATGCATAACCAGATGGTAGCTGTGCATATTCCAGCACCATGGTGAGCTAATCTGGGATAAAATGTTCCATCCTCGCTGTGCTGCATGTCCATCTCCCGCAGATCGGAAGTCAGAGACGCCACCTGGAAGGCGCATTGGCAAAGGCCAGAAGATGGTGGCACGTGACCATCCCGAAAAAGGTCGTTTATGGTGGTTTATAATGATTGTTATATGTATATGTATATATGTATGTATATATATGTATATATATATATATGTATATACCATCCGGTTATGGAAAGATCCACCATGCTATTAATAGGTAAACCATCTATAAATGGGCATAAATGGGCCATTTCCCATGGCTATGTTAAATAACCAGAGGGTATATAATATGGATCTAACCATCCCAAAATTGTAATTTATGGTGATTCAAATTGGGATCTCACCAAACATTTGGATTTCTGATGATTTAAGAATGTTTAGCTATCAAAAATGATGACTCATGGTGATTTCAGGTTGTTTAAGCAACAACACCCCATTGGGGTTTGACATCAACGATTTTACCATAGGCAAAACAAGGTGGGCCAGAGAACCCAAAAGCAAGACGGCACACAGCACGCCTTTTCTTGAAAATCTTGGGGTGTGGCCAGCTGTGCTCTGCACGAAATCGACGTAAGATCTTTACTTAAACATCGTGCGCACTGATGGTATCAGGGGCCACGATTCACCACAGCATGCTGTGTCAGCTACGCCTACAGTCTTCTAGTCGCTATTTCTGTTAATGTAATTAACTCTATCCCATCTGTCTAGTCGCTATCTATTTCTGCGTTATCGTTTAGTTTGCTTCGCCGCAGAGGGAGCGAGCACGAAGCGTGGACGGACAGAACGAAATGAAAATTAAACGACAGAGGGAGCTGACCAAAAGAGCATGAAAACGAAGATATATATGAAGGTGACAGATGGCAAATGATCATGAAAAATGAGACATGATAAAAGATGGGTAAAGACTTCTCTGTACAAAAGCTTCTTTGCATAAAAGCTTCTGCAAGTAAAAGCTTCTGTGGGCAAGAACTTCTCTGTGTAAAGGTTTTTGGTGTAAAAGCTCTTGTGTGTAAAACCTTCTGTGTAAAACGCGCTCTGTGTGTAAAAGTTTCTGTTTGCGAAAGTTTCTTTGCGTACCAGCTTCTGTCTGTAAAAGCTCCTCTGTGTTAAGGTTTTGTTTGTGTAAAGCTTCTGTGTGCAAAAGCTTCTCTGTGTAAAAGACTTCTCTGTGTCAAAGCCTCTGAGTGTACAAGCTTCTCTGTGTAAAAGTTCCTCTGTGTAAAAGCTCCTCTGTGAAAAAGCCGCTCTGTGTAAAAGGCTTTTGTGTGTAAAAGCCTCTGTGTGTGCAAGCTTCTCTGTGTCAAGACTTCTTTGTGTAAAGATTTCTCTGTGTAAAAACTACTCTGTGTAAACGCTTCCGTGTAAACTCTTTCCTGTGTAAACGCCTCCGTGTGTAAAGACTTCTCTGTGTAAACCCGTCTGTGTGTAAAAGCTCCTTTGTTTAAAGTTTTTTTTGTGTTAAAAGCTTCTGTGTGTAAAACCTTCTGTGTGTAAAAGTTTCTGTGTGTAAAAGCTTCTGTGTGTAAAGGTTTCTGTGTGTAAAAGCTTCTGTGTATTAAAAAAAACCTTATGTAAAAGCTTCTGTGTAAAAAAAGCCCCCTGTGTGTACAAGCTTCGCTGCGTAAAAGCTGCTCTGTGTAAAAAATCTGTGCGCCGTAAAGTTGTCTGTTTGTAAAACCTCCTGTGTGTGTGTGAAAGCGTCTGTGTGTACAAGATTCTGTGTGCAAAAGCTCCTCTGTGCAAAGACTTCTCTGTGTACAAAGCTTCTGTGTGTGAAAGTTTCTGTGTGTAAAAGCTTTCCTGTGTAAAAGTTTTCTTGTGCAAAAGCTCCTGTGTGAAAAACTTCTCTGTGTAAAGGCTTTTTTATGTAAAAGCTTCTGTGTGTACAAGCTGCTCTGTGTTAAAGCTTCTGTGCGCCGAAAGAACGTCTATCTGTAACACCTTCTGCGTGTAAATCTCGTTTGTGTAAGGACTTCTCTCGTAAAAGCTCCTCTGTGTCAAGACTTCTTTGTGCGAAAGGCTTCTCTCTGTAAAAGCCTTTGTGTGTACAGGCTTCTCTGTCTCAAGACTTCTCTGTGTAAAGACTTCTGTGTGTAAAAGCTACTCTGTGCAAAAAAGCTTCTGTGCGTAAAGGCTTCTGTGTCAAGACTCCTCTGTGTCTCTGTAAACGCGTCTGTGTGTCAAAGTTTCTGTGTAAAGGCTTTTTTTGTGTAAAAGCTTCTCTGTGCATGTCCCATTTTTCAGCCTTTGCAAACCGTTTGACCGGTCTTGGGACCATTTGACCAGTCTTGGGTCCACAATTTTTTCAGGCCAATCGCAATGATGGCATTTGTCCTGAAAAAACCCGTGCCAACAGCTCTGCCGCAAACTATTTTCAAGGTTTCCTATCCGTCCAGCATGTTGTCTCGCTCCCTCCAGCGAAGCTCTCCGCAAGCTATTTCCACGGATTTGTCCCGTCCAGCATGCTGTCTCGCTCCCTCCCAGCAAGGCTCTCCGCAAGCTATTTCCACGGTTTCCTCTCCGTCCAGCACGCTGTCTCGCTCCCTTCCAGCGAAGCTCTCCGCTAGCTATTTCCACGGTTTCCTGTCCATCCAGCATGCTGTCTCCCTCCCTCCCAGCGACGCTCTCCGCAACCTATTTGCACGGTTTCCTCTCCGTCCAGCACGCTGTCTCGCTCCCGCCCAGCGAAGCTCTCCGCAAGCTATTTGCACGGTTTCCTCTCCGTCCAGCATGCTATCTCGCTTCCTCCCGGCGAAGCTCTCCGCAACCTATTTGCACGGTTTCCTCTCCGTCCAGCATGCTGTCTCGCTCCCTCCCAGCGAAGCTCTCCTTAACCTATTTCCACGGTTTCCTCTCCGTCCAGGATACTGTCTCGCTCCCTCCCAGCAAAGCTTTCCGCAAACTATTTGCACGGTTTTCTCTCCGTCCAGCATGCTGTCTCGCTCCCTCCCAGCGAAGCTTTCCGCAAGCTGTCTCGCTCCCTCCCAGCTCAGCAAGCTATTTCCACGGTTTCCTATCCGTCCAGCATGTTATCTCGCTCCCTCCCAGCGAAACTCTCCGCAAGCTATTTTCACACTTTCCTCCGTGCAGCATGCTGTCTCCCTCCCTCCCAGTGAAGCTCTCCGCAACCTATTTGCACGGTTTCTTCTCCGTCCAACATGCTGTCTCGCTCCCTCCCAGCGGACTTTCCCCAAGCTATTTCCACGGTTTTCTCTCCGTCCAGCATGCTGTCTCGCTCCCTCCCAGTGGAGCTCTCCGCAAGCTATTTTCACGGTTTCCTCTCCGTCCAGCATGCTGTCTCGCTCCCTCCCAGCGAAGCTCTCCGCAAGCTATTTGGACGGTTTCCTCTCCGTCCAGCATGCTATCTCGCTTCCTCCCAGCGAAGCTCTCCGAAACTATTTCCACGGTTTCCCATCCGTCCAGTTGTCTCGTTCCCTTCCAGCGAAGCTCCCCGCAAGCTATTTGCACGGTTTCCTCTCCGTCCAGCATGCTGTCTCATCCTCTCGCGCTTCCTCCCAGCAAAGCTCTCCGCAAGCTATTTCCACAGTTTTCGTCTCCGTGCAGCATGCTGTCTTGCTCCCCCCCAGCGAAGTTCCTCAAGCTATTTCCACGGCATCATCCCGTCCAGCATGCTGTCTCGCTCCCTTCAAGCGCAACTTTCCGCAAGCTATTTGCACGCTTTCTTCTCCGTCCAGCATGCTGTCTCGCTCCCTCCCACCGAAGTTTCCCCAAGCTATTTCCACGGTTTTGTCCCGTCCAGCATGCTGTCGCGCTTCCTCCCAGCACAGCTTTCCGTCCAGCATGCTGTCTCGCTCCCATCCAGCGCAGTTTCCCCAAGCTATTTTCCACGGTTTTGTCCCGTCCAGCATGCTGTCTCGCTC